TCATTAGCATCATCCAATCCTAGCCATTATTTTTGTCTATTCTTATAAAAGAAAATCGGTTTACCTAGAGCAGGCTCCTAGGAGGGCAGGGGGCAGGCTGCCCCTCCCGAAATCCGACGGTCCCGAAAAAAACGTAAGGGTCCCCCTTATGATTTTTTAATTCGCAATTTTTTAGCAAAAAATTTTTCTCGCTTCCTCACTTCTAGAGATTTGGGACTTTTTTTGGGACCACCTATGGTTCTTGAAGAAAGGAAGGAAAAAATCTTTAAGGAGTAAATTAAGAAATAAGGATTAGATTAAGTGTAAAAGTAAGCAAATATACACACAGTTGCCATCTTCTTCGGCGCATTTGGGACGGGGCGAGGAGGCGCCGGGCAGCTTGGGGTGCACTCATCGCAGTTCTTGGCGGGCAAGGCCGGGGTCGATGGTGGGCCAGAAGACATCTGGAAGGAATTTTTATGGCGCTGCTCTTCCCGAATTTCTTTTATACTCTGACAACCGGAAATGCGCCAATCTGAATAGGCTGTTCCCCGCACGCTAATTTTTCGCCCACAATACCCGACCAACTTCGCATTTGGTTTTTGAATGTACAGGCTGTCCCAAAAAAACCCCCCCTAGCCGGCCGCAGACCTGTCGGATTTTTACGATTTAGGGATCTATCGAAAGCTCTCGGAAAGGCGAGTCCAGCACGTCTTTTCGATTTTCCCAATTTGAAAATTTTTCCATCAGTTACTAATGTTTTTGCAAAATGAGCGGATTTTCGGATGTTGTTCTGCCCAGGGCGTTTTTTACAAAAATCGCAATTTAAGAATTTTTACACCTTTCCTGGCAACCCAACGACAGCTTTTTGAAAGCCGTTTGCCAAAATACAGCTTGGATAGCGCTTAAACCGGTTAAATTGCGTTTTGAACAAAAAAGTCTGTCCTTTTGGCATGAAAAATGCCAAAAATTGAGCAAAAAATTCCGTTATTTCGAAAATTGACGAGGCGTGCTGGACTCGCCTTTCCGAGAGCATTCGATAGATACTTAAATCGTCAAAAATCCGACAGGTCTGCGGCCGGCTAGGGGGGGGGGGGGAATTTTTTTGGGACACCCTGTAGTTCGGTTGCCAAGAAAGTCGCACGAAAAGTTGATTTTGATTTTTTTATTCGTGTTTTTTTTATAGTTATTGGTTATTCTTGTTTATTCTGCGACTCGGGGTTTATCGGGAGGAATCGGGTTTTTCGCAGGATCCAATTTTTCTATAAATAGCAGAAGTGTTTCTCAATTGTTTTTACTATTCCTAAACGTAAAAACTTTACAAATTTTGTTTCAAATTAAAAAAATGTAGATTTTGGACCCAAATTTGATTAAAAAATGTTCTAAGCTTTTTATTGTGCTTTCTGCTTAACATATAGTTAAATCTTGATAAAAACTATTAAAGTAAATTAAAGTTCCTATTACGTTGCTAAAAAAACAAATAAATTTTTGGAACAAAATTTCGATTATCAAATTTTCTAGTTTTTTTGGGGGCTGTTGGACTTTTTTGCTAAGCAATTACGGATGGGTTGTTCGGACTTGGTGAAGTTGGTTCCTCCCCGATGAACCCCCCCGCGATATTGCGAAAGCACCTTTAATTTCTATCTTCTACCTACTTTAGCCTCTATTATGGCAGTGAGCGAGCGCCAAAAATTTCAGCCCAGCTCCCGTTATCCCACCTCGGGGCGGTGGCGTGTCAGAACTTTTCTGCGTCGTTTTTGCTCGGTAACCCGAATCTGCCGAAGCCAATAAAATTAAGCGCCCGACGGCAGCGAGGGAATTGAGGTGAGAATTTGCGGGCCCCTATATTCCCTAGCCGATTGCCTGATTTGGGGCCTGAAAACTGAGGGCCGGGCCTCGGGCACACACAGTCCCAAAGTCAATTAGGCCCCGCTTTCCTTCGGTTTCTATGGAAAAAAAAACGGGGAGACTGACTGGCGACGAATGATTCTTTTCCCGCCCGACCAAACACTCTTATCGGCTGGTAGAACCAAAATGAGGTTTGCCGGTTTTTCAATATGCCGTTATTCTGGCTGAGCTCCTTTCATAAGCTGCGTCTGGCAAAGGTTTTTCGATATTTTCATGGTTTTTTTGGAGTTTGCAACGCTGGCAGATAGAACCAGAAAAACCTATCGAATTACAGGTCTGAATAAAGTAAATAGCCTTTTAAACTGGGGCGGGCAAGTAGTTTATCACATTTTTATTTTGTCAAATTCAAACCACGCCATTCGATAGAACATCCAAAATTAAAACAAGTCTTTAATTACAACCGAAAAGAAATGGAATTCAATTTTGAATTAATTTTTTAATAACAAAAATCCTATCCTATAAGCGAGAAAAGTATGTGTGTTTTCTGTACAGCCAATTTCTCGGCCGTCAGGCCGAATTTCGAGCTGATTTTTGGCATGGAGGTGGAGAAAAACATTTGTCAGTGATGCATTTTTTTGTTTTACGAAATATTTTCATTTAACAATTTTATAAGCAAAAAAGTAAAAAACCCTTAACAAAATGGGTTTTTGCGGCGTTGTCCGGAAGTTTTCTCGGCGCCTAGAGGGAATTGGGGACTCATTTTTGGAGGGTAGATGGGTAATGTATTTCCCCAGATACATTTTTTCGGATTTTGCAAAATTCTTTAAAATAAAGTTTTTATAAGGGTTTCCCTGAAAGGTCCTTAATAAATCGCGCCACGGGCCGTGGTGTCCGGGCGATAACTCAATTCACATGGCGAATTTGGACCTGAATTTTTGACCACTTATGTATTCAATAGTGAGGATCACGCGAATCTTATTATCTTCACAAATTTCGACCAGCTTCCACCCCACAAATCGAATTTTGTAAAGTGGTCTGAAGGCCTGCCTGTCGGAAATCCTGGGGCCCATTCCTTTTAGCACAGCTCGGTTCGGCCCACAGGATATGAAGAGGCCTTTACCGTTTTCCGTTCCCATCCCCCCGTGGTGTAGTGGATCAAGGCCGGGGCTACGGCGTTGGGGGTCGTGGGTTCGGATCCGCGAGAAATTAAAAGGCCGTCCGCCAGTCACTAGAACTGTTCCCATTATGGCTTGGCACAGTTTTTTCGACCCTATTTTTATGATGCCATCTGAAAGAGCGTGGCCGAATTAGCAGGGTGGCATAGTTTTGAAAGTCGTGGAATCGAACTCGGGTCGTGTGCCTGGGAGCCCTGTGGCGCAATGAGGAGAGCGTCGGCGTGCCAATCCAGAGCTGTCGTCAGTTCAATCCCAGCCCCCTCTCAAAAGCCGAATTTCTTTTTGCTCTTTTTTGCAATGGCTTCAGCATGACGACTACATGCAAATTCATGTCTTGTATTTTCAAAACAAACAATTTTGTATTTTTCCGGGTCGTTTTTTATGCATTTTCCGCACACAAATCGCGTTATAGTAAAATTGGGACACCTGGGCGCAACACGATCAATACGTCATTCGACGCAGAATTCTTTGGCGCATCTTTCTATGCTATTTTCAAGTTGCGCTGAGGTGTCCCAAAATTCGAAAGTGTCGAAAAACTGTTTTTAGTAGGCAATTTAACCATGTTTCGGTCATTTTTGGGTTTTGCGATGTATTCGAGAAATGACCCCCATGCCAAATTAGGTATTGACACAAATTTTCAGCGAATTTGGTTCAGAAATTTTCGAGATAGTTTTTCGAGGTCGGCAACTTTAACGCCCATTTAAACCACAAAAATTAACTTTTAAAACTTTCAAAACTATGCCACCCTGCTAATTCGGCCACGCTCTTTCAGATGGCATCATAAAAATAGGGTCGAAAAAACGGTGCCAAGCCTTGTTCGGGTGTCTCACAGACTGCCTTTTAAGCCTTTTGCTTTTTTGAAGTTCAGCAGCAAAACATATTTCTAGGCTTTCCGTGTGCGGGATATAGGCCTGGCTCTCGCTCTAGCGCCGCAGGCCCAAGAAAAGGTTCTTCCTCCAGGATCTCGCGCCGCAGGCCAAGGATGGGTCCTTTACCCAGGCTCTAGCGCCGCAGGCCAAAGAAAAGGTCCCTGACACATGCTTCGCGCCGAAGGCTAAATCCGGGAGAAAAAGCAGTAGTTAGCGCCGCAGGCTCAAGGATTTCAGCGCAACACTGGCTCTGGCGCCGCAGGCCAAAGAAGGGTCTGACTCAGGTTCTTGCGCCGCAGACTAAAAAGAAGCTTCTCAAATTCATGGTTCCTGGACGGGGTCCGGTGGAAAAGGGCCGCGAAGCGGTCTTTTTTCGCTATTAATTAATATCCGGAGTTCTACTTCCAGGTTTTCAATATACTAATGTGCATTCTGGTATTCGAAGTCGCTTTTTCTCCCCGTCAATGCCGGCGAACCCCGCTTTTTGCTTTAGCTGCATCTCGAGAAAATTTTCACGTCATCCTCCCCGATTTTTCGATAATTTCGCCATTTTTGCCATTCTTTCACCAAGCTAAATACAATATAAAATTCCGTATACTAAATTGCACTATAGTATTTTAGGTGGCTTTTTTCTATACCAAACTGCGATAGCGGATTATCGCGGTGTGAAGAGGGGGTATGAATTGACTCGGTCCACCCATGCGTGCCACATATTGAGAATCAAAGACAATTGGACGCTTAGGATATCGCCCCCCCCACCGGCCCAAAAGCCCCCTTCACCCCTTCGACGGCAAATCTGAAGACGATTCATTAGAGGAATCGCCATAGGACTGGCTTGCTCGCCATTGTTTTTGCGTTGGGAAAAGCTCCTACAATCCCTCTCCAGCTCCTTTCCACATATCAGCCCTTCTACCTCAATTATTCCCGCGCTATAGCCATCCTGTTTTGGGTAAAGCCAGTTTTTCGGCTTCCGTTTTACCTAGATATTTATGTGGGAAAATCTGGTAGTCGTTAAGAGTTTGTTAGACACGCAATCACCGGCATTCATATAACCACTACCTATCCCGATTTTCATTGAATCTTAGATTTTCAATGACTCTTGTAATTTCCAATTAGGTTGCCTCCGAGAATGCTGGCCGTCCGAAGTTTGCCCCTAATTGCCGCCGGGCTGCTCCTTGTTGCCGCGAGCCCAGCAATTAACAAAGTTGGTTTTTTGAAAGGATAGTCGTCGTAATGTACAGCTATTAGTTAACTCATTGACGTTTTTAGCGGGACGCGGAGGATGAGCAACCCGAGCAACCCGAAGCCATCAATCCTGATCGCGATCTCACTGAGCATTGCCACAAAATTTCTGAGTATTCAGGAGAGCATTACTGTGAGGTGGGTTGGATCTAGTGTTTTTTTCAGATTCAAATCCAGCGGAAATTCGAACATTCAAATTCGACGCCGGAATCGAGTAAAATCTAATTGTTAAAATTTCAAATCCGATGACCTGATTTGAATTTTTGAGATCTTAGCAATCTAGAAAAGGGAGTTTAGGTGTTTTCGATGATCAATGTGAAAAACTGATAAAAATTTATAAAATTTATAAGTTTGAATTAGCCTAGCGTGCGCGTAAGTCTTCTCATTTCGTAATGTAATGGTTTAATCACTTTTGCGCCAATAGTATAGGACTTTTTGGATGAGATCAACCCGATTTCCATCACACATCTTGTATCCCAAACTCCTAGGTATTCTCCGAATGCTGCTGCCCCGACAGGCAATACTCGGCGGAGATCTGTATGAAAAAGGAGGATTTCTGCGAATTCGATAACGCTACGGTAACCACAAAACCTTAATTTTCTAATTTGCCGAATCGGCGGCTAAGGGGCTATGAGTGAGTTGTTCGCCGCGATAATTAATCCGCCCCTCGGGAATTTTATGGATTATTCCCCGGGGGTCCTGGCGAGAATTCGGAAGTTATGTTTTGTGCTGCACCAATGTTCGGAGGTTTTAAAAACGTGTAGCGAGATCATGAAAGCTGACGTAGCGGGCGAGCGGCAAATAGCATATCCTGGTGGGAGACCGGTAAAATAATGGTGGGAAGTAAATATATTAAAGTTTTCCGCTACTTGGTTATTTCGTCAATTAATATTTTGAAATTACAAAACATCTACATTACGAAACGTCGCTACCCGGAATTTGGACAGTATGAGTTCCGACATGATACTAAGCCCGTAGTGCCGGACAAGTAAATCATTTTCAGATGACCGTCACCGACAAGAAATGTGTGCTAACCGCTTGCTACTATCCGACAACACTGGCTGAGGTGGTTCAAGAAGAAATTGTACATGATGTGGTCACTGAAATTACCTCATCGGCTTCGACAGAGGCCATTGTGGCTCTTTCTCAGACCACTGAACCCTCCGAAACCTCAACAACAATATCCACAGCTTCGTCCACAGAGCAGGTGCGCCATAGCTTCTTGTCAGGCGGCAAATCCGTTCATTCAGGTGGCCCTAGACGCCGAAACCACGTTGAAACCCGACGAGGTAGTCCCGGGTTCCTTTTCGTTTTTTGGCATGTCATTTTGGGACCCGAGAATGTGCCGTCGATCCAGCTGACCCTTAAAAACCATTTGATTCTATTCAAGACTAATTGAAAACGGCACAATCTCCACCCGCCTTTTCCCCCGCAAAATCTTTTTCCAGCGCCCAGCTGCCTATTAGGGCGTAATATCCTTCCCTCATAGTTAGTAATCAGCACATTTTTCATTTTTTTTACTGTTTGATAGTTTTGCCTGACAATTAGCCGGGCGCACCTGTTTGCGTGGCGCCGGATCTGCCAACTAATGGGTTTTTAGGAAACTACTGCAGGGCCGGCTGACGGGGAAACGCCATCTGGTGAGATTCCACCTGAGGGGCCGGAGGTATGATTCAGACACGATTTAGGGATCTAACGACGGAAAAAGTAAAGAATTACATCTTTCAGGCTCAGGCTCGTCCGGCTGGTAATGGGACCGAAATCGAGGAGGAGGAAGGCTCCGGTGATGGAGATGGAGATGGTAGCGGAACTAACGGTAATCAGAAAAACATGGAAAAAGCTCATTAAAACCTAACACAAAAACTCGCTCATAATTTTTCAGGCTACACAATCGCCCTGGTCTCATCCCTACTCTTCGCCGCTTTCACCGCCAACTTCTAAAAAACTTTATTTTTTTCATTTCCGCTTTTCAAATCCAAAAAACAGTTAAAAACTTTTCCAAATTTCTCAACCCGTCTATCTTCATCCCCTGATCTCACCAGTGCTCAAAGTTCACTGTGAATTTGGCCCCATTCCTATGATTCTTTCTCACAACACATATCCACATGCAATATTTGTTCGCAAAAGAGTATAATATTATTTAATATATTAAAGTTTTTACCCTGGGAGGAAGTCGGAACCACACCACATTGGTTGCCAGCTGTTTCTAGCCATTTACGGTTTTTTAAAGGGTTTTAGAATGAAATCCGAAGCTGTGCTCATACGCAGATTTTGTTAGAACCTACATACCTGGAAATTTCTATGAAATTGGAAGGTATCAGTGAGGCTTAAGAAGATAGTTCAGAACGATGCATCCATTGTCTGATCTTTCCAAATAAATGCATCACAGAACGCAATGCGCATGAGAGTATCGGCAGCTAGTGTATCCGTTGCATTCCTTTCCTTTGTGAGACGAGGGAAGTTTGGAAGCAACACCTAACGTCTAGGGGACGGGGCTCGCGGCTTCTTCTCTTCTAACTCCGATCATCTATCTTCCGGAAACGCCCCTGGCGGGCACACCACCAGCCATACGGGTCTTCCTTTTCCTCTCCCTCTTCCAGTTTTAGGACAATGGCGAGGTCGGGATGTTACAATTATTTATTTTTTCGCTTATATTCGGATGGTTACGTAGATCCTTTTCGAAATTGCATATTTCGTAATGTGTGTCTAAAGTATGAAAATTTAAGATAGCTGTACTGTCCAGCAAAAAATGCTTCAGAGCTAAAATAACCGAAATCTGATCACCCAGTAACCTTAATCAAAAATTATCTGGATTTGAGTGGACAGTACAAAAAGCGCGTCAATTTATTAAAATAGTCTATCCATGCCTATAAAAATTTGAGCCAATTTTATTCCATTTTACATAAGCATTGTATCCACATCGACGACCATCGACGCCATCTCCCTCAAGGCGTCAAGTCATCATTTGAGGGGAAATGTGATTTGGGATGGCCCTTCTCTCGTCCTTTAGGCCCCTCCCCTAGAAGGCGACAATTGCCCCCCCACCCTTCGGCTCGGCTTTTTCCTCCTTTCAAGCGTCGTCTTTTTGTCCGGGCGGGCCCAATGTTCCATTTTAGTTTCAAGGAGGCACGCAGAAAACTTTTGTTCATTTGCAGTAGAATTTTTTTAATGTTTGTTGTATTCAGTTGTGATTTTCGGAACCAAATTGGCATTTTTATAAGCATTCTTCGAACATAACTATCGGCAAAATCAATTTTTATTTTTTTTCAGCGCTTACCAGCCTACAATTGGAGATGAGTCGCTCAAAAGTGGCCGCAAGTAAGTCAAAGCTTCTCCCATTTTTCCCAGCTGATGCACCTGCCAATGTCAGCTGAACAACCGGAAACGTTACTTTTCAAACTCACTGAAAGTTGTTGTAGTTATATCCAAAAATCTAGCATAAACACTAGTTTTTTCCATACATATAGTACGTTTTCGTCCCCAGAAAAGACCGAAATTTTCCCCCAAAAAACATAGCGTGTCTGCGCGATTTCGCAACCCCACCGAGCCTCGTTAGATTCCAATGGATTTCACTCCGTAGTCCCCCATTATCCCCCATCATTATCGTATCCAGGCATAGGAATAATGCGACCGGACGGCGCCCCGTTTTTACGTCGAATTTTTTATGCATTTCTCAACGAAAAATGGAATTAGGCCACAACCCATCGCCCTATTTGCGGAGATGCCGAATTCCGCAGCTGAACACCATACGTTTCCACGAGGATCCATGCACACCGGAGGATGAGGAGGGGAAAATGGAGTTGATACGGGAAAAGATGGTGAGTTTTGATGGATATTCCTAAACCAATCAGTTGCCAAAAAGTAAACTCTCTTTGAAAATTATTTTTCTTAAATACTTTATTTAAGTTTATGTATATTTTGCATATCTTTAAGACATTCGGACACAGAATACCAACGCCTTAAAAATAAAAATCTCCGGCTATCTCACACCTCTTCCTTAATAGGACTATAACGTTTCAAAAAGATTTCTCACGGGCTTGGTCAGTGTATAAAATGTACATATTGTCTTTCGAAAGTCTTAGTCGAAGAAGACCTATTTAACAATTATAGCGCGTTTCTACTGTGATTTTGCAATCGACGACGCAACAAGATTGCATTCCCCCAATCGCCTAGCGATTCTCGAATGTGCCCCTGGGGACATTTGATGGCCCGGGTTATGTCGCACGGAATCTTTTTCGCGCCTCGCCCACCCTCCTTAAAATGCACTAGCCGAGGGCTTTTAACCAAAAAGCCGTCTCCGAGGATTTTGCCGGAAGAGATTCTGGGCAGATAGTCAGCATTGGCCATTTGTTTTCTGGGTGGAACAAAGAGGTCCCTCGAGATGCTGCTCGGGTTGAATGATCGAACGGCTAGATAGTACGAACATTTGGCTTCCCGGGTTTTTTTTTGTAAGTAGGTAAGTAAGAACAGGGTAGAAATATCGATAGGTTTGGCAGAAAGGGCGTAGGAATTCGAATTCATTAATTTGGAAAATCACCCATACTTCTCTTTTCTACTACGACTACTTGCTTCTCTTTCTATCAACTTCATAATTTTCTAACCTCTGCTAATTGTTTTCTAAAAAAGGTGTAATTTTATTTTAAGAAATTTTTAATTTGAATGTCCAAAAAAGATATTTTGAAAAATTCGGTTCTTCTAACATCATGTCTAGTCCATTACACACCTAATGGCAAATCAAAAATTCCACTTAACCGATAAGGCTCGAAAACGGTAATGCATTTTCGGTGTCACACACCCCATTTTGATATCTAAACATAACTTTTTTTTAGCAAGAGCTTACCGATAAATCGAAACGCGAAAATCCCTGCAGTCCCAGCACCTCAATCCCTCCTCAGACGTAAGTCTTTCCGACGATATACGGTTTACGAATTTTTTTAGCCAACCAAAGCCGGCGACATCACTGCGTGGTTCTGAACACGAAAAACCATGCCCACCCTCGAGTTATTCACGCTTTTCCATGCCTCCCTCGAGCTATCGACCCCCAAGGACTGATTTTTCATCAAAAGTTGTCCAAAACCGACCCAAAATTCTCAAAATTGAACCGCAAAATGGGGTTGCTTGGAATGGGGGCTTTGTTTGAGGCACCTTGTTTTAAAATACGTGTCCAGTTTCGTGCTTTAATTGAGGTTGTTTCGATAAATTTAGAATATGTGCAACAGGAATAACAGCAAGAAATCATCACCGGGGGCTGAGGAATAAAGATCACAATGCTAACCAATGTATTGGCTGACTAAAGTTTATGAAATCACAACCGAGAGCTGGGAATTTAGGAGAGATATATTTCATGCGTCAAGCGGCCAAGCATTTGTGCAAAATTGAGGGCAAGGCAGCGGGGCCAGTAGCTGTTACTTCGGTAGGAGAATGTCTGAAATTGAGTAGGGTATTGCTTAATTTGAAAAAGTAGATTGTAAAGCCGATAAATCGTCTTTCGTTATTTTTATTCCTACAGGGTGTCCCAAAAAACACCCCTAAGGTATTTCACCGTATTACATCCAATCGGTCTCATATTTTGCACAAGGGTGTATCGAACCATAAATAACCACAATCCTGAGTTATAGCCCGATCGCTATAGTAATTTTTGAGTTATCCGCAAACTACTGTTTTCCCCGCAATTTTAAACGGTTTTTTCGGCATCTTTTTGGACTTTGCATCGATTTGCATCGACTTCCGGCTGCGAAGCCCTAATTTTGTTTAACATCGGGGTGACTTTGGGTTACAAAAAAATGTTGAAATCAACGGTTATTTGATCAAATTTTATCAGGAAAAAATTTATAGGGGGTAAAGCAGGCTTGCCGCTTCATTTTCACTTAATATTCAAAGGGTTGATTCCGACGAAAACGGATAATAAAGCTTATTTTTGTTGTATCTCGAAAATTATTATAGTTACCAGCGCCCAAAACCCGCTTCGCGGGCCTTGGGCGCTGGAATGCGGCCTTTGCATAAGAAATTTAACTTTCCGATAGCTCAGGTCCTTCGGACCCCCTTTCCCCGGCCGACCACACTCGCGAGTGCAACTTGCAAGAATGAAGAAATTTCTTATTTTTTCACATTATGCAAATTACCCCCAAAAATGAGTAAAACCTGCTTTAACTTTGTAAACTTGTATTTTATCAAAATTCTGAAAGCGCCATTGGAAACAGAAGGGTCGATTTCCCCGAGTGACGGAGAATTAGAGAATTTTATGCACGGGAAGGCCCTCAAATCGGGCCTCGAAAGTGACATCCACACACACACACACGCAGTTACACGCCAAAATTATATAAGGTAGGATGAGGCTGTAAGTCAGGATTGTGGTTATTTAAGGTGCAATACACCTCTGGTGGAATTTTGGAACCGATCGGATGTAAGATGGCTAAATGCGGGTTGGGTGCTTTTTTATGGGACACCCCGTAGTAGATCTTACCCTAAAATCATGATTTATAACTTTCTCTCACGATTTTTCACATCAAGAATGGCTGATCAACTTTGTTACAAACTATGCCAGAGCCCATGCTGAAGCCTAAGCATAAGGCTAAGTCTAAGCCAAGCCTAAGTCTAATCCTAAGTCTCAGCCTTGGGATAAGCCTAGGCCTAAGCCTAAACCCTAAAAGCCTAAAAGCCTAAGCCTAAGCCAAGCCTAAGCCCCGCACTAGATCATCATCAAACCATCCAAAAAGTTACAGGGCTGGTGTTATGTTTGCCTATATTTTTGTAGTCTCCTTAAATTCTGTACCATATAATCATACGTTATGTAAAGTAAAGTGCGTGGGTCATCGGCCCGAGAAGCTCGGCAAAATTGAGCGCGATCGCCTGCGTGAAGAAACGGTATGCACGGTGGGAGAGCGTCTGTAAAGGTCAACATTCCATGGCTATTGCGCAAGTGTTCTTTAAGGGTGCGGCAAAATTATAGTTCTTATTTATTATAGAGGCTTAAGACAGAGATAATAGATGTTATTATGCTCCCACACAGGCTAGGGTTGGCTGTAGAAAAGTTCATGCGAAATCGGTCCCCGGAGATCGGCAAAATTGAATGCGAAAACGGCTCCCCAGTAGCTTTTGTTCTTTGCAGCGAGCGCCTGAAAAGGGAGGAGCCGTTTTCTTTAGGTTTTTTGGGGGTTAGGGTATGAGCTCCTAGACGTTACGCTTAATAATCTGGTTAATTCTTTAAAACAAAATTCCAGAATTCGCAAGTCTTAAAAAAGACCCTTCGGGTTAGATAAGGAAATGTGCGTGGTAAAGGCCGAAAAAATTTTAACGCGATCCTTTTCAGAACTAAAACCAAATAAAAATAAAATAATATGTAGTAAAACCCACCAAAATGTGCTGCTGAACACCGAAAAGCGTTGTAACCCGTTTTTCGAGCATCGCCTCCGAGTCGAATGGAAGCGCCTTTTGGCGCATAATCTGTAATAATACGGCTTAGACCATTTGAGTTTCGAAATAGCTTTCTAATAATGTTTTATTAAGCATTTCAAAGCTTCAAAAGTCTAAAACTTACAGCCAAAAGCTCGGCTGCATATTTTGCGTGTGCATCCTTGACCGTCTTCGCGCCGGCCTCCGTCATGAAAAGGCCTAAAAATTGCAAGAATGTATGAATTTTATTAAAATTAAACTCTAAGTTTGTGATAATTAAGAAAAAATTAAGTTACTTGTATTAAAGGCAAAGACGTTCCGGAAGACGACGTATTCATCATGTGACAAATTGATTTCCCGGAAAGCCGAGATGACGTACTTGTGTGAGAATTCGATCATGTAATTGTTGAAAGTGGTACATCTGAACATTATTGTTAGAGAGTGAAAGAAAGAGCGTGAGAGACAGAGAGAGATAGACAGAGCGAGAAAGAGAGAGACAGAGAGCGAGAGAGAGATAGAGAGAGTGAGAGAGACAGAGAGAGAGAGAGAGAGAGAGAGAGAGAGAGAGAAAGAGAGAGGCAGAGAGACAGAGCGAGAAAGAGAGATAGAGAGAGAGCGAGAGAGAGAGAGATAGAGAGAGACAGAGAGAGGGACAGAGCGAGAAAGAGAGAGACAGAGAGAAAGCGAGAGAGATAAAGAGAGACACCGAGAGAGAGACAGAGAGAGAAAGGGTGAGAGAAATAGACAGATTGAACTCTAATAGACCTATTTTCGCTTTAACCTACTCATTTCCTAAAGGATTTGCAAGCATATTGCCTTCCGCTCCGAGCCCATACAAAATCCCATCACTATTATTCAAATAGGTATGGTAGATCATTTGTAGCGCAATCATTGGTGTGTACTGCGAGATGATGAGCGTATGCTAATAACATTCTTCTTCAATTTTGCTATATTTAATTTAACCTGGTCAAGCGGAGCAAGGGCCCAAAATTCCGGAATTCCGCGCAGCCAATCCACGTGGAACATTAATTTTCGGGCCCAAATCATTTGCGTAATATGGTCACGGTCGTTTGATAATGGTGTTGGGGCGTTGAATCCAATCTAAATAAAACGTTGTTATCAAAACAATTTAAATTTGGTCTTGATTATTTTAAAAGTTATAAACGATGGCCTACCGGCATTCTTGGCGCCAAAAGCGTTGGGTTTGAGATCAGGTCAGCCACACCCAAATCCAGATTCACCGGGAATGGCTGCGCAAATGCTGTCGGTGAATCTTGTGTACAAATACTTAAAATTTAATTAGATGTATTTTCGTTGCCCTTACCGATATAAATTTAACAAATTGGCCGTTATGCTCTGCGTGGGGTCGTTGAAAAGAAGTGGGCTCTCCACAGGATTGGATGGTCGCTGGAACATATACATTTCACGCCTCGCTAACGCAACCAACCATTCCTAACAACGGTGGGAGCACGAGTGAGGTGCTTGTTGATGGGAAATCGAGCAGCAGATTCTCGAAAAATTAGTTTTTTTTTATTATCAAGCTCTAACCAAATCCGGGTATGATGTCGATGGCACAACAAAATCGAAGTTATTTCCTGCTATACTTGAAGACGTCCCAGGAAGATCAGCTACCAATTCAAGCGTTGAAGGGCAAGGATTCTAAACAATTCTTTTGAGAATCGCCTTAAAAATGCACACCACTGCTAAAAGATTTGGAAGTGCCAAAGCGGTGCTGGTAGATGGAGCATCGAAAATCAGGCCCTTAAATTAAATTGAAATTTTGAAAAAAAGCTCTAGGCTTACCAAGTCGCTAATGGCACCCGTTGTGCCCGGAAGTTCTATTTTAATATTAGAAATTTGTTCAGGTACTTCTGTCGTTGGTTCGATTGTGGATGTAGAGGGTTTCTGTAAAAGCGGAGTTTTACTTATTGAATTCACTTATTTAAAAATATAAGATTGAAATTCGAGTACAAAGAATTATCAAATTTCTGGAATATCGTAATTACCTGATCGTCTTCTATAAATTGCGGCGGCGAGGGTTGATGTATTGCCGGTTTCACATCCACATTCGGGGATAAACTACTTTCCATTTCAGCTATCACCTCCGTCACACTAATTTCCTCAACATCATCTGCATCTTCTGTAGCTCCCATATAGTTTTTGATCTTCGGGTGTTTTGGTTTGGAAAAGCGCTTTAGTTGTCTCGTGCATCCTTCCCGTCTGGCCACAGCTGAACTTATTGTTTTTTTACTTATCCTCCCCCATATTTCCGTACTTTATATCCCCCGTATTTCTCACGAAAATGAAAATTGTAATTCGCAAGAACCCACTTTCTGGAATCATCCCCGCCTTTATACATCGATTGTAACGGCAAGTCCGGCATTTGCTGTCGGCTAAAGGAGCGCTGTGTAAGGTAAGACAAAACCTACGGTATCTGCACTTCCCGCCCTTCTTACAAACATAATCCTTATCGACCGTGACCGCCCGAATGAAAAATACCTTGCAGCATCTGAATTTAATTTTTCAAAGTTAAAATGGTGACGTACTGGCAGGTGATTGCCCCATAATGTCTGGATGCTTCACCGCCGCCGCAGACAGCACAGATCAGGTCCCCATTTTTTATTTTGCTCATTCGGTTGCCACCTGCAAATGGGGCGTTGTGAAAATTATTGAAATATACATAATATGGTATAAAATCGAAAACATGAGATAAATTACTAAAAAATCTCTGCAAAAAAATATTGTAAACCGACCCCCAGTGTACCATAAAGGACATTACCCTCTCCGCCATTGTCCCATATTACAACAATCATAATGCCAACCAAAATCAACCCGAAAAAAGGTAATCGCTGAGAACAAAACGATGTACCACCACGGTTCCAAACTACAAAACACGATACGTGGTATCGAGGGACAAGGTGGGGCGATAGATAGAAGAGAAAGAAGCGGTGCTCTCTGCGCAATTTGTGCCGTTTGCTGGGCGGTTGTCTGTCCGTCTTTTTCAGCGTCTGTCTGTCTATCTGTGTGTCGCGAGATGTGTGCTTTTCCACCGTCCCTTTTTGCCGGTGCCGACCAGAATCGATCGCGCAGCAAAACTGGGTCGCTTGACGTGTCGATTTTAATGGGAAGACGACGTGATTCGGTCGTCAGGTTTTGAAGATGGATTGCCATGGCTGTGTAGGGATTAAAATCATATATTTATGGTGGAGCTCAAATTACGGGGATAATGAAAGGAAAAACAGTGTTTCAGGTACACGGACGTCGTTAGGAATTGAGCGTTGCAAGTCAAGCCTATGGCTGAGCCAAAAACGAAGCCTACGCATAAGTTCAAACTGAAACCTGCGCAGAAAATGAAGCCAAAGTCTAATAAGCTCAGCCTGACACCAAATATTTGTCTAACCGACGCTAAGCTAAGCCTAAGCAAAGCCTAACCCTAAGCCGTACACCGAGCTTACGTCCGAGGTGAAGTCTAAGCTTCAGCCTCAGCCCAAGCCTAAACTTAAATCTAAGGCCAAGCCTAACCCTAAGTCTAAGCCTAAACCTAGCCTAAACCTAAGCCCAAGCCTATCCCTAAGCCTATACCTATGCCTAAGCTTAAGTTTAAGTTAAGTTGAAGCCGAAGTCGAAGCATATAAGTCAGTCATTTCATGACCGCACAGAGGCGTCAATACATTAGATAATGGACAGCTGGTCTGGACGTCGTCCATAAAAACCGATAGCCATCCAAATCCACCGCAAAGCCCTTCAAGGGCTTTTAAGCCAACATTCCTCCTAGAATTCTATCTACCAAAACAAATCCGTTAATCCCAAATCAATGAGTCAGAAGACATAAATTGTGAATAAGGTCAAATGACATCGGGGTCTAGACAGAAACGAGGGCTGTACCCAGTGGGCCCTGGGAATAACCACCACCCCCCTGCCGGGGGCATCGCTATGGAAACGCAACCACTTGGAACATTGTCCGTCTGCTTCGCTAAATCAGCCTTTTTTTTCCTCTCTCTTCCTTGAAACAATGGAACTAATGGACAAAGAGGCACTCCAAGATATTGATCTACGCATTAATGCCATCGAGAGACGCCTCAGGAATGCGAAGTCTGCGAGGGTATGCAAATTCTAATCCCTGTAAGAGGATTAAATCGAAATAAAAATGGCTTTGTATATGCGGCACGTTACATGTCCTTTCGTCGTTATTTCATTTATCCAGCTACAAAAAGGTATTTAAGAGCTCGTAGGTGTGTGAGGGAATCGAGCTAACTTCACGACAACGGATTTTTGAAAATCGTGATTTTCGACATTAGCTTGAAATTTTTGTGCAAGTCCTAGTTTTTGCGCGAAGCCACCCAATTTCAAAGTTTTTTCAGCTCCGATCTAACTTTAAAAGTACAACAAATAATCAATCAGCTAATATAAACTTCGATATTTAATCCCGATTTAGGACGCGTACATCGATTTTCTACGCAGCAAATACCCGACTTGGAAGACACCGAACATGGTGACTTATCAGCAAAATGTGAGCATGCAACACATTTCTAGTAAAAACAAATGAGTTCAGTTTGCGGAACGACGTAGCGATTATCTAATCAATGAGTTGGCCACCTCGGAATATCATTGGGATATTGGACGCGAAGAGACGAAACCAAGGGTTCAGCTTCCGAAAGGCAAACTCTACAACCCGATCCCTCTCCGGTATCACCTAAATTAAAAACTATTAAGATTCAGAGGGCCTCTACTCCAATCCGATGTAATCTTGATGCGGCAGCGCTTGACCGAAATTTCAAATCATTTGAGGTAGGTGACGAGTCAGGTGCCAGAGCCAGCTAGCAAGTTTTAAATTCATTAAATATTTCCAGGGTAATGCGTGAACATCGTCTTCACATGCCAACCAACGATTATATCAAAATTCGTGATACCACAAATGCGTTTGGTAAGGAGCCAGTTTAACTGCAGATTTCCTATTTCTTCCAGGCCCTACCGACCTAAACTTGGTCGAGGAAGAAGACGAAATTGCAGAGCTCAAGCGAAGAATTGATGGTATTGATGGTGTAGAAATGGGAAGAGTACGGTTTTCAAATTCCAATTCAAAACAAAAAATCAGGTCCCATCCCCAACCCCCAGTGACTTGAAATTCGCTGAAGAGGAGGACCGGCGGAATGCTTTGATCAGAGGCGAACACAATATTATTAACTTACCCTTGGTTTTAGAAATTCGGGAAGAGCAACAAAAAGCTAGCGAAATTCTGGAAAGACCGGTGCCAGTCATAAAACCAGTCGAAGTCATTGAAAAGGAAATTCCTAGGGCCGCTCCAGCTCCTCCAAGTGAATTTTCTAAACAGATTAACAATTCGTTATTAGCGACCGTCTACAATAGACCTATCATCATGGCTGAGCCATCGAACTCCGAGAAGCTTCCTGAACCTCCAGTGAATTTTTCAGTTCTGTACTTAAATTTTCAAAATTTTAGGCACCAAAAGCCCCTGAGCCCACGAAGCAGATTGTTGAAAAGCCAAGTGAGCTCAGCATATCTTTTAAAACATACGGCACCGGAATTATAAATCTAATCCACAAAATTCAGCGCAAAACTCCGATTACGCTAAAGTGATGAGCATGTTCGGAAACCAGACCACTACTGATACGGAAAGCGACAGCACACCTAGACCATCGGCACCAGTGCTTGCATCTATACTGTAAGTCAAGTAGCTCCAGCGCAAAAAGCTCATTTAGACCTAGTAATCCTCCGGCACAGCCTGCCAGCGATCTCCTCTCGCGGTACCTCACCCAACCACGGCCTGGAAACCAATCGCAAAGCCTGGGCCTGCAAGCTCAACAGGATTCAGATGACGAATTCTTCAACTGAAAATGGAATGCCAAAAATGTTCAATACATCCGAGAATATTTTAATAAAAATACAATCTAATGTTGCTATCAAACCCCGGCGTTTCACGATGGATTTTGCACAATACGGTCTATGGCTAGTTCAGGCTGCACCGATATAAACATATTTCGATAATACACTATGTTTCCATGATGTTATTGCAAATTTTGATACAATTTTGCTATTTTGTAAACTTTGTTGAATTTCCAAACCGAGCACTCCCTTGTCATGTTCCGCCACATTACTAACCACCATGACTCCCTGTGTGTTCAGCGTTGCCATTCCAACAATGTTATTTCCCCTCTTGCCTTTCTAAAACTAAAAACTCAACTAAATTTATTTAGAACTGTAAAAATTGAATGTAATGGCTGGCGCGAACGGCTATTGGATGGATGACGCAGCGAGCGGCGAAGCTGCGACTAATGACTGGTACTTATTTTCTCCCAAAACTTTCAATTTCCTTTAGGTATGCCCAACAGCAAAATACTTCGAGTAATGCTGACATGGGATGGGGCCAGTTCGACTATTCGCAGCCTGCGCAGCCTCCACAGCCAAATAATTCTAACGGTATTTTTACAACGATTCCTCCATTGTGGGTTCCAGGCGGTTATTATAATCAGTACGGCAATGGCTACGGAGCGCCAAGCAATGCTGGGATGTTTATTCCAGGCCAAGACCAAGGTGGTTTGCTTATCCAGCCTATTTTGTACATTTGTTTTTTTAGCGGCGATGAACAATGCAGCGTTAGAAGACTTTGAAAACGAACCGCCGCTGCTCGAGGAGCTGGGCATCAATTTTTCCCATATCAAGGTAATGGTGGTTACCTTTTATCAGCTTTTTTTTGTAGGAAAAAACTATTGCCGTTCTGAACCCGATGGGCACGGCGTCGGTGGATGTCATTTCGGATCAGGATTTGGCCGGGCCGCTTGTATTTTGCCTGTTATTCGGTAGGATTATAGGAAAATTTTGCATAGGTTTGCTTAGGAGCTGCACTGATGCTACACGGAAAGCTGCAGTTCGGCTACATCTATGGCATTGGCGGATTAGGCTGCGTCGGGATGTATGCATTGATGAATCTGATGGCTGGTGGGTTTAGTTTATACTCTTATTGTCTCTAATTGCTGAGCTCTTGCTGGCGCCTCCCCGGAGAATAGTTATTTTTTTTGCGGACAAATAGAATAAATAGAAGAGCTATTCACGTCAGACGTCTAGCCCAATCTGTAATTTTTACTTTTAGCGGAGCGGAACATCAGCTTCACCTGCACAGCTTCTGTCCTGGGATATTGCCTCTTGCCAATGGCGATCTTGAGTTTGATCACGGCGGTGCTATCATTCAAGGTACCGTTTTATAATCCATAAAAAATACTTCTTAGGGTGCCATCGGCTACTCGATCTCAGCGCTTGCTGTGCTTTGGTGCTCTGTGACAGCCTCAAAGCTGTTTGTCATTGCCTTACAAGTAGGTTTTTGACGATTCGCGTTTTACCTTCCTAGCGACGCACAATGTCCTTTTTTTCAGCTTGACCATCAACGACTCCTCGTCGCCTACCCGTGCGTCTTGCTGTACTCTGTGTTCGCTTTGTTGGCCATCTTCTAGTAACCACGGGTTGTGTTTGTGATATTTATTGCGTCGGTCTTCTCGTCTTTTTTTGGCGTGTATCGTGAAAGAGAAACAAAATAAAGGTTTATACACTTTGCGAACAATATGACATTACAATATGTTTGCAACAATATTACATCGTTACAATTGTGAATCCCAGGTTGATACCCTGTTTCTATATTCGTACCACAGAGATTGTTGTCTTGGATTTGAGTCGTCTTTCCAGGATGAATAGTCGTGGTGTGTTGCCGGAATTTTGGGAAGTTTTCCCGTCCCCAGGTTTCGTGTTCAAATTCAGCAAGGTATAATTGATTCTTTACTCTCAACTGGCTACTCCTAGTTGGGCATTCCGACTGGCGACAAGGACGATGCCGCAAAGCTCTTCATCAACGTTTGTCATTGTAATGACCTTCCGCCGCCACTTGAAGACTTGACCGAGGTTGTTGTTTCCCCTACCTCTTACAACCAATTCTAGGATGAACTCGCCACGAGAATTGATTCCGGCGACTACACGTTTCGCATTCCTTTGACTATTGGAGCGTTAGAAGAAGTGGTCGATAACAAGGGAAAGATGTCGAAGAAGGTACATTAAAATCTTTGTAGCTATTGATGTTGCGGGACTTCTTTTTTGAGGCCTTGGCTTAGACTTGGTTTTGGCTGTGCTTAGGCTGGTTCTTGGCTTAGCTTAGGCTTACCAGGAGACATTTTTTAGTGTCCATGGGTCTAAAGATGTGTCCATCCCCTTTTTTTCGGGAGAACTACCAAAAATAGGAAGCCTGAGCTAAAGGCGAAAAACCGCGAACGTTGGTAGTTTTGGGCATTTTTCACACTTTCAAGCTACGCAACTTTTCAAATAGGGCCGTTTCGCAAGTTTTGATAACAACAACGTTTGGATCAGCAAAAAATTGTATATACGCCGGACTTGCTCCCATTTTCAAACTCCGTGGTCACTAAAACGTCGCCTTGTTAGTCGAGGCATAACTTAGACTTTACCTAGACGTAGCTTAAGATTAGCTTAGGCTTGGCTTGGTTAGCTTCGGCTTCGAGACCAGCTTGGGCCGGAAAGAGCTTGAAAAAAGCTGCCCGCGCCCGAACATCCGAGCTCCAAATCTGTTTTATTGCGGATTTTCATTCGTCTGGCGGAATGTTTAGTCCGTTTTCCAGATTGACATCCTCGTCAATTCTACATTCTATGAACACCGCCTCGCTTCGAAAAACGATAAATTCTATCGCCATTATCTTTGCATGGTGATGTGCGACGCGATTAAAGACAAGGTGAATTATTTTATTCCAAGCTCAACCTGTCTCTATTTTTCAGCACGACATTCAACTAGATCCGACCAATGCGATCACGCTTGTGAATCGTGTGAAAGTGGGGATGATCGAACCGCAAAGGATTATTAAAAAACCTCAGGTATTTTTGACATAGCCCTGGAGAATTGATTGTTCAGGCGGGAACTAAAGTTAAAGAAGTCAGCGAGAAGGCAGAATCTAGCGTGGTTGTTGAATTGGATGCTTCAGACACGTTGAAACCAGATGAGAATGAGGTAAATTTACGAGGTGTTTGCTTGCAGTTACCTGATACCGTTATTTTGTTCTATGAACCTAAATGAACACTTTCAGGCCATAGAGGACAAGACGCCTGGCTGTTTTACGATAAGATGGCTCGGTGATAAACTCGAGCTGAAGTTGAAGGTTCCAGAGGAGATTACATCTGAGGAGTGGTATTATTTAGTTGCGATTCGACTACATAAAGGTTTTTAGTCTCACTCTGCGCCTCAAATCCGATCGGTTACAACTGCTGGTTCGAAATAGCCACTCATTGTTCGACTTCCGTTTCCCGGTTCGTTTTCATCGCGGCGTTGCAGCGATCTTTCCGGTTCCATCACATTTTTCTAGGTGCTCATTGACCCCAGCGTTGCTCGAAGCCACTTTGACGTCTCGAAACGAGTGGTTGTTGTTTCATCAAGATGCCTCCTGCCTTAATCCATGGAAGGTGGTGATTCGATCAGCCCGATCTCGCCAGGTATCATGTTTCTGTAACATTGATGTTTTGGAACGGTTTCTTCTTGCCCTTCCCGGCCCTCACTCTAGACTCTATGATATTTTCTTGTCTACTATGTGAATTAGATGATGACTACTGAGGATTACTTTGTCTTCTTCACAGCCTGATCCGCTTGCGTTTTCACGTTGCCATTCCCCTCGTCTAAATAAACAGTTTGAGTGTTGATTGTTGCGTTGCAGTTTTCCGGTGATAAATCTTTTCAGATGTTATAGGTGTACAGCACAATACGCAGGCGAAACTTAGAGATGCTACTCACGTCCAATTTCTGTTCAACATTCGATATTCTTTTGGTCAAATCCTGTCACATGTGTGCCTGTACGATCGCGGTTGTAGTCTCTGCTCCGGGGTGTACTTACTTAGAGGCCATAACTAGTTGTTTGTCCCCCGATCGCGATTACTACCATCGTTTTTCATTGTTTTTAGGAGGCCAACTGATTCGAGAAGTTTCGTGTTTGTAAAGCATGCGATGGACTAGATTTCTGCGCTCATCTAGCAAGTTCTCATACGCTAATCAGGTTTCTTCCACCGTCATTTGAATATTTTTAGGAAACAATTTTAAAATCCGCTGCGGATTTTGGCAGGATCATTGGATTTGAAAATTTGTCTAGCAAAGAGGCGATCAGATGTCAGTTTTCAAGAGACGAGGGATGGCATCGGTCCGTTTGGTAGCATGCGAAAATTCAATCAGAATACGAAGTCACAAATGAGCGCATTTTTAGTGCATGGATCCCTGACTTGGTACTTAGCCCGCGGAACGTTGAACATGTTTCCGCATGCTTGGCATTGTGTCATGAACGTCGGATTCCCGTTGTACCATTTGGAACCGGGACTGGTCTCGAGGGCGGCTCAGTTTCGATAATGGTAGGCGGAATTAAAGTGGCTTAGTCGTTTCAGGCTGGTGTAGTGATGGATATGCACGGCATGGATGAAGTTACGCGTGTAAATGTTGATGATTTTGACTGCTCAGTGCAACCAGGAGTCACTCGAGGAGCTCTGGACGCACATTTAAAGTCGACAGGACTCTTTTTCCCTGTCGGTCGGTGAAAAAATCTTTCTAAAGAGTCGAATGATAGATCCGGGAGCGGATGCGTCATTGTGTGGGATGGCAGCCACCGGCGCGAGCGGAACAACCACTGTGCGCTACGGCACAATGAAGGAGAATGTTATTGCCATGCAGGTGAGTGTTCAAATTGAGCCATTATCCTCAGGTTGTTCTCGCCGATGGCACCATTGTTGATACGCGGGGCAGAGGGAATCACCCAGCTAAAACAGCGGCAGGACTGAACCTTACCGAGTTGTTTGTTGGCTCAGAAGGTATTCTAGGCATTATAACAGGTATGATATCTAGATCTAGAATTACATAAGTTCAGAAGTTACACTACGACTGTATGCTCGTCCAAATGCTGTGTCTGCCGCCGTTTGTAATTTCCCCAGCATCACAGATGCCATCAAAGCTGTGGTTGAAGTCCTTCAAAACAGCGTTCCCATCGCCAGGATAGGTGAGAATGAAGTAATATAATCAATCTTTCAGAATTCCTGGACACGGCTCAAGTAATCGCGTGCAATGCTTATTCCAAGCTTACTTTGCCCGAAAAACCACACCTATTCCTTGAATTTCATGGAGCAACTGACACGGAAGTTACCAAGCAATCGGCAACAGTTGGTAAGAAATTAATGGATATTCTGATGAGGGCAATGTAACAAGGAGACATTTGTGCATCAAACAATGGCTCGGCCTTCGCCTATTCCACTGAACTCTCGCAGCGTCAACGTTTGTGGAAAGCCCGTCATAGCGCTTATTACGCGGCGTTATCTATGTGCCCGGGGAAGCGGGTGATTCAAAAAGAGTGAATAAACATGAAACTTTTTAGGGAATAAGTACTGATGTTTGTGTGCCGATTTCTAAACTTGGAGAAGTGGTGGCGGCAACTCATGAGGATCTTCAAACCCATGGCATTTTTGGTAAATAGTCCCACTAGACTAGCAGCGAGATACGTATAAATTTTAGGCCCAATCGTTGGGCATGTTGGAGATGGGAATTTCCACGTCATTCTAGCATGTCACGATAGTGATCCGGAAGAGAAGAAGAAGTTGCAGGCTTTTATAGATCGGCTGGCTTCGTATTCGAGATTACTTAACTTGTAGCTTCCTTTAGAAGAGCTATTTCTGTCGGAGGAACTTGCACAGGCGAGCACGGGATTGGTATTGGAAAGCGGCATTTGCTCGAACAAGAAGTACGCCCGTATTTTTTAACTTAAAATGCGTATTTTTAGGTAGGGCCCGGGGCTCTAAATACGATGAGGGTTATCAAAGCTGCCCTGGACCCTCATGGTATAATGAATCCCGGTAAAGTAGTGTGATCGAGTGCAGATCTTTGAAGCGGTGAAAATGTATTAATGTAAATAAAAAGGTTTTGGTTAACGTTAAGGAACAGTAGATTTCATGGAGTGTACAATCATTCGCGCGCAGCTTGCTCCTCGGCCATCTGAAAATGTTTTTCAGAAAGATCGTGTGCTTTATTTGTGAATTTGCGTATTATTAATCAATTAATTCCTAGGTATTATTGCTAAGTTGAGAGACTTTAACTATCGTTTGTCACGTACCGTATTGGGGCCTTATTTTTGCACAATTTCCCCGCTCGGTCGACGCACAAGCAATGAGCCGCCGCCCACCTACAGCCATGCTTTTATTTTAGATTGAGACGATTTCGTGGCTTTGGATTCAGCTCTGGGATTGACTGGAGTTTTTATTCGTGCAGCTTAAAATATAAATTGCAATTGAACGCTTGCGGATCAATCCCAGAATTGAAAATCTCTGTTCGTACGAGCCAGATGGTGGTTCTTTTTGAAATGGTCATCGAAATAACTCCACCAACTGCCTTTCCACGTTCACTCGTTGCTCTTGACATGCATTTTCACAGAACGGTGCAAAAGCCCTTTACTTCACGACGAACAGCCAAGAAGCCCCGAAAAAATGCGATCGGATTTTGAAAGTGGGGGACTGGGTATATGGATCAAACAATATTTATGTGCTATAAATTGAAGGGAAAAGGCCACTGTGGATACACTGATTTCCGAAAGATATCCGAAAAATAATTATATAGAAAGCCAAACTTGAAACTAAATAGTTTTCGCGCGTCGGCCCGAATTTTGTAGGTACAGCCGGAAATCACAGTACGACAATAGGAAAAATTTGGACGCTGGGCTTAGCCCTGGAAGCCGAGAGCGTTCATCAGCTTGTTTTTGAGGCCCTGTGCAGATTGGCTGGTTGTCATGCCACGGGGCGGAGCACCAGCTTGGGCAGCTGCGAGGTCTTCAGCCATCGATGGAGCTGCACCTCCCAGCGGTTCCGACTGAAATGGGCCAAAACACTTCTCGACACGTGCAACGGCCAGTCACCAAAGCTTTTTATAGGGTTATGGTTTTTGTTTTGAACAATGAGGGTTTTGTTTTTGAGGCTTTGTACTTTGCGCAGAAAAGCGTAAATAGGCGCTTACGTAGCCTTTCTCTGAGCGTAGCTTTAGGCGCTTTTTTCGCGGCCTCATTTAGGCGTCACATGCTGTGCCGAGTTTTAACATAAAGATAGCGTGTAACCTATTTGCGCAGCAGATTTTTTAACGTAACGTACCCTGAGGATTGGAAAAAGCAGATCTGGCAGTTTGGGCAGTTATGATCAGGTTTTCCCGCTTTTTTTGGGACTTTCTTGGCATGCTACAACCAACCACGAGCCCCAAATGCCCCGGGTTTCCCAACAAAAGCTCAGAAATCTTTTCAGATTCCCCGGGGCACCGAGGCAAACGCACGCACACTCACTCACACCACAAATAGGGAATTTGGAGGGGTGGAAAGTGCGCAAAAAAGTAACGCCCCGCCAAAGCCGGTTGAAAACTAGGTCTGTGCTTCTTCACTTTACAGCACTACAATTTTTGTGGTTCTGGTTCGTTACCGCGGGGGGGATCTTGGGGGAACTAAATTTCTGATATTCCCGTTCTGATACTTTTACTAGCGTTTTCCGCCTCAGTTGTTAAAAATCATTAAAACTTACCAAAAACCAGAACGTAAGAAAAATGGGCATAAACGTCCGAACCATTTTTTATTTCTAAAAATATTTTTAGAACGAATAAAGAAACAAAGAAAGGATGTGATTTCCCCCAGGGCAGCCCCCCCCGATAATGAACCAGAACCTTTTTATCCCCAATCTCTAAATGGTGCCCAGGGGTACGGTAGGATACCTCGGGACGCCGAACGCCCCCAACCTGGGCGAGCAGCGAATCGATACGGGCCTCTTGGGCCGCCTCAATTTGCTACAAACAGTTAGGGTAATACTTTAATCATTAAAGCGCACGTTCAGGGAGGGGCCGTGTACTCGTCCCAACGTGTACACCCTATGGACGTAGGGACCGCGCGCAGGGCCTGCCCGTGCTGTGACAGGCCATTCCCCTCCTTTGCGGGGTCGGGCGCCCCTCGCCCCCTCGCCAGGTTGTAGCTGTGGCTGACTGGTATCCATCCGCGCCTCCCGAGCGGGGGGCCCGAGTTCGACCCCCGGCCGCGGCAAAAATCTTTGCTTTTTTTCCAAAAAACGTACCTGAACGTGCCCTTTAAGTGGTTTTGATTATTTTCTTATTATTTTCCTAGCCTACCTGTTTCTTGGCGCGAAGGGCGACGTCTTCGAGGGTCTCGGCAGCCTCGTATTTTCCCTGACGGCGGTAGAGAGCGCCCAGATTTTTTCAGGGTCGTGGTGACAGTCGGGCTAAAGGGATAGGTTGAATATATTATTTCCAATTTATCGATTATTTTGTGCTTTTTTTACTGACCTATCAACTTTAGCCGCCTTATGCCAATTTCCGACTTCGGCGAACTGCGAGGTGCCTTTCTCTTTGTTGGCCTCACGGTCTTCAGCAATCTTAAAAGAAAATATTTACAGAAAAGCACACATTTTCCTACCTGCCAAATAGCCTTGTTGTCATCGCCGATTTTTCCAAAGTGCTTCTCGTGGGCGCGGGTCAAGATTTGTTTGTACAGTTCTTCGGCCTGGAAATTTAGAAGTAATCAACTATAATAATTTTCTTGAGGTGTCTGTCCGTCTGTCTGTCTGTGCGTCATGTCCCAGATTCAACTCGAAGGGGAAAGGAGCTAGAGCTTAGGTCTCTTCGGATTCGGATAGAGCGTGGTCAGAAACCCCCAAACTGATAAAAAAAATTATTAAAAAGTTTTAATTTAAAATATTAAAATTAACTTTGAAAGTTTTTCCTTAGTAAAAGGGGTGGGGGACGAAGGTTGGGGTGATTTTGGACATAGTGAGCCAGGCCGCGCGCGTTTCGGCGAGGGGGAGGGAGTGCAGGGGGTAGCCCGAAGTCCAGCCGCTTGCAGCGGCGAAGCCGCTGGAAGCGGCTGGTTTTTGACAATTTCCATATGCCTACTAACCTCCTTGTATTTTCCTTGTTTCAGATAGGCACTGCTGAGGTTGTTCTTGGTCTTCCCAACATTCGGATCATCGGGTCCCAGCTTGCTCTCATAGATTTCGAGGGCGCGTTTGTAGTAGCGCTCGACTTCTTCGTATTTTCCTTGGTTTTGGCAGAGGAGGGCGAGGTTGTTGAGTTGTTTGGCAACATCGGGATGGTCAGAGCCGAGCACCTGGAATAAATATGTGTTAAATTTCGTTTCTTTTTACACCCTGAGCGTGACATACGTCGAAGCGATCCGAAATAACAGGCTAATTAACAAATAAAGAACAAGCCCTTCGTTTCACCCACCTTTTCCCTAATCTCCAAAGCGCGCTTGCACAGCGGCTCGGCATCCTTGTACTTTCCGCGCTTGCCATAAAGTACGGCCAGATTGTTGAGAGTGGCCGCAACAGCCGGATGCGAATCGCCGAGGCATTTCACACGGATATCCAGCGCCTCATTCAGCAGATTAGCGGCCTCCTTGTATTTGTTCTGATCGCGATAGACCAGGGCCAGGATGTTGAGCATCGTGGCGACATCCGGGTGATCGTGTCCAGACGTACGTTCGAGATCTTCGAGGGCCTGCTTGCAGAGAGGCACGGCTACTTCATAACGTCCTTGGGATGCGTACTGGATTACCTGAAACGCAAACGTTTGTAAAATACATGAATGTTACACCAACCAGGTTGTGAAGCGTGCGGAGTCGAGCCGGGATTTCATAGCCGACATTGGCCGAAGCAGCCATCGCATGGGCTGGGGTCGGATTGTTGTATGCGCCTGAAGATGTTAATGAGAAAACGGATTTGCAGATTTGGATACACGCGATATTTGGATACACTGTATGCTCTGATTGTCTGACTCTGCCCCAAGCGGCTGTCAACCTCTGCAGGCCGTCGTTTGCCCCACGAAAAGATTATTAGGGGCTAATGCGGGCACTAACGGACCAACAAATAATTATTAATCGTTGCTAAGTTTAGTTAGGCGGTCAAATCTGCTGACACTTACTTGCATTCATCTCCTCCTCATCTTCAGGCCCGAATCCGAGCTCCTCCATGGTTTGACGAGTTTGTTGGCTGTGGTCGATCGGTTGCTCGTTCGTTTCCTTGGCGCTTTGGTTCGACTAAAATGAAAAAAAACTTATATAGCTTCATGTAAAGAATTACCTGATCCTCATCGAGATGACGAATCGAGTTCATGAAGGAGAGGTGCTTGTTCTCCTCTTCGAGTTGGGCCACACGCTGAAAAAAACAACAATAATTGATAAAAATAGAAGCTAAGAAAAAGCTAAAGGCGTGTTTTCCTTCTATTTTTACAAACCTGTTCGGAGGCTTGATGCTTCGTCTGGGTGCTGGACAGCTCGTCACGAAGCCAAGCATTCTCCTGGCAGAGACGACGGACCTGTAAAGGGACGAATAAATTTAACAATACAAAAATTTTCGAATTTAAATTCGTATGAACACTCACCTGAGCCTTGAGCTTTTGCTTCTCAGCCTCGACAGTTTGCAGGTATTGAGCGAGGTCCATCATGGTCTAAAAATAGGTACATTTTTCAGTATGAAGGACGAGAAGTCGCAATGTCTGGGAACTAGGCTCGCTATCGTACTACTACGGTAAGAGAGCAAGAAGCACTTCAATTTCCGGTTCAGTTTTTTGGGTCAGAAGTAGTTAAGGGCGCGACGAATACTATGATACAATTCCCAAACCTTGGCCTCATCAATTCCCAGCTGGAGACGCTCCAAGTTCTGCTCGACGAGGGAACATTTTTCGGTCATAAGCGTCGCCTGGTCGCCGGGAACCGCTGAAAAATGAAATTCATAATGAAAGTATTACTTATGTCCCCAATCTGTATCCAAAACTCACATTTTAGGCTCTCTTGAAGCGTGGTGTGCACAGTGGCATTCTCCTCCTTTAGCGCTTCCAGTCCCTTCAAATAAAACTGGTTGTAAAAATGCATTTGTAATTTGTTACCTGTAGGACTGTTTTGGCCCCAGAGAGAATCTCCTCTTGCGTGAGTTGGGTCATTTTCCCAATTGACTCGATTTTACGACTGAAAAATGGTGGAGGTTTATCAGCGCTGGAAGCGTTCGCTTTATATAAACGAAATTACATTACCTAGATGCTAAGTATGAGAAATATTTGTGCAGCATAGCCTGGGTGTGGGGACTTGAGTGGGGGTGTTGGGGCCCGCGGGGGCCAAATTTCGCAAGAGGGGGCCCCGGGGGTTGCGAAATCGCGCGCGCACCAAATTGGGTCCCAGGAAATCGGGTTTCGGCTGGGCTATAGCTGGGCCCTAGGGGGATTTGGTTCACAGAGTGAAGAATAGTTTGTTAGGAGGGTATTTGGGGGTCTTACGCATAAGAAACTAAATTTCAAAGAATTAGCATAACGTTGGTTTTGATGTTGATGTTTGTTAAAAACTAGGATTACAAAACCTTAATCAAGCTCTTGGCTGGCTAAAATTTTGGAGTCATTATAAAGAAGGAGGGAATTTCGCTGGGTAATCATGAGGAGACAGCTGAGTAATAGCGTTGAATCCAAAAATGGCAAATATAAATCCGTTAAAAACGGTCAACTGAGGGCGAATTCAAAGCATAGGCTTGAACTAAACTAGGGGAAAGATCTAAGTTATCTAAACGACTTAAAATCTCTATAATTTACGGCAATGCTGGAAGTTGGAGGAATCGATGTATGTCGAGGGGTGTGGGGGATGAGGGTTTCCAGGGAAATAGTGCACATTCGGTGAGAGAACAGGGCGACAGATCGATGCAGCAGCCCGCGGCTGGTGGAAGGGTTAGTCAGCTGGGATGGGAAGGGAGATGTGTACACCTGACTACAAATGACAATAGACCGCAGGCTAATTGCTGGAGGTCGTTATGGGGATGCAACATTTCAACGCTTTAAGCCTAGATAAAGCCGGGTTTTTAATTTTAAATCGGTTGCTAGGCCGGGGCGATGCAAAGCCGGCGTAAAATTCAGATCATCTTTTACGCCGATAGTTAAACCATTTTAAAGGAACTGACCAGGCAGCCAAAAGTTGGTGACTTATAGATTTCATAAAAATTTTCAAACTTACAGTCGATATGCGTTTAACGCCATCTTCATCAACTGCTAGTAGTCCTCGAAGTCGCAGGGGATATCTCGAGGTCCTGAAAGTTTTTGCGATTTTTAAAATTGTATTTTAAGACAGAATAGGAAAGCGAGGAGAGAAGAGTCGAGTGTAAGCAAGCAGCCTTGTGACTGTTTGGGAATTCTCGCCTTGGCCCCCTGGAGGGTGCTAATCCTAGTGTCTATAAGCTGGCGAGGGAGAGAAAGGAGTCTTTCAAACATGATTCTCAGAAAATAAAGATGCTCAGATGTTGCTGTTACACAAAAAAATGCCGTTTTTCCGACGAAGTTTTTTTTTTCTAAATCCAGGGTATTACGTTGTTCCCGAGTTTTTCAAAAATTCTATTTAAATATTGAGATATTTAATGATAAATATGCCAAAAATATTTATATTGTCTTAGTGATGAGTATTGTAACGATACGCAAATAGGCTAAATGAAAAATGCAACTTCTAGAAAATTACTGCTATTAAAATAGAGTGTTTATGCATATGGTTACATCTGATATCTAAATAGGCTGCAAAGCGAAATAGTACAGACAAGAATCTTGACTTTATAGATAGCGCCAGAAATATAGCTAAAGTTCAATTACTTCTAAACTCGGAGTTCCAACTATTGGACCAGAAAGCCCCAAGTGGTAAGTCGTTAAATATGGTGCCAAGTGTATCCAATAGTGGGAGTGGCGTGGATTTGGGACATTTGTGGGGGGGGGGGGCGACGTTTTGGGGGTAGTGGATAGAACGAGATTAGCCTGAGGCTACGACGAGCAGGAGGAGGAAGAGGAGGAGGAGGATGAGAAGAAGCTGTCACTCTTTCCCCCTCGCTTCCTTTTGACAAATCGCCGTTTTGGGGAGGGGGTCGGGTTGCTTTCGACTGGGGCCAAGCCACTGGGTCCCCCCTAGAGGCCATCTGATATCCCCTTGTGGGTGTTGCAAAAGATCGAATGAATTAAACGGATATGGAATTTTAATTTTGGTAAAACTTTGCGTTTTGAAAGTTGTCAATACAGGTGCCGTGCATCTTGAAGGTTGTAAGTAGGCCTCAGTCCGAGGGACCTCGGCCGAGCATCGTGAAAAATGGCCTAAAAATTATTCAATCAGCTAAACCTGTCAACTAAAAAATTTCAATCAACTAAAAAATGTATCCATTAATTCAAAGAAAAAACGAAAATATACAATTAGAGCTCGGATTAATCTTTCTTTGAAATATTTCCGACGCCCGATCGGACGCCCAAAAAATATCGAAAATGTCGATAAGGAGCTTAGCGACGCAAGTTTCAAATTTGATTTGTGTTTTTACTATAGCTATTTTATATTAACTTAATTTCAGTTGTATTCAAAAATTTCATATATGATTTTGGAGGGTTGATCGATTGGCTCGGCTTTATCTAAACGAAAAACCGGAAAAAGCTCCCGAAAAGCGGGAATTTACATAGTTTTTGATGAAGTTACCCTGAAGGTATCAAGAAAAATATAAATAGGTGTAAAATATCCGTTTTTTTTCAAAGCCAGTAAATGCCATAAATCCGCGAGCAACCACATAATCACAAGAGCCCCATTCCAGTCATTCGGCAATGTGCCTGCCACGGACCCAAAAAGAGCGGCAAAAGGAATGGAATGGAATGGCCCATCCTCTGCCCCGTTTTCCGCCAATTTTACGAGGCTCCTTTGCGGGACCCTGAAGCCTAATTGCATGAAGACGAGGACGAAGAACATCGATTTCGGAACGAGTGAGTGTTCTGGATGCTCTCCAAAATGGCAGCGGGTAGGAAGAGTTTAAAGGGAGGGTGACATATACCAAAAAGGAGTGATGCCATAATCAAAAAACTGCCATTTTCAAGGAAACGCATCATGAATATCGCCTTGCCATTTATGTTTTCCTAAATTTTCGAAGCTACACCTGACAACCCTTGAACCCTACCGCCGTTCCCACTCGAGTTCACCGATCTCAAGAAAATAACACAACCACACCATAACCCTCAAGTTACCCAACTTTTTAATAACGCATTCTTTACCGTTCCGCAAATATAAGTGTCAGAAGACGAAAGACTCAATTCATACTCTACCTACCGTCTCCCCCTTCTCTCTATTTGCTGTTTGTTTCTTGTTCGTTTTTGTGATCAAAATCATCGAAGTAACCACCGCCCCGTTCCGACAGAGGTAAGTGATGTTTGCTCGATTCTCTCAAACTCTACCTACCTCCCCACCTTCCCTCATTTACATTTTTCGACCCGCCTGGCCCTTTGATCGAAATGTTTTTATGTTTGTATTTTATAGGAAATAAAGTTCCAAGCCTTGCGAGTTCCTATTTCTCGAATTCGATATAATGAAATGCCCTCCAGTAAATGCCAACTGCCGTGAGAATGTTTGCGTGACTGAAAAGTTGAATTTGTCCCTCCCCCCCCCCCGTGCAAAAAGCTTGCGATTAGTGAAAGCGTGGGGAACTGACGATTCAAACTAGCTTTTCAAGTTATGGTTTCTGAATTTGCGGAGGTATCGATGCAAAAATTTCAAAAGATTGAATTGGGTTTTACGAGTATTTTACGATATGTCGTTTGATAAGTTACGCGGCATTTTTCGATTTATAGGGCAGTCTGATAAAGATTTTTGTAGGGAAGAGCAAGTAAAAAACTCGCGAAATGCATTCCCCATGCCTAAAGTTCCTCAAAGCTTTTAAATATAATGTTTATCAATTTTTTAGATGCTTAGCTTCTTTCTATGGCAATTATTATTAATTCCATCGGCGAATTCACTCTACAATTGTGCCGAGGAAAATTCAGTTTGTTCTTTTACTTAGTTTCTAATTTGACATAGACATTATTCGATTTTGGGCCCAATTTTTTGTGGAGTACCGCCACTTCGGCGTATCAAATCGAAGGTGGAGCTAGAGAGGATGGGAAAGGGCTATCAATTTGGGATAGTTATACGAGGATACCGGGGAAGGTGAGCGTTTAATGGAAATCGCCATATTTTGACGGTAGCAATATCAGTGAGGTTATGAATGTGTATGGGTGCATAGCGTAGCGTCTTGCCAAATACTCTTAGAACCCGACACGTAGATGACAAGATCGAAAAATCTATTTAATTATTTAAATAATACTTTTTTTAAGGTATCTGATAATACTACCGGCGATGTGGCCTGCGACAGCTATCACAAATGGGAATCCGATCTGATGATGCTAAAAGATCTTGGAGTGAAATCATATCGCTTCTCAATAGCCTGGACACGTATTCTGCCTACCGGAACGATCGAAAGCCGGAATCAAGCCGGGATCGACTATTATCACAAACTAATTGACGGTCTAAATGACCTTGGCATACAGCCCGTGGTAAGTTTCAGTTTTAAAGGGAATGTGACGTTTGGTTCAGGTGACCATGTACCATTGGGATCTGCCACAATCGTTAATGGATAAGGGCGGTTGGCTAAATCCCAAGGTTCAAATAAAAACTAGCGGAAAATAACAATTTTTAGATCAGCGATTGGTTCGCAGCGTATGCTGTGATTCTATTTAGCGAATATGGTTCTAAGGTAACTGTCAATGTTATTTCGAATTTCAAATATTCAATAGGTCAAATACTGGATTACCATTAACGAAGCAAAATCAGAGACGCTATATGCTTACTGTGGAACTATTGCTGAACATGCACCTGGAGGATTCTTTGATCATTGCAAATGGGCGCCGTATGATGTCTATTAATCCGTAGTAACCAAGCTTTAGATACCAAGCTGGACATAACCTGATTTTAGCCCACGCAAAAGCTTATCGAGCTTTCCAGGTGTGCTTGAAATGCCGAGCCTATGAAGGTAATCCGGATAGAAATATGGCTCTAACGCAATTTAGCAAAACTCGGAATGACGAATGTGAATGGGTGGACACTGCCGGGTGATGGAGTAGACCAATCCGTTGCTGATCGAATAAACGAGATGCAGAACTATTGGTTTATACACCCGTTCTTTTACGGTAGGGTAACTAGCGGGGATTCTTTACGAAGTTGTCCTTTGTAGGGGATTATCCACCATTGATGCGAGAACAAATCGATATGCTGTCCCGCCAAGAAAATCGCACAGTTAGCCGGCTTCCTCGATTTACGGAATTAGAAAAACTGTTGATAAAAGGTGGGAGAGAGAGTGAGAGAGAGAGAGGGAGAGAGAGAGAGTGAGAGAGCGAAAGAGAGAGCGGGAGGGAGCCAGAGAGAAAAGAAAAGTGGGGAGAGTGAGAGAGGCAGAAGGACAGAAAGAAAGATAACGAGAGAGCGAAACAGAGACAGAGAGCTCGAGAGAGTGAGAGAGAATGAGAGAGCGAAAGAGAGACAAAGAGCGAGAGAGAAAGAGAGAGAGAGAGAGAGAGAGAGAGAGAGAGAGATCGAAACAAAATCGTCCTAGGTGCCATCGACTTCTTCGGCGTCAATTACTACATCACCCTCGTTGCCAAACCGTACACGGTAATTTTTGGCCATTTTAACTAACTCGGCCAGCAATATGGGAAAATACTGAATATTCAGACATATTCAACCGCCAAGAATTGGTACAATTTTGATTGTATGGCCGCTGGGACGTACTTGCCAGAAGATGTAGCTCCGCGGTGAGCTTCAGAAAATTTCAGAGAATCTCTTGATTTTAGGGTGCCAGGAGGCTGGGTTGGGAATTATGCCGAAGGGCTACGAGCCTCCTTGGTTGATGTAGGTTTACTTAGAAATTTTAAGTTTGGAATATAATTTTATCAATTTCTGACATGGAATAGTGTACTTATTGACCCGTTTCAGCTCTATCGACGTTACAAAAAGCCAATATTAATTACTGAAAATGGTGCAATGGATTCACAGGTTGGTTTTTTAAAATTTCGGAAATGATATCTGAACGTTTAGCCGACTGCTGGCGTCTATCCGGAAGGCAGAAATGATGTCTATCGTATAAATTATCTGAAAGAGCATGTAACCGCTGTAGCTAAAGGTAATTTGACGAATCTTTTATCGAATATAAAACATCAAATTATGTTTTTAGCCATGAAAGAAGACGATGTTGATATCATGGGTTATACGGTTTGGTCGTTGATGGATAACTTTGAGTGGACCTCTGGGTTTGGCACAAAATTTGGAATATATCACGTAAGACAAGCTAAATTATTAAATTACCTGCCAGGTGGATTTCAATTCGACGGAATTAACGCGGACGCCCAAACAATCAGCCATCTGGTATCAGAATTTAATTCAGCAAAACCAAATTGCTATCTGTTAACGTGTAAGGGTGTGATCTAGGCGCCCATTTTCCGCTGTGATACTTGTAGAAACCAATGAAATTTTGAGCATAAAAATTTTTTACAAACATACAAAATTTATTAATTATTGCACAAAGTATTGAGGTCTTTGAGTAGGATGATTTTCGAAGATTTGATGAGATGATGGAAAATACAAAATATCGTTAGTTCAGCAGCCCAGCACCCGGATGTTATCGATGAGCAGGCGGCTGTATTTACGCCACTGGATTGCTTTGAAGAAAATCTGAAGTTATCTTTTTTAAAGGGGTTTGTAAGGCTGGACTCACTCGGCGAGAACCTTCCGGTACAACGACAGCTTCATCAATTCGCCAGGTTGTCTCGTCTTTGAAGGGTGACAGTTTATAGGGGCAGTAGTTTGGAGTGTCGAAGCAAAGCTTAAAAGCATCGAATTTTGAAATATAGAAAAATAGTAATTTTTTTTAATTTAGATCCTACTTACGCATGGGGGTTCGTATGATACCAGAGTGGACGTTTTTTGAACCCCGATATAAAGTTTAGTTTCCGTTAAAATACCTGCAAAGTAATATCATCCGTCTGCCGCTTCACGTCGTACAACAGCGTCAAGTTCGTCATAGCAAAAATTTCGGGACTTTCCAGAATGAATGTCTTCTGACGGTACAGTGGTGAGGGCGTCGTGTCCGAACCGGCATATGCGATTCCGGCTATAATAAACCCTTAAAATCGTTTTCCTATACCAACCGTCATCCCCGATTTCAGCCTCATTACGTTCGAGAGAGGCTAGATGCCGATTGTAGCCCTTGTGCCTCCATTCACCATATCTAAAAGTTTTAGTCTCGTTTGTTTCTGTTTATATACTCACTTCACTCCATCCCCCAAATTCCGCCATCCACAGAAGTTCCGTTCAAAACTGCAGCGCAACGTCTCGCACGCGTTATTCTAATCAAAACGGAATCAAACATTAGTAAGCAACCCCTACCGAAGTCCCTTGTTTTTTCAAGGATTTTGTCTGAGAACGAACTTTTGGCAATGTCCTGGAAATTTCGGATTTTTGGGTAGTAGAAAAGCTCACGTTGATAACATCTCTTCTTCCTCAAAAAATTCGTCGGAAAGTGAACCGATTTCTGCGTTCATCGCGGCCTGCATCTTTTCATTGTGCTTAAAAGGGAGCTAAAAACAGTTTCGATAGATACAATTTCGATGTCTTCCTTCGAGTTCAAGCGGTTGGGGCGCTTTGGGATCTTTGGTTGAGAGCGCCGGATTTCCGAAGAGGGTGCTTGATGTTCCTATAAAATGCAATTAGCGATGATTAAGAAATTAATGGTTAGTTTAGTGGAGCTACCGGGAGGTTTTCTAACGGCTTAGCTTACCTCAGATTCAAAAAATTGTTCGCCGCTATCAACGATGGCGTCCACCTGATAAAATAAACAAAATTTATTAAAAAACATACCTTTGGCTGACAAAAATCGGCGCGATAATCCAAGTTATCGATCGCGAAAATCGATGGATTTGTCAGCTCGGTAGCTTCGATCTCCAGATCAAAAGTTGAGCTCTAAAATTGCTTAAACGTACGATTTTCTTTGAGAAACGCTTACCTGTGCCCCTGGCCGTATGGGATTGATGACCGCGACGATGACGCTCGACTGATTGGTGTGCACGAAGGGCTGTAAAATATCAATATCAATACTCACAACATAATCAAATATATCACCTGAGTACAGCTCCGCATGTGGTCGTCCGCCGTACAAACGCGGACTTGTCCTTCCGGCGGGTAAAGCCAGAAGCTCAATTTCAACACACCGTCTCCCTAAAATGTATGTTTTTATTTCCGAGTTAACTACCTTTTGGCAGGGGATTTGGGTAGAAATAAACAATGACTCGCCCTTTCGCAAGCCTTGTGGCGAGACTGCGTAGAGGAATTCACCCTGAAAAGGAGCATAAAGTTTGTCCATCGCGTTATTCGCCTTCACTAACCCCTCAAAAAGGAACAAACCTCTGGACTATCGGAACCGAGCTTCGAGGTAAATTCGGAAAATGAGGCATATGCCGAAGGCATCGGCAAGCGGCCAACCGCAAATCCATCCGACACAGGGGCAAAGCTAAATTGGAATTTACCAAGTTGTTTTTATAATTTTTGCCATACCGGCATTCACTCCCCGCTTCGAAGCCACATTTCCAAGCATTTTGGCCCCGGCTGGGGAGGGATGTCTCTTGAATACAAGCCTCAAATTCACCGAGGGATTTTATCTAAATCCTTTTATTTAAATTTGTGGGATTTCCTACCTCTTCGCAGCTTCGAATCGCCGCAGCCGCGACTTCACTCTGGAGGGAGTTTGAATTACCTGAAGAAAATGCATGCTTTTGGAATTCTAGAGCCAATAAAATGGCACCTTGCGGTATTTGTGCTAATAATGTTTCGTTTCAAGTTGAATAGCATTGTATTCACTGTAACGAAATCTCGTCATAGCTAACCTCCAGGTGGTGGCAGATTCTCTAATGGAGCAGCAGCTTGCCCTGAGGGTGCGAGTGGGGCCGAAAGGGCTCTAGAAAGCGGCTCCTAAAGAAGATCAAAGAATGATGTAACCCTAAATCTACTCTACCAATTGGCCTTGTTGAGGTGGCGGCGGTTCTTTGTATCCAGGATATGGTTCCCAGCTGGCCTGCTGTAAATTAGAGATTAGTAGCTGTAAAAGATGGATCGGCCTACCGTATAGGACGCAACGCCCTGGTCTTGTTGCTGGTAACCCGCCGAGCTGGCCGTATCTTGTGAAAAGGCGGCTTGCGGTAGGGGTGGTTGGCAGGAAAGGGCTCAAAATAGTTAACGTAAATCCCCCGTAATAAATGCACCCCTAGATAATCAGCTTCGCCCTTCCGGGGTGTCCAAATAAAGAGGTCTATTATTGCTATTGGTCGGTCGGACGGTATTCGGCAAGATAAAAGCAGCAGCTAGCCTGATTTTGGTATACTATGCCTCCTTTATTAAAAGCCCTTACACTATTAGTCAGCTAGCTCCGAAACGCGCCATCCCCGAGCCGAAGGCCTATTCGAGCAAGGGCGTTAAAAAGACAATTCCTTACCTGTGGCCCAAAGGCCCAGCACGGTCCAGAAGATCATGAACCCCGTAAAAAAGGGATGGGCTATAGTGCCTCGTTAAGCTTGTGGATTCTGGCTATAGGAAAGGCGTGTAGTGGCGTTTGCAGGAGACCCACGACGAGGAGAATCCGGAACAACCATCAAAGCCAGCTCCACACCCACCAAGGGGGGGCAATAATCCGAGGATCAGTGGAGGAGGGAGGGGCTTGGATTTTGGGGCCGCAATAGTGAAAGTAGGCCATCCGGTACTCTTTGCCTCTTTTGCCTTCCATCCTTCACCACATCGTCAACTACCGATGGGAGCCAAAGGATTTCAAGCGCAAACTAGTTTTCACGACGGATTACCAAAGAAACGTTGCCCGGCTTCTTCAACGGTCGGCCGAGGAATGCCTCGGAATTTAAAGTTTTGCCTAACCGCCAAGTGCCTAGATGGTTTTCCACAGAACCTAAAGTGGCTCTGGGTCCCGCCGCTGGCTCATCTCGATCGTTTTTCTTTGTGTCACAAAGCCATGAAACTGTGGAGTCTGAAGAATTACGAACCAAGCATGATACAAGCAACGCAAATAATGTCTCTGCCCCTCACCTCATCAGCCGCGGAAAACCATACTGAATCAAGGCCAAAATCTTGCCCAAATAATCCGTAGATCGCACAACGCATCTGGTATTAAACAGTAAGCAATGATTTTTTAGAATGTTTATCGCACACAATGTACAAAAGCCCAAATCCAAAGATATAAACAAGCCAAAAAATATAAATCATTTACAGAAACAGAAATACGTTAAATTTGATGTTGTAGATGTGCTTGCTGGGCGTGCCGTTGTAGAAGAAGAACTCGCGCGAGGGGTCGTTTGACTGGAACCTCCTTCACGATGGGTTCAGAGCAATCTGGAAATGAAAACAATAATGAATATCAGTTGCTGCGATAAGCGTAAAACGCGGCTTGAAACAGCCACTTTGCCACGAAAAAGTCCTCAACCGAGCAAAACAGCTTATTTGGAAATTACACAAAGGGGAAAAGGAATTTCTGAACTGTACTTTACAGCCCCGTATCAAAGAGTAAGATAACCAACCGGCAGAATGGCTTCCAGAATATCCATTGCTTGGCTGAGCTCATCGACGCTTGGCTCGTCGACGAGGGTGATACGCAGAGCCGGCACTCTGAACAATGGTTAGTAAGCCTTCGATAAAAACTGACCGCTCGTTTACAATTGAGATGATCTCACGGACACGCGCGCGAATCATCGTCACGATGAGCTCGTCGGAAATCATCTTCTGAAAATACAATCATTGAAATGAGATCACAGCTGGAAGAGGAGAAATGAGAAAGAACAAAACCGTTCAAAAACAAGCAAAGACAAGTTTAAAAATCTTTCAGATCTTTCAGAAGACTAATTAGTTAGTAGGAAACTACAGGACAATCCACCGAACCTGAAAATACGTGGGTGTCCGATTTACGAACGCACAGTTTTCCGGGCGATTTTCATTTTTGGGCAAACCATATTCAGCGCCCTTTCGCGCCCCTACAGGTACACTTACTGCAAATCTTCCCCCTGTATTTCTCATATAAATAACGCCCTTTGATCTTAGCCTAACGAGATTCTTCGGGAGCGTTACATACCACTTTTCAATCTCCGAACTACCACTTTTCACAAAGTCGCCCACAAAAACCGCCGTGGTTTTGGTATCGTCTTTCAGTTTTCTTAGTGCTTGGTATCATTAGAATCGCCGTATTCCATTCTATCACATTCGAACAAGATTTTTTTATGCTTCGCCGTAGTTTTAAAGTTATAAGGCTTGAAAGTTTCGATCCATACATTTTTGAATAGAGAGGAGTGTGGCGTTGCTTAGGACCCTCTTTCCGCTAATTTTGCGTGTACGGGTTGCTCCATTTTTGGTAGTTCTGTTTGGCTTTTTTCACGCAAATCTAAATTCAGTTGTTGCCTTCGGATACCGGCTCTAATATAAGGTTCCCTGCGATAGGGTCTCTCAAAATAGCCGACTTTTTGTACCTTTTTGTTTGATCTGATAAGTTCAAAACGGTCTCCACTGAACAATGCATTTTTTTCTCGTGTTCCGCTTATTTTGCCCGTGCGCCGCTGAGCTACCGTATTTTGCCGTTTAAATTCTCCTTCCTTTGATTAAGCGCGTTTTGCCGGCTTTTTAAGTCCCTCTTCCTGCTAGTTTCCCGGTTCCTCTTTGAACGGATTTATGTTTCGCTTTTGTCACTTTTTTATGAGTCTTTTTCAGCGTTCGAGATGGGCAAGGAGAAGATTCATATCAACATCGTCAACATCGGCCAAGTCGGCTCCGGCAAGGCTACCGCCACCGTCCATTTGATCTACAAATGCGGCGGTATCGACAAGCCCACCAACGAGAAGTTGAGGCCCCGGGCCATCGTGATTTCATCAAGAACATGATCACTGGTAAGTTTAATTCTATCTTACCAGAATGTTCTCAATCTAGGTACGTCGCAGGCTGATTGAGCCGTGCTCGTCGTCGTTTCCGGCACTGGAGAATTCAAGGTTGGAATTTCCAAGAACGGCCAAGCCCGCGAGCACGCTCTGCTGGCCCAAACCCTTGGTGTCAAGCAGCTCATCGTTGCTTGCAAAAAGATGGACTCTACCGAGCCTCCCTTCTCCGAGGCTCGTTTCATCGAGATCACGCCTGAGGTAGATTTTTAAATGGCTGTTCTTTGTACACGTTTCTAGGTTTGCAACTTCATCACGAAGATGAGATCGGCTACAACCCCGACACTGTTCCCTTCGTCCCAAAGGCGGGCAACGCCAGCGGCAACACCCACCGGGCAACTCCAACAGCCCCCCGCCCCGCCCTGGCAAGGCCCTCCGCCTGCCTCTTCAGGATGTGTACAAGATTGGCGATATCGGAACCTTGCCGGTCGGCCGTGTCGAGACTGGCATCATCAAGCCCGGCATGGTTGTCACCTTCGCTCCCCAGAACGTCACCACTGAGGTATCCGAACATCTTATTCTGACCCTTTTGTTAGGTGAAATCCGTTGAAATGCACCACGAATCTCTCCCTGAGGCCGTCTCCGGTGACAACGTCGGATTCAACGTCAAGAACGTTTCCGTCAAGGACTCCGCTGGATACTGCCATGTACTCGATTGCCATAAGGCCCACATTGCTTGCAAGTTCGCCGAGCTGAAGGAGAAGGTCGACCGACGAACCGGAAAGAAGGTCGAGCACAACCCGAAGGCCCTCAATAACGGAGATGCCGGAATCGTCGAGCTCCACCCCACCAAGCCCCTTTGCGTTGAGGCATTCACCGACTACTCTCCCCTTGGCCGTTTCGCCGTGCGTGACATGAGGCAAACGGTCGCTGTCGGAGTTATCAAGAGCGTCGACAAGTCCGATGGCGCTGGAGGCAAGGTTACCAAGGCTGCTCAGAAGGCTGGTGGCGCTGCTGGCAAGAAGAAATAATAATTTGTTACGTTGTTGCATTTTGAATAAACTTTTTAATGTGGAAACCATAATTCAAAACGGTTTGAGTGCCTTGATCAGCTCAATAGGCAATGCTAGTAGTTGTAGTTTTACACGCTGACCACCGGGAAGAGGGCGCTGCAGCACTATCACGCTGTTCGTCTTTGAAGGATATTTAGGGGCTCATGCGATAAACTTGTTGCTTTAGTCACCGACCCCGCTTACCCGTGGCACCGATCCTAACACATTTTTCGATGATTCGAAGCCGGGTAATTACGAACCCGAGGAGCCGGAAAAGGCGACGAATGATCGAGGTATGACCCGATTTCCCTCTGGATTTTGCTGTTTAGGTGAGCGGGGACAGCCGGCTTATCCCAAGGATGACGATGAGCGCGGACAGTCGCAGAAGGCAATGAGTGAATATGGTTTCAATACAGTCATTCCGATGGGATTCGAATGGATCGCACGATCGGAGGCCGGACGAGTAAGAAAAGTGTTTCTGATGCCATCTTTTTATAGATGCCGTCACTGGCATTATCCCTCGGATCTGCCGACGACATCGGTGGTGATTGTCTTTGAATGGCGGTCTCCCCTATTACGCACTGTGCATACCGTCGTGCTACGTTCTCTACGTTCTTGTTGAAGCAGGTTGTCATGGTGGACGATTTCTCGGACAAACGTATACTTTCTTCGTATGATGATGCCTTTTTAGCGCATTTGGGCAAAAAGCTCGAAGATTATCTTCTACGGGAATTCAAGGACAAGGTGGAAGTGACATTGGTTCGCAACAATGAGCACGAAAGCCTGATCAGGTAAGCCGCTGGCCGTTTCGGGACGCTTTTCTTTAGGGCTCGTACAATTGGGGCTCGACACGCAACGGCTGACGTGGTGATGGCATTGGCATGAACCCGTGGAAATACCGCAGCGTCTAAGGCAGCCCTGACAGTTTGTTTAGGTATCCGCGTTTCTCTTTTTTTTGGAGTTTTTCGAGTGGGGGTCTGCTCTACAAAAAAAACCGAGATCTCTGACGAAGAACGAACTGGCCACGTCTAGTCGAAGAAACCATTTCGGTAATAAAAAGGAGCGTTTTTGCGCCACAATATAGTTTCCGTACGGCACCTGGACAGGATTTTGCGCTGATTCCGGACCATTTTCTAAATCTTCGAAAGCATCAGAGTCAAAAAGTTACGAAGGTTTTTGATTGTTAAAAAGGCCCAAAATGACGCCGTTTTCGCTAGCAAATTTTTCTTTTTTGCGCTTTAAAAACATCCTAACTTTTTCAATCTATCGTTTCGCAGTTTTTGAAAACAGGTTCGGAATCAGCGCAAAATTCCGGAAACTCGGTTGTCCACTGAAAACCGAGTTGCCTTACGGGAACTCGGTTGTCACAAAAACGTCTCCTTGTTCTCCCTCCCTCTCCCTCTTTTCGGTCTTCGACTCCCACCAAAGGGCTCTCTGCTATTGATCACGAACGGTTTAGACTTTAAAGAACTTCAATACTACAAGCCCGGCACTCAGATTTGGGGAAGCGAGCCGTATGAACTGTCTTTTAAGCTAAATTAGCTTTTCATATTATTTTATAAATAGACCCTATGTGGGAGAATACGGAGGCGGAATTTGGTATGACTATAGATCAATCCCCCTTTTTTATAATTTAGTTTACTGCCCCTCATGAGTTTCAGGCATTGGATGTTGGGAGTAGGTTCGGAGCTTGAGCGCTACAAAGGAAGCTCAGTTTCAACTGGCACCCAACAAATCCATTAGCCGTTTTCCCGGTGCTTTAGTTGCTGTTTCGCTCATCACTTGCATAGATTCCTTCTCGGGCATCATTAGCTTGAAAAATTTCGACCATAGTTTTCTGAATAGTTTCCTACGGGACCTCTTTAGCGACATTCGGGTTTGAATAGCTGTTAGCCCCTATTACAGGTCTTGGGCATGTAAAGCACTTCTGGAGCTTCGACGCTATAAAAAAAAGCTCCGTTTTAACCTAGGTACCTGATCAAATTGGTCAAATTTTCGCTTGGCTGAGGTCATTGTGCAGCTTCGCTTTTTGTACCTCGGTGCCGGGCAGGCGCGTAGAAGGGGGGGCAGCGGGGGCAGGCTGCCCCCCCCCGAAATCGGGCGGGCCCGAAAAAAACATAAGGGTCCCCCCTTATGATTTTTTCATCTTGAAAATTTTTTCGCTTGCGGCGCTGTTTTTATTACTTTTGGTACTAGTATACTTTGGGGGGCCAAAAAATTTTTTCGGCCAAAATTTCTCATTTTGCACTATTTTGTTCAGTTTTTCATGCTGAATCGAATGCACATGTTACCAGATTTTTTATTATTGCAACAACATAAGAATTAGGCAACAATAACAATTACTAGCAGGGGTGGATCTCCTTTACGTGCGACCAAAAGTTAAAGAATGGATCGTATGCTTAGGATTAGGCTTAGGCTTAAGCTTTGACCTAGGCTTAGGCTCAAGCTTAGGCTCAGGCTTAGGCTTATCTGCGGCTTTTGCAACGGTATACTACTGAAAAACTATTGAAATTACTTGTAATATAAATAGTTAATTATTACTAGAAAACATGATCTAAAAAATCTGGAAACACTTTCATTGGATTCAGCACGAAAAACTGAACAAAATAATCGAAAATGAGAAATTTTGGTCGAAAAATTTTTTTGGCCCCCCCAAAGTATACTAGTACCTTACTTTTTATTAATTTTTTTTTGCCTGCGGCGCTGCTATTTTAGCAAAATTTTTCGCCTGCGGCGCTTAAATTTCGAAAAAATTTTCTTGCTGCCCCCTCCGAAATGTCGCTGCCCCCCGAAACTTGGGGCCAGCTACGCCCCTGGTGCCGGGGCTTTTTTCCCCTATCCGTCCTCTCCCATAGGACGGATCCGCTAACGCGCTTGCATTCTTCGTCTCGACCGCTTACTAGGATGACATTGTCTTTTATGTGACTGCACCTAGTTCTCCCCCATGGTCTTTATATGCGAAATACGCAAGTGGGGAATCGGATTTGGCTGCGTAATAAACGCGAATTTCAGGCATTATTTTGACATACGGTGGGGACCAGTATATACATGGTCGAAGTCAATCGGAGGTTGGGTAATTTAACAAAAAAATTTATTGTTCTGCGCAGCTAGCCTCCCATGACAAACGTTGATACGTAGCAAAAAATACGGTGTTTTAGATTCTACCCGCTAATTCGCGTTTTTCCTTTCATAAATAAGTCCTAATTAACATTTTTGGATGGACCGTTTTCTACAAACTCCTCTTTTCGTTTCTAAAAATTTGTAGAGTTGCTGTTTGGAATAAAATTTGGACAAAATCACGAAAAGTCCCGAAAATCGGAAAATTCGTCCACAACCCGATTTTTCCGACTACGGTGTCGCACAAACTTCACGGCGTCCTCCTCAGCCTCCTCATCTGCTTCCATTTTTCCGCATTTTGGTGTGTGGCGGCAGAAACCTGGGATCTATCGCTTTTCCTCTATTCCTTCAGTTTTTTCGTTTCTAACATCCAGTTTTCAGGTAAAATGGTCGAAACGCGACCAGTGCGAAAGATGTTGACAGCGCAGAAATCGTCAAGCAGATCGCCCATTTCTTGAAGAAGAGCGGCAAGGTCCAGCTCCCAGCAAATGCGGACCTTCTCAAGCTCGGCCAGTTCAAGGAACTTGCTCCCATCGACCCTGACTGGTTTTACATCCGATGCGCGGCCATTGCCCGACGACTCCACTCGCGCCCCACAGGTATCTTTGCATTCCCGCCTATTTACTCGTGTATTTTAGGCGTTGGCGGTCTGCGCAAAATCTACGGAGGCAAGCTGCGCCGTGGCGTCGGCCCCAACCACTGGGTTGCGGGATGCGGATCCGTATGCAGGCGCGCCCTCCAGACGCTCGAGAAACTGAAGTGGGTCGAGAAGAAGGGAGATGGCAAGGGACGCATCCTTTCGAAGCAAGGTCGTAAGGACCTCGACAGAATCGCATCTGATGTGCGTTCCAAGGCCCTCCCCGTCGAATCCCTTTGAATTGTTATTTTTTTGTTCACTGATAAATCGTTAATTCTGATATATTTATTTCGGCAACGCTGGATAATTAACGCAACAAACAATACATCATTTACGAATGTTCTTCCGCAATTCCTTCTCTTTTTCGAATTGCCTTTGATCCGCATCGTTGAGAAACTGCATTTTCTTCAAGTACCCATCTCGACCCTTATTGAACGTCTCGAGCTCTTCCTGTAGCAGCGCTTTAGAATAGTTTGAAAGCCTTACCGTTAGATTCTTTTCCTTTTTGAAAGCATTCCAGTCTAGTGAAGTTTTATCGAGAGCAGACATTTTCTTCTTTTTCGTCAGAACTTCAAGTACGACTCCCATATCAGTAGTCCTCCTAAAGGAAATACGAGAGGATTTAGACAAAGGAACCTTTTTGGTGGTTGGCTTTTCGCTTTTTCTTCTTTAGCTTTGATCTTCTCGTACTCTTGTTCGGTGACCTCTCGTTCGAGCCTGCGGAAGTTAGAGCGGGTGCAAAGAAATTTACCGAACTTCCTCTCCGGCGTAATCGTAGACTTCAGTAATAAGTGTGGTATTCGCTTTCACTTTGTCCACAGCCGACACGACTTTGTTCTCCACAGAAGGTTTCGTTGTCGGTGGTCTCGACGTGGAACTCGATGGAGCGGTGATTCCGAAAAGGTCATCAAGGAAATCCGCCGAGCAATCCTCAGCTGTGACGCTCTTTTCTTCCACAGTTTTGGGGGCAATAGCACTAAAAAGATATCGAAACCGAGCCGAAACAAACCTTTTTGGCTTGTTTCTCTGTCCGCGTCCTCCTTGGATTCCGCTTTGCTCAAGCGGTGCTTCTTCTTCGCCCGACTCGTAATTGATGTCATCTGAAAATATACAATTTTTCATTCAATATTACCTTCTTCTTTCTCGGGTACATAGTCCTCGTCCTCTTCTGACTTGTAGCCGTCGTTTATTTCGCAAGAGCTCATCTAAATTGTATGGTTAACAGCGAAAATCACTTTTTGATTGAATGAAATTGACTGCATGGGAAATTGTAAGTGGGCACATTGTGGGATGGGCGGGATTTGGGAGGACGGGTCTTGTGTGGAGGGGGCAGAGAAACGAATAAATCGCGTAAGCAGTTTTTTTCATAAACAATTTTCCCAGGTATTTCAGAGTTAATTTTTACGTTATGGATAACGTTCAGTTTCTAGATGTCGCAAAACTTCGACCTTGTCAAGTACAAGGAGAAGCGTCCGGGTACGGGCAGCCTGGGAACACCAATCGAGCTCACGACAAACTTGTTCAAGATGATTTGCCCTCAAGATAACATCAATCAAAAGGTTTTCCCAATCGATTATTCCCGAAAAATATTTAGTTTCCAAAATACCTCGTGGGACTGAGCACACAAAAGAAGGCAGGATTAGAGCCGATCAAAACGAGGTGAGGCGTTGCAGAGGTCATCTTGCTTATCCATACATTTAGGGAAGGCCGCCGACGCGCGTTTTGGTTTATTGTTGCCAGGAATTTGGATACTTTCATAAAGTTACAAAACGTGGTAGCTCTTGCTTTTTTTGCGAAATCTCTTTAAGATTTACGACGATTTTATCAATTGCTGGGCTTATAATGGAATTCGGCCGCCGCCCGAAGTAGAAATTCGCTTCCGCGAATGGAGATTGAAAGAACAAATGCCTGATTCATTATTGAGACCCGAGAAACCAGGACAAGGCGACCGAAACGTATGCGTTCAGTGGGTGCATTATTTGTGTTTAGGAGACTGTTGTGATGGACATCAAAGAGGCCACCGATGTCTGTCGGGATACGAGCATCGGTGTCCAGACCGGACCTTGGGACGAAGTCCGAGCCGGCGAGGCCATGCAGCTCGTTAAAGCGCTACTTCTCCAAAAGGTTGCTCAACATGGTCTTTTTTAAATGCTTTTTTATAGCATCGATTCGTGCCTGACGTCTGCGAATGGGAGTGGGACGTAAATCATCCAAGTACGCCCAAAGAGACCTCCGATTTTTGCACATTGCTAAGGTGCGTCCCAAAGACCCTATACATGACAAATTGTAGGGAGCTTGGTGAATTGTTCTACGCACATCAAAATTCAATCTACCGCGTTCCAAAGAATCCCACCACGTATCCCGGCTTTGACGCAATTGTGAGCTTTGCGAAAGGCTTTCTAACTGATAGTTAGATCACCCCGGGAACACATGCATGGATTGGCACCTATCATTCGCTCAAGTATATTGAGGGATATCAACCCGTCGTCAATTTTGGCTGTAAGGTAGTATAGTAAACCAATGTTATTTTCAGTGGTGAATAAGCTGTTTATGGAGCTTGATATGCCATTGCCTTTATTCTGGATGACTGTCATGCACCAGGTAGACCATATTTTACGAGTTTAATTAGTTTTTTTAGAAGCGCGAAAACCCGGGTCCGCTGCCTGAGTTAACCGAACAACAGGTAAGCCTTTGCTGCGGGGCGCCTCAGTTTATTCCTTCCTATAGCGGGGCAACTCCAAAACATCGAATAACCTCTCCGTTTTTTTTCTTGCCGACAAGTTTTCATTTTAGTTGAAAGATGCGTCGATGAATGTGTATCAGTGCGAACTCTTTAACAGAATCATGAAGGGGCTGCGATTGAAGGCAGCGCCGATTGTAGTACTTGAGCCATTTAATAGAAAGACTCGAAGGGGAAATTGCTGGGGTGTTGTCACTCGTCACTATAAGTTTACTGAATTGGCAAAGGTAAGATGCCGTCAGAGCAGCTGCCAACAACATTTAGAATGAGCCGCCGACGGCAGAGGGGAGGCATGGGGAACGCATGAAGAAAGGTTTTTTCTGTCATCTGGAAAACCTTTTTAGTTTGCGAGATTGGAAGGGATATAGAATGGGGGAAAACGGCAGCCCTGATGCGGGTTCCGTACAATAATACATGGATTACACTTGAGCAGCTCTATCAAAACGCTGCACTGCCTCTGAAGTAAGCATAGATTTCTAGATTCCAATATATATTTTGATTTGTAAGGTGGCCGAACCTTCCCTTGGCAGTGGTCGAGGTCGGCAACAAGTACAATGTTGTTCCTCTAGAGGTTAGTTCCGACGGGGTTAAAGACATAAGGCGTAGACATGCAGAATCACGAAGTTTTTTTTCTGCATTTAGATGCTGCGCACCCACGACAGCCCACAAGTCTACAACAAGATTCTCAACTACAAAGCCCAGCAAAAATACATCAAGGTACGAGGTTCTGAAATAGGAGACACTTCAGGCATGCTCTCGTCCCGCCCTTGATATGCGCAGGATGAACCCAGATTTGAGTCGACGGCCTCTGCCTGTCAGCCATAAGCAACTGACAGAGATGCTTGTGAAGAGGCTCGAAGTCAGTGCTGACGAGGAAGGATACCCAAAGGATCCGTTTCTGCAACATTTTGGGGTTTGAGCTTTGGAGCTTCCTTACAATGTTCAGATATCAATTAACCCGAAAGGCATTGAATGTGAAGGTCGCGTCCTTGAGCCACCGAACATTCAAGCTGTAAGCCGGATTGTCACGGAATCGAATGTGCTTTAGAATGACGAGGTGCTGGTGGCCACGAAAGAAGATCATCGCGGCTTTAGTCTACAAAAATTCCTGAGTCCACCACCACAGATAGTCGAGATGGCCGTAACATTTCCAAATTATCCGTTTTAGCCTGGTTTTAGGTGATTGTCATGTCTGACAATGGCGAGCCTGTTCACCCCCTTGATAACGTCGAGTAAGACGTTCTAGTCTCTCATTACCTTTTTAGGGAGTTTTACAACCAGCTGGCCGAAATTTGCGTCAAGCGAGGAGTCGCTATATTGGAAGGTCTTCCTACGGTTAGCGGTCTGTTAAGCCGTTTAACAACTTTTAGAAACTTTTCTGGGATGTTTCTCGAGATCCTGGAGGTCTGCCTTGTATCGCACGTACCCTTGCTGACAAGGCAAACAAGGAGGTCGGTGGGCTATGTTCTATTTAGGCTTCCTTTCAGTGTTGCTATTGCGTGCTCATCTTCGGCGATCGTGATTTCGGCAGATATGGTGATTCGTGACTTGTTGCATGATTTTGTTCCAGGTCAGATCAAAGAAGTCATGGATTTTCACGGAATCGTCTCGCAGTGCATCGACATAGTTACAGTCAAAAATTTCAAAGAGAAGCCAAACAAACTGTAGGTTTTTGGATAGTTCTTGAACGGCGGATTTAGTACCATATTTTACAACTTGTCGATGAAAATCAACCAAAAACTGGGCGGAATTACGCATGGACTAGCCGATGAAGTGGACGGGGATGAGATGAGGAAGAAGGGATTGCTGTTCATTGATAAGGAACATCCTACAATGTTCATAGGTGAGATTTGAAAGAAGGTCAGTAGGAACGACTACTGCGTTTCAAACAGTTTCAACCTTTGTGATTAACTGGATTTAGGAATCGATGTCACTCATCCACCTGTGGAAAACAAAAAAGATCCCGGTAACTTACTTCCGCTACGAAAATGTGCTTTCTAGAACTCCGACCGTCTAGAGCAGCTGCTGACGCCCCTCGGCTTAGCATTGCCGCCTTGGTGACCAACACCAACCTCGAGGCGACGAGGTTATTTTCGGGCAATTACGATAACTTTTTTCTGTAGGTATACAACTGAAGTACTACCGCAGTATGAGAACCAAGAATGTGTAGTACATCTCGAAGAGACACGCTTCTGCAACCTTGTGAATAAGTTTTGCGAGGTGACGGGAGGATTATGGTGTGTAGTTCGTTGCAGAGTACCGGCACCGTCCCCAAGCATCTCGTCGTGATCAGGGACGGTGTTTCTGATGGCCAACTTATGCCAATAGCTTCAGCGGAATTGAAATGGATGAAGGTGAATCGCTGAGTGCTCGAACAATTCAGATAAATTGCAGGCCACGTGGGAAACGAAATATCCGGGTCACCAAATCACCTTCACTTATATCGTCGTCCAGAAGAGGCATTTTATTCGATTTTACCCAAAGAAGAAAGAGGAGGCCGAAGGGTTCGTTGCCGCTTTTCAATCCTCATTTATTTAGTCCAAATGGCAACATCCCAGCCGGCACGATCATTGACACTACCGTAGTCCACCCGGATATCTACGATTTTTATTTGGCCAGCCATTATGGAAACGCGGTATGCACTTCCGTTCAAATATCTTGAATTGCTTTAGGGCACGACCCGACCGCCTCGCTTTATCGTGTTGCTGGACGAGTGGAAGCTCGATGTGGACGAGATGCAGGTTGGGGTATGCCATTGGCCTAATCCTCGTTCAGAAAATGCTCAACAATCTGTGCTACATTTTCGCAAGATGTGCGAGGCCGATCTCGCTACCCGCGCCGCTCTACTATGCTCATTTGATTTGCGCACAAGCGAAGGAGCGCTACAGGAGCCTTGTCATGTCAGTGATTTGAAATCTTTCATTTTTCCAAAAAGCCGACGATCTGAGAGTCCACGTTACGACGCAAATATCCAAAAAGGCTTAAAGTACCGAATGCCAAATTGGCGGGAAATTTTTAGCAACTAAAAAGTAGGACAACAATTTTAACACGAATAAATTTGGAAAAATCAAACTAGAGTGCATCAACGGAATTCTTGTTAGGAATGACGAAATCGACCCCCCGCGAAGCAGCAGCGATTCCAGCCGAGAAGGCGGTGGAAGAGGAAAGAACCAACCAAAGACAGCAGAGGTCTGGGAAGACTTCATAAAATTGGGCCAAAAACTGACCTATAAGGTCGAGGGAATGCCCTGGCTTTGAACATATTTGTTACTCGTTGATGTATAGCACCAATATACTTTTCGTACAGTGCTTTCCGTTTGCGGCATTTGCTTGGAGCTGTACATACTTTCGATCTTCACTACTCGTTCGATTTCCGATTTATAACACTTTACACGGTGTGATACGCAGCAACAATAAATCCGGTTGAGTGATTGCCATGTATCGCACGGTATGGCTGGCTGACTGCTCGCATATTTCTTCAGAAACTACCATCCGCCGAGCCGTTTGTCATTCCGTTTTTGCGGGGTGGAAATGTTATTCCCCGGGTGAGGTCACAAGTTCACCAACGGGGGGTTATGCGGGGACTTGGATAGCGAAGCGATTAAAATTTCTGGGAGGGACACAGCTGGTGGAGGTGAAGGGGAAGGAAGAGCAACGGAAATAGTTGGTGGAAGGACGTCGCGGCGGCCAGGACGCCGATTTCGTGGTATCATAGACAAGGAAGCACAAAAGAAGATATAATAAAATGAAGGTTAAATAATTTATATTTGTTAAAGTTTAGGAAACATATTTTTTTATTAACGGCTGCGTTCCATAGATACTATTTTGAGACGTCACAGACCTTATTCTTCATTGTTGCTTCGAAAAACGTCTCGCCATTGGTTTGTAGTCTAGCCTCGCCAAATCATCCTTTACCGCTTGACGATGGTCATTTTTGAGCGATTTCGCCGAACGATAAGGTCGCCCCGGGTATAAGTTTGGCAAATCAGCAGGTTTTCTCCAGCAACTTTATAGATTGTTGTCTCGATCGGCACCCATTGCTTGCAATTTTATGCCCGACACCAGCGCGCTATTTAAACATATCATTTTCTGATTGATCTATCCCTTCCAGGGACATTTCTCTATCAACCAGTGAAAAATTGACTGCCCGCCGGTGTTTAGAGCTCTTTCCGGCTGATTTTCACTTTCCGTTACCCCTGGTTGCTTCGATTTTTTGAACGATCTTTAGGATGCGCTGATTCGTTTAGTTTTATTAGGTTGGAACTAATATTTGTTCAACATTTCCGTTCTTGTTATTTTTCTCCGCAAGGCTTTTTTTATTGACCACCATAACGGCAAATTTTTGCCAACGTTCGTGCTGCTTGATTCCTAGTGCAATGAAAAAACGAACCACCGCCGGTGATAATTTTTAGCCTACCTACTAATGAACTTTAGTCCAATATTTTTAAATAATTTAGGGATGTCCCGAACGCTAAATAGAGACTTGAGCCTAATAAGCCTTTTTAGGATGTCACTAGATGTTTCGCCCCTTATTTCAATGATGCCGGACGAAGTGCAGATTCGGGCCCATAATCTCCGACCGGGCGATGTCTATCAATTTGATTTATTGTAAGGCATCTACAAAATGTTGATTATCTAACGATGCTCAGTTTCAAACACCCAAACGGCACCCACTATTCATGGGCTCGATTGAGAGCCTCAAGCGATGGAGATATCGATTTGGGCAGGGATTGCCCAATTCAAGGCACTTATCACGGTAAGTACGGTTGACAAAAAATTATAAAGCATAAATAAATGTAGAAGCCAATTCTTCCGGTCTTTTTCAATCATGTCATCCGGACGTTGATGTGAAAGAAGGTGCTTATGTACCGGCAACGCCGCCATTTCCGTATGACTACACTTTACGGTAATGTTTTTAAAATATTTTTTTAAGAAGTTATTATCCTTTCAGGCTCCTCGATTCCGCACAGAATATCATGCAAGAAATAAGATTGCGCAAGTTATTCCAGCACCCAGACGTTGAAAGGATGGAGGTGGAAAATGAGCGCGTTGTGGGCACGCTCTTCTTGCCGCCTGGTAAATTTGAAATTTTCTTTCAAAAAGCATGATAAATTATAGCTGCGAAAAAGGGACGCCTACCCACTGTTATCGATATAATTGGAGGAAATGGTGGAATGAGGGAAAACAGGTTTGGTTCTTTAAAATTGTTTTTCGAACTGTTTTTTCAGGGGTGCGCTACTAGCAAGTCAGGGATTTGCCGTCCTCTCATTAGCCTATCTATCTTTCAAACACCTTCCAAAATCGATTAATGAAGTCGATGTTGAATATTTTCTGGTAATTTACGAAACTAAAAAGAAATAATAATCAGTATTCAATTTAGGGGGCTATTGATTGGCTTTCGGAGCAACCGTACTGCGGGAAAATCGGAATCCAGGGAAATTCGTTCGGAGGTGCCATCGTTCATGCAGTCGCCATTCGAGCTGATAAAGTAGGATTGCTCCATAAAAATATTGTTGTCGTCATAGTATATTGCTAATAGTTTAAAATCTGCTATATTTTTAGATCAAAGCTGTTTGCAGCATCAATGGCGCTCATTGCCTGGATGTTTTCACCCAGATGCGTGAAAACAAGAAGCCGATCCCGGCTGGAAAGTCTGTTTTGTTACTTAATTTTGCACGTCGTTCTATTTAGAATCGATATGGAAACGAACGCTTATTACGTGGATGGTTATCTAACGCTTGAGCGGGCCATTCGAAATCTCGAAATTAACCCTGAAGCCGACTTTGATTATTCGAAAGTGAAAAAGGATGTTGGATTCCGGATGGTGGTAAGTTGCAACCAAAAATGCAATTTTTATGTTTAGGTGGGACGAGATGATCGGGTATACGATAGTTTATTCTCGAGTGCATATTTAGAAAAACTAATTAAGGCGCAAGGTAAAAGAGCGCAAAAATTTTTCGAGTACAAATTTTAGGGCTTTATGTTGAGCGGGATATCGTATTCGGTGGCCATCTTTTAGAACCGCCGCATGTGCCAAATTGCCCGAATTTATATGCGAAATACGCAAGTGGGGGATCGGATTTGGGTGCGTTATAAAAGCGAATTTCAGGCATGATTTTGACATACGGTGGGGATCAGTATATACATGGTCGAAGTCAATCGGAGGTTGGGTAATTTAGTAAAAAAAAATTAGTTTTCAGGTTTGGCCGAGGACGTTGGATTTTTTTGCAAGATTTCTGGGGCGACCTGTTGCACCTGATGGTTTAAAGAATGTTTCTAAGCTTTAATAAAAAGTTTTAATGATCATTAGAAATGCACTGATATGGATAATTTTAGTCTTAGCGATTTAGAAAGTGTTTCTAAACTTAAGAAATGATTTGATTATCATTTAAACTGGATTTAAACCTCTTATGACTGAAAATACGTTTACATATCCCTTCACCACTCAGCTATGAAACTTTCCTCGAGTCCAACCGACTCACGATGGCCAACGCCCGGGCTATTCTCACGGGTTACGGTGCGAAAATGAGGTGCCTTTTAGTGCGGAGCCCATCCATTCGCATATAACGCAGCGATCATCCGCACTTTCAGCTAACAACCCCCCACGGTTCCACCGTACGCCATGAAACTATACGCCATTTTTCTCGTGCTGCTCATCGTCGCTGTCGCTTTTACTGGTAACTGAAATTAAAATGAAAGAAATACTCAAATATCAACATTTTCAATTAAAAAATGATTTTTAGAAGCCGGTCGCTTCGGAAAACGTGGTCGCAAGCGTCTTCCAAGAGCTGCTAGTAAGTTTTAGAAGGAGCCTATTCCTAAGCCTAACAAGGAGTCGTTTTTGGGTGATATTAGAGTTTTTGAACGAGACCTAGCTAGTTCGATAGAGAAAAAAATTCTCAACAAGATGTCGGCTTCCAAATCTGCTAACCGTGTATTGTATTCAATAAAAATTAATTTTAATGAAAAAATTCCTGAACGTCAGGCTGCGACCCATGGATCAGGCCCGGGACATAGCCCACAGCGCGAACCAGCATCCGCACGAAATCGTGGCCCAGTGGATAGTGCCGGCGCCCAGTGGATAGTGCAAGACAAAAACTTATGAAGCAAGCGCACTACCAATAGGCCAGCTGGTCATGGCTGGAGGGAGACCTAAAGGGGGCTATGTTGACGCGCACCCCGAGCGCAGAATCTGCGGATCAGGCGGAAAATGATGGTTAGATTAATGATTTTCAAATTAATTTTTATTGAACAGCGTACACGGTTAGCAAATTTGGAAAACGACATCTTGTTCAGAATTTTTTTCTCGATCGAACTAGCTAGGTTTCGTTCATAAACTCCAATATCACCTAAAAACGACTCCTTGTAAGCCGAAGTCTAAACCTAAACCAAAGCCTCAGCACCTTCCAAGAGGCGTTACCATTTTTAATCGTTTTTAAGTTTGCAAACTTAAAAATAACTAACTTTTAGCTGCCCGTCCTGGCCACGACTCCTCGTCCTCAGAAAGTAAGCTTTTCAAAATTTTTCCGAACCTTACTATATTATCAAATTTAATTTTTAATAAAACTTAACCCTTCAGAAGACTCCCACGTCGCCTCTGCCGAAATTCGAGCCCGTTTCGACCAGTCGTCCTCCGAAGAAAAGAAACCGTAATCCAATCCCCGCAACTATTTCCTGGACCCAATAAATCTGTGAAGAGCATCGGTGTCCTTTTCGCTGGTTGTTTACAGATTACGGCACTTTTTTCGGGGGGCATTGTTGTTGTCATAGTGGGGTGCAGACGACAGACTACGGGGAGTTTTGAGGGTCATGGTCGAGATAAGCGTAAACAAGTCGCTGAAAGTACCCGAAAATGTGTGGAAACGTCCATTGTATCATCCCGTCTTGCACTCTTTTTAAATTCTCTTAGTTTGTAGCTTTACAGCTTGACTTCTGATTTTACTAAAGCTACAAAATCTATGTTTTTCATTTTTAGAAAAGTTACGAGTCAAATTTTTGAGACATGGATTGGTGGACATGGATATTTTTTCTCATCGGCTGCCTAGCAACTTTATTTGTTTTATATAAGGTATCTTTTTTTTAAATACGGGTGAAAATGGCTTTAGATTTTATATATAGCCTATTCCGTCCTATGGCCATACTATCTCGGACCGCGCATTGATCTAAAAGATCGAGCAGGAGCGGAATGGGCAGGTATGAAAGTTACCGATCCCTTTAAACAATAAAACAACGTAAAAACGAACGTAATTTAGTGATAACCGGTGCCACAGATGGTATTGGTCAGGCTTACGCCTTTGCATTAGCTGAACAAGGTTTCAAGGTACAGTTCATTATTTTTTTACTCTTGACCAAAGCCTTTAGATACTTTTGATATCACGAACACAGTCGAGGTTGGATCGAACTAAAGAAATAATTCATGAAAGGTGCAAAGTATGTAACCTACAGTATCACTTCTTAGCTGCTAATTTTCAGACCGAAGTTCGAACATTCGCTTTTGATTTCACTTCGAATTCTCTTGAAGACTACGAGCCACTTCTGGAGACGCTTGAATCTTTAGAGATCGGAATCCTGGTCAACAACGTTGGGATGGCCTTTGATTATCCTGATGTAACAATCATTCAAATATCAATAATTGTGGTTTCAGAAAATCCATAAGATTCCTGGGGGATTGGAAAAGATCCACAAGCTGGTCAACATTAATGTGCACCCGCCGACATTAGTAGATTTTTATGGGCAGCCATTTAAACCTTTTGAATACCTTTAAATTGGAGTCCTTTTCAGTTATCGATGGCTGTATTGCCTCATATGGTAGCTCGCGAATCGGGCATCATCATTAACATTGGCTCCTCATCGGCAAATTACCCCTTGGAATACTGGAGCGCGTATTCCGCTTCAAAGGTATCAAAAATTTTAAAACGCAACTAAAGCTTTAGAAATACGTCGAGTGGTTGACGCGGATAATGGCGAAGGAATACAAGAAGTATGGGATTATTATTCAGTGTATTACGCCGATGAAAGTCGCCACAAAGGCTAGCGGGGTAAGTCTATGAGCTAGTTTTGAAATTGTTCGATTTCCTTTAAATTTAAAAATTGTCCGTTGGCTATCTTAATAGAACCATTTCGTTAAATCCAATTCCTTGATTTTTCAAAATTTAGCCGGACCGTTTAGGCCGAAAAATCCCTAATCGCTCCCGACCCAAAAAGCTACGTCCACCATGCCCTCCGATCCGTCGGCTTGGCAGAAGTGACAACCGGACACCCTTTCCATCAACTACAAGTAAAACATTGCAGTTTAGCAACAATACACCCGTAAGTAGGTTCTCATCTTCGACATGCCGGCGTGGATCTTGGATCCATTTATTGGGCTGATGTCGCGGAATATGCGAAAAGAGGGGTTGAAGAAGGCAGCGCAAGAATAGACATGTAAAAAGGAATAAAGGGTTTTAATTATGTGATGTGGCTGTTTCGCTGAACCCGCTCATCTCACCGGCGATGCAGAATGGGCGGCAGGTGCCGAACTAAAATTTGGAATTGAAGGGGGCTAGGAAGTTTGAGGCGTTGCACCAATTGTCAAGACCTAATAGTTGCGTAGATTCGATTCTAGCACTTTCTAGTCCCTTTAAAAAGTCATAATTCCTAACTTCTATCAAAACATTAAAATTTACCGGATTTCCGACAAGCGGCATTGGATGTCCAGTACGACTCCTCATTCTTATTGGCTGGCAACAACGCTAAAAACGTGTTCAACGGTTTTATCAATCTCTATACCTTTCCTTCAGGGCATTCGCTTCTGCTGAGGCAGGCTTGGCAAGAAATCAGCTAAATCATCGTCGTATCTGGCTTCAGTTTATTAATACCTGCATAATCAAGGCAAAAATCAAAAGGCTGGCCAAGGAACGTTGCATTTTCAGGAATATTTTTTGGGAATATCGAGGAATACTGAAAGTTTCTGGATGGCCAGTTTGATGTTCGTGTTTGTTTACATTGGGCGGCCAACCCCTCGGGATTTTCATCACATATTTTGGAGCGAATTCTAGGGGGTGTAAAGGGTGATGGTAGAGAACAGAGATGAGAAAAGGTAAACGATGTGTCATCCGTATACGTGGGTTTCGACAAATATGGAGTGATAGGGTTGTTGAGCAAAGCTGGAATAGTACACAAAAAATTGACATGCTTTTCGGTACATTCCTTAGGCTATAGTTTTGGCTTCAATAGTCCTTAAAAACACGGAATTACGGGTAGATTTTACAAAACCACGGACTTTACAGAGATATGGATAGTGGCGCTACGCAACGCGTCTATCCGTCTTAACATTGCGTAATGGAGTATGACCAGCGTACGCGTTGCGTGTCGCTTCGCAGCAAAATCCGTATCACATCCATAGCGAAAAATGCATGCACCTCGGCCTTCCTTTTAGTAATGTTGAAAGCACTTGGACTTTGTCTTCCATTTGACTTCAGCGCTCCTTTAAAATTGCTATTCAGATTTCAATAAAGTCTTCTGACTTCAATATAACAACCCGGTATTCTCGTCTCTCCTAACCTTCCGAAATCGGCAACATCAACTAGTTTCGCTGGTGCTCCAATTTTGGCCTTCCCCGTCACGTTTTGACGCAAATATTATTGGAAAAGCCGATTTTTATTGCTGTTTACTCATCCGGCCCAATGGACGACGAGGATAAAAGAGGCAACGGGCGAAAGTTGGCCTGACAAAGTCAAATTCAAACAGTTTACTACCTTATCTACAATATGAGGTTCTATTTCTGTATTTTGCTTTTGATTCTAGTGTCAACTACTGTCGCGGTAAGACCAAGAAGTTATAACCCAAGGTTCTTTCAGATTAAACCAATCGTTGATGTAACCGACGGGCCTGCCATTGGGGTGCCACGATGCCGTAATCAAGCGGAATGTTCTGGAAATATGGTAGGGGTATTCGTAGGGCCTATTAGAAATATTCTAGAATTGCTGTGCTCACCCAATCAGCTGCCCTCGCCCCGCGCTCTGCCTATTCGTGGTAAGTCGATAACTTATTAACGTTAGCAGTAAAATCAAGCGAAAAAGCGTTTAAAACTAACTCGAAACTATAACCAAACTAACAATAGCATTTCAGCTAACTGGCCAATGCAGAAACGAATGTGAAGTCGGCGAAATTGTGCTCGGCGCCGCAGTGGCTGCCCAATAACCTGATCCTTCGAAACCGTTGTTTGTATATAAAATTTGTATATTTGATGAACCGTCGCTAAAAATGCATTTTACAACATCTAAGAAAAAATCGTAACAACTTTCCTGTCTAGAATCCAATATCTTTACCAATAATTTTTCACAGCTTCTGCTTCTCGTTTTCTCAGCACATAAAAGCCAACCGAATAGTCTAGCCGATGAGAAGCCGTGGACGGCCATCTGTGAGTCATTTTCGGTGTTTTGTTAGTCATCCCGATCCCCTCTTTCCATCCCGAACACCCTTATCAACGCTGTCTTCCCATGGCCAGCCTGTCGCCCCCTTCTATTACAGAACATTTTTTATTTCGTATTTGTTGCTTCAGCTGCAGCTTCTCAGGCATATTAAGTTTTATCATATTGTTTATACTTTCGGCTTGCAAATAACGTCTTGTGTATTTTTCAAACGTCGCTGCTTCATTTAGGCATAAGTCAAAGCCCAGGCCTCAGCCAAGCCTGAAGCCTAAGCCTAAGCCCAAGCCTGAGCCCAAGCATGAGCCTAAGTCTAAGCCTAAGCCTCATCCTAAACTTATTCGAAACCTAAGCCAATTACCTTTTCTGTTATTAACATTTATAAAAACTCTACCAAAACTTTTGGCTTATTGTTAGTCACCCCTTATCTACTAAAATGCCCCCCCAGTCGTCTCATGCCTAGCAAACTGGTCATCACCGCCCCCCAGCTGTCGCTTTCCTTCGCTTCCTTTTGCAATTTTTCTCACCTCCAAAAGACCCTTCCGCGTTAACCGATTTTTAGAGTTCTGCAACGTTTTAAAACCGCTTAAATTTATACGATATACGTCCAATTTTCAGGAATCAAATTTGCAAGATGCCTGCAAAATTGGATGCGGGCTGCTGTCTAAAAGACAGCCTATCTATTCCGGGAATTGATATCCCAAATCGTGTAATGGCCGCGAATCAACGAGGCTTGGTGATATTTAAGTAATTTTTTTAATGAATGAATATTTTAACAACAAAATTGCTAAATCTACAATATCTTTTTAAGAATGACTAATGACGAACTTTTTCTACTTGATCTCTACAATCACCAAGAATACGCATTTACTTTCGAACGCCCAGAATTTCTATATTCAGACGCGGAGGTAATTTTAGTTATTTGCATATAATAATTTATTTATTCTTTGTTTAGCTTCAATAATTTAGATTTTTGCGTTGGAATTTCTGGAAAATGGCCATTTATTGGCCGTTCTGCAAACCCCACTCAACGGCGAATTGCTACTCTGCGAATTGGAGTTAGACCGTATTAAACGCAAAACAAATATTGTTGATAAAGTGCTGGAAACAAAGATGAAAATTGAGTACGGTTTCTTATTAAAGTAAATTTTATTTTTAGGCCTCATAGACGGCTATTAGCTATCAATGACGATCAAGGTTTACTCCTCGTATCATTTCCAATTAAAATTAATAAGGTATATATCCTAAAGTTTGAAAATATTTAAATCTCTAGAGTCAAGACTTCCACATTGAATTGCTGCATTGTACTCGGTATATCAAAGACAAAACCGGGGGAAAACTGTCGATCCCGGTGAAATATAATGCACCGCGGGAGAGTGGGTCATTTTTAGAAATAAGGCTTTGTTTTTAAGTGGTACTACATCATGCGGCTGTGGCTAGGAATCATCTGTACTTGTTCGACTCGTTGGACGTGAAGATGTGCATCTGTTTTCCGATTACTGGGGCGCAGATTGGGAGGGTAGGTGTAAAAAATAGGAATAGCAAATTGCGACACTACAGAACTTTGGTTCTGGTGCGTCAACGAGGGGCCAATTGTCAAATTTTAGATATTTTTCAGAAGATTACCGAGCGCCATCCGATCCTCACCAAAGAGATATTCCAAAAATTTAGTTACAGCTCAAAATAAAGTAATAGAAAATGGCGGGAGCAAGCCTCCCCCGCTAATGCACCAGACCCAATTTTTCTTCGATGATCTCTTAAAATTTTTTATCTTTTTTAGGCAAACACCCTGATGGCTCACGGCGACTGCCCTCCAAATTCCTCGATAATGACTTCGGTGTTTCGGGTTGGTTCCAGTGATTCTGTTTCTTCTGTCAAGGATGGCTTTTTCCTGGGCTTGAATCACACGTGGTCGACCGATAAAATGTCATTCAGGCCATTGAAGATGTGGTGCTCGTGTATGTTTGCCAGGATGTCTCCAATGCAAATGCACAGCCGCAGCTCTACGCCCTCGATTTGATGTATGTAAAGAAGAAAAAGAGTAGAACGTCTTATGCTTTAGATATTGCGTTTTCCTGTAGTTTGCGGCTTAATAATATCTGCCTCCTTAATATAGACGTCATTAATGCGTCGAAAGTTGCAAGAGTTTTCTTGCTCCCGAGCCACTGCACCCCTAGCTCATTGGTAGTGTCCTCGCCTATCACCCACAGGGTCCGAGTTCGAATCCCACCGGTGCAGAATTTTTTCTTTTTGGCTACTAGCGGGATTTCACCCTCTTATTGATTTCTGATTAATGATTCTACCCCACGACCACCATTTAACTGCGTAATGGATTAATTTACGGACCGTGGCACGGCGTGCGTGTTGCGTATCGCCGCCTCTAAAAAATATATAGAACAACAACTTAACAAACCAAAGGCACCTTTCAGGCGTCTCTCCTTCCAACGGGTCGCCCTCCAACTGTCCAACCATCAAATACGCGGAAAAGTGTGCATCTGTGTCGGGGGGAACGAGACGAGTAGGGCTTTTTTGTCGAAAAAATCTAACCGCGACCTTTTGGTGTAGTCTATCTACAAGGGGATTGTCTGGATCGGCAGTGCCCGAATCGGCTGCACTTCTACCGTATCGATTTGTTGCCGTTAATGGTAAGTTTTATGATAATTAAAGTCCAAGTAATTATAGAATTTGCCCAAAATGATTTCAACTGAGACATCGTCGACACCGTCATCCGGCACGTCGTGTAGTTCATCGGCATATTCGATTAATTCGATAGGTAAGTGAGGACGGGATTGGATTAAAGGGACGGGTAAGGCAAGTGACTTATGGATTTTAGGTAATTTCCCTACGAACCTACGGCTAAAAAGACCGTGGAAATGCCATACCCGTACTTTCAAAGCGCTGGTGGCAGGAGTCTGGCAGAGTCTCCAGCGCCTTTTTATCAAATTTTACGCCCTACTTTTTCTTTTATTTTATTTCACTGTTTTAATATATTCCTGAATAGGCAATTTACTTCCATTTTTATTATTTTAAATTTTTAACGTTTAATGCTTAGCATAACAGATTTATGTATGTTTTTCCTGCAACAATATACATCCCACTAGCCCGCGCGAAAGCCGAATACTAGGCTAATCCGACAACCTGCGCCGCCCCCACCTGTGAAACTCTCGCTCCCCATTTTTCTTCCCGCGCCCAAAAAACGCAACCTGTCGACGCTTTTGCTCCTCTTTCGACACCCGACGCTGAAAATGCTACGCTAATGGACAAAACCAGCCCAATTTTAACAATCGGCGGCTTGCTCTGAGGCGTCCAATGATCATTTTCAAATCTTCTGCTCAAAATTTGAGATGATGCTAATTTTTCGAAATATATTTGAACGAACTCCAATAACTTTTTAACGTATCGAGTCGCCTGAATGTTTTCCAAATTGTTCTGAATTTTGAAAGTAATTTTAGTTCTCCTAAAGCAACTTTTCTTGGGGTCCGAAAAGGAAAATTCAGGGTTATGCTACTTTTTTCGATATTTCGATAATTTCAGTGGGATTAAATGCGTTTTTAAGTTAACCTCTCCTTTCCGTGTACTTTTAATTTCTTCTAAATCATTTTACAGTAATTCTAGCGCGCCTATGGCTACTCTACTTGAGGACCCACCAAGAAAACCACGAAAATTCGGGGTTATGCGCATTTTTTCGCTTGCGCCAAGGCTATGTGGGTATAGGGTTACAAAAATACGAATCATTGGGATGTTTGTATAATATCAAGTTATTTTTAGGCAGTTCGGCAAGTTCAGTGGTGCCCACAATCCCATCTCGATATGAAAAACGACGAGGAAGAGCGGCTGAGAAAAAGATCACTGTAAGTGAGCTCTCATTGTACAATTTACAAACTACCACCCTACCGCTCCCCCCTGCAACTAGGCGTTAATCGGATTCGGGGTCAAACTGAAACCCAGAATTTGGAGGGGGTAGTGGCCATATATGCAAAACCGTTGGAAAGGGGGGCCGCTTGGTCTTTGCATCGGCAATCACAACCGAAAACCGACAGCCCTCTCTGTCGATACATAGGGTGGTCTGCATTATATTTTGGGCTATCATTAATGCTTCAGACGATGAAAGACCGAACGAAATCGTTGGATTCATTGTCGGTGTTATCGTCGGCGAGTAGTCATGATTCTTCAACATCATCTGGAACACCGAGAAGAGGTATGTAATTTTTTGGTACAAGTTGCATAGCGGGGGGCAGGCATAAAATAGCGGGGAATCAGGGTTTCTGTGGGGTCGTTTCATAGCTTTTCGAAGGATACTAACGCTCTTAGCATATTTTCGATGCTTTATTGATTAGCATTTTCAAAATAACGAAAATACCGAAAATTCAAATTTATTTTCCGTTTTCCTCTCTGCTTAACCGGTTTTCGACCAAGTTTTTATTCAATAAACTTTCCGGTGCGCTTTTTCTGGCCTGAATTAATTATTAAGATATTTTTCAACACTCTACCGGATGGCATTTGCGAAATTTTCGCGTAATTGAATCACGACAAATAATTCTTATTTTACTATTTTATATACATACTTTGTACGTTTGTTTCCAATCTCCAAAGGTCATTCCTCCCATCCAATTAGCCGAGAATCGTGTAGTTATCTTTCCGCAAAACTGCCCACCAGCAACACTGGGATAAGCTTTATTGGCGTCGGCTACTACGGGGGCTGCTTATCTGGGAATAAGCAACCCACAGAACACGCAGTGGCAAGCCTGCAAATTAGCCCAACAACTGGGGGGAGAGGGCTGAGTCAGGAGAACCCTCAAAAGTACTTAAGCAAACAATAGGGAAATGAAAGATAATTAAAAACTTATGAGACATATTGGGTGATAAGGGGGAATTTTGCGTAGGTTGTCTGGAAGAGGAGGAGGAGTTTAGGGGGTTTAAAGTATGAGTGGTTCGGGATTTTGAGGCATAATGTCTGGCTCACTCTTCTGCCATCGTAAAGCTGTTGTTTTTAAAAGATTCTAGTTATCTTGGTCATACTTGGATTTTTGGTATATCGATTTTTGAGGTGTTTCTAATGCATTTCAGCCTCAGATTAGGAGTTTTTAGCAGTTTCTTAATCATTAATTCCTTAATTCACGTACATTCACATAAAATTAAAAAGCTTTTAGTTGATTATCATTAAGAAAATAACTTATAGTAAGTCACAATCTAATTGTCATTAAAAATAACAGATCAAGATTTAATTTTACTTCCTACCATGCGGTTAATTTTCATGGAAAATACGTTTAGAATAATAAAAGTTAGATAACGAGCTGTATTTGTCTAAAATACCAGATAATTCACTTTTAAAATCGCCCTTAAAACATCCGAAAATTAACTCTATCAATTTACCGTCATGACTCAATCGCGCTTAATTTTACTCCACCCACACCAGCTTCACGACCCCCCAGAATAGCGTGGGCCGTATCTATCCATCTCTCTACACCCGGACCCCCACTCTCTTCCTTATCTTTCTATAATACGCCCAGGCGCCGTGGCCGAGGCCCCGACTACGACGAGTGGCTATTAACAGCTAGGGTTAGAAGACCGGCGTCTGCCTGTCGCGTCCACAAAAACTTCGATTCCGTGTCTATCACTACTTACTGCCGAACCTTTTGTTTAATATGTCGCTGCTACAGGGATACGCGCCTAGGGTACCACCGCATTGTGAGTATATACATTGTGTACTGTTAATGGCGTGGAAATCGGAATTTTGCTTGAATTAAATGAGCCAATTATCTAGCTGTGTTAATAACAATTTCTATACACTGAAATTCATAGAATACTATTTCAAGGGGCTTCTTCTATTAATTTTTGTACCACTTATTTCTCAATTGAAATTATCACCTGAAAAAAACCCACTCCTAATCCCCAGACATCGCTATCAGAAAAAACCTCATTAATCCGAGTAGATTAAGCGTTCCCTTTTTCCAGTTCCCTCACTTCACTGGAGCGCTTCTATGCCAGAAGAGGGGCAGACATCACTACAGGTTTACTTTTGGAATCTATCTTAATGAAAGTTTAGGATCAGCTCCGTTTGGCAAAAGAAATGGGATTTCCGGATGACGTTATTATGAAGGCGCTCAAGGCCAATTCTACTGTTCCTGATGTGAGTTGTATTTTTTGTATCTTATATCGAAGGTTTACGCTTTAATTATTTTTTGATTAGTTTCTTTTTTGCAGGCTAATTAATAGAGCTTTTCAGTTTTAATAGTTTCTAGCCGGAAATCCGTTATACGGCCGAAAACTTGTACTGAAAATTTTGATCTAATGATAGGTATCTCGGTATAATGTTAAGAGCCCCTTTTTTGGACTATCGCGCCCGATTATCTAATCCCCTTAAAAACGCCCAAATCCTGCAGAATCTTTGATCTTACGACGCCGTTTCTCCACCCCATATCTCTCACTACGCATCGACACCTCAGCGATATGGCCGTTAATCCCGAATGACTCCCCCCCAGTTCCGTGGACGCTCCACACCTCTAGACGCAACCCCCAATCGAAAAAATGAAAACCAAACGACCGTTCCCTCGCCTAAGCCCCACCCAATAAAAAGTGAGCGTAAAATTATGGGTCTCCCCGGTCATGTGATGGGAAATGACGTATTTTAGCTTTTTTTTCTTTTGTCTGTCGCTATCTTTATTGAGCAAGTTGGGGCGCGACGCGTCGATACTGACTTACGACCGGAAATGGGGGTTATGGTGATTTATCTGAAAATTAAATGACGATGGAGATAGAAGATCATGGGAGTTGGCACTGTGTTTTTAGGTTTTCTAAAAATAATACAACAAATGGCGTAGCCGAAATTTTATCTTACAAGCACTTTTAAGGTACATTCACGATACCTTGTAGCGAGAGCGATTTTAGAATTAGATTTCCTTACCTCTTAAAATCCTTTTGAATGCTTTATGACATTTTCACATAGCGGCACTGCCCGTTTAAATTCCCCTAAAAAATCAACCATGTCGCTATTTTGCCTTTTTTATTAGTTAAAGGGATGAGGACGGCATCTGTTGAACCCCCGGGGGAGGGGGGTGCAACAGAGGCAGCGGCGAGAGAGGGCGCCCAGGGGAGAGGCGCAGAGACATTTTCTTTCCCGCGCGTAATCGATTGTCTTATGCCGCCCCTATCCCTTTAATACAATATTCGCTATATAATATGGTTAAAAAGGGCGGAGTTTATCTTTTCCCTTCCAAGTGCCTTTAAGGACTATCAAACCAGGAAGAACTCGGAAATCCGGTCCTCCGGCATCATGCCAACCCGCCGATATCGTAGCACCCCTGGGCCCATTTCATACCATCCCCCCGAAAATTCGCTACGATGGCGATGCGGACCCTCGTTCAAGTGAGCCATACACAAATAATAGGTCCCCCACACACTGACACACATTTTCGAGTATTTTCCATTCGCTTTCGCAATCCGCACAAAAACTAGAGCCATCCCTCACTAGTACCTGCTGCATTACCAATTTAGTATTTAGTGCCCCCGGGGGAATCTCGGGTTTTTAGAGCTGAAAAAAAAATATTGAATTAGCTGTTTTTTTTTGGATTTTACTGCTTCGTACTATATTTTTAGGAAAACTTTTAAAACTAGATAATTTATTTATTTTGCTCAAAAATATCTAGATATTTCTTTCCAGGTCTACACAGCATTCGAAAACACAAATACGATGCTTGACTGTTTACACCAGGTGCAGCGAGACCTGAAAAACCAAAAATTATCCCTGTCCGTCTATGGGGAATCCAGGCATGGGTAAGGCATCCAAAAAATTAAATTTTAGCCCGATTTTAGGGATAACACTTCAAAAATGTTAGCCCCAAGGAGCGCTTCTGTTTCGCGAGCGGCTAGCTTAAATTTAGGATCTACTGGATCGAGGTTTGTGGAGTTTCGTTTGTTCGAAAATCCGGGTTTTCAATCCTTAAAACTATTCTAACATTTAAGAGGGTCCCGCTCCGATTCTCACGATATCAACCGGCTAATCAGCACCCTTGACAAGGAGCAAGAACGTACTCGAAAAGAGGTCGAAAGCCACATTGCAAGATTAAAGGTATTGGAAGCCTTAAAAACGATTATTTACCCATTTTCCAGGAGCGAATCCGCTCCCTTGAATATGATCTACAAGAAGAAAAAACGGAACGCGAACGGGCTGAGGAAAAAGAACGGCAAATGGTGAATAGACTAAAGGATGAGGAAGACAATCTGAAATCCGAACAAGAGGAGAACAGGAAACTCCATAGGGAGCTCAGCCAAAATAAGCTGGATGTCGATAAACTGGTAGGTCAAGGAAATAGACTGTACACCTACGTTAATAGACCCTGGAGAAGCTGCAGATACAAAAGCAACTTTCCGACCAACGGGAATTATCGGAGCACCGTAAAAAGGGACATGAGGAGGAGCTGAAAGAGAAGCAGAGGGTAGGAATTGAAAGAATTTTTTAAGTAAAGAAACTATAGGAATTGGATTCGTTGAAGTCGAGCTTGGCGACAAACTCGGTTGCGGCGAGCCGGATTGAAGAGTTGCAGGCCGAGAATAGACGGTTGAAGAGCGAGGTGAAGATTTTTATAAGGATTTTTATAAGTCGTGTGCTAAAGTTAGGCTTGAACCTCCGCCGAAATGAAACGCTTAGACTTGAGCTTAAGTTTCAGCATAACCTTAACTAAATGAGAATTGTTAGAATAAAACTATTTTTAATCTTTGAAGTTAGTATTATATGATTTTTTCAGCTTTCCTCCCAAACGGCCACTTATGAAAGTCTGGCCAAAGAGCATTCCGAGGCACAATCATTACTCCATACGGTCAATCAACGCTTCAACTCCGCCGAGCAGCAGCTGATCAAGTGTTGTGTGTGTTTGGAGCAAAAGGTAAGCCCCTCCACCATTCAAGATTAATTAAAATATTTGCTAAAACCACTAAAAAATAAATTAAAAATTTTTTGCAGCCCGAAATAGTGTTCTTCCCCTGCCTCCACGTGTGTGTATGCGACGGGTGCTTCACACGGGAGCCAATGTCAAAATGCCCGACTTGCAGGGCCCGCCTTGTCGGCCATTCTAAAGTATTCCTTGGAAGCTGAAACCACCCTACCTACATTATTACCCTAATTTATTCCCAAATTCTATACGTTTATAGCCCTATTTCCTTTGCTCTTTAAGAACAACCGCATATCCAACCCTGCATAACTGGTTTTTCTATGAAATTTCTTCAATTTTATTAGCTTCAATACTCCCGAAAAATCCTGCCGATTCCCCGCCCCTGATGACCTCACCTGTACCTAGTTCATTTTCTCGATTTAAATTCTATTTTATTGGATTTCATAAAATTTCATGGTTTTCCCGACCCCCAATTTCTTCGACCCTAGAAGAAGACGAAAAATGCTAGCCATCCCAAAGCCGGTTAGCCAACGTTGATATGGAATTCGCTTTCCAGTATGTATGTACGTTTTTCACGTTTAGGATGTGCAAATAAATTGATACGGATATTTGGGGGGAATATGTCACGTGTTCGCCGGAGTGCCGCCACCACAAAAAAAGACAAAAAACGGTGCGTTCGGATCTGGGAAATTGATAGTGGGGCGGCTATAGTCTGGCTTTATTGATTTTTTGGGTTTTGAGGGTTTTTTGCTGGTTTTTTAGCTACTTTACAAAGATTTAGATATGAGAATGATACATTAAAATTACATACATTGTAGTGACAATGCTAATAACTATAAAACTCGCGCCTAAAATCTCGCAGTTCCGATCTTCCTAATGACAGATGCCTGAAAAGGATGGTCTTATCAATCGCATCTGCAAATCCATCTGGATAAGGACGAGATCCGTGGGAATCCAGACCACAAAACAAGATCCACAATCCCCAGCCGCCACCCTGGCTGTGGTGTAATTTCTTGCTCTCTCTCGCTCTCTCTCTCTCACTATCTCTCACGAAACACTCTAGCCAGCACCCAGCTAACCCTCGAAAAATTTGCCCCTAGGCTGAGTGCGACAGCTGGGCGTTCAGCTGATCAATCCACATCTGATAACCCTTCTCACATCTTTTTCGCTGTAATTACAATTTTTCAGTATTAAAGCAAACCTCAAGCTCACTTTTAAAGCATGGCCCCACCCCAAGGAGACAATCTATCCGCCGTCCTCCACGCAAAAGATGATCTGCGCATGGAGCAGAAGCCGATCCCCAGCCCTGGACCTAAGCAATTGCTCGTCAAGTGAGAATCAGCACATTTTTGTTCGATACAAACATTTAATAGAATTCACACAGTTGGTATCTGCGGCAGCGATGTGCATTATTGGACCCATGGAGCTATTGGGCCATTTGTTGTAAGGATTAAGTAATACAATTAAAGCGAAATTCATTTTAGGTGAAAGCTCCGATGGTTGTTGGTCATGAGACCTCCGGAATTGTTGCGGAGGTTGGGTCTGATGTTCAAGGATTTTCTGTTGGTAAGTTGGTTCTAGGAAATTAAAATTTTTCACAGCTTTGTAAAAGGATTTGTTGCTATTTTTATTTAATTTCTCGTGACATGAGTGAGTTCCGGGGGATGTTTTAGTGCTCTTAATTTTTATAGCGGCTAAAGGTCTTATAATTTACTATTTTTAGGTGATCGCATCGCCCTTGAGCCTGGTAGCCCTTGCCGTGGTTGCGAGCACTGCAAGGTAACCTATTTTCTTTTTATTTATTTAGTTAACAGTATTCTCTATAAAATAAAGGCCCAAAAGCTATTCAGATTGGCCAATACAACCTTTGCCCCGAGATGCGGTTCTTCGCCACCCCTCCCATCGACGGTACTCTAACCCGATATGCCGTTCATGATGCCGATTTTTGTTTCAAGTAAGTTGCTCTGCTAAGCCTAACAAGGGAAGTGCACGACCGGCCCACGAGAAATCGACACGAGACATAGTGGATCTGATAGAACCGGATACGGGGATTCCGAATCTGTAATCAGAATTTGCTAAATAAAACGGAGAAAAAAGTTATGAAGCTTCAAAGTTGGTAAAATCGCCCAAAATCGGACTTTTATGGGCCTTTAAAGGCCCAGGGAATGGAAATTTGCCACAACCCATTAGTGCATCTTGTTCAGCAGAAAAAAGCGCTTTCGAATGAGCTATCTTACTTCAAGTTTGCGATGATTTCGCGAAAATCTCTTCTATGAACTTGACAGGGATACCCTTGCCCGTGAATCCAAAAAAACTTTTTTCAGTGAATTGTTTGCAAATGCTACGTATTACAGCTCATTCGAAAGCGCTTTTTCTGCTGAACAAGATGCACTAATTCTTTTCTCCTCAATTCCGTTCCCTTGGTATTTACGGGCCCATAAAAGTCCGATTTTGGGCGATTTTGCCAACTTTGAAGCTTCATAACTTTTTTCTCCGTTTTATTTAGCAAATTCTGATTACAGATTCGGAATCCCCGTACCCGATTCTATCAGATCCACTTCGTCTCGTGTCGATTTCTCGTGGGCCGGTTGTGCACTTCCCTTGTAAGCGTAAGCCTAACATAGACCTAAGCCTATGCCTAAGCTCAGGCTCAGAACCCGCGAATTTCAGACTTCCCGACCATGTCACTTTCGAGGAAGGCGCCCTCCTCGAGCCTTTGTCAGTAGCTGTACATACTGTCAAACGCTCGGGGCTGAGGATCGGCCAAAAAGCTTTGATCCTGGGATCAGGTTTGTAGCAATAATTTTTTTGAGCCATGTTTCCAGGACCCATCGGAATTCTGACTCTATTGACGGCCAAGGCTGCTGGGGCCTCTGAGGTCCTTGTGACAGATATTGACGATGGGCGATTGGCTTTGGCGAAGAAGCTCGGAGCTGACCATGTTGTTAATGTTCGGTGGGCCATTTACACGCATTGTAACTGAATAACCGCTTTTAAGAGGAAAATCCGTAGACTCTGCCAAGCAAGAAATCATTTCCCTTTTGCGCCAGCGTCCGCACGTCAGTATGGAGTGTACCGGAGTGGCCACCAGCATTGAGACAGCAATTAATGTGAGATATAGAAACGTAGAATTTTTAATTTGTGATTTTAGGCAACAGTCTCGGGAGGCTGTATCGTACTTGTTGGCCTTGGCGCGGATCGTGTAGAACTGCCCATGGTTGAGGCTGCCACTCGCGAGATCGATATTCGCGGAATTTTCAGATATGCTAATTGGTGAGACCTATTCTTTTTTTTTATAGTTTTTTAGCTATCCGACGGCTCTCGAGTTGGTCGCCTCGAAACGGGTTGATTTGACTCCATTGACTCGTGCTCATTATACTTTGGAGGAGACTGAGGAGGCATTTAAGTAAGTTTTTGAAGGGCATGCTTCTCGAATACTAACGTGGTTATTTAAAATATTCATGCTTTTTTCAGACGTGCCCAAAAAGCCGACGTCATCAAGGTGTTCATCAACTGTGAAAAGAAAGCTTAAAATGCCGCCCACTTCCTCTAAGCCATTAATTTTATTTGCTCACAAAAGACACCAAATAAAAAGCCGCCCTATTAAAATGAATAAATGAGATAAGGCCACGCATTGAGGCTTGTTATCGCTGAAATTGACAAGGAAAATCGACAAGGAACCAAAAAAGCGTATCAAATCTCGGGATATGTACAAGAGCTGGAAAATGCGTGGGGGAGGCAAATGAATTTAATATTTAATCAGAAAAATCGCACAACCCGGGTGAAATTAGGGAATTGAGAAGGATGCGGGAATTTTTGGGGGTGTTTTTTAGGCATTGGTGAGCACGGGGGGGGAAGGAGAATTATATTTGATAATGGTTGAGCTTTTGATAACAGAATGGGGAATATTTCTAAAACAAAATATAGCTTTTTGTTTTGCCATTTCCCACTCCTTTAAATATTCAAAAAAATGTAAAAATTTAATTAATCATGTGCCCTGGCCGTGTAGTACATCCAATAGATGAGATTCAGCAGTGTAAATGTGACCGGAAACAGCTTTTGACTGAATCTAAAAAGAACGAATTTTTAGGTTATTGGTAACAAACCGATCCATATCTTCTCCAGTCCACTTTGAAAATAGCTTTCCTGACACCAGCTTTTTCCGACGTTTTCGCGAATCTTTCGCTCCTTTTACGAATACGAGCATCTAAATTTTGAATTTTTATTCTTTTGTATTAGATTGACGAGCTCAAATTTTGACGACGTAAGCAACCTACCTGATTATTTTCCGATTCCTCCTTCTCCGCATTTGACGGATTTTCGGGCGGCCGCGGCTCTTGGCCACTGACGTACGTACGCTTTTGCCAAGCCGCCTCTTCAGGCGATGCACAAGATGAAGTCCCAGATCGCCGCCGCTAATTTTAAGTCAACATCCCAAATTAACAATCTTACAAATCCTCCCTTGAACGACCGAATCGAAAATGTCCGTTGAACGGCACTTTTCCGTAGATCTTCATCAGAGAGGAATTCTTCTTTCTGAGAGTTGAATTATTTAGAACTTGTTTTTGGAGACGTACAACGACTTCACGCTTGTTTTCCAGCATTCCCACGAGGGCCAATTCGACGATGGAGAGGAAGATGAAGCCCACGCATCCGAACATGAACAAGTCTAATCCTTTTACGTACGAGACCTAAAAACGTTCATATTTTTATTAATTTAACACAAACCTTTGGCAGACTTTTGGCAACATTAGAATATTGTAATGTCAAGGCCATCATAGAAGAAACACCAAGTGTCACTCTAGCCGGTAATGATCTTAAAATGACTTTGTTTAGTCTAGTTTAAATTTATTTTACTGATTACCTCCTATCCAACCAAAATGAAATCCACGAAATCAGCACCATGCAGTAGGTTGGTAGGTAGATCTGGAGCAAGTAGAAGCCATGTCGGCGCCGAAACATCAATTTTATATTTAGCTGAAAAATAGGTAAAATTAAGGGGGAAAATACCGTACCTGGTCCCAAACGCCGGCTGGGTATTGGTACGTTACTTTCTCATGGATAAATGATGTCATTTGAAAATCGGGGAGCCGAATTTCTTCCATGAAGCCGACGGGGTCGCCTTGGCGTTTCCAATGGAGTCGTACCTAAAATGTATAGAAAAATCGAGGCATTAATGACATATTGAAATCAAGGAAATGTTTTAAAATAATTCCTACCTTCCCAACATTAAAAGAATAACTTTCAAATATTGTCTGGCAAACCACACGATCCATAGGGAAGGTTCTAAAATTACGTTTAAAATATCGGCGCATTAATGATACTCTACGGTATCCAAATCCATATAACTTAATTTCCTAAAAAATACTCACGCGAAATGCATCTCACACGGCGATTCTACCACAAATCGATAATTCATCCACACCGTCCCATTCGGAAATATCGCCAAAAATATATTCGGTGTCGGCGACTCGTGTATCTTCGACGCTTTACTGTTGACGATACAAACATTAGGCAACCATAGACTATCAACCATTCGATAGGACAACGACAGATTTGTCAGACAGTGTGCCCCTTCTTCGTGCTTGAAAATTCGGCATATACCCCTCTGAGGCATACAGGTTTACCTCGAAAGACAGCGCTGGATCATGCCAAATTTGCGAGAACAGAATATGCATTGTGGAGGAGCTCTAAAAGAGGGAGGAGAAGCTACAGATTTTAGAGGGTGAATTTGATGGAAAGGAAGTGAGAAGTAGAATTTATGCAAAATTCTATTAATTCCTGCCTTCATTGGGCCTTTAAAATTCGCTTACCTGAATCTCGTTAATTTCGGAAACCCGTTGGACGAGCAGCTCGATGTCCACATCAACGCCTCGCATTTTTGGCACCATGTTACGGTCATATTTGGCAAGAATGTCGGTGAGGATTCTAAAGAAGTAAAATTTTAATTTTACAGGATTTTTTCGAAGGAATATTGCTGGAAAGGTAGCAAAATTTAAGTGGTTTTTGGTTTCCTTTCCAACAATATTCCTTTATTTAAATGAAGCGTGAAAGCTGTTTGTCTAGGCTGCGTATGCGACGCGGTGCGGCCGCGTTGCGCAATAGACAACCCTGCCGTCACGTTTCATTTTAAAGGGATCAGCAAGGCTGATTATGGATTTCGTGGCCTGTTTGCATAGCGTAATCAATTACGTATCACGAGCGATGCGTGTTGCGTAGCGGTCAAATCCTTAGCCAACAAAATCCATATCCAGACCTTGCCCGCCCCTTTAAAACAGCAAAAGCCGAACGAAATCCTCGAGAAGTTGAGGGTGGAGGGTATGGGGTAGACAGAGACAGTTGGTGTGTTTGAAAGGCGATAGTAAAGAACGCATTATAGCAAATCACCCGGGGGATATATTGCGCCCCCGTGGGTGGTATAGCACACACCGAACCTGTTCACCGGGCCGGCTGGGCTCACCTGGACTCTATCCTGTTCGTGCATATTTAGTTTTTGTGAAGGATTTTAATGGCGTAAGTACGAATCACATGTCGTAATTGATCGGGGAAGCTATGAACGCAAAAACGTCGAAGTAAAAACCAATTTTTCTCCCGATAATTGTGCTTTTATGGCTTCACAATCTAAGTTTCAGAAGCGCGGGATTCAAATTCAAAAACGAAAAGGAATTCTTCTTAGCTTAGTTAGATCTCGATAAATTTGGAAGATATTTGAAAGCTTTTACGGAAACCTACTTCGTGGCCATCTTCTCAGCCTGGGCGAGCTCGCACGATGGATCGTCCGATGGGTCGCGGATTGGGGCCGGAATATCGAGGTCGCGAATTACTACAAAAATTATTAATTTAAAATTTAAAAAATTGCTATAGAATTATTCTAAACCTTGTAACCTGTAGAAGTGATAAATTAAAGTTAGTTTTGATGCTTACATGAACATCCCCCATTCGCATCTGGACTCCACCCCTGTCGACATTCACAACTCGTCGTTCCATTGCCCCACTGTTTACACCACGTTGAGCGTAAATCGCATTTGCCACAATCTAAAAATAACAATAATACCTCTATGTAATCAATAATTAAAGATATTTTACATAATAAAAACAAAATAAAGCAGATTCTAATTTTTTACATCAAATAAAAGAATTTATATATAAGTTTTATGAAATTTTATATTTTGCTATTTTTAGACTATACTTCCATATAAATTTGACTCAAATTTAACTTTAAAAACTCACCCTCCTCAAGAGCTAACACAATGGATAGTGTAAGACTAAGTAGAAGGTGGAAGGCCATCTCGGCACCCCTCGTCTCATTGCTTCTCCAGCTCGCACTGCATACGAATATCTGAAAAACGTTTTATTATCATCACGCGATTTCTTCACAACTACAATTGGAATTTGTACATAGTATATGGAAAACAAGGACATATAAAAGAATCCAACCAATCACAAAATGATAAAAAAAAATAGGTTTTCACTGTATTTTTGGGCAAGGGAGTATCGAGGGCAAGATTTTTGAGATTCACCGAATTCAGAGAGGTCTACCCGGACGAAATTCGAATGCGTTTTTGGAGTTTTGAAAGAAAAGAATAATTAAAATTGAAATATCAAAGGTGGATAATTTAGTCTTGAGATCTAGCCGAGTAGTACATCCAATAAGTTAGGTTTAGAAAAGTGAAGGTGACTGGGAAGAGCTTCTGGCAGAATCTGAAAAAATTGACGCATAAAATTTTTATAGTACAAACCGGTCCATGTCCTCGCCGGTCCATTTTGAAAACAGTTTCATTGTGCTAAGCTTTTTTCGGCGTTTTCGGGAGGCACGAGCTCCGCGGACAAATAATAGCATCTAAAATAGGAATAAAGTATAAAACTGGTTGGGTTACCTGATTATTTTCTTCTTTATCCTGTTGACCATTGTCTTCTGAAGGTTTTGGTTCTTGGAGTGTTGCGTTGGTCTTAAAAATAAAGCTATCAAAAGCCATTACAAAACTCACTCTTTGCCTCCACGCCACTTCATCCGGAGATGCACAATGTGATTCAGGATATGAAGCTCGGATCGGGCGACCCTGATTAAGTTTTACAAAATTCTTGTTGGTTCCACTTACATATCCAGATTTCATGGCTTTTATTGAGAACGTCCGTTGAGCTACGCTCTTGCGCAATTCCTCTTCGGACAGGAATTCCTCGCTCTGAATCTTTTCAATCACGCATTAATGGGAACGTACCGCCAATTCGCGCTTATTTTCGAGCATTCCAACAATGGCCAGCTCAACGATGGATAGGAAAATATATCCGACGCAGCCGAACATAAACAAATCCAAGCCCTTGACGTAGGAGACCTGGAATTTCCACGATCATCAATGCTAACGTTTTTTAAACCACCTTTGGTAAACTTTTAGCCACATTCGAATACTGTAACGTCAAGGCCATCATCGATGAGACACCAAGTGTTACCCTGGCCGGTAGTGATCTAAATTTTTCCTTTGTATTAAACTCTCAATTCCGGAAACACTACCACGGGACGTCTATAAAAAGAAAAAATATTAAAGGGGAAAGGAAAGTGAAAAGAACCACGGCAAGCGATTACTTCAACCTGCGGTCCAGCCAAAATGAGATCCACGAGATGAGGACCATACAATAGGTGGGGAGGTAGATTTGGAGGATGTAGAAACCGTAGGAACGCCGGAAGATCATTGTGATGTTTAGCTAAAGGTGTGTTTAAGGTAACGTCGTATTTATTACAACCTGATCCCAAACACCAGCTGGATATTGATAAGTGGCTTTGCGATGGTTTGAGGCGGCCATGTAGAAGTCGGGGAGTCGCACCTCTTCCTCCATAAAACCCACTGGGTCTCCCATTCGTTTCCAATGAAGACGGACCTATTTTATAAAGGTTTTATCCCTAATTTACATCTTAATTAAACATTTATTCAAATACAAGAAAGAAGACTTACCTTTCCAACATTAAATGAGTAACTTTCAAATATCGTCTGGCAGACCACTCTATCCATAGGAAATGTTCTAAAAATTCGAATAAACTAAAGAAATGCCTAAAACTACGTAAAATCCATCTCGCACGGCGATTCCACAACGATACGGTAGTTCATCCACACAGTACCATTTGGGAATATTGCCAGAAAGATATTTGGTGTTGGAGAGTTGTGTACTTTGGAGCCTGACGGAATGGCTTTAAATATAGGAAATTCCACCATACCTTTACTGTTGACGATACAAACATTTGGCAGCCAGATACTCTCCACCATTCGATGGGATAACGACAAATTCATAAGACAATGCGCCCCTTCTTCGTGCTAAATTTAGCAAAATAAAACTTAAACTAATTCGCTCAGTTTCTAAATAGTGCGACTAAATACGGTACCTCAAACGAAAGCCCTGGATCGTGCCAAATTTGCGAAAATAATATATGCATTGTGGAGGAACTCTAAAAAGAGGCATACATTTTCCTAGGATTCGAACCTGAATCTCGTTGATTTCGGAGACTTTCTGGACTAACAATTCCACATCCACATCAACCCCTCGCATCTTGGGGACCATGTTTTTGTCGTATTTTGATAAGATGTCGGTGAGAATTCTGGAAAATGGAATTAAGATAATTTTTTTTGATCGTTTTTAAAGCAAAGCCTTTTCACCCTTTTCCTCACCGAGTCTCCACCCTGGTTGTAATTCGTGTAATTTTTATTGCCAAAAAACTATAAAAATGTCAAAATTAGTCTTTATGATTGTAAAAAAAATTATAAAACTAAACCTTGTGGCCATTTTTTCGGCTTTGCCCAATTCGCAAGAGGGGTCTTCTGAGGGGTCGTGGACTTCATCAGGGTACCGTTCGATCGTTCGGGTTACTGTAAAAGTTGAACCTTTTAAAAATTTAAAACCCCACAGTAACACCCTCCATTCCCATCCGGACTCCACCCCTGCCGACATTCACAACTCGTCGTTCCGTTACCCCACTGCTTACACCATGTTGAGCGCAAATCACATTTACCACAATCTGAAAATCATAATAATAATTGTATATAATCTATTAGGTGATTAATTTCATTTAAAAAATATAAAATAAAAATTAGATGTTTACCTTCTTCCAAAGCCATCACCAATGAGATGGTGAATGTGAGGATAAAGTTGAACGCCATCCCGCCGAGTTCATTGCCTCCGGTACCCCGGAGGCATACGCCTAGAATTCAAAACGAGCATTAAAACTTCATAAATCGCCATAGTAAGAAATTCATAGATAATAAAAAACATAACATCATAACTCTTAAAACCTACAGCACTGTATTTGTAGCACCATCTAGTAAACCAAAGATTTGAATCTCAAAAAAATCCAAAGAAGCCCCCAACCCCCAGACCACTCACCTAGCCCGCCAGTGCCAATAAAATTAACCCAACCCTATCAACCCAAATTCCGAAAAAGAAAAGTCCGCCCCCTGCGCCACATCCACAAAACACCCGCCAATGTGTCGAGTATTTTCTAGCAATTCCTAGCTACCGGATAAATAGGAATATCGGCTAATAATTGAGGAATAGCACTTCAGGCAAAAACAATGGGCGCATCTGAGACAGTAAATAATTGGAGATGGAAGAATGAGGGAAAAGAATGCATGAGTGGATTTTGGAAGTGGGTGTGGATAGGAGAAGAAGGTGGAGCCTTTGGAATGCACAAAATGGAATAGGAATATCGCTTTAAAAACAGTTTTCGAGGTGACTCCCCTTTTTCAAAAGACGAAAATTGCAGTATCCATGGCATCCAATCCCTTGAATCCTCCTCCCTCGTCGCGACGTAAAGCGGATATTTGTGAAATTCTTGTGGGAATGAATAGCCGGCGATCGAGTGGAAAATGGGCAAATAGCCGGGCCGCGTTTATTGGCTTCATCTTTTCGCAATGGAGGAGATGAGGAGGGGGCGTCAAAGATGTCGGAATTTGAAAAGCGTGAGGTATAGACTTTATTAAAGGGGTTGAGGGGAGCCTAATCCTATGCCTAAGCCAACCTAAGCCTAAGCTTAAGCTTAAGCCTAACCTAAGGCTAAGCCTACGCATAAGCCTAAGCCTATGCCTCGGCCTAAGCCAAGTTTAAGCCTGATCTAAGCCCGAATTAGCACATTTTTGCCGGAATCACCATGCGCTTAAAAACCTCAATCCACCCATCACTACGCATTAACGATAACCCAAAACCCAGCTGATGATAAATCCCAACACACCCCTTCACCCAGGTCCCTATTCCATTGTGGCCCAGCAGTCTGCCCGGACGACGGGGAAACAAATCAGATTTTCACGCACTCCCAGCCCATCCCACCCCCAAACACACCCCCCGGGCCTTCACCTCCAAAACCCGCCACAAACTCGGCACGTTATTAGGGGGACGAGATACTCGGCCCGTCACTCCGTCTCTTTCTTTCCTTACACCCCAACAACTCGTCACTGGGAGGGTCCCTCCCAAATCGGCGCGTGCAGCTGGTTTGGAAATTTTTTCTGGTGTCCGTATTTTTAGGGGTAAAGTCCGAAGACCATAGGGATCTTGGATTCTTTTGGCAGGGGTCCAAAACGCAAAAATACCCGGCTAAAAACGGAGGGAGAATCTAGAAAATTGCAAAGCTTGCTCACGTACAAGGCTTCAATTACTATATCGACACCTACGAGCAGTTTCGCAGAGAGATCGAGGCAAGACAGAGAGAGAGAGAGAGCGAAGGAGGGTGAGAGAGAGATATTTTTCTATAAATTTGAATTGATTGAAAGAAATTTTGTACTGAAATACGCAACGCAATCGTATGCGCTCAAAAGGTCCGGACGATATCGCTAGAAGGAAAGGCATTAGGAAGCGTAAACGAAAATCCGAAATATGGCTAATTCTGGGTAGCTAATAAGACCGTTTTGACGCTAACATGTAGTTCCTAGCCGTATTGAGCCCGCGGCTTAGAGCCGATATAAGCCTAACCCCTAAATTCCACTGACCAACGATCCGCACCCTCTAACCACCCCACAAAAACCACAAAAAAAACCTCGAAGAACAGAGTCACTAGAGTGAAGGGCTGTGAAAATGAGGTGTTGCTGAGTTGATAGCTCGCCCTCCCCTAACCGGAGGTCCGCAACCTGACAGTTGACAGCTCTGAAATGAAGTGGAGATGCAGCAGAAAGCAAAAGAGCACCAAAGTCTCGTGCTAATGGAAATGGAGGGGGGCAGGCTTTTCGTAGCTTTCAGTCGAGGGGGCCAAGTAGTGATTGATGAACTCTGATGGCCCCTTGCGACATTATCATGGACAATCTTTTTTTTGTCCTGGCTCCAAAAAATCACCCGCAAAAATAACAGAGTGATTGATCAGGGGAAAATGATTAATGAAATTGATGATTATGAATGATTAATGAAAAACGAAAAGCGCAACAAGGATAAGGACAAGGTCGTTGCTCTCAGGAACTTTCAATAGTCCTTTAATGCGCAAAATATCACGATTAAAAATAGTTCCAAATTTAAGGTAACGAAATTTTAAAAAATCCAGCACCTAAATAATCGCTGTTTGGTCTCTGATTAGGACTTTCCAAGATCCCAAAATCCGGATTTCAAGTTCAAAAATAAATTAAAACCATATCACTTCCGTCTTATCCATTTTTTTCGCACATTTCCGACTTCCTCAAACATCTACAAGGTTTCTCCGAGAACAAGATCTCCCTAACCGAAATCATAAATAATCGTGAATTCCCAGAGTTGCCGTACTAATTTAGGCGCCAGCGTACCCATTAATGACGCAAACTAGGATCCCGCTCATTACCGAAAAAAATTCCGCAACTCCCTTTGAAACCCCCAAAAAATCAGTGGAAAAAGGTTATGCGTTGGGTGCGCGGGGGGGAGTGGGTTCTCCTTTGGGCCCTTCTGACTCGTCCGAATTTCATTTTGAGTGCCCCTTGGGCCACAAGACATCACACACTTAGCCCCTCCTACTTCCCTTTTTCGGTTAGTTCAAATCCGGGCAAACCGAGAGGGGAGTATTTGGGGGGATATATCTGATAGCGCGGGGGGGTGCGGCGCCGAAAACTATCAGTTCAAGAGAATCAGTTAAAGCCAGAAAAAATCTAAATTTACGGTTTTATGATTTTCAACTTAAAAAACTTTAGCCGCCGAAAATTCGATTTTCAGTTATTTTTTATTGTTATGCTAAACAATTCTAAGCATGTTTTAAATATACCGTTCAATAGAAAGCCAAATCATTTAGCAACGACAACTTTAAAGTCAGACCGAACCACTTAAAATAATTTTTTGAACGGAATTTTGACTCCATCTTATTCCCACCCACCTCTCCCTGTCTCTTTGTACCCAAAAAAAGAAGAAAAGAATAGAGAATAGTGTTCTCCTAAATGTATGCTTTCTGAATGTCTCCCTCCCACTTTCCGGCAATCACTCCCTCTTTGCACCAACCACCAAAAAATACTCAAAAAGCAGGCAATCAATGGGAGCACCTGCTCCCCTCCCCTTTACCCTCCGGATATACATTTGCATGCCCGGGGACACCTGAAAGCGACCAGAAATTGCGGGAGCGCCCCCCAAAAAGCATCCCTGAGAACGCGGGTAAAATCCAGATAAAGCCCTGAAAATATCTTAAGGAAAGCGGAAGGGTATCGGGCATTGAAATGGGGGGAAAGGGGGGGGGGGTTGGCTGTCAATAGCAGAATGCTGCCCCTTCACTTTTCGACAAACAAAGCATGGAAAAGCAGATGAGGATAAGAACGAAGTATTGAAAAACCACTTCACGGCTTGTAAAGGCAACAATTTAATTACTGTAATAAACCCCCAAAGCAACAACTCAAACATGCAACTCCACATTTAGCGCCGTCCATCTCGGACGTTTCCGGTGAGCTTCCAATTTGCATGGTCAATCTGAGGGATAAGCCGTGGCGGGGGGAAAAGCTTGCATGGAGACCTCTAGGACCCACGTGTGTGTATGTCGAGAGGGCGGCCCCTGCTCGATCTCAACCTTCGATAATTCAGCACCGCTTGGCACGCGCCACGTGAGGATATTCAATTCTGATAGAGGCGGAAGGGGGTCGAATTCCAGGATTTTAGTCTAGTTGGGGAAGTTTTTTTGTAAATTTAACGGCAGTATACTTTAATAGGGTATCTTAACATTTCAATTTGCCTAAATTCAGTATGGATACGCCTGATTATGCCGATAGATTTGGCCGCTTTCTCGAGTTTTTTATGGAGCCGGAACTACCCGATCGCCAGCCAGCTATTTGTAAAATAAACTGTAATCTCTGTACAAAAAAAAGCTTGACAAAATCTCCGTAATTTAGAGAACAGAATACTTATTAAATTCGAATAAATCAACAAAACCCCATCAAATATCCCCTCGTCACGCAAAAATCAACACAGCGCCCACCCTCGGGGAACAGGCGCGATTTCGCCAAAACTACCCACCTCCAATCTATCAACGTCAAAAAAGCGCCATCCATGCACAGTCTCCCGTTTATTTTGGGTTTAGTGACAAAGAGCAAAGTTTAGGCTATTAAAACCAACCAAATCCGATAAAATGACGTGACCCAAAAAATCAGTATCCATACTGAGCCCCGAATTCGCGCTATGCTGCGTGTAGATGTTCTTCCAAAGCCCTCGACATAGATCGTGAGGCCCCCGCTCCGAAATGCACGACATTTGCTAATTTGGGCGTTTTTCCGAGGGGAACGGAACGGCCGCCAGAAACGTCGAGATGCAAACTCACAAGTGAAGCAATTTAAGTTCTTTGTAAAATCGTGATATCACCGTTACAAAGCTAAAAAAATTATTTAACATTAAAGCGCATTTTTCGGTTGTTTTTCCCATTTTTAAGCCCAAAAATTTCGGCTCAACGTCAGAATACATGAGAGAGCTATTTGTGTGTGGGCGTTTAGATGTGTCGAGGTGGAGCTTTAATTCTAAGCGTCGATCCCTAAGGGATGGGTCGAGAAACGGGGGAAGGGGGTGAAAAGCCTCGAGATTTGCTACCAGATATCCTCAGCGAGCATCTTCTATAAACGGAGCCAAGAATGGCACTCATGTCCTTCGACTTCCCTCGAAGATCAACCATTTTAGGCGTAAACAACGGCCTGGGAATTTGAGGGAAAACGTGGTGTAAGGGCATTGTCTTTAAAAAATATAATATAAGTTTTTTGCAAATTCAAATAAAAATTGAACAGCAAAATTATCGATAAATAATTAATTCAGCCCCAAAGACAATCAACTTTTCGGTATTACGATATTTTGAATGGCATTCATAGGGTATCCAAAAATGTTGAATCCAAATCCGAAAAAATAATTTAATAAAATTATACAACAAATGTCTGAACAGCGGATAAGGAGAAGCCGATTTTCTAGATTTTCAATATCCGATAGGGCGTCCAGAACATACTAAAGGGTAAAATTACGGGCAAAAACCTATATTTAAAACTATATGATAACCTATACCTATCTATCCATGTAAATCCCAAAAAATAACCCATTAATTCATAACCCTAGATAAATCAGGTAGCGTGTTGAGATGAGAAACGGTCGGCTGCCACCCAGCCATTCCACCACTCCATTAATTACAATGGATGAGTGGTGAAGGCGGGCAAGAGGCGGAAAAGGAAGACGAACGGCTGTCCTTAGCCCTCTTGGACCTTTCCTATATAGCTGGATGAAGGGGGTGTAAAGGGGTCACTTGTGGAAACCCGAGTCAGCGACCACTTGTCGTCTCTCGATATCCTTTTGCCCATCCCTGTCCTTTTGGGCTATTGTCGAAAATGTCGGAGGGTTGGGTTTGAGGCGACAGGTTGTTCGACCGCAAAAAAAACAAAAACATGGGTGTTTAAGCTTCAGGTCCTGGTCGGAAAGGATTATAAAATCAAATAAAAATCTTGGGGACGACCAAATCATAAAATAGGCTAGCAGAGAAACTTTAGGAAGGATGCCACCAATCGGATCGCTCTTGAGAACCAAACCTTAAAGGGACGGACAAGGCAAGACTACGGGTGCTATTACGGGTTTTATTACGGGTACACCTACTTACATCCAAGCTTCTCTCTCTCCCTCTCTTTCTCTCTCTCTCTCTCTCTCTCTCTCTCTCTCTCTCTCTTTCTCTCGCTCTCTCTCTCTCTTTCTCTCTCGCTCACTCTTCCTCGCTATCTCTTCTAACACTGCTCAGAAGAAGGGCTTCTGGCAAGTATACCCAAACGTACAAGCGTCTGTGAATGCGTTCTGGCTAATAACTAAGGAAAAAAGAAGGCTTCCGGCCTGCCACGCACCCGGATCGCCCTTAAAACGGCCAACGACCACAAGCACAACCAGAAAATATAAAAAATCCTATAACAATTCCCCGACAACATCCAACCAACCAAAAAGCATACTGTAACCCTGAAAGCCACAAAAGATCAAAGTCTAATGCTCACTGGACCGAACCAGCCAGATCCAAAAGCTACGAAGACATCCATTGGGACCCTCGTCCCTACCTACCTGAACCCCCCTTTGATGACTGGGCTACCCCATTAACAAATCGTGATGGCCATTCTCCCCCCATCTTTCCAAGGGCTTCACCCAGTCTGCCTCGTTTCCTTCACCATGGCTATCTCCATCCCCTCATCCTCCTCCTCCTGGCCCACAAAAAAGCGTGCATTTGGGCGTCGCCTAATGGCCGGCTATATTCCATCACCGGCACACACAGACATACACGCACACACATACACGCACCCCGGTTTCAGACTACCACCAGTGGAGGGGTTAATGTATGCAAAAATTTGAATTTAAGATATACCGTATTTCCACTAAAGGTGCCCCTGGTAAAAACTGTCCAAGGGTCAATGCAAGGAAAATCCGGGTAAAAGCGCCAAAGGGGATAGCGTTCAAAAGTGGAGGCCAGCGGCCTTCCCTCCAAAACTTTTCAACTCTTCATTTTCCATTATTTAAAAATTCCATTTTTAAAAAAACTAAAGCCAGAACGTCGCTGCCAAATCTGGTTGTCCTCATCAAAAAGACTCGGCTTCGCGAAGATCGTGATTCTGGCACCATTTCCGCTTATGCAATCTACGGGAGACTGGGCTTAGAAATGCATGCGGATGCAGAAAAGGGTCGCCCCCTGCCAAAAAAAACCCCCAGAGAAAGCTTTTTGCAAAAGTTTCTGAAATCACGGTAATGCTAAGAATCGAAGATGCTCTTGTAGCCGGATAAGCATCTCGACGAACGCAGGGAAACGAAAATAGGTGGCCGTCGTCGTGTGCCTTCCGTTCCCCCCTCCATAACACGTTTTGCATAAACAAAAAACGACCGGGCAAGGGCGCCCGCCATGGCCCTTTGGCCCGTGCCCATTGAAATGTTTATCGCCCTGATTTAGTGCCGTCTCGTCTCGGCACCCAGTCGTTTATACTGGCTACTAAATTGTGCCCCTTGCGAACATCAAATAAAAAGATGCGCCGCCGGGCAATATCCATGCAGATGTGTAGCTGAATGTTTAGTGCTGGGGGTGCCATGAAGATTGGATTACGAGGTTTTACGAGTTAAATGGAAAGGAAGGTAAACAATTTTGTATTATTAAAAATTATTCACTCGATCGCCAAAAAATATACTACCATTGTAAGATATTTAATTTCAGCTCGAAATATATAATTCACAAATTTTAATTAATAAACTTTTTCGGTCTAGGTACCAATAATTTTAAGTTACAGTATATTTCGGGCCGACATCAAATCTGCTAGTATATTTTTTTTGAACCGTCGTCCGATGGCATACATGAAATCCCGAAAAAAAGCGAAAGTGTTGGCTTTTTGTGAAACCGAAAGTTGTTAATTGAAATTAGATTGGATCCCGTTGGCCGGTGGAAATCGACTGCGCAATAAAGGAAATTAATTATATTAAATAATTTATCAACACTAACAAAGTGAGCACGTTTTCCTACATAACCGCTTCATGACAGGCAGATATTGCTTATGGTCGCAAAGGCCAGATTTTGCTTGACAATCGATCGCACGGTCCTTACAGGCTGTTGTCTGAAATCACAGAACGTGTTTTAGACTTAAAAAACTTCAGATAACCTCCAGATCTGTAAACTTTAACCCATGATATACACATACCATAGTAGTTGTAGTGGTTGTAGTGGTAGAGGTCAGATCTTCAATGTCAACTATCGACTGGCCACGAATAAGCCGCAACATATCTACTATGGTCATATCTAAATCAACAACAATAAAGTACCAATTTTAATTAGCCTTACCTTCCTCACTGTTGCCTGTAGCTTTCCGGATCTCCTTAGATATCTAAAAATCCTTGATAAAATTGCGTAAACACCAAACCCCTTTAACACTGACGTCGATGCAGAATCCACAGGTAAACGCGCATCTCAACTACTTTGTTGCCTTTACTGCTAATAGATAGCTTACTGTCTGCGCATCATATGGTGAAATAAAATATTATCGCAAAGAGCAAGATTCTCATCACAGTCAGATGCACGATCTTCACATCGATTACTAGGGCTATAGCTTGGATCGTCTAAATTATTTGCTATTTTAATAATATCTAACTGAAAAGTGTACCTGCTGCAAGTAACGTAGAGCATTGATGACAAGTGACTGGGCAGGAAAGACTCATAGCAAACCTGAAAGACGCTTTATGAGCCTTAGGTATGCCGGTTTTAGCCACTATATTATAAATACCTATGCTTTTCTTCATCACAAAAATCCTTCCTTCGCTCGCAATCCCGAGAAGTGTCGCGACAAGATGATGCCAATAAAACGGGGAGCATTATCGTAATGCTCCAAAAAGTCAGCCAACCGAATCGGGACATGTATGCGGGATTTGTTCCTCCACCGGGTCGGACATCTGGGTTCGGATTTCCGTCGATCGTCTTGCTTTGAAGAGCCCGTGGGGGATGGACGTTGTTTCTATGTTTATTCTTCCATCTCTCCCCGATCGGTCGTTACAAGACCGAGGACTTTTTATGCCGGTCAAGATCCCGAACTATTAGAAGGCTTTGCGGAGGGAAGGGTACAAAAGCGCGAAGTAAAAACGGAGCGGGCCTTTAGTACAGACACTTCTAGCAAAAATGGTGATGATGCTGGGGTTTCCGACAGCTTACAAGGAGAGCCCTTTTAGTGTCACCGGCAAAACCTTTTGCGACCTAGCTCATTCGATAGAGAATTGAATTCTGAACAAGCTCCCGTTGTTCGTTTTTGCGGAATGGCTGTCCCCGATTTTATAAAATTAAAAAACTAAAACAGCATTTTTGGACCTCGATGCTCGCGCCACCCCCTAAATGGCCGCCGGGGGAAGAGCCGCTCTGACCTCTCCACACCACCAGTAAGCGTGGCGCAGTGGCTAATACAACGGCCTACCAAACTTTTTTTTGCGATTCAGGCAAAGTTCGAAACTCACATCAACACTAAAAGGGCACTCCTTGTTAGCTACGAATAAGTACGACACAAAATTCCGACGATCGTTGATAGTTGCGCGTTTTCCAAACAACAAGCTCAAAGCAGCCGACGACGGAGAGAGAAGCGCCGGTCAAAGAGGGTCTGCCCGACGGTCCCTTGCTGGATTTTCTATTTTCCTGGTTACCGACGTCTTAGCTCATCTCAGGTCATTTTTTCAACTGATTTCAAATTAGAGTAGAAACGAAAAGCGTTGGGTTGGTCTTATCAAATAACGCTCCCTAGTTTTTAAGTAAAGACCGGATGTAATTCAATATTAAAGTAACCATGCTTCACGATCGAATCTGTCTGAAACCGAAACCAGCGCAAACACTGATCGGGGACAAGCTAAACGCCCAGATTGAGCCCGCAACTTCCTAAATACCCAATTTTGTGATGCTTTAAAGCAAAGGCCTAGGTCTTAACAATTTCAATATACGCTTAAGAATAGCAATTGCTAATATGCAGATTTTCAATCCCTGCGCCGCTAACCCGAGAGCTCCTTGATCCAAAATTCCAACTCATATTTTACCAGTAACCAGCTTCACAGCCGAGTGTGAGCTTTTTCTATCAACATCCCGGACAACCGGGCCTTTTCTATGCGATGATAGATATCGATCGTCCTGTATACTGTGTCGTACTGGGCGGACGATCTCCTCTTTATCCATTGCGCCATCTGCTTTCCCCCGGGCCAATCCATCGCCCCCTTCTTTCCCTTTCCATTGCCTTCAGCCCACTTTTTCTACCCTATAAGCATCGTCTTTCCAGCCTGCCGACCACTGAATCATCCTATTTATGCATTTTCACACTCCCCCGATAGATCTGATTCATTCCAAATGTCTTTTTCTGTTTTAGGCGATAATGGCGTTTTATAAAGGGACATTACTGATTCGATAGAGCTTAAAAAGTATAACATGTTCCAAATTTCATCAACTGCTGAATGATAAGGGTGCTGGAGAAAATTTTCACGGAGAGGGCAGGGTTTGCCCATTCTTTGCACCCCCTTGACCAATAGGAAACTTTATCTCGAATTTCTCTCTTATCTTAGCAATTTTGAAAGATCGGACTTGTTCAGAATTCCAGGCTCTATCGAATGCGCAATATCAGATGCTTTTGGACAGCCTTATTTTTGTGCTCACAAAGTCGATTAGCGCGTTTTGTAAGGATGTTGAGCTTTATTGCTCACAAGCTGTTTTCGCCAAGTTTTTTTGGCAGATTCCACAGGACTAATTGTTGGGTTAGTGGTACGAATAGACACTACTTGTAGGCTCAAAATTGGTTCGCGCATTTAGGAGCCCGATCGTTCTTCGATAAGTAGATTCTATATGACTGGAGCTGTCATAGTTCACCGGCAATTTTCAAAAGAGGACATGGTTCCTTTCCTGCTGATTTGGGAAAATGAGCTTGGTTAGGGGGTAACTGATAATCGCGGTGATGCTTTAATTTTAGTAACATTTTACTCATCCTTACGCTATTTCTGTGCCTGCTGGGTAATCAGCTGCTGTTCACGTGGCCGACATACATCGTATTGCCTTTCTCTCTCGCAGCAGGGAAAAGCGAGACTGATCATAGAGATCGTAGCAGAATGAGAGGGGGTAGACATGCGAGATGATCGACAGTCGAAGAAGTCCCAGCCGCATTGCATTGACTTTGTCTTGCTGCTTTTCTCTAACCACCGTCTTTTCACCCTTTCGACAACCTCGATCCTCGCTTAGGTTTGCACAGCGGTGCACAGCTCAACGAGTCAATTTCCTTGTGAACGTATAGCGATCCGACACCTGGCCGCCATGTATTCTTGTTCTCGTTATCTTATTTTTTTGCTTCGACAATTTTTGCCGGCGCCCGAAATAATGGGGGCGCACTGCCGAAATGGGCTCCTATTCCCAGATTACAGCAAAGTATCATCGACATCGGTTAGATTCCATTGCCGATCATCAATCACCGATTTTCGCATGTTTCTACCCTGGTGACTGAGAATTTAGGGCGATTTTTTAATCGATATTGCTGGATATATGATCGTCCCCTGATGCGCTTTTGCCCCTAGAGTCAAGCTATTGGCTGACATTCTTGGCCTCCATTTCCTTTTCTTCTTATATATATCGTGACTCAATTTCGAGACACAATTCTGCCTTTCCTCAATCGATTGAGATAGCTTTCTAAAAATTAATTATTTGTTTTTCAGAATGGGAGAACCGGCGACGGTTGGCTCTGCGAGGGACTGGAGCGAACGGTTGAAGGGATGGCTCTTTGGATTTTTCATGTTGTCTTCGACGGTATTCGGTGAGTATTACTTTTTTATATATTTCGGTGTCTTTCAAATTTTAGGATTGGGCGGAATAGCTTTTGACTTTATCACCAGGCGAGAATTTTGAAGAACTAACTAATTTGTCTTTGAACCTCTTACGCTAGCCTTGAGTTATATTCGCGCAAAGCCATGTATTGCTCGAATCTTCCGTTTTCAGGTGCAATATACATATTCATTCCGTTCACGCCATTGATCTTCTTCTACCCAAGGGCATGGAGGCGTTTCGCTGATCACATGAATGGAACGTGGCATTCAATGGCTGGGGTGAGGTTTTTTGTAGGGTCTTTTTGCCAACTCGCAAGGTTTTGCTTACTGGCAGCAAACACAATGGTGAATAAAAAAAGGGCGGTTTTGCGTTTTGGGCCACCGTTCCTTTTGTGCTCAATAGATTGTTCGGATAGGCGCGTCAAACTATCAGTTGTCAATTTCTGAAATACCAGATGGAAGCGTGATGCATCTTCTTATTAGCGTCGATTATGATCGAAATTTTTAGTCTTGCGTCCGGCTACTATTCGGCGTCAAGACGCGGATTGTTGGTGACAAAGCGGATTCCAGGGAAATGGCCATTTATATTATGAACCATCGAACGAGGTATAATATTTTCCGCTTATTTCATTTTTATCGCCTAGCCTCGACTGGTTCTTCTTCTGGAATGGTCTGTATCAACAAGATCCTTCGCTGAACCACAGTGAGAAGATTGCTCTAAAAGGAATGGCCAAGCATTGTCCTGGCGCAGGTATGTTTCTGTGTAAACGTTTAGTTTTGTCTTCTAGGCTGGGCGATGCAATGCAATAGCTTCATCTTCCTCGACAGGAAAATGGAACGAGATAAAGAGAGGGTACGGAGGCTACTTGATTATTATGTCGGAATCGGCAACAATTATCAGGTTGCTTGACTTTTCTTTTTCCATTCAGTTTTTCTAGATTTTACTCTTTCCCGAAGGAACCGACAGATGCCCGATTTCCATCGAAAGCAATGAGAAATATGCAGCAAAAATGGTATATTTCTATCTAAAACCTCTGAAATTTTTGTCGCCTTTCGGCGTCCGCGATGCAGTAGGCACGAGCAATTTAACAGGGCTTTCTAATTATATAGTTGTATTAATCCTTTTGGTAATAAGTTTTTAGGGATTGGCTCCCTATTCCTACCTCCTGCACCCCCGGACCACTGGCTTCGTCTTCATGGTCCAGCAAATGCGAAAGAGTCTGTTTTCGCTGTATTATAACTATTGTTTTTAGCTGGTAAACTGAAGGCCATCTACGACGTCACTGTCGGATATAAAGACAAGATCGTTCAAACCGAAACCGACATTATTATGGAAGGTGTATGCCCGCAAGAAGTACACTATCAGGTGAGGACGATTGCTAACGGCGGTTTGTCTGCCGCTCTTGGAGATCGGGGGATTTTTTTCAAATGCGCAGCCTGGTTCTTGACTAGTTTTTATGGCCTTCTGGTGACAGTCGAAATTGGATTGTGTTGTTGTGAAAACACGAAACTAAGATTGATTGACGTAACTGACGTGTGCTAGGTGTCCGCAAACTGAGTATTTCGTATTTGATGTTCTTCAACGCATCCACAAGCCTTCTTTTTTATAATTTGTTTAGATGATCCGAATTCCGATCGACCAACTTCCACTCGGTGACCAGCAGTTAGCCGATTGGCTCGTTAAGAGGTATTTATTGGCTTCTAATCATAATCGCGCGCTCTTGCGTGATCTTTCCCCTCGACCATAGCTAGATCGGTACGCTATTGCTTTCCTTTCCATCAATACTATATATGATCGATTTAGATGGGCTGACAAGGAAGAGAAGCTGCGCCAGTTTTACGGGTCTCCTCGTGAGCAAACTTTCGACAATACACCAACTGGCCAGGAATACTTTGTACGTTTTGATTGCCTAAGTTTACACCGTTTTTTAAGTTGACCCCCGAGGGCGAGCGACGAGGCAATATTCTCGTCATCGGCTGGACATTGGGCACGTTCGCTTGGATTTTTGGTCTATTGCCCTACCCGATGCTGTCTCTGCTTACGTAAGAAGTTCGGTGTCTCTTTGTATTGGCTTATAGGGTCTACGGCATTTCCTACTATCTGATTGTTTGCTTGGTCTACGGAGGAGTGGAGTTCTTGGCGATTGAACGGTCGGTTTTTGTACATAGCTTTGACTTAATGTGGAAGAGTTTTTAGGTGGTAATAGAGCTTTGCTGTAAGAAATAGCTCATTCGATTGAGCTTGAAATGCTGAGCTTTCATCTTTCAAAAACTTCTAAACGCTAACTTTGTTCGCAAAGATTCGCTATGATGGGGGATTTGGCCAAATTTTTGAACTCTGCTAAAAATCTTAGTTTAGCCGGTGTTTCTCAAATGCTGTCAATGTCCAGAAATCTATGAAAGATGGAACTTAACTGAAGCTTTATCGAATACAGTGTCTCTCACAGCAAAACGCCATTACCACCGAAAAGCGACTGTTTCTAAGTGATTAATCCTATTCTTTTAGATTCCGAGCATGGGAGTCGTGGAATATCGAGCAAAAATGGAGCGTGATCCCGGAGACTTTTCAACGCGTCGCAGCCAAGCTCCCGTTTGGGTTTTTCTAAGTGATTTCTCTAGAATTCTCCTCGGTATACTTTTGACGCGGTCAACACTCGGGTTCGTTGGCATTTGCCTTTCTTGTGTAAGAATATGTCACTTTTGATTCACTGACATTGTCCTTCATTGTTTCCCCTTACTTTTGCCATTGACTTTCATAATAAAATATGATAGATCATCTTAGTCATCTATTTATGCGCATTCTTGTGAGTCACATTTTGTGTATGTATAACTTGACATTTGCCTTTTCCCGTTTGTATAAATGTTCGCATACCGATTGCAGATAATTCGCCTTATCGCATCAGCATACATGTATGCAGTGTGGGACAGCGTTCTTGCTATATCTTTCAGGTACCCGCTGGACCATCACTTAATGGTTTCCCCGTCCAATAGGGAAAAGCTTGCTGCGTGGGAGGTGATGATGACTAATTATTCGAGGAACGTGGTATCCTTCTAATTTCTTAGCCACCACGCTGCCTCATCTCTAGATAGACTCACTGAATGAAGAGAGATCACGTTGTTTTGAGCGCCGCTGAAGGGATAGCCGAGTTCAAGGCCAAACAAAGGACACATTCGATGGAGCTGCTTAGAGTTGTTTTAGCTCATTCTGAAATCAAGCGTAAGCGTAGACCTAGTGAAGTGAATTCGTGACGTGTTCAAAACAATCCGGAGTCCCTAGTCAGGTTGGACCCTTACGCTTTGGCTTGCCTTGCCGGTTGCCAAACCCACTTCGCGAGGATTCGTCTATGATTGCTCGGTTCCGTAGCCCCGTTCACAAGAAAGTTCCCTGTTTTTTCGACAGCCAACAATTTTGTGAGCAGTTCTTCTGCTATCAATCTCCGTGGATCGGCCAAACGGGCCTTGGTCCGGTGCTACGGGGGCGGCTAAAAGGGAGAGCTCCTCCCACCCGAGCGCACTATTTAATGGCAGCGAGGTGCTGAGCAGATCATCTAATGGGACAACAACTTTCTAGTCTTGGTTTTGTCTGAACTTGCCTCACATTTTTGGTGCAACGCAGCATTTAAATTGATCGTTTTCTTCCGACCTGTTCGATTGTCGTGACCATACCCACTGCTTCGTTGCTGAGAAATAGTGCGTGTCTAAGTTTGATATATTTCAGAATGTTCCGATTCGTGCTCCTCATCGCCTTCGCCTTGTTCGCCCTGAGCCAAGCTTTGCCTGGTGGATACGGCGGCGGATATGGGGGCGGCATGGGCGGTGGATACCAGAGCGGTGGATACGCCGGCGGAAGTAAGTTGGCGCGATTCCTGAAATCTTCTCAATATAGTCATAAGAAAATAGCTCTTAACTAAGCATAACTCTTCAGATATGGGTGGCGGTTTCGATCCCAGCATGTCGATGGGAATGAATGGTCAAATGGGCGGATTCCAGGGCTGAGAAGAGTCCACTGGCTAATCATTTTTAATTCAATTGCACCTTCTCACCGACCACCTTTCTCAGGAATAAATTTGATCCAAGATATCGGTTCGCAACCTAAATCTGACGCGAGAGAAAAGTGATGGTGCCTTGTGGGTTAGTCCAAGTTATCGCAAAGCCACTATTCAACAGCAACAATAGCCCTCCCTTGAATATCATTACCATCTGCCACACAAAAAAAAAATCACCCTAGGACGTTATCGACACTATCAACATTTGAGTAGAGCGATTTGAATCCAACGGCGAACAACGCATCCGCGAAAATAGCCATATCATTGACGTGCATAATGGCGCCGTTAATCGTGCGACGTCTGAACGCCCGGATATCCGAAGTGTGAGTAATCGCTCGTATTCAAATTTGGCTACGTTCGAGATTCAAATTCAGCCAAAGTAATCTCGCTTCAAAGGCTTTGAACTCCCTATTTTGGTTCAGATTTGCTCCGAGCCTTTTTGGAAAAGGTTCCTTAGGGTCTGTTCTATCATATGCGAAAAGCCGGCTTGACCAGAAAAAAAAGAAAAAAAAGTTATCGCACTTTGAAAGCGCGAAAATTTGCCACTTTTCCCCCTTTTCAAAGCTTTTGTTAAAGGAGCTCAGAAGTCAAAATTCGTGCGTGCGGGGATTGAACCTACTGGTCAAAAAACGCAAGGGTCACTGCCGAGAAGTGCCAGAAAAGTGATTTCATTGCGAAAAAACGTAAAATATTTGAGAAAATCCGAATTCTTTTTGGGGCGAAAACGACATTTTGAGTGCGCGGCGATTACCTGTCGTAATGCCTTGTAAGGCACCCAATCTCTCGATCTCGGCGATTCTCTGGTCAATTTTCATAATTTAAAAGTCTAGAATGATCAAAATTTGGTGAAGATTCCAAAAATAGCATCAGAATTTTTAAATTCAGGCGGTTTCGCGTCCAAACAGGGACAAAAGACCATGCGGCGCGGTCGCGTTGCGGTCGCATCTAGCTATTTGCCAGGAATCACAGCAGGGGGCCGTGGACCAGATTTCGGAGCCCCTTAAAGGCCTTTTGCGGTTCTCAGGGTTCTCTGTGCGCGCAGCCGGTCCACCCGTCCCGTGGAGTGCCCCGTGCCTCTTGCGCGCCCTCCCTAATAGTCGGGACCCCGTGTGGAGTTTTAAAATGCGCGTTGAAGTTGCCGACCTCGCGGCCACTTAGCTGAAATTTGTTGAGAACATAATTTTTGGGATAATGCTCCTTGCGCTAATGCATTTCAAAGGACGAAGATACCCAACACATAGGAAAATCGTGATTTTCTATTCCCGGGCGGTTCACCGCGTCACAGAAGCATGATGTTTTCCTGCCTAGTATTTTTTTATTAGGGCGCCCTTTTATCTGCCTACATGTGCGAAAAAAGGGAGGGATTCCGAGGCATGGCACATCGGCAGATTAAACCGATATCGCGATGATATCGCCGAAAAGCGCACAAAGGCACTCGATTTCTCACGGAATGGGACCCGTTATATATAGGATCTTTTGTGGTTGTCGTGGGTGCCTCCTCAATCCCACTAACCATCTAGTCCAGGCACCCAGGGCTGACCCGTAAAGCCGTATCCAATGAGGGTTATCAGTGCAAGCGGCCGCCACGGTGCATAGCGCCGGCGTGCCGCGCTTGTGATTATGAGAGATTCACTTTTGGCGACGGGCCGCGAAGCCATCGCGTGGCCCAAATAAAGATGTTGGGGCAGACCGTCCGCTAGTATAAATGCACGGCATATGCATTGAACACTACATGGTCGACAATTTCAACGTTCATTTAAACTAGCTGTCTAGTTTTCATAGTTAAGTCGAACTTTACCGAATAAAGAATAAGTATAAAATAAAGTGAATGCTAAAAATGCCAAGTCTGTATAAACGCTCAGATATTCGCCACCAACCTAAAACTTTATTTCAGAGGAGGGACTGCCCGTATATGCTACACGGGCGCCGGGAATCGCGTCGATAAAGCCACCGCCGCCGTCTTCACCGCCTTCATGAAGTCGATGGAAAATGTGGGAATGAGATTAATCTTTCGATTTCTAATCTATTAATCGATTGTAATGTTATACTGACGGCCTAGGCCGGCCCGAGGCGAAATTTTGAGGGTTTTCCGTGTCTGCGGGCCCAGGGTCCAAACCCGCGGTCTTCCGTTCCTTCCTGGTTCGCCCGACATTTTAGGTTTTTACCACAGTAAAGCTGTTTTAATGTATAGCTTTATTTAGCAAGTAGAAGCTTTCTAAAAGGGGTTCTTTAGGATTTCCGGGGGGGGGGGAACCAATTTTTTTCGACATAAGTCTAAATTTTTTTATAAATAGCGGATGCGTTTCTAAATGGTTTTTAACTATTGCTAGGCATAAAAACTACACACATTTTAATTAAAGAAAAGAAAAATCCTATAGAACCTTTAGGATTAGCGGGGGGTTGGGAAAGCCCCAAAATGATTAAATTTTCGACTTTTTCAGACACTTTTCTAACTTTTTTTGAAATTTTTTTACCTTAAATATAGCTAAAATTTACTAAAAACAATGTGAAAACACTTTACATTCGATCACTAAGTCCCGCCAGGAAAAAAATTGGTCCCCCCCACGGAAATCTCCCCCCGGAAATCCTAAAGAACCCTAATAGGCTAAAAACACACAAAATCATTGTTGTGAAAAAGCGCCATTACAAGCGGAATGTCCGGATAATAGGGCATCTAAAATTAGGTCGCGTCGACAATATAAGGTGCGGGTCGGGTCCAAAATTTGAGCGCGCGGGCCTGGAAAACCTTCCTGCACCATTCGAAAGCCCTCGAGATGGCGAGAAAACAGCCGGGGTGCGTTTTATTAAGTTAATTAGCATTTTCTTGATATTAAATGTATTGACGCGTGTCCTTTCTGTGCATCTCGCATCATCAGCACTTTTCGCCAGGTTTAGTCATAAAATGCACGGATTTGATCACCTAATCTAGATAACGAAAACTGCTTGTTTTCTCGCCATTTCGAGAGCTTTCGAGGAAAACGAGAGCGCTTCGGGTCGCTTCGCATGGGTGCGAGCTCGTACAGCTCTGTACAGGGTTTCGTAATTGGAGGGCCCGAGTCGCGCGTAGCGGCCCGGCCAATCTTCTATTCATTACTAATAAGCAGACGGTTTTGAGTACCCACGGAGTTTCGAAATGTGACCAGCTTTCTGTTCTTCAAATCTAAATGGGCATTTTTCAAAATCACACCTTCGCCATTTTTCAAATATTGTCGTTTCGAAAATTCCGAAAAGTACAAGTACTTCTGCACAAGGTAACCTTGGTCCCATTTCAAGACTCCATGGACACTCAAAAACGTTTCCTTGTAATACATTTCATTTAGTTTCCAACATTGCGCGTCGTACCAGTGAGAATGAAGGTAAACTTCGACATTTACTAACATATAGCGGGTGACCCAAGAAAGGATCCATTCAAGTGTTCACTTCGTTGACCCGGATCGGCTGTCTCAAAACTCGTAAATTCAAAAAAAGCAGCCGGCCGGAATCTCGCCAAACTAAAAGCATCAAACTTCTTTCGTCTTTCTGTACCTCTATTCCTAATTTCAAACTGAGAGGGCGGAAAATGACCAGATCCGGTCGGATCCTTTTTCGATGGGGCGCCCGATATAGCATTGGTCTACAGTTTCGCAAAAACGATCCCTTCGTGGTCTCGTTGTCTTGCGATGGCTCGGTGCATCGAATTGTAAAAGGTCGCGTACATGTTAACCACGTTAACTCGCCTGACAGTTTCCGGGCTATCCATAGTCAGTGAAACCGTGGCTTATCAAAACCGCGAGCCAATGAACGACGAAACCACGAGCGATCGTTTTTGTAAATGGAAAAGTATAACTATGAGCGAAATTTAGAAGGACTCCAATCCTGACGCCACTCGAGCTGCTCGCCAGTCCCGGGTTCGCTTTATACTTGATAGACTAATTTGTGGTATAACTACAGGGTGACTAGTAAGTACTGGTCGCAGAAAAATTGGTGCCACAAATTCTTCCTTTCGCGGGTCATCCGAGGCTAATTACTCTCCGATCCAAATTTTTCTAGGCGGTCTTGCTACTTTTTCCACGCTAAATTGCAGTGTACAAAATACAAAGAAGACAAGGCGGTCTCGTTTTTTTCCTTCGATAATTGGCAAAAACTGGAGAAAAATGGGATCGAAATAGGCGGTCATTCGATGGAGCGAAAATTCATGCCAAATGCTCTCATTTGTTTAGTACAACTCAAAAATTCGGTCCCTGAATAGCTATTTTCAAGGAGCGGCAAATGGTTAGCAGTCACCCTGTATTTGTATCCACAGCGTGTTTTGAGGGTCATGAAAATGTTTTTTTTCTAAATCATATATGGGCACTGCGGTTCAAACGCCTGATCTGGTTACGTTTATATAGATACTGCGAAATGTCATGGTTATAACCATGACGTTATGTCGTTCAGATCCCTGGCGCGCAAGCGGCCGCCAGAAAAAAAAGAAGCCGACAGAAATGATTAAGCTTCTAATATCGAAACGTTTGACGGAAGGTGCAAAATTCCGTTAGTTCATATTGCCGCAGATCTCTGCTGCGTTAGTAGTCTAGTATTCTGCTTTTCATGACCCTCAAAATACGACGCATACGACGGGTCAGGTCCTTCAGAGGATCGCACCAGAGCATTGCTCGTTCCCTAACTTCTCCTCGGTGCCAAACTTTGAGGACCGGACCCTTCTGGCCTCTTGCGTAAACTAACCATTTATTTAGGTAGAAGCCCCGCGGGGTTCCTCTCATCGAGTCGATCAGTGAGTTTCAGTCCGATTTTAATAATCTAATTATCCAATACAAAATACAAGCGCCCAAAACCCGCTTCGCGGTCGCTGGGCACTGGAATCCGTCTTTTGATATAAGATTTGACTTTAGCTAGGATCCTTCGGACTCTTTCCTCCCCCCGACCACACGAGCGCATGCAACTGGCACGAATGCGAAAATTCCTGTTTTGATTATACAAACCAGCTCACCGCAGCTGCCAAAAATCAGTAAAAACGGCCTTAAGTTTGATTGTCTTTATTCTGTCGAAATTCTAAAAACGCAATTGGAACCACATAAAAAGATTTTGATGATGAAAAAGATGCTCTTTCGAAGGAGTTATCACACGCCGACTTTTCAGAAGTTCTGAAAATTTCGTAAAATTGGTGTCCCGCAGCACTTCTTCTTCTTCTTAAAATTGCTTTGAGCCGCAAGTTTTTAAGCAAGTTTATCGGTTGGGCTGTGCGTCATAGCTCATTTGAAAGAGCATTTTTTGGGGCAACGTATTCTAAATATTTTCATAAAAATCTTTTTCTGTGAGCACTTTTGGAAAATGGATTCGGAATCGGCGCAAAATTCTACACAAAATACGTGTGGTCCCATCTCGAGCACTAAAAAACCCAATCATTGTAAGACGGTGCTGTATAATTCCTCGTTTAGGTCGCCGTCGACATCGGTGTCGTCGATCTACTCGGAGGCCGAAGTTGGTTTTTTGTCATTTTGAGAACATTATGGAGAAAAGCTTCGGTAATGGGCGATTTAGCGGGTCGTGGGTTTAATTGGTTTGATTTCGGACTAAGACCTTTTTCCTCTTAGAAACTAGAAACTTAAAAACAAAAACGTACTAAGGCAAAAATACCGGTCTCTAAAAAGATCGATGTTATAAACCATGGATATGGCTAACTAGAAACCATGGCTATTTATTGATTGACCAATCTATCCGATTTTTAGCTCGAGAACATGGACAATGGCGGAGACGATCAGCGGCTTCATAACGTACGGGCTCGAGTAGCTGGAAATGAAGCTGTTGGTCTTTTCTCTCTTCTAGAGATCATAGAAACCATGGCTACTTATTGATTGACCAATCTATCGGATTTTTAGCTCGAGAACATGGACAATGGCGGAGACGATCAGCGGCTTCATAACGTACGGGCTCGAGTAGCTGGAAATGAAGCTGTTGGTCTTTTCTCTCTTCTAGAGATCATAGAAACCATGGCTACTTATTGATTGACCAATCTATCCGATTTTTAGCTCGAGAACATGGACAATGGCGGAGACGATCAGCGGCTTCATAACGTACGGGCTCGAGTAGCTGGAAATGAAGCTGTTGGTCTTTTCTCTCTTCTAAAGATCATAGAAACCATGGCTACTTATTGATTGACCCATCTATCCGATTTTTAGCTCGAGAACATGGACAATGGCGGAGACGATCAGCGGCTTCATAACGTACGGGCTCGAGTAGCTGGAAATGAAGCTGTTGGTCTTTTCTCTCTTCTAAAGATCATAGAAACCATGGCTACTTATTGATTGACCAATCTATCGGATTTTTAGCTCGAGAACATGGACAATGGCGGAGACGATCAGCGGCTTCATAACGTACGGGCTCGAGTAGCTGGAAATGAAGCTGTTGGTCTTTTCTCTCTTCTAGAGATCATAGAAACCATGGCTACTTATTGATTGACCAATCTAACCGATTTTTAGCTCGAGAACATGGACAATGGCGGAGACGATCAGCGGCTTCATAACGTACGGGCTCGAGTAGCTGGAAATGAAGCTGTTGGTCTTTTCTCTCTTCTAGAGATCATAGAAACCATGGCTACTTATTGATTGACCAATCTATCCGATTTTTAGCTCGAGAACATGGACAATGGCGGAGACGATCAGCGGCTTCATAACGTACGGGCTCGAGTAGCTGGAAATGAAGCTGTTGGTCTTTTTCTCTCTTCTAAAGATCATAGAAACCATGGCTACTTATTGATTGACCAATCTATCGGATTTTTAGCTCGAGAACATGGACAATGGCGGAGACGATCAGCGGCTTCATAACGTACGGGCTCGAGTAGCTGGAAATGAAGCTGTTGGTCTTTTCTCTCTTCTAAAGATCATAGAAACCATGGCTATTTATTGATTGACCAATCTATCCGATTTTTAGCTCGAGAACATGGACAATGGCGGAGACGATCAGCGGCTTCATAACGTACGGGCTCGAGTAGCTGGAAATGAAGCTGTTGGTCTTTTCTCTCTTCTAGAGATCATAGAAACCATGGCTACTTATTGATTGACCAATCTATCCGATTTTTAGCTCGAGAACATGGACAATGGCGGAGACGATCAGCGGCTTCATAACGTACGGGCTCGAGTAGCTGGAAATGAAGCTGTTGGTCTTTTCTCTCTTCTAGAGATCATAGAAACCATGGCTACTTATTGATTGACCAATCTATCCGATTTTTAGCTCGAGAACATGGACAATGGCGGAGACGATCAGCGGCTTCATAACGTACGGGCTCGAGTAGCTGGAAATGAAGCTGTTGGTCTTTTCTCTCTTCTAGAGATCATAGAAACCATGGCTACTTATTGATTGACCAATCTATCCGATTTTTAGCTCGAGAACATGGACAATGGCGGAGACGATCAGCGGCTTCATAACGTACGGGCTCGAGTAGCTGGAAATGAAGCTGTTGGTCTTTTCTTTCTTCTATTATAATCTGATAGAGAATTTTTTTCTGATGGAATAGTGTATTTGGTACACATAGGATAAAGGTGGGGTGCACTGAAAGTTTTTAACAATAAAAATATTTAAAAATAGGGTTGTTTCGAGCTATAAAAAAAGCTCTTACTAGGGAATTTGAGCAGAGAATGACCGAGATCGAGGGATTGGATGCCTCACAGGGCATTACGACATGTAATCGCCGCGCACTCAAAAAGGCGTTTTCGCCTCGAAAAGATTTCGGTTTTTCTCAAATATTTTGCGTTTTTCGCGACCAAAATAATTTTATGGCACTTCTCGGCAGTGACCCTTGCGTTTTTTGACCAGTAGGTTCAATCCCCGCATGCGCGAATTCTGACTTCCGAGCCCCTTTAAGTATAAAATTTATGATTTCGTTGAATTTCATTTCTAGGATGTACGTAAATGCGTGTGCAAAACACAATCTGGACACGCGCCACATGTGCGGCGCAAAATTAGCAAAAAGCAAAAGAAAAATGCGCGGACCGGGTCGGAACCCGGACCCTCCACCTGGGAAGCGAGGCGCTTACCATTTGACTACCGAAGCTCTGGAAAGGGGGCTTCCCAAAGGCCTCTTGAACCCCACCCGCCCTAGTGAGCCAGGGTCAGGGTAGCGGGTTTTTGGCGCATTTTAAAAGTTTAATATCTTAATTATTTAAGCTCGGTAGCAAATTCGGAAAACGAGGCGATGATCAGCATGGTCGGTTCTATAACTGTGCAAATTTTCAGCCCGATTCGTGTTGCGGGTATCTTGGACTTCCCTAGTTAGTATATTTTTCGGCTCTCTATCGAGTAGTATTTTCAAAACATCGAAAGCCTTCTACGCGGCACGCGAACATAAAACGAAGGCGCCAACAGGTCGACGAGATCTAAACACGGCACACCTTCTTCCCGCCAGGGGGAGCCTTAGCCACGCTTTAGAGAAGCTATGCCTGCTATAGCTTGGACCTCTTTCCTAAAATTCGGAGGTGAATGGCGCTTAAAATTTACCATTGATTCAGATCTAGGATTATGTACATAATTTTTCAGACCAGCACGAACCTGGGCATCCGCAGGAGCCGGATCTCCGGAAAGTTGGTGGCACCTCCTAGGGTGCCAACCGAATACCTGGCGGACGATGCGCGCCCTCTGGTATGTACGGGGGAAAACCATAGGCCAACAACATGCTAGGCTATCTTGGCCTCGATAAAAACCTCTGAATCAATATTTTGGGTTAAAAGGAAGCGTTATTTCATCTTTCACTATAGATACTCGACCAATCCGAAAATCCGAAAAAACCACCTAATGGCGTTTCGTTATGGGACCCGGTCTATTTTGTGCAGAATTTTTTCTGATTCCGAATCCGATTGCTGAAGCTGATCCAATTTTTGCTAAATAGGTCGTTTTAGAAAGTTGCAGCGTTTCAAAGTGCCATTTTTTCCCAAATTTGCGAACTTCAAATTCATTTATTTTACCTTTCCCCGCCGATTTTTTCAGAAACGAATATCGCCATCGAATTTAGAAATAATTTCCTCTAACCAAAAATTGTTGAAACTCGAAACTATCGACGATAAACTCTGATGGACTCCCTTTTTTGGATGGGAAATGATGAAAAACAGCCTATTTCCCGCCCTTATAAGTGATCGTCGATAGGAAGTAGCGAAGCAAATATACCATTCGAATCAGAAGAAAATTCTTTGCAGGCTAGCTATTGAAATGGAATGGCATACAAAAACCAAAAAAAGTTGGGGTCTCGGGCTGAAATATGATCTTCAAATCGTTCTAACTCTTTAGATCGAGTTATTTGGCAAAAATTGAAACCGGGTCCGGAATCATTAAACAATCCTGCAAAAAGCAGGCTGGGTCCCAAAACTAAACGCCACCTCGACCTGTAAGCCCTGTAAGCTTTGATCACTAGCCGTTTAGAAATGAACGCAACTCTGTCTCAGGCGTTTTATAGCCAGTCAACCCCGTTTTCGGAGCAAAATTTTAATCTCGAAACTAAAGTTCCGTGACAAAAACGGATTGCATATGGCGAATTAGCGTAAAGATTCGTCAGGACTTAGACTCCCATTATTAAACGGACCAGCAGTTGGAACTAGCATTCATAAGGTAGCATATTAGTTGCCCTAGCTTACACGGAGTCGTTTTCAGGTGATACCGGAATTTTTGAACGAGACCTAGCTAGTTCGGTATAGAAAAAAATTCTTAGCAAGATCTCGTTTTCCAAATTTGCTAACAGGTACTGTATTCGATAAAAATCAATTAGAAAATCATTAATTTAGCCATAATTTTTTCATTAAAATTATTTTTTTATCGAATACCGTACACGGTTAGCAGATTTGAAAAGCGATATCTTGCTCAGAATTTTTTCTCTATCGAACTATCAGGCTGGACCGAAAGTCTTTACAAACGATCTTCAAGCCGGTTTTGTAAAAACATTTATCACCCGGCCGCCGGAATTTTTGCACCGATATTTCAGTCTAAGATGCTACTATAGCACATAAAAATATTTAGTCAATCTAGCCTGTATTTATTTTTCTATGACCGGTTCTCCTTGAGACGCTAGTTGACCCGACGCGGCGACATCCGCGAGCCCTCTGCCCTTTCAGCCTTATGAAAATTTCTAACGTCAGAATCCTGCCCGAATAATTGGCGGTTTATAACGCCATTATCATACCTTTCTAACTATGGTGCCTAATTCACCAAACAACTGTAGAGCCCGTCGTTATTGTCTATAGTACGGAACAAAATCCCGATTCGGGATGAGTCTGATGAAAAGGGGCTTAACGATCCAATTACGACAGCGAATGTAAAAGCGCTCCACCTATTTTGGAAAACATTTAGTTGGGAACACCGTGTAAACAATATTTATCAAACCGCCCTGCTTTCACGGGAAAAATTTAGCAACGTATTGTAACGTCGAGTAACCGACACGGAATCTGGCATCGTCATTAAATTTTGCTTTTTATTCTTTAGTCCTTGCCGATCAAATTTTTTCGTCATAGTACGGCAATTACGCAGCAACAGTAGATAAGGAACTGAAATTATCATTGCCCCCAAACCCATTTGTTCACTCTGAGAATACCGAAACAAAATTGTGTTGGAAAATCAGGGGTTGATCTTTTCTGCAGCTCGGTATAAAAGATTTGCCCCTAGGCAATATACGCGTTTGAAACAGTTATAACTAAGCTACATATCGATAAAAACTCTGAAAAAATTAGCCACCAAATTCGGAGAAAACGGCCGACGAAGGGATTTGTCATTTTGGGCCCCGAAATCCCAATTTGACATCTTTCTAAATCGATCAGGAAAAATGTATGAGACCATCTATTTAAATTTTGTTCGATACATTGTATAGTATTACTGCTGCTCTATTTGCGATTAATTATTCAGGTAACTGTGGCCTCATTCACGGACAAAATTTTTACGAAACCAAAAATGAGCGAAAATTACAACGCGCAGCGTATTTGCCTCATAACTTCAAAAGTAGAAAAGGTTGGAAGTTCAAATCGGGCGTGCAGGAAGTTCATACTTGACCCTCGATCATGCTAAAATATGGAAAAGATAGGATGGCTGTTTCCATAAATTTTTTGCGTCCGAAATATTGTAATTACTTTCGGTCCAACCTGATAGCTAGGTCTCGCTCAGAAACTCCAAGATCACCTAAAAACGACTACTTGTTAGAGATTTACGGTAAATTGGCTCTGGGTGCGCTAGATGGTATTTGCCTTGATATTGCTTATAACATTTAGGGCCCCAATTTCATAAATTTTGTTTAATTTTTTTTTATTTGATTTTGCAGGCGGAGGCGGGACGGGCGGCGGCGGTGCCGCAGCGCCGCCAGAGCCGCCGGCTGGTAAGTAGGGGGAGCCATAGAAATGATCCCCGTCCCACGTTCGACTTCAGTTAGCACTTTTGACGAAGCGTTGACTCTCCGATAGTTTCCGATAAAACGCCTTTTGGGCTTAGTTCTCGACTTCAAGGCGTCCAAACCCCCATCGATAATATACGTTGATTTTTTCAGCGGCACCTCGATCCCGAGTGATGTGATGTGGTCGGATTTATACTATGCAATTGTTATAGTGACGTGATGTGGTCGGATTTCCAATGATAAAGTTTTTCTTTACGATGAATTTTGTACATGCAAGAATTTCAGAAAAGATCAACAACACGGAAAAGTAGTTAAAGTAGCATCGAAAAACCAGGTTATTAGCGATTTTTTCAGGTTAACAATGACACGATTACACTACCATTTTGGTGCAACGTTTTGCAAATGACAATTTTCTGAACACGTTGATGAAATAGCCTAAAAATAGATAGTATATTTACAGTGCCTTGCACAGATTTTCAATTTTTTTTTGTAATTCCTTGACGAGGTTTTATACCTAAAACATTGTAAAATGCTATAATAAAACGGTTACATTTTGCTATAGGGCCATACAGGCTTACTGGCAAAAATTAGGTCTCCCGACGCTAAAATCCCTCCCCCCGCTTGCATTCCAGTACCCGGTTTCTGAGCAGCGGTTCCAATTAGTTTTTTTTGGGGCTGGCTGGGTGGGGGGCGGGGCCTGGTGATTCGTGGAATTGGCCTGGTGTGCCATGGCTAATTCGCCGCTTTGAGAAGACGTTGGTGGTGAAAGATGAAAAAGACGTCGAGCGATGTCTCTTCTCTGCGTGTGTCCCATTCAAAAGAAATCAATTATAACGCGAGGGGGGAGAAGAGGGCCGGCTGAGTGGAGTGTCGCGTACATTAGCATTCCGACCCCATCGGTACTTTTGGTCGCCATCTGAATGGCAATGCGTGGTGGGGGGCACGTCTTCTCGTCAGATGATCTTCAAGTGAAAGAGTATTTTTAGCTATTACGGCAGAGCGTTACTGTAGCCGCAACTACTTTAGCGTTGCGTTTTGTTTACTAGATGTTGCAAAAAGTCTTCCCCTTCTATCGGTTCGGAGTGGTGTTCGAGGTTTCTTTTATGGGTGTCAATCGAAAGCTCTCGATAAGGCGATCCACCAGCGCATTTGAATTTTCAATTGCAGTAACTCAATTCGAAGTTTTTGCAATCAAAAGCCAGGAAAATCTCACAGTTACGCTAGACACTCTTGCTGTCTCGCTTTCTCGCCTTTTTTCGAGCGGATTCGAATACAGCAAAATCTTTACGGCTATTTACAGCAAAATCCCGATCCGACCTGCGTGCATGCGTGTTCTACCCAGTGGTTCAATAGCCTCTCTGCTATTTCAAAAGATCCGGCTATATTTGGGGGGATTACCCGATGTCTGCAAACCATCCCCCAATAATAATTGTTCGCAGCAGACGGCTTCTCCCAATTATCTTCCCACGCGCAATCTTATAAATCCTCAGCTGGATCAGACTGCAAATAGCTCACTTGACTGCATTCCGTTGGCCCTGGATGTCATCATCAAGATCAAGGGGCTGCAGCCAGCTCCAAAAGAATGGTTCAAGGGAACGTGGCGGGTGAGTCTATTTGAATATTAATTGGGCTGGCCGTCCAGCAGTGGGGGGCTTGATAATAAGATGCTCTAAATGGAACCCCCACCCCATCTCTTTTCTTTCTTTCGAAGGTTACTGACCCTTGAAAACGGGGGATATATCTTTGAAAATAAGGTCTGCCTTCGTAATATTCATGAGGTACTGGCTTGGTTTTGAGCCTCAATACTAACATCTAGTTTCTAGGGAACGATCTTCGAGGAAATAGGATGTCATACCTATATGATAATTATATCTTTATTTTACTATAAGTATGTATTACTATATCCATAATTGTTGCCCATACCTATGCAAAAAGGGGGTAGTTTCGCATGTTTCCTAGTCCCTTTAAACGCCGAACCAGCTCGACTTACCTCGGATTGAGGGTTTTTCTAGGCAGGTTTTTTGTGTTTTTACGGCGTCTAAACAATCGAGAGGGTATTTTTTTTTATTTTTTTTGCGATTTAGAAGACTATTGTAAAATTTAGAAGAAATCTAAAAAGAGTATCGGTAAGAGGGACGAAATTCGTCAGATTTTGCTAGTTTCAGTGAGAAGCAGCTAATTTAAAATCTTTAGCATTTAAGCAAATTTTTTCAAAAATTTTAGAACAAAAATTTCCAATTTATGATCTTCTAATAATCAAAGACCATTTCCAATTTCTTTAACTATGCGACAGATGCTCCATGAAGCCTATCTTAAGCACGTACCCGGATCTCATACCTCGCCCCCCAATTTGTATTCACCCCGCAAAATTCACCATCCACCCCCAATTATTTTTTTTGATTAGGCTTTTCGTTGGAGCGTGTCGGGACGGGGGAGGGCGGGATCCGCTCGAGGATATCCATCAAAAGAAAAAGATGTCGACTCTCCCTGTATAATTGATGGCAGGTATTCATGAGCATTCATGTCCCATCCATCTTCCACCCATTTATTATTGGAGCGTCACATTGGGGGAGGCTTTCGTGTCGGGACCCCACTTTGAACAGCTCCCACCACTCGATGATGACTAATCACCTTTTCACTTTTGGGGGGATACGGTAGCTAAAAGTTCTAACGAATTGATTTTTGCTAGTTTTTTTTGGCCAAAAACCCTAGAATCTAGAAATTTTAGGTCCTTCGATTTGCTCATTTAGGAATCGAAAATATCTGGCTGAAATATCCACGCTGCGAAACGGTTGATGAAACCCGGAATTCTCGAGATTCAAAAATCAGCTTCATTAATTTTGCCCGAAGACACCGCCGTGCCGCGATTCCACCCGCCCGAAGCCAAAAGGGAGAAATCTATATTTCAGCCGCAATTTTTGACTCGGCAATGTTGCGTGACCTATGACGGTTACGGTAGCCATAGGTCGGTGTATAAATTTTTGAGCAGCGGCGTTGCAGGGCAACCCCCATATCAAACTTTACATTTTTGTTAACAAGGAGTCGTTTTAGCTATATTTTTTGGTTTGTTCAAGCTTTGCGATGTGGCACAGCACCTTCAATAAAACTTGAAATTCTAAACAGCTCGCTGATTTAAAAATGATTTAAAAAGATTCTTGATCTTAGGTCTGTAAAGGAAATACCGATTTTCCAAAAATTTTAGCATATCAAATTGACGCTTTTTTGCCGTTCTTGCAGCGTGCCGCAAAACATTTCTGATGTGGCCCCCGGCCCCGGCGAATTCAGTTTTTTTCCAGAATAAGCGCCTGATTGCGGGCGATAAGTGGTTTACCAAGTGGCCAAAGCCCATAAAATTGTGCGAGAATTTTCAACTCAAGAAATATTTCCATGAATCCATTCCCCCCGTGGCTCAATTTTGCTCGTTTTTCCAATTTGCAAACATATCCCGGGCGCGTCCCAATCAAATCTCCTCCCAAAATCCGGGTCCCTCTTGGCGAAGGAAACGAACCCTAGAAAAATGGCAATTTCCCGTCTACTACGCGCCCCTCTCTTCACGACGCATTTTTCATTTTCTATAAAAAATTTCCTAGGATCTGCCGCCAATTTCTGCGTCTGGTTTGCTCCAAATTACAGGGCGCTCCTCCTCCCCAGAGTTGGCGTCTTTAAAAATTGAATTATTATTTGGCTCACGACTGTGGTAAACACAATTTTGGCCGGCTATTTGCCAGAACTTCGAGCTTTTGATTTCTAATTGGGTTTGCGGTGGTGGCTGATTCCAGGGTGACTCATTATTCGAGCAATCTGCTTTTCTTGTGATCTAAAACGTGCCGGGAGCAACATTTTGAGGCTATTCTTGAGGTGCTCTGAAAAATGCTATGAAAAGGGTGGGCTTGGCTTCACTTTTACTAACACTTTGCATTGTTAACCTAAAAATGTTGGCACGACTGCCTGAGGGCCGGAAATGGAGACCCAGAAGCAGACATCCATTAGTGGATGTTGCCAGTAATGCGTCAGATGTGTAAGTGAGAAGTTGTCGGCGCAAAAAAGATCTGGATTTCTCTAGCAACAAAAAGGGGGCTGCTTGAACTCTGGCCCTTCTCAAATGCCCTTCCCGTCTCTTCACCAAATTGCTTCCGCGAAAACCTCAGGTTTAGAGAGAGAGAGAGTGCATCGGAAGCTCGCGATTTTTCGGCGGCCCACCCCTGCTTCTACGCGTCTCAAACGACCCAAGCAAAAAAACGCGCTTCACCTTCTCCCTTTCACAGCACCGCCCCTCCGGCAATTTATTCTGATTCCTTTTCAGTCCGTCTTTTAGCCCGCATCGAGAATAGAGCTCTGTCTGTCTGTCTCTCTCTCTCTCTCTCTCTCTCTCTCTCTCTCTCCTCCTCCCCAACCACAAGTGCCCAGATTCATTCCCTCTGACGCGCCGTTAATGCGCCCCTCGCATTCGCATAAACCGCCCGGAATTTGCGAGCCGCTTTTGGTTGGCATCTCAGCGGCTTCTTTGACTATAACGTCTTGAGCTTTTTAAAAGAGCAGGATTTCCGATACCTTTAAAACCGAATTTACAATTTTTCTTTTTATATTACCAGTTTTCAAACAATTGCACGGTTCGAAAATTTCCAAATCCACCGCCTCATGTTGCAGCGGGATCCCCTCCACGACAAGTGCCACATTTCGTTCCGCGTCTAATTTTTCAAGCATCCCCTCGAGTGGAAAATTTTTTCACCGGGGCCCAACCCCCCAGCAACTTTTCATTCAGCCAAAATTATCGGTATTCTTGGTTTCGAGGCTTTATTTACTGCAAAAATTCCTCTAAAGAATATCTGGAGAAGGGCTCAATATCAGCGAACCCATTTCTTTCTATCAGCGAACTCATTGCTGAAGTGTTTTGAAGGGGATAGACGAGCTAGGTCCATGAGGGGACGATTTTTTTCGGGTGGTCTGGCTTTTAAGGGGCGAGCAACGAGGTCTTTTGTCGAAATGAGGAGGTTGAAAACCGAATTACACGGCCAACTTGCCCCAGGGGAGCACCGGAGGAGGGGGAGTTCGTAGGTGGACTTTGAGCTTTTTGACCCAGGGCTTCTCCACAAATTTGGAAAATAGTCTTTGGCCGCTAGAAAAGGCTTTCGAGTTTAGCAACGAGATTCGCAGAATGTAAAAATTTTCGAAGGTCATGGTTATGCTTGTGTCCAAGCTTAAGACTAAGCCTATTTTTTCTCTTTCTATTTGTCCTTTTCCGGATTTCCGGTCTCACCTTGGTTCTTCTTACCCCCCTGTCTTTTTTTGGACTTTGAATAAAAATACAAAAGCGCCGCCATCCATTAGCTCTCGCCTCTATATTATTTCTAAAAATTCCACGCTTGTTTTACCGTATCCCTGATTTTCTTTTATTTGCAATTTATGTCTTTTTCTAAGCTGCAAAACTCCTTTAGATCAAAATGAATGAAACAGATGAACTCGGCGATCTAGCCGAGATTACCGCCTCAGCCTCGGAAGGCTCCGTACTCAGCACCCAGCTAACACTTCAAACGTTATTTGTATGCCTTGGTCTTCCCATGAACATATCCACATTTTTTTATATGATGAAAAGGTAAGTGGGCAACTTTTGAAAAATTGTCTACCTCCCAATCTGCCGAATTATAAAATTTTTAGATACAAACATGCTCGCAGCTTTCTCCTCCTCCTTCATATCAATTTGAATTTAACAGATATATTGGTAAAGCAAAATTTAGTATATTTTTTATTGAAAACTACAGGTTCTCGGGCCGTCGTTAATTGGTAAAATAATTTGGGAGGCGAGTGGTTACCAATGGTGGGCCGGGGATCTGGCTTGTCGATTGATGCGGTTCATCGATGTTTTTGCTTTTATGGCTAGGTATTTTGATATAAAACGTTCTGCTATAAAACTGCATTACAGCTCGAATATTATGGTTTGCATAGCGTTGTATCGGCTGTATGCTTTAAGGTAAGGAATTTAAGGCATAAGTATAATTGTCGGCTACAAACTTAAAATTCATATTTATTAATTATTATAAACTTAATTATTATTTATGTCAGAAATTAGTGTGAATTTATAAATCATAAACTTAATTCATTAGATTAATTTAACTATACTTAAAAATAAATTTCTTTCAGATATCCATTATGGGTATCGGCTGTGGGACACTCTCGTGTACCTCGTATGCTTCTCCTCGCCTGGGGCATCGCAGCTCTAGCTTCACTGCCCCAAGTTATTGTCTGGCAAGAGGTAGGTAGACCCAGATTTAAAACAGCTATCACTTTATCTCTTGTTCCAAAAAAAAACTAAATTTAGCTGCGCCACTCGAACGACAAAATTGGCTGCTACAACTTCTGGCTGGCCAAAGGGATAATAGCCGGAAATAATGGGATATTGGACGAGGATGTGGGCAAGGTATGCCAAATTGGCTTCGTCACCGTCTTTTCAGCTTGTTGCGTACTCTGTGGTGAGCTCGATCGTGATGTTCTACGTTCCATGTATTATTTTGATTGTGTGTTATGTGTTGATATTGAGGGTAAGTGTTGGGAGGATTGCTGTGAAATAAAGGAGTGGGATGGGGATAGAGAGAAAGAGAGAGAGAGAGAGAGAGAGAGAGAGAGAGAGAGAGAGAGAGAGATGGAGGTCACAGCGAGGGAGATAGAGAGAAAGAGAGAGCGAGAGAGATAGAGGTCAAAGCGGAGAGAGAGAGAGAGAGAGAGCGAGAGTGAGAGAGAGAGGGAGAGCCAGAGAGCTATTTTATTTTCTAATCCGGCTAATTCCAGGACATTTATTCAACACTAACCTACGATGCGGATGCTTCTTCCGTACTCTACATTGCCGAATTCACGCGCTTATCCTCCTGCGGACGTAGCAGCAAGGAAAAGCAGCTTCAGCAGCAGATGAAGGAAAATGGAGGTATTAAATCAAAATTTCGGCCAGTTAAATTTTCTCGTAGGGTTAGTGAAAGCTCCCCAATGCTCCTTGCGCGGTCAGGATCGATTCCAGCGGGCAAAGGTATATATTTTATTAAATTAAGGGCATGTAACTTTATAGAAAACTTAAATGTCGTCGCCTTTTTTCATAGACTTTTTCAGATCCGCTCCCTTCGAATCACCTTATTCCTGATCCTTTGCTATGTAATCACCTGGCTCCCCTATAACATGCTAAATTGGTAGGTTTTATATTGTGGTTTCCAAAACTCCATGCATTTTCAGGGTGCTCGTCTACGATTTCAACTATTATATGACCATCGAGGGCAATCTATACTTTTTGAATTGCCTTGTTTATTTGAACTCGGTGATCAATCCATTCATTTATGGCAGGTTCGTATTAAAAAAGCTTAATTAGATTCAATAAAATAAATAAACAATATAAATGAGATTTACCACAATTTTAGATGCCAAGGCCTAAAAATGCTATGCCGGTGGGGCAAAACAAAGAAGAGAAAGCCGAAGGATCATTTTTGTTGGATGCTGAGGAATTAACTTATGCTTTATTGACTTTAACATTTGGATTTTTTAAGTATTTTGAACTGTCGATCTGTAAATCTGTTTTCGCGACGTTTCCGGTCAATTCTGTATTTCGGGTTTTATTTTATCCGATCTCTCTTGCTGGTGTTTAACATGCTTTATCATTTCGTTGTATACAGTACATATTTCTGAGGCCAAATAAATTTTTTTTTGCAAAAAACATATGGGGAAAGCACGAAGAAGGGGCAGCAAAATTAAGTGCATTATTTGCCAATCAGCGCGTCATTTGGATTGTTACGCAGCTATAAAGGTACTATGTCATTTTAATAAAACCATAACTACAAAGCCGAATTCAACCGATCATTGTGATGCCTGAATAGTAAGATCCCGCAGATAGAACCAGCTTGCTATCCACCATTCTCGACATCTTGACGTTGGGTTTTGTTAGGACAAATGGGGGATGGAGAAGGGAGGATTGTGGGGAAAGTACCCCCTCCAAAACCTGAACTCTAGCTCACCAGCCATCTCTTTGCTCCTCTCATCCGATCCGCTACTTTCCCAAATCCGGGCTTCCTCCTCCCCGCCCTGGTGAGCCGACCCCTCGATACAATACTTTACTAAACGATTCGTTTTGCTTTTTAGCTGGGGTTAGCAATGTGTAGCGTTGTTGGTGCTTTACTAGCGATCCGATGTGTTTATGTTTTTCTCAAGGGCTTGAAAATCGGGGCCGCAGAACGCCGTGTTTATACTCGTTCTCGAAAAATTACATGGATATTCTCATCTTATAAATTTCCTAAACTTACTTTATGCTTAAGTTTGGGCCTAACTGTAAAGTGTTTTTACTCAAGTTGGAGTTTCGATTCGGGACCAAGTGCATCTTGTGCAGAATTTTTTGCTGATTCCGAATCCGTTTTCCAAATTTGTTGCGGACTTTTATTTAAAAAGTCATTTTTGGTGCAAATTGGGATTGAAAAAGCCAAAAACTCGGATTCTGGCCCACTATTCCCTCCTTGGTTCAATATTGTCCAGGGGCCCAGAAGTACGCGCTCACAGCTCCCTTCCCAGTTGGCACCATGGTGCATTGGCAAAGTACTCGGTTGCCAAGCGCAGGGCGGCGGTTCTGACCCCGGCGCTGCACCCTTCTTTTGCTTTTTGCATAAAAATCTAATTTTTTATAAAAAAGCTTGTTTTGACTTTTAAGATGCTTGTCCAGCCAATCTCTAGCCATTTTCGAAGTTGAAATTGATCCGGAAAATCGAAAACGATAACGGCTCCTTGATTTTGGTGCAAAACACTACCATAATTGCTGTATAACTTTCAAAACAAAAGTTCGCAGCAAATTTGGAAAGCGGATTCGGAATCAGCGAAAAATTCTGCACAAGATGCACTTAGTCCCGAATCGAAACGCCAACTTGAGTAAAAACACTTTACAGTAAGCCTAAATAAGGCTGTGTAGTTTTTGTCTAAACCTAACCCGAAACCTCAGTCTGGGCCTAAACCAAATCTAAGCCTATGTCTAAGCAAACCCCTAAGCCTAAACCTAAGCCGAAGCCTAAGTCTAAACCTAAGCCTCGATCAAGCCTAAGCCTTAACTTAAGCCCAAGCGAAGCCTAAGCCTAAGCTTAAGCCGAGCCTAAGCCTAAGCCTAACCTTAGCCTAAATCTAAGCCTAAGCCTAGCCTGCTCGCAGTGCTTCTATAACCTGGCCGATAAGATCCCGATGCTACATCCGATTTGCGGTCGGAAGTGGTGGTGGTGGTAGTTGGAGAGTGAGATCGAAAGGGATGCACCGGATAGCTGAATGGCCCAATAACCCCCCTTTGAAATGGTGCGCATCGCGAGGGTGTGCCTCTCGGCTTTGTGCCCACCCCTGGGGGAGAGATTGGATCAGCAGTTGGAAGCGGACATCCATCTGGAACCCATTCCCCGACACTTTGCCCTCCCTTCTACCCTTTGCACCACTATTCCAATGCGTATCGTAACTTTAAGGGCGATTAATTTTGTTGAACATAGTTTTGTAGGTTTGTAAGGGTTTTTCTTGAATTTAAGCAATACCAGGGTTGAAAAACCGCTTCGCGGCTTTTCAACCCTGGCCCCGTCCAGGACCTGTGAAAGTCCTTAATTTGCATGTTTCTTCCTGAATTCTAGCAAGAAAAAAAAGTGAAAAACGGCTCCTCTGTCCCTTTATATAGACTTTTCCTACTTCCGGCGTATGCTAATTTCCCCTAACAAACAGGGTTTTACAAAAACCTATTTTTAATAGCGAAAACCGCAATTTTTCAAAATTTTTATGTGTGTGCAGTCGATTCCGGACCATTCTAAACCTATCGTCGTTTCTTCCCTATCCAAAAAACCCTTCCCCGAGGCTGTAGGAGCGGAACATCCAAACGGAAGTGCATGCAAATATACACACACACACACACACAAACACTATTTTTTTATATATAGTAGGATATCAAACGAGCGGTAGTGTAATGGTAATGAGTTAGGCTAATAACCCAGGGATGCAGGTTCGACCCCCACTCGCAACAATGGTTTTGCTTTTTCCCAAAATATAGCTTGTTGACCGTTTTGCTTCTCGAAAAAATTTTCTCCTTTTCTTCCCCGTTTTTGGATACCTACCTTTTCACAATTTTTTCACTGGCTACTAAGGCACTTTTTCTGGAGATGTAATTTAGCATTGTGGGCCCACCGAGAGGAAACAGTTTAAAGGATTTCTGACTTGACCCATCTAGAAAACGACGCCGACATTGTGAAAGTCGGCCCAGATCGCGCAAAAAACGATAGTTGTTGCTCTCGTTTGTGATCCCCTGTTGACCCCTCCACTTTCCCCTCAATCGCCCCCTCCTCCTGCTCCTCCTCCTCCTCGAAGTCAAAACCCTTGGTGAACCAGTTCCGCAATTCACACAACCAATTCTTAGCGTAGCTAGGGTTTCTTAATTCTAGTTTTTAGTTACAAAATCCCTTAAGACACACAGTGCCTTAAAGAACCTTTATCGGCCGAATTTCCTCATTTTCAGCTCAAATTATTGCTTAAAGCTTTGGTTTCCGGTCCCTGATTTGCGTAGCTGATTATTTGTGTGTTGTGACTACTATGTCGGCTGGTTAGAATCGGGAAGGCGATGAATTTGTGAGTCGTCCCTGTCACCGATCCATCATTCCATTCCCTCCGGCTATCCGCCCGGGAGGTCAACCCGCCCTGCATTTCCATATTGGCACCCTTGATTTTACCGCATTAAAATAAAGCTTACTTTCAAAACAATACACTTTAGGCGATGCCTCCCATTCCCAATTTTTTGGCACTTACCCTACTTATTGCGGCCGCCACAGCAACATCACAACGTACAAAATGTGCCCTCGAATGCTATGATCGATGTTTGGCAACAGGAACGGTAAGGAAGCACCGTAATATCGGGATTTACAAACACAGACGATCATGTCACATTTTACTGCTTGAATGACCCTATTTCGGGCCCTGACAGCCATTGTGAGCTCAAGATTTGACCCGGAGATTGTGCGTACCCAAGGGCTATTTGCTTCAATGCCAATGGGTTTGACTAACAAGGAGTCGCTTTTAGAGGGTATTGGAGCTGGAGTTTTTCGAGATGAGATGGCTCATTTTATAAAAAATTTTGAACAATTTTTCAAAAATCACTGAACGGTACGGACTTCAAGAACAAAGTCCAAAATTGACATTTTGCAACGCTCGGTTAAAATTGGCCATTTCAGAGCAATTTTTTCCAGATTAGCAAGCGTTTAGCTATTTTTATGAAGCCCGAATTTGTTCATAATTTGAAGCTCTATCCAATCAGCTATAGTACAGCGCAAAACTACAGTATCACCCAGCCGTAGAAAGTGGAAATGTGGAAATGCTAACCGACAATTTTCAGCAACTCCCTTCACAGTGCAACTGCCCTGTCCAAAACAATTCATTTCGGACCTGCAATTCGGTCGCTGAGAAGCTGTCCAAAGGTAATTCTGTAAATATTTATGTAAATTGTATCGACTTACATGGATGTCTTTTTGGTGCGTTTTATATATATTTTAAATTATTTAACATTTAATTACATATAGGAAATTTAGGAAAACTTCATGAGATTAATTAGAATTTTTCGAACTACTCATGCTTAATTTTAAATCCATTATAGCTGATGTCGCCTCCCAAATCCCATCAGCCATTGTCGAATACCTAAATGCGCACACCATCAAAATCGCACTAGAGGTTTACTTTTATTATTTAAAAACAAACCTTTTTTGCAGGAGTTACCATCAGCTTTTGTATACATCTTTGAATTCGCCATCGTCGGCGCCGCTCAACCGGAGGATTGGAAATTCGCTGTAGCAATCTTTTTTAAAATCCATTAAAAATTTTCAGGTAGCCTCCTCCCACGAGCCGACTGTACAATTTACGGTCGGCGACCCGTGCCAGGACTATCAGTTTCGGGTGTTTGTGGTGATGAGGTCAGAAACTTGTCAAATTGGATTTATTATATAAAAACCGCGTTTTAAAGAGAGTATAAAGAGAAATATACAATGCTTTTTAGATCTACTGACCCGTCTACGCCCTACGTACTACTCCGCCCTAGAGTTATCCCTCGAAAATTGCCACCATTTGCGATTGATCCCGCACAGGTTTGAAACCTGACATTTTTTATGTGGACACTTTTTAAGATCTTAGGAAATGAAGATACCTCTTAAAATTTAAAATTAAAATTCTAGATTACTGTCGCTGAACCAAAACCCGCAAACAACCCGGAACAACTAATAGTTAATGTACAGTGGAGCCTCCCAAAGGTATGTATTTAATCATATGAATTATATTCATTATTAGAATATTTTATTATGATAATTATTTCATAAAAATTAGGAGCATTTTTTAGGGCTTTGACGATTCTGACATCTACGGCTATGAATCCCCGGCTGTCTACCCAATCCAATGCAAAACCCCCGAGGAAGAGCTCTCCGTACCCAGAATCGTACGTTTCTTTACTCCTGCCAGAAATTATTTCTTTAGGAAATCCTTCCTGGTGGCGGCCAGATGGTTGTTAATCTACCGTCTGCTATTTTAGAAGCGAGGTAGAGGGCTTTTAAAGGGTATAATAAAAATTTGTCGCTATTTCTAGATGTCGGCTTTGGGTTGAAGTACGAATGTTGCCAAAATGCGCACGATTGCAACCATTTTTGGTGCAGGTGAGGTTTAGTTACCTGGACCACTGTTTTTGCTATTTTTAATCATCATAAAAATAGACAAAAGGGTTTTATAAACTGTGTTTTAGAAATCCTTAGAATTGGACTGCGACAAAAATCCTACGCTGGAAGTTTGTAAAAGAGGTAATTCAGTACAAAAGAAACTTTATTTTGTGTTTGCAAAGATTTTTGTCGCCATTTTTAACAAGATTTGTTGTATGATTTTTAATGCCATTTTTGAGATGCACAACCAATCTGCACGTCCGTAATCGACATCTGGGGAACAGCCGGAAAAGCGACAATTATGTGGTCAGCACCGGATCAAAGGTATTTTAAAATTAACACAGAATAGCTTGATTTTAGAAATCCTCTTTATTACCATGTACGGTATGGCCCGGCGCAGATGCAGGTAATATACAGCATTAAATTCGGCTATCTTCCAAATTCAAGGGCACCCCACCCGTGGCCACCTGGCAAATCGTGCAAAAACGAGACGTAAAGGTGCAGGGCACCGTCAAATCGTTTGCCCTGGACCTCGTTGAGGATACAGACTACGGTGTTCAGGTAAATATTACTATTAATTTTCTATGTGCCTTTAAAGGTGTGCGCAATCTATTCGCCACATCGGCAGCGGGCCAAGCTTGGACTGGTACCAGTTACGCCATTTATATGTACGAGCTGCACTAATACTCGTAGGTTTTGAGAATTTCTATTATTAAAGCCTAACCTAACATCAGTTTTAATTTGTTACACTATCATGAAAGCTTTATGACGATAGAACTGACTTTACAAACAGGTTACGTCTTCAAATACCCCATTTCAGCCACCCATAGCGTTGGGCGATGCGGAGAATGCACAAAAATCGAGCCATCTGATCTCGTGCTCGAAAGCCCCGATTCCGCGGGAGCGCTCGACGATGAAACGGAAGGTCCGGAAGTCCCAGAGGCCCAAGAAGCACCCGATTTCCTAGATGCCACAATGGCCCCACGGATCGTGGTCCCCGAAACGCATAGCCAGATTCCGAAACCAAACGAAAAAGTAAGCTACACCCATGTATAAGGTCATGCTATTTTTCCAGAGATCTCAAACCGTTCTCCGAATGGAAGCCGACCTCATAGTACAGGAAACTAAAGACGGAAACCCGATGCTACGAGTGGAGAATGATGTACCGACCGCCAAGAAAATTGCCGCCCATGCAGCCGAAGCCAAAAATGTGAGCGTGAAAAGCTTTTAAATAAAAAATAACTCCCTTAGATCGCTTCCGAATACCCAATCCTTCATGAAGAGCTTGATACAAATTCGGCAATTGGAGGTACGTCGTTTCAGAGGAAGATAAAGATTCATTTTTTATCTTTTAGGTTTAAACTGGGGTTGGGAACAACTTCAAAAACGGTTATCGGATCAGCAAGATGCCACAAAAACAGCCGAGAGCATCATCACAACACTTGCAACTTCAGTAATTTTTAGCCTTTTAGAAAAATGTAATTTTCAGACCGAGTCCACGCAAAGAACAACACATCCCGTATTTACGCAAGAAATTCGTAAATTAAAGGACCTCCCTCCTGGAATTTTGACATTCGATGATTTTGGAGGAAAATCTCAAACTACAGTGACCAGTACGACAAGGTAAAATTTCTATACGAACGAAAGTAAGTTGGAATTACATTGATTATTTAGTACACCGACGACCACTACTGTCAGCTCAACCTCAGCTACCACAACAAAAGAAACCCCTCCACCCATTCCAACGACTCGACCACCGACTTCATTGGAATTAAGTATAAAAACGTTATTAAATACCAAACTTTTTATTATTTTTAGAAGTAGCTGGCATCAGAACTAGTGATATGCATGAGGTAAGTCCTATAAAGAAGATTCTAAAACCATGAATTTTTAGCGGCGACTCCCATTACCTGGATTCACTTTTGCAGAGAGAAAGGAAGCGGTACGATTTTTGAGATATAGCTCGGATTTACGCTTGATTTTGAATGTACTTTTTACAGGAATGCCCACAATTAACGCATATCACGTTGTCGTCTGGTGAATGTATCCCAAAATCGATGGTGAATCGTGTGGCATCCAGTTGTTTGTCGAAAACTGTGGTCAACGCTACTTGGGAAAGAGATACGAATACACTACAGGTATGTAAAAATTTATTGAAATTGTTCGGCTAGAAGAAATCATTGTGGAATCTCGTATCTATTAATGCGCTCACGCTTGTATAACAAACCTAATTCTCCTAGGTGAAAAGTCGTGATGCCCGTCAAGAATTGGCCCGCCTCCAAGCCGTCGATGCGATTTTTGTCGAATTTGGCCCTGTTGAGCCCGCCGTCGCGCAGGTAGATGAAGCCGTTCCTTGACTTCAATATCGATTTCAGATCGCAGCCAATTTATCGATTGACGGATTCGCGTTTTCTAAATCCTTGACCCAACATCAGAGAATGGTCGTCCCAATTCAGGCAAAGAAAAATGGAGTACATTACAATCTGGGTTCTAGAAAATCCTACAAACGCAATTGTTCGGGCTGGAACCCTTTGTATTCCAGCTCAACCAGACGTTAGATTTGGGTGAAAATATTTATGGGATTCGGTTGTGTCCTTATAATTCGACCCAGGTATGCTTTTAAGCTTAAACTTCTGTAACACATTTCAGATTCGAAACCCATTCTCACAAAACTGGGATGGTGATGGAGGGAATGGAGATCGGAGTTTACAGGTATATTTTAGGGTACGATTAGTTTTGTGAAAGTCATGCTATTTTAATTATTAAACCAGACAAATACCTAGGTAATCCAAGTCAGCCGGGTTCACTTCTCAAAACGTGCCCTGCTTGCCGGAGACCACATCCCGATCCCAGAAAGCTACTGGAACATCGTTTTTACGATCGGGAAAATAGCGTTGCTAATTGTGCTGGTAAGTTGTGCTGGTAACTAAGCCTATAAAAACATGTTCCAGGTATTGATCATGAGCATTTTGGTCTACCTAAACTGTACGAAACTGAAAGTGCTCTACGACCGGAAACGAACGCATTACTTTCGGCCCTATTTTGTCGACCCAGTGCATGTGACTACAGTAACACGGCCATATGGTATGTTTTACGTGTGGGTATGGCGAGATTATCATATAGAAAATATGACCGAAGGGTGCAGGCTCTAGTATAGAGAATTTTTTAGGCGCCGACTCGATGATCCATCAAGATGTCGGACATGTTAACCCTGCTATCACGCCAACACGCTCCTACAGTACCCAACCAGCCGCTGGTGGCGTCCAAATGTATGCAAAACGAAGAAATTTACTCTAACTTTTGTAACGTTGCTTTGTTCTATTTATTAATTTACTGACCGCCCTCTCAAAATTACATTCCAAAGACGATGATATCTTATTGTGATCTTATTTTCCGCAGCTTTTGATATTATTCATCTATTTATTCATCTACATTCTCAAAATTTTTCTGTGATACGTTTTATATTGTGCAATTATTAACTACTCCACTCCCTTCCAAATCCAAGACGTGTACCCTCAAAATGTTGTTGTGACTTTTGTGCCTTGAAAATTGAACCTGCTTACTGTATTAACGATGCGCTTTATAGTATAATATTTCATACTTAAAGTACACTAAAAACCTACAAACTACATTGCTCAATTACGTAATATCAACAAGATCACGGTTGGCACAATCACGACTGCCGCCCAAAAACCCCGGGGGAATGGTAGCTAAACCAGTCTTTTACTTCCTCAAATCCTTAATCAGTCCGGCTCTTCCCGAAAAATTCTAGACCACGAAAACAGAACTCTCCACGCGCCGGATTGTACCGACCGAAACCTGTGATTTCAAACATTTTTGTAGGGAATACCAGGGATTATCTAACGAAACTGGTTAAACTCTGAGCTTTCGTATATTGAAACCATATCCCAGACATCTTCAAAACCGCCACTCGCATAGACTTTACATGTATATTTTCTAATTTTACTATATTTTATAGCTGGTTATAATCGCTATAATGAATCAATCAATCCCCCAACTACTCGGCGGCGGAACAATGCGCACAAACCGAAGTACTGACTATCAATTTAATTTACACCGGAACCTCCTTCATCTGCGCTATTCTAACGTTTATCCTATATTTTATGATGGTCTGGAAGATCCGTGTAAATCGACGATCATCAGCTTTTCGATCGGCGTTTTATAAGCTGTTTACACTACAAGCATTTGTGGTGGGTTGTGAGAGAGGAAAAGAGAGAGCTAGAGAGAAAGCGAGAGAGGATGAGAGAGAGAGAGAGAGAGAAAGAGAGAGAGATAAAGAGAGACTTCCCGTATTTCCAAACTTTTCCAGACTTTTCTTGCATATATTTTTGATATTTTTGGAGCACGATTGAATTGGGCAAGACCTTGGTGTGTCCAGTTGATTGGTATTTTTGGAAACGGTAAGAATTAAACAATACTAGAGGGTGTTTTGCCGCGTGTTGGATGCGCCCTAAATTTCTAAAAAATTTTTGTTTTAGGCAGTCACTTCCTCTCTCCCCTCTATTTTGGCAACTACTACGGTTTGATCGCCACAATATATTGTGCGACATTCGTCAGCCTAAATCGAATGACAACCATGCTGATCCCGCTTAAATATGAACACGTGGGCCTCAAACTTGATCAGTACATATTTTCAAAAGTTTTAGTTGTGGTATCATGGCTTTCCTGTTTCCGTTGTGCTTACCCTACTATTACCGGCTTGTCTGTATTGGCACTTGCTCGTTTCTCCCGCAAAAATCCGTGCCTACGGTGGGGTGCTGTCGATGGATTATGTGAGGACTGTTAAATGGGTATGTTAAATGGCTTGAACGGTTAAGCAACAAAAGCCGACCAAAGTCATAGCGAAAGCTTGATTCTAGGTTCCGAATTCATTGCTCGGCGCGGTAAATGGTCTAGCGACGGGCTGTATTCAAGCGATGTGTACCATTATTACTGTATACTCCTTCAGACAAATAAAATTAGGTAAAGAATTACTGAGGGTCCAGCTATTTGAACCTAGATTCAAAAAGTCGAGCTGAAATCCCGCTGACCGTTACCGGGATGACGATGTCTGTGGGGTATATAGCAGTCGGCTTTCATCAGGTTAGGTTTAGTTAAAAATCAGGTATATTTAATGCGTGAAACATTAATCGTAGTAAGTCCGTGCATAAAATTAAAGTTAGTAAAGCCGTAAAAAACGTAAATTACAGGTTACCTTCTACTACTTTTCCTATATTGTCCCTAACCGCATACTCATCGAATTCCTCCTAACATTCCGCCCACTTTTAATGGATATCGTCCTCCTTTGCCCACCATGGATCCTCCTTATTCTTAGTGCACAAATTCGCCGCGTACTAAAAGGCGAACGGTACGTGTCATACCCCCTTTAATCAATGCCGTCAAATTTAGCCCCAACGTCAGAGAAGTGAGCACGGTCACTCTGGCATTTCGACGAAATTCACGTGTGACAAAACTATGTTAAAGTTCTATGTAATAAAGCGCACTATAAAATCACTATAAATTTGCACACAGCTCCACAACTAAAATTGGCACTCAGGCGCAGAGGCCGGCGGCCCACACAAAATAATTTTGCAGGCTCTATACCCGAAAAAGGTCTGGGCCCCGTCAAAACAGCTGCCCGGGGATAGACGGGAGAAACGGTTTGCTTTCGCCCTGGAACGTGCTAATTAAATAGGTTTTTGGGTGAAAATACATAGGTGTTGATTATCTGGCGGAACGTGTTGCGCGGCAATGGCCTTTTCATTTCGCAAAGCTGTTCCGCCGAGTGCTTTTAGTTGTCGAACGATCTCGGCGATTTCCTTCCTTTACCCCATGCTCAAATACGCACCTTGTACTTTTTCTTTTTTCAATTGATTTTCAGCTGAAAATGAACACATCGGCACACGATTCGGCCGTCGCCCAATGCGTCCCCACCGACGTAATGCTTGCCAATCTAATCTACACCATATTCTCATTCGTGTGCGCCGTGCTAACATTTACTCTGTATTTTCTTATTGTCTGGCAAATACGGAAGAATCGGCGGTCCACGTCATTTCGATCGGCGTTTTATAGATTATTTACCTTACAAGCATTCGTGGTGAGTTGAAAAAGGGCGAGAGAGAGAGAGAGTGAGAGCGGAAGTGAAATAGAGCGTGGTAGAGAGAGATAAGCGGGAGAGAGAGAGAGCAAGATAGATAAAGAGAGAGAGAGAGAGAGAGAGAGAGCGAGCGAGCGAGAGGGAGATTGAGGTACTTTTTTCAGACATTCCCGGCCTATCTGATGGACATCCTTGGCTCACGTCAGAGTTGGGCTAGACCATGGTGCGTCGAGGTCGTCGAGACTTTTGGAGAAGGTACGGATAATTATTATAACTTTAATATAGCTAATGATTACACTATTAGGCAGCCTTTGGTTGTCACCATTCTACTTCGGTGCCTACTACTTTTCCATTGCGACAATGTGGTGTGCTACATTTGTCAGTTTAAATCGAATGACAACCATGTTGATTCCGCTAACTTACGAACGCGTAAGTTAACGTACACTTATGCTGGTACGTTAACGAACACTTCAATTCCAGCTATGGAATCGTGCATTTGGTGTAACAGCGCTGCTCACCCTCCTAATTCCATTTTGCCAGTACTGGCATCTACTCCTATCACCCGCGAGAATGAAGGCTTTTGGCGGGGTGCTGACCATGGATTATATTAAAACTATTCGATGGGTAGGTACACTATAAATAAACACTGAAAAATCGGATTCTAGGTCCCGAATTCCCTACTCGGGGCTATAAATGGAGTAACAACCGGTTGCATTCAAGCCATTTCTACCATTATTACTGTATATTTTTATAGAAAAGTGAAATTAGGTAAAACAAAGCTTTGGATGAACTTATTCGGACATAGATTCAAAAAGTCGTGCGGAAGTCCCGTTGACCGTTACTGGAATGACAATGTCTGTTGGATATGTTGTATTAGCCGCCCATCAGGTAGTTATAGTATTTATCAGCTAACTTTTCCAGGTCGGACTCTACTACTTTTTATACATATCTTGGGAGCAAAACACCTTCCGTATATTATTAACGATCCGTCCTTTTCTATGGGATATCGTCACTCTAACACCGCCGTGGATTCTGATTATCCTTAGTACAGAGTTACGAGGGCTTCTGAGGCGTAGACGGTGGGTTGAGTCGTACTTTAAAAATTTGTTTTAGCCCCCACATCAAAGAAGCGACTACGCTAACGAGTGGAATCATGCAGCGCCATTAGAATGTTCGAGCTTCGGTTTTTAATGATTCCGTTTTGCTCATGACGTGTCTACGTTAACGGATTTGGCTTTTGGCAGCAAGGTAGGCTTCAAAACGCTAAAAAACATACCTGGCATGGTAGACATGCAAAGCACGGTGCGTGGCCCTTCTGAATGGCACATAGCCCATATCGAGCGTCAGATTCATCGTCCTTACAAAACTTATATAATCATTTCTTTAGTAAAACCAAGCGTGCGCAGTCGACGATCAGCAGTTTCGGAGCAGATGGACGACGACAGAAATTCAGAATTTTTATATTTATTTATATGTTGTTCTTTATATTTTTCTTATTATTAATTTTTGTGCTTATTTTAAATTTTTCTTATTATTATGTTTATATGTTGCTCAATAAAATTGGTTTTAATTGAATGGAAGCATAGCATAAATGATTTAAAAAAACGCTTCTAAGACTTAAGCGAAAGGCTGGAAGTTCTTAAAAAGGGTTATAGGATTGCATTGCGCCCGACTCGGCGCAATAGTACAAAACACGCAATACGATTAGAATATATGACCGGCGTCGATCAGAGGTTAAAGCTTGCCCTTTGGAAATGCGGAAATTCAAATGCTCTTAAATTTGTTGGTTGATTTTTGAAGTTGGGTACCTAGACCGCAGATGGGAAAGCCATAATCAATGGTATTTTACATGTAAACCCTGCTATTAAGGGTTTTCAGACGGCATCTACGTTTGAAATTTACGAAGGTGCCGGAAGGCAATTTTCACTTGGCATCCTAATGCTACCGTATTCCCCCACTTTTAAAAATTTTTATTTGAAAGCTTAGTTTTGTTTTGAATAAATTATTTTGTAGTTATTTTTATTAAATATGCATTGCTTTGAAGTTTTGTGCTTGTCGGTTGTGCGTTAGGACGCCTTAAAGACGATTTATACGTTAGTTTTATCTGATTTATGTAGTTTTTGATATACCCGTCCCCGTTAACGAACAGCTGTACATTTCCGGAAGCCAGCGTTCCCCCGACGCCATTATAATAATCCTAATTGGTCGACGATTTTGGAAAGCACCTGCGCAATGCGCGCCCGCGCGATTGCTGCCGGTTTTTGTGTCTTGCGCGGGTTCGTCAGTTTTTATTTCCGTCTGCATTCCGAGGAGAATTAGAATGGTTTCTAACTGTCCAGAAAATTCTATGCAATTTTGGAAAAATGCTTTTAGGATTTTCTCGATCTCGGGATTTTCTTACAGTTTTTCATGTGTCCATGCCCCTTTAGAGACTCCATGACGTCGATGATTTTTCTGCCGTTCTCTGATCTGTCCATATCCCTTTAAAACTTCCATCAATGCAGGGCTGCCAGAGCCCAGGCTCCAGAATCATCTAGCAACCCTGTTTTTGCACGGATACCCTAAGCCTTCGACCTTTTAGACTCTAGAATTAGTGGGAGGGGTTAATCACCGGTTAGCCTCGCCCTCCGTTTCCCCCAAAGACAAATCATTGTATAAAACGTGATACGGGTCCGTTTTTTGGGGTAATAAGCTGTGGGCGCTGGCCGTAGTTTATAAAAAAATTAGTTTCACCCTATTTCCCAGCCCCTTTGTCAACATCCAATCAATGGGGGGGGGGTCGCTTCTCAAGTGTCATGGTCCCTTTAATGCTGTTTAAATATGCTAGAAGCGGTGTCAAGGTTTAAATGTGTCTCTCGAAATTTGATTGACACAACCCTTAAACTCCGTTAAATTCTTGATCCTGATGTTTTAAAGTTCTCTTCTCTATTTTTAAATCTTATCAAAATTATCTAAATAAACTTTTCAGAAGTCCGCTCTACTTTAATGAACCTAACCGTATCCCAGGCACAATGCGCCACTATCGAGCGTATTACATGGAATGTAATATATACGATAGTATCCGCCATCTTCGCTATCCCAACATTTATCCTCTATTTTCTGATCGTCCGCCTGATCCGCACTAATCGAGGGACCGCCACCTTTCGATCGGCTTTTTATGGGCTTTTCACGCTGCAGGCTACGGTGGTGAGGTTTTTTTGGGTGATTCGGGCATTAACGAAACAATCGTCTGTACCGACATCAAGCATCAGAGACACGCTTGTAGCAATCACAAAATACGCAGCGTGGGAAGGACCGGTTCCTGCTTGTTGCTTGGCAACGAGGGGAAGCCATTTAAAGGTCATGGGGGTGGTAGTTTGATTCGCTTAAGCTTAAGAAATAAAAATAAGTTGGAAAATAGGCCTCATAAACGCCGAAAACGAGCGTAATTGAAGCCTAAGGTAAAGCCGAGCCATAAGCTCCATTTAAGCCCGAGCTTAGGCCTAGGCCCAACCCTAAACCTAAAATCCCAAGCCTATTCTTAAGCCTAAGCCTAGGCCCAAACATAAGCCCAAGCCTAAGCCCAATCAAGCCAAAGCCTAATCCCGATTTTCCAGTCAGTTCTTACCTACATAGTTGATGTAATCACCGGCCGTATGTCGTATCTTGGCTATTGGTGTGAACCATTGACAATGGCATTCGGAGACGGTAGCTTAGCAGCTTTCTTTAATAAGTTTTCGATCGTCTAGGGTCCCGCTGGCTATCCCCATTCTACTTCCTCACCTATTACTCGGCTTTTGCCACGATGTGGTGCACAACGTTCGTTAGTTTGAACCGGTTGAGTACTGTGCTTTTTCCATGGAGTTATGAGAAGGTGAGTGTGAGTGTGAGGTAATTCAAAATAACCCATTTCGAGATCTGGCACCGTGGCTATCCCCTAGCCATCAGCATAACTCTTATACTTCCGGTGGGATTCATGTGGCATCTCCTGGTCAGCCCGGTAAAAATATCGGTGGTCGGCGGAGCGCTAGGGATGGATTACATCAGGACCATAAAATGGGCCCCGAATTCGATGTTGAGCGCCATTAATGGGCTGGTGACTGGCGGAGTGCAAGCTTTGTCTACCCTCATCACAATGGTGTCTTTCAAACGGATGAAACGCGGTAGGTTACCTAGGAGAGGATGGATGGATTGGACGTCTAGTTTTTGCAGAACGAGGGTTTAAATCGGAGATACCTTTGACGGTTGTTGGGATGATGATATCTGTTGGTTGTATGATATTGGCATTACATCAGGTGAGCTAGAGAGAGAGAGAGAGAGAGAGAGAGAGAGAGAGAGGAGAGAGAAGGACAGCGCGAGAGAACGAACAACAATGCGATCAATTGGATAAATTCTAACAGATAAAATTTATATTTACATTTCAGATGTGTTTCTATTATATCCTCTACATCAACGTTAATTATGATACGTTCAACACCCTCTTCTCGATCCGACCTCTCGTCTGGGATCTCCTAGTCCTCAGCCCCCCATGGACACTCTTATTCCTGAGCACAGAAATCAGATACAGATTATTCCCAAATTGGTATTTACTTTTCCTTTACTATTACACGAATTTTAGGGCGCCCATCACACGAAACCATCGTGTCTCCGGGTTTGTCGTTACTTCCGTGGCGCCTACAAAACACTGATGAACGAGATTTTTCAAATTATTTGTCGTCGACGGGTGTTTTTTGCATATCGTGACCCTTAGCTCAAGAATAAACAAGATTGATTGATTGATAAACAAGAGTGGGAGAGAGAGAGGGAGAGAGAGAGAGAGAGAGAGGTAGAGAGAGAGAGATGAGCGAGATAGATGGAGCGCTAAAGAGAGCAGTAGAGAGAGAACCAGGGAGACAAAGAGAGAGAGAGAGAGAGAGAGAGAGAGAGAGAGTGAATGCAAAATAAACAATTTAGCAAGGCGGTTGTTACATGTTAGATCTTCTATGCCCAGCCGATGCCTCAGTGTTGGTTCAAACCGCTAGTGGACCCATTTTACTCTCAATGGCTGATTAATTAAATTTTATTACAGATAAAAAAAAGCATTTCTGAAAATTTTAGGACTCCGGATTATTCCAATTTATCTGCGAGGCTGGGGAGTACTTTTTCAATTCACCGGATGCCGGCACTTCTTCGCAACTGCAATCCGTAGGAAAAGAATATAATATACCAGCGCTGGCCCTCCGGTGATAGCTCATAATTTGAATTTGAAATTTGAATGCAGAATTTGGCTGAATCCCCGGTCGTAATATATATATATATATATATATCGCGGTGGTGTTGTGAATCTCCTAGTCGTGCGTCGAGTTGTTCCGGGTCGAACAAAATTTCGAGAGGCGTGCTGGACTCGCCTTGTCGATAGATATATCGATAGATACCAAAACCGTAAAAATCGGACACCTCTCCGGCCCGCTAGGTAGGGGGGGGGGACATTTTTTGGGACACCCTGTAGTAGATTATAAATAAACTTTAATTATAGGTAGTCTGCTTTGATAGCGGTTCGGGTAATGCTATACCGCAAATAGAACCTAAAAGCTGGTTTCCCCAGACCCGTATATTTTCCCACTTTTAGCCAAGGACTACGACAGATGTCACAGCGACCACCACCGGTTTTGCTGAAGAAGAAGATTAATTTGCATGCGTCCAAATTTTAATATGAAAATTTTATCCGATAAAACAGCGTACCCGTACCGGCATTGCACGGCGTGAAAATGTGCAAATCCCAAGGCAAAATGGCACAAAAATACGTTATGTTACTACGCCCGGCAGCAGGGAAACCAAAACAGGCACAACCAAAAGGGAAGGGAAAGTGAAATAAGTAGTGGATTATCGGAGCGAGTTTCTGAAAAGAATTCGAAATTCATAGTGTCGAAAATTTGTACGCACAACGGGGAGAGCTTAAACATTCATAAAAAAACAATGCGAAGGTTACTATTTACTAAGCAAGCGAATTAAAAAGAGCTTGGAGTAGCTCCACATTTTTTCGCAAGGTATCGATGTATTCGTTCAGTTGGTCGGTGGGGCTAACCCGGCATTGTCGTTTCTTGAATCCAATTTCTAGCTCTTTAAGGATGCCTTTGGTTGGATCAAATTCGTCACGAGCCAAATCGATCTTGTTTGCGAGATCCCATTGCTCAAAATACACCTTTGCGATCTTCAACCAGGAGCTGTCGTCGTGTTGCTCTTTCACCGCAAAATACTCCTTCCTCCAATCTTTGTGTGGAATCGTTTTCATCATTTTGCTTTTGATATTGTCATAAACTTCGAAATCGCCGGTCGGGGCAAAGTCAACAATCGCGGCCTTCTGCGTCCCTTTCCACCTTCCTAAAGTCGATTATATTATGGCTTTCAGATTCTAAAACGAACCGCAGTTCTGTCCATGCAGATCGGAAATGAATAGGAGCGCTCTAAGCATGCCTAATTGCACGATGACATCTGCGCGAAGGTTGTCCTTGACGTTTTCGAGAAGCTCGAATCTGTCGTCCCATTTAGTCGCAATGTACCTGAAATATGCAAAATGTATAAAGTAACGGACAAAAGTAAATCACCCCCATTTTTTGAATTTCTGGGACGATTTACTGAATATTCCTGGCTGGAAAATATTTAGTTGACAACTAGCCAGGTGTAGTAAAATTACATGCTAATTCCAAAGATACTCCCAAAGCCCGAAAATTTGTTTTAGGGTGAAAATCGCTACTTACTTATTACCCAAAAACGGTGAAAAACTAACTTTGCGTGGTGTTTTCGAGGTGCGCCATTGTGAGCGTCGTAATCTCCGATGCGTCAATTTAGCCAATTTTTATGGAATGTTTCCTTCTCCGGATTTTTATGGCATGTCTAGATACCATTTTCGAGAATCGGGCAGTTAGGCTTCAACGGTTTCCTACACATTCGAAAGTGCTCTTTCCGATGTGATACAAGAAGTCCGCGATAAATCGTTTATGATCTGCTTCTAACCCAGCCCTTTTAGCAACACGAGTTTTCGCAGTTGAGTGTTCTAAATAAATGCTTCTATAAAAATCAGTGTCTCTCCTTTGCTTTGGAAACAAATTTTTCCTGATGTGAAGGACTATCCTTGTAGATTCTGGATCCGCTATTGAAATCGCCCGAAAATCGATTTTAAAGGGCCGTTGACTAAACATCTAGGCATTCCATAAAAATCCGGAGATCACTGATTTTGGCTAAATTGACACATCGGATATTACGAATATCACAATCCTCGAAAAATCCTCGAAAACACCACACAATAAAAGGGAGTTTTTGACCTTTTTTGGGGTAAAAAGTAAATAGCTATTTTCGCCCTAAAAAAATTTTTTCGGGCTTTGGGAGTATCGAATTCAGAATAAGCATGTAATTTTGCATCTGGTAAGTTGTCAACTAACAATTTTCCAGCCAGGTATATTCAGTTTATCGGCCTAAAAAGTCCAAAAATGGGGGTGATTTACTTTTGTCCGTCACTGCATGTATACGCAAAGTTGTAAAATCCTTACGCGCTCGTTTTGGTTCCAGTCGAAATGCTGGGAGGAATGATGTGCGATTTGGGGCCGACACCGATTAATGCTAATAATTTATAGCAGTAGAATTCGGAGACGTCCGGCACGTTGCCTGAGCTCGCGCCTTTTGAGCCATAATGGTGGCATCTAAACAAAATGGATCTTGAATGAATGAATAGAAAACATACTTAATATTGTATTTTGAAACAGAAGCTTCTCCGTGAATCTGCACAAACGCCAGTGTGTTCGTTGGCCTGCCTCCCAACTCCTCGGCTCGTGCTTCGAAGTAACAAGTGAATTTCGACTCTTCGCTTCCTCGGCCGAGGTCATGGAGATTTCGAAAATACTGCTCCGCCGCTTTGCGAATCAACCCCACGTCGCCATCGGTCCAGGCAGCGACTTTAGGATGATTTTTACTATGATAAGCGTTGAATTGGAGGTAAGCCTTGAAAAATCCGCTTTTGGTTAATAGTTCCTGATGTTCGACAGCTTCTTTTGCGTATGCAACCTTCGCCGTGTGTTGCTTCAACACTAACTCAACACAGCGCTTGTACTCCCCCCACAATGGAAGATCCGAATGTTTCTGAAAAAAAAACTTGAGAGCAATTTTACAGAATTCACGAGCTGTATAATAATTGTCTAATTGTCTGTATCGGGTAAAGCCCATATGCCGATTTCACATAATGCCGATTTTCATAATGCGGATTTTACATAATGCCGATTTTCATAATGCCGATTTTCATAATGCAGATTTTACATAAGGCCGATTCTTCTAATGGCGTTCTTATAATCCCGATCCTTCTAATAATGATTCCCATAATGTCGATTTTCGACTTTTCGCGGGGTGCTAAACCATACTCTTTTCGACCAACCCTTGTTTTTGGTAATCAATTCCAGGTCGTTCTCATGAAGCTCTGATTTCTTATACAAAAACCTTCCAAAATTTTCATAAAAATAAGTTCTCCTGACAGGTATTGAAGACTGAATTTTCAAGGACCGTTAACAGGCTGTATCAAAACAAAGTTCCGAAGTTTGTCAGAATGTGCAGAATGTTAAAGATTTCAGGAATAGGAAAATAAGTCAACTTGATTTTTTCGATTTTTGGCGACGTATCAATACAAATGACACCCGAAAACGTGCATTTGGGGAAATTTCATTAGCATTTTTCCCCGTTTCCTGTGGTCGCCGGCCCCTAATCCTACTATATATAAAAAAGTAGTGTCTGTGTGTGTGTCGATTTGCATGCAACTTCCGTCTCTATGTCCGGAGGATAACTCAATAGGGGATGAATATTAGGGTAAGTATGATACATCATTAGGTGCGTAATGGCTCTGCGATGACTGCACGCATAACAGAATTATCGAAATACGCTATTTTCGATATCCTTCAAATAATATAATTTTGGCGTGTATCTCTGTGTGTGTGTGTGTCCGGCGCCAGGGAGGGCTACTTTGCATAATTCCAAAAAATACAAATTTCCTCATTCTTGAAAGTTGCACACGCGGGTGTGGTCGGAGGAAGGGAGGGGTCCGAAGGACCCAAGCTCTCAGAAAGTCAAATTTCTTATGCAAAGGCCGCATTCCAGCGCCCAAGGCCCGCGAAGCGGGTTTTGGGCGCTGGTTAAAAATAAGTTTTTCTAAAATTTTCGAGAACCCTCTTTGGTAGGAAACAATTAGCGTATACCGGAAGTAGAAGAAGCCTAAAAAAGGGATGGAATAAAATCTTTTCATTTTTGTCAGCTTGATTGAGGCTGAATTATGCAAATTTTACAGTTTCATTTGTCCAAACGGGGCCAGGGTTGAAAAGTCGCGAAGCGGCTTTTCAACCCTGGTTCTTACTATGTAAGTTGAGGTAAACAGCAGATATCTATCTACTATACAGGGTGTCCCAAACCCCCCCCCCCCTCGGCATTTGGCCGTCTTCCATCGAATCGGGACAAAATTTTTACCAGTTTTACCCATAAAAACTATGTGCAGCCGAATTTTCTAAGAAAATATTGTAAAACCAAAAAGATGTATCAAAATTAAGGTTTATTTTGCCGATTACACTAGGATTTTGACGGATTTCGGCCTCGAAATGTTTAGCAAAAAGATATAGACAGGGGCGTAACCAGAAAAAAATTTCGGGGGGGGGGGCCGAAAAATTTGTTCCACAAAACTCAAAACATAAACGAGAAAACAGCGCCGCAGGCAAAATTTTTTGAAAAAAGGGTTACATAGCTCTACAAATAGCCGTAAAAAAAGTGAAAAAATAGCGCCGCAGGCAGCAAAATTTTTGAGAAAATCAAAATCATAAGGGTCCCCCTTATGAAATTTTCGGGCCCCGGCCGATTTCGGGGGGGCCGGGCCCCCGGGGCGGGTATTACGCTACGTCCCTGGATATAGATGACCCTTACCATTGTTTATCAATGATAAAATTCTCACCGAGATCGTAGCTGAGAGTCAAGAAGAAAACGCAAAAAAAATGAAAACTACAGTATCCCTCTGGGGCACGTTTTAGCACGCAATAGAAAAATACCATAGAATTGGGTGAAAACTGTTGTGCCAAAGAGCATCGCCCGGAGACACCATTAGCCAAAGATCAGCCATGGGCCGCGAATTTGAAGTGAGTTGTGGATCAGTAAGTAAGCTTCAAAAGTTTTGAAAAAGTGAAAAGATGTAAAGAAGATTTGGCCTTTCTACAACGGCCAACTATTTTTAGACCACAAATCAGAATTCTCCCGCCACCGTCAGTAGGAAAGTTGCGTACACAAAAATCGAAAAATCAGGTTGATTTATTTCCCTATACCTGACATATTTAAGCACAGTCTGGCATGGTAAAGCATGGTGAAATACCTTTCTATCTTGAGATAACTGGGGACTTCGGAACTTTGTTTTGATACACCCTGTAGATTTTAGATTCAGGGTAATTCCCTAGAAAAATCAGGGTTTCGCTATTTTAAATGGTATTTTCGGTGCGGCAATATTGACAGCATAGCCTTTCCAGGAAAAATTGGAATTCAAACACTAGGATACATCGGGAGGACAATGGTGAGCACCCAGCGAAGAGTCGCAAAATCGGCATTATAAGAAACGGCATTCTAAGAATCGGCTTTATGTAAAATCGGCTATATGTAAATTGGCATTATGTAAAATCGGCCTTATAATAATCGGCATTATGTAAAATAAACAAAAATAGTAAAAAACACTTACAATCACGATCTCGTCTTGATCTTTGGCACCAATTTGTTGGAGTGTCGACTTAAGCGCAAGAATTTCTTCCCCGTTGTGATAGAGTTCTTGATACGACTCATCAATTCCCCACAAAGAATTGATCGCTTTTCTCAGCTCGATAATTGTCATCTAAAACCAACATTCAAATTAGTTAGAATATAATTGTTAAAAAACCTCGTTTGGGAATATTTCGGGCTTGCGACGATGGCGGATTCCTTCTGCATCGTGCAAAACGAGAACCAAAACTGTTTCCATAACTGTGGAACTAAAAAATAAAATAAATAACAATGATTATCATGGATGGGAAATCACGAAAATACGGACTACAGAACACAAGGAAGTCGCTTAAACTGTTAGCATATTTTTCGACGCTCTATCGCATGGCACAAAAAAATTTTGAAAAAATATGGAAAATGTCGAAAACTAGCTTTCGTCCTATACAATCTATGGAAATCACGTTTAATACTTTTTTTTATCATAACTATTTTATCCTACTATATATAAAAAAATAGTGTTTGTGTGTGTGTGTGTGTGTGTGTGTGTGTGCCACTTTGCATCCACTTCCGTCTGTCTGTCCGGAGGATATCTCGATAGGGGGTGAGTTTTAAGGTACGTATGATACGTCATTAGGTGCGCAATGGTCTTGAGATGACTGCACACATATCAGATTTTACAAAATTAGCTGTTTTCGACATTAAATTTAAGTTTTTGTGAAAAGTTCTTTGTTAGGAATAATTAGCATAGACCGGAAGTGGGGAGTCGACTATATAAAGAGGCCGAAGAGGTCGTTTTCATTTTTTGTCATCCCAATTTAGGACAATTATGTAAAGTGAAGGATAAAAAGAGGGTCAGACGGGGCCAGGGTTGAAAAGTCGCGAAGCGGCTTTTCAACCCTGGTATTAAATTATTTTGAACTCAAATTAAAAGTCTGTCTATATTTGGATGCTCTATCGAATGTGGTCTTTAAAATGCCGAAAAATAGCGAATGTCGAAAAACAGCCGCACAACCCGATTTCAAAGTTTATTTTTGTTTTTATCATCACTTTTTTTATCAGGTTGGATAATAAGTTCTGTCACACTGTTTGGAAATGTTTGTTAAAGCTGCCGACGTGCCCAAATTGATAGTGCGTTATATGGTTGATAGGTCTCATCAGCTCTATCTCGGGTAGACTCTCCTACAAAACGAAAATTGAGGGTGCCGAGATAGAGCTTCGAGAAGTTTTTCGCCAAATCGTAGAAAACCTATTGACAAAAATTATCGCTGCATAGAGCAATTTGCCTGCGATACCTTTAATCTCAATCGATAGCTCTCGAGGAGTATATATCGATATGTTTAGATCATCAAATTTGGACATCAGATGGCCGAGATATGGCCCATTCAATTTGGTCCATTTCTTAGAACTTTTACCGAAATCTCATGCATTTCGTCAAAATGCTCCCAGTCCTTTCAAAAAATAAGCGGCCAGTTTTGGTTTCGGCTGACCAAATGCATGGGATTTCGGCAAAATTACTAAAAAAATGGACCAAATTTCAAGGGGGCATATCCCGACCATCCAGTCTCCAATTTTGACGATCTCAACATCTATTGATATCTACTCCTCGAGAGCTACCAAATTTCGTTAATGGTGTCTTGTGCAAATGGCTGGATGCAGAGATAACTCGCTAAAAACTGTTGAACAATTTTGCGGAAAACTTTCTCGGGCGTGCATCTCGACGCGTCCATCAATTTTTGGGTCATCTGAGAATCTTGCTAAGACCTACCTGCGAGGCTGCGAGACCTATCAAACCATACCTCATAATCCAAAATCTACAAAATCTGTGATTTTAAAGATCGATTTCAAAAATTGTGACAGAACGTATTATCCAACCTGTTATATTACAATACTTTCAGCTAAACAAAAAACTTCTAGTATATTTTTCGATGGATGCTCTATCGAATGGCGTTGCAAAAATCCCGAGAAAATAACTAAAATACAGGGTGTCCAAAAAACCCCCTTCGGTTTCATTTTGCTGATTTCACTAGGATTTTGACGGAATTGGACCTCGAAATGTTCAGCAGAAATGGAGAGGACACTTTTTTCCACCCGGAGAAATTTTTTGATTTACGAAAATAACGTCTAAATTATCACTTTTCATCACTTTTTGTTATCAAAATTCGCAGAAACCGACCCGAAAATGACTATTTTTGGAAAAAATACTAAAAATCGGCATGCTAATTGCGAAAAAAATAGTCAAAAACGAGTACGAGAGTTTCCCAAAAAGTTTTTAAGCATAACTTTTTTGTTTTACAATAGTTTGCTTAGAAAATTTGGCTGCACATGGTTTTTTTGGGTCCCCATCGCTGGTAAAAATTTGGTCCCGATCGGATAGAAGGCGGCCAAATCCCGAAGGGGTTTTTTTGGACACCCTGTTTTGAAAAAGGCATGTCTGCGTCTCTGCCCATGCGCCCCTCTCATCACCCTTCCACTCTAGCCCAACGCGTTTGTGTGTCGCGTCACGTGCGCCCAGTTCAACTGTGGCAAATGTGTGGTAGTGAGGAAGAGAAAAGAAGGTCACAAAGAGAAAGACAAATTGCCAGGGCAAAGGCGTCACAAATTGAGAGAACTGAAGGAGAACGAGATAGCGGTAGCACTCTAAACTTCTCAAAGGTGCTGGCAAAAAGGTATAAAGAACGAAGTGTCTCATTTGAGAACGATTTGTGTCGCAGAATTTCATCAGTTTTTGTGTTGTTATTGTTATTGCTTGTTGTAAGAACTGGGTTTCTGGGTTTGAGTTTTTTAGAATAGCCATGTTTGGGGTTGTGGGTTCAATAGATCGCACAAAAATTAAACAAGATATTTCTAGCCAAAAAATGTTAGCTTCGAAATTATGGAATTACCGGATTTTCTCCAATATAACACCCTATATTATAACCCCCCCCCTCCCTCTAATACAACCCGCGGCACCGGGTGAGTGAAAAAAATATAACCCCGGGGTTATATTACAGGAAATACGGCAGTATAGTGTTTCAAATGTAAAAATATACTCATGCTACTGATATATTTATGTTGAAGCAAGCTCGAAACGTTCTATGATAAAAGGGATATGCCAAGATTGTAATACCATGCAGTGTAAGTTAATTCCAACAATCACAGGAGGTTCTGGGTTAGAAGGTATCAAGGTGGTTAAAATTAGTCAAAGAATCTACAGGGTGTATTAAAAAAAAGTTCCGAACTTTTTTTTAACGTTTTACGTACTTCAGGGGCCCTGGCCCTACCTCCGCCCTGCATCACCTTTTTGCTTTTTGCACTAAAAAAACTAATTTTGTATAAAAAAACTTGTTTTGACCTTTTAGATGCTTGTCTAGCCAATGTCTAGCCAATTTTGACGTTGAAATTGATCAAGAAATTCGAAAACGATATCGGTACCTTGCTTTTGCAGAAAAAAATCTGCCATATTTGCCGTATAAGTTTGAAAATAAAAGTCCGCAGCAAATTTGGAAAACGGATTCGAAATCAGAGAAAAATTCTGCGCAGGATGCATTTCGTCCCGAATCGAAACTCCAACTTGAGAAAAAAACACTTTACGGTAAGTTTGTCCCCAATTATCTCGAGAAGCAAAGATATTTCACCATGCGTTACCATGCCAGAATGTGCTTAACGATGTCAGGAATCAACTATAATAATTTCTTGAGGCGTCAGTCTGTCCTTGTGACGCCGAATTCAACTCGAAGGGGAAAGGAGCCAAAGCTTAGGTCTCTTCGGATTCGGATAGTGCGCCGTCAGACACCCCCAAACTGATAAAAAATTCTGAAAAACTTTTTTTAACTTATTAAAATCATTTTATAAAATATGGGCTATGATACGGCGGGCACCGCATCCCCTTTACGGCTATTGGATAAGGCGGGCACCTTATCTCGGATTCTCTTCAGATTCGGATAGAGCGCGGCCAGAAAGCCCCAAACTGATCAAAATTTTTTCATTTTTTTTCCATTTTCATCACAAATTTTCAAACTTCCTTTTAATATTTAAAAACCGTTTTTAAAATATGGGTCATGGTACGGTGAGCTCCGTATCTACTTTCCGCCTATAGGATAAGGCGGGTAAAGTATCCTCTTTCAACGGGGACTTTCGGCTATGGGGGGCGGGGTTATCGGAAGCGATTAGGAACGTATCTACGTATTTTTTTAAGGGGCTTTGGTTATGGGGAGAATCTAAAGCCATCAGCGTGGGTTTTGATGAAGGTAGGGCGTGATGTGGTGGTGTGGAACATGCAGGCTCGCCCGAAGGCCAGCCGATTACCGATTAGCTCACACCTAAGCCCAAGCATAAGCCTAGGCCCAAACATAAGGCCAAGCCTAAGCCCATCTCAAGCCAAAGCCTAATCCCGATTTTCCAGTCAGTTCTTACCTACATAGTTGATGTAATCACCGGCCGTATGTCGTATCTTGGCTATTGGTGTTAACCATTGACAATGGCATCCGGAGACGGTAGTTTACCAGCTTTCTTTAATAAGTTTTCGATCGTTTCGAGACCAACCATCCGGCCAATCGCCAGAAAGGTCTGAGTTGCAGACCCAATTGTTCTATCACGGACAGCCTGATATATCAGGCAGCTTGGAAACAAGCATTCGAGCTCAATCTCAAGGCCGGGAAAGCGATCTGGACTGTGCGGAATCTGAAACTGACTCGCCGTGTCTATCCCGAAGGAGTCGAGCCTGCTGTGTGGAACAAAAAATCAAAGTAAGCAATCCGGTTATCCGTGCTAGCCTAATCAATGCCAGGTCTATTTATCCCAATTGCCACAATTAAATGCTATGCTACTATTGACTGAACTAGATATTGTTTTTATAACAGAAACCTGGCTAAAGGATGATATTGTTGACTCTCTTCTAACCATACCTGGCTATTCTATATTGCGAAAAGACCGACAAGGTCATGGAGGGGGCATAGCAGTCATTTATCGCAGCCATCTAAAAATCTGCAAGCTAAATGTCTCCACTGAACTCGAAGTTCTATGTCTTGATCTGTTTATTAAAAAGACAAAAACGGCCCTGCGACTCATTCTCTGCTACCATCCCCTACATTCCCAGTCCTTCCAATCATTGCTACAATTTTTCCACAAAATTCTTGCAAAATCAACTATGCCTTATATTATCCTTGGCGACCTAAATGCCCCACATATTGATTGGATCAAAAAGTCCACGAAATGTAATAACTGTCAGGAGCTAGTCCGTTTTGCATCCAAAATGGGCCTTTCCCAACTGGTCACAACTCCTACTCGATTCCACAATATTCTAGACCTTGTCCTCACCCCACTCCCCGGGCTAATCGATTCCTTGGATGTTGGGGAGCCTTTCAGCGATCACCGGTCCGTCACATTTAATATTGTGATGAGTCACTTTGCCCCGACGGTGTCCGGTGAAAAGGATTTCCACCGGGCCGACTATGAAAAAATGAATGCAAGAATCGCGGGGGTGAACTGGCTTTGGGAATTTCGTGAAGGAAATGCTGAAGAGCTTCAAGTAATGCTCAATAACTTTCTTGCTGAACTTGTTGAGGAATTTGTTCCGCTAAAAAAACCTACAAAATGCGACCCTCCGCAAAAATTCGAGATCTCCACAAGAAAAAGCTCAAAATTTGGCGTATCTTTGGCAATACTATTGAATATAAGAATGTGGTCCAAGAGCTAAAATTGGCTCTCAACGAAGAAACTATGCATAAAGAGCTAAACTTTGTGGATAATAGCTCCAAGCTAGACAGAATGAGTGCAGCTAAACGATTTTATCGGCATGTCAAATCAGTGGTCAGAGCTCCATCCGCTATCCCTTCCCTATCCGGAATTAATGGTGAAATGGCATCCACTGATCGTGAAAAGGCACAAATCCTGCAAACTTATTTCTCTGCTGTATTTAATCATGCCCAATTCACCCCAACCTCCTTTCCCCGACGGACAAACGAATCGCTACAATTTCTTGACCTTGCCCCTCATACCATTGAGAGGCTCATTATGACGTCACTAAAGCCAAAATTTACCAAAACCGCAGATCCGGTCCCAGCCTATCTGGTAAAGGCTTGTGCTACATCTTTAGCCTGCCTTTATCTATCATCTTTAATCGTTCCATCCATACCGGAACTGTGCCATCTAGCTGGAAGATAGGGTATATAGAGCCGATCTACAAAAAGGGCAAGAAGTCGGACCCATCAAACTATCGTCCAATCAGCCTGACAAGTACATTTTCCAAGATAATGGAAAAACTTTTCAGACGGGCGATTCAAGACTTTCTTCAAACTAACAAATTGCTATCAGAAAGGCAGTTTGGCTTTCTGCCCCAAAGGTCCACAACTTCCCAGCTATTGAGCCACATTCAAAGTCTATTGCTGGCTGAAGATTCGGGTCTCTTTTCAGACGTTGTATACGTCGATTTTTGTAACGCCTTTGACACCGTTAAGCACAACAGATTGCTTTCTAAACTTGCTAGTTATGGGATTGAAGGACCGCTTCTGAATTGGATTAGAGCCTGGCTATTAGAGCGGCAACAAATGGTCCGGGTCAGCGATCGTCTATCTAATCCAGCCCCAGTTATCTCTGGAGTCCCCCAAGGCAGCGTACTGGGTCCCTTACTATTCGTTATTTTCATTAATGACCTAAATGATGAGCAAAATCTGCCCGATGGGCTACTCTTTGCCGATGACCTAAAATTAAATCAGCCATTTTGGACGGACCGTGCCCTCTACTTTGCCTGAACAGCTCCATAAATTGGAGAAATGGGTTGCTGACAATCAGCTATTTATTGCTATCCCTAAATGTGCGTCTATGCACTATGGGAAGCGTAATCCTAAAATTTGCTATTCTATTAATGGCCAGATATTGCCTCAGGCTACACAAATACGTGATTTAGGTGTTCTACTGTCCAATGATTTCAGCCTGTCACCACATGTTCTCCATGTCACGAAGAAGGCTGCGCGAGTTTGCTTTCTTCTTTTTAAAATTTTCCGTAGTCGACTTCCTAGACTTTATATAAAAGCGTTCAATGTTTATGCCCGACCTATAATTGAGTATGCCTCACCTGTAACCTCTCCCCTTTTAAAAAAGGATCGCATTGCAATTGAAAGTATACTTAAGAATTTTCTTAGAAAAGTTTGCTATCGATGTAGGGTTGACTACAAGTCTTATCGTTCGGCACTAGAACAATTCAATCTCCTTCCGCTGAACTATAGGAACACAATTGCTGACTATTCCTTCCTTTATAAACTCCATAAATACTCTTCCAATGTTTCTACAAGCTCATTTTTTAGTATCAATTCTTCTTCCACTCGTGGCCTCCCCTACAAACTACGATCCCTAATATCGTCCAAAAAATCCTACCACAAAGTCTTTTTTAGCTAAGAACCTGCTCAACCTGGAATTCCCTCCCCCCTTCAATCGTCTCTGCTTCATCAGGTGAAAGTTTCGTAAATCTATATCCAAACTCATTCCAGTAGATTATGTACTATCTTAACCTTTATATCACCATGCCCCTATTCCTCATCATTATTTACTTTCTTCTTTCTTGCTATTCCATTTTTTCCTCTTTCTCGTTTTTCATATCATATTCCCTCACTTTTAAGCGTTTCTCATTGAAACCTTAGTGTTGAATAAAATTATTATTATTATAGAGAGAATGTGTAAATCGTAATATATGAAATTCATATTTACATTTCATATGTGTTTCTATTATATCCTCTACATCAACGTCAATTATGACACGTTCAATGCCCTCTTCTCGATCCGACCTCTCGTCTGGGATCTGCTAGTCCTCAGCCCCCCATGGACACTCTTATTCCTGACAAGGAGTGTCCTTTTGGTGTCATCGGGAAAACGATCCGAGACCCAGCTCATTCGATAGAGAATTGAATTCTGAACAAGACTGTGTTTTTAATTTTTGCGGAATGGCTGTTCTTGATTTTATAAAATTGAAAAACTGCCGGCGACGCCCGTACATTCGTGCTTGGGGTGCGAGTTGTTAAGGTTTCGCGCTTGGTTTTTTAATTCTATAAAATCAGGAACAGCCATTCCGCAAAAATAAACAACACAGTCTTGTTTCGAATTTAATTCTCTATCGAATGAGCTGGGTCTCGAATCGTTTTGCCGATGACACCAAAAGGACACTCCTTGTGAGCACAGAAATCAGACACAGATTATTCCCAAATTGGTATATACATTTCCATTACTATTAAACGATTTTTAGGGCTCCCATTACACAAAACGATCGGGTCTCCGGGTTTGTCGTTACTTCTGTGGCGCCTACAAAGAACTGATGAACGAGATTTTTCAAATTATTTGTCGTCGACGGGTGTTTTTTGCAGATCGTGACCCTTAGCTCAAGAATAAACAAGATTGATTGATTGATAAACAAGAGTGGGAGAGAGAGAGAGGGAGAGAGCGAGAGAGAGAGAGAGAGAGAGAGAGAGAGAGAGAGAGAGTTGCCTTCCTGTCCTACGCCTAAACCGGCTCCCCGACACTTGCGGCGCGGACACTTGCGGCGGACACTTGCGGCGCGACATTTGCGGCGCGACACTTGCGGCCGACACTTGCGGCGCAGCATTCATTATTTTTAAATGTGGTAAATTTAGCATTTCTTCACGGATTTTGTTTGTAATTGTTGGATTTGTGTTCAAAATTAGCAATTTAAACGACCCGCAGTCGGAATGCCCCTGAGGGCGTCCGGCAAGGTGGGCCGTCGCTTCGGATGGGCTGCCGCTCCACTCTTTCTAAATCGGGGCGCCTGGGCGCTTCGCGCTCCTCGGGCGCCCCGATTTAGAAACACTGTACGAGCTCGCACCCATCCAAAGCGACTAGGCCCTGGGTGGCACGAAGCCTTTTTCTAGTCGCAGAGCGGAGGAAGTAGCGGCCACTTTCCCTCCAAATTGAGTGACTTCGGTCGCAAACCCGACTTTTTATAATTTTTTAATGGCAAATTCGGATGCAGATTATCAAATATCACTTTAAACTATTTTTATGTAGCCTATACTAAATAACCGCAAGGTCCCGCCGCAAGTGTCGGGCGCAAGTGTCGCGCCGCAATTGTCGCGCCGCAAGTGTGGCGCCGCAAGTGTCGCGGTACCCCTAAACCTTATCAAAACCTCAGCGTAATCTCAAGCTCAAACCTAGACATAAGAGGAGCCTAAGCCCAGCCTTATCTGAGCTCAAGCCTAAGCCTCAGCTTCGCTCAAAGTCCATTAACCCAAACAGGCTGTCCTAGGTGATTTCGGATTGAGGATCATGGTGTCCGAAATTGCCCTCCCGCGCCAGTTTCTTCTCCCGCCCTTTTTGCAGACCGTAATAGGGCACCGCGATCTCAATCTGGCTCTCGAAAACCCGAGACAAATTCAACCCTCTCTTGTCCTATGACTTGCCATCACTTATTATCATTGGGTTACATTCTATTATTAATAAATATAACTTTATCGTGTATGGCCACTGTACCTGGGGCAAGAACTACTGGTAAAACCTTGCTTATTTCACTAAAAGATTTAAATCCCAATTTTTGCTCGACCGGGAACAACTCGACGCACGACTAGGAGATTCACAACTACCACCGCCCGAGCGGGGACTACCACGACCACTACAACGGCTCTTAGTAAGGGAGCGTTCGCAATTTTACAAAACTCTTTTGAGCCTGTACGAGTTGTACTACCGACGCAGATGTATATTATAGCGATACAGTAACAACATGCGCCGCTATACAACAGATTATCGGTGGGTAGTTGACCAGATAGCTCGATGATCATGGCATTACAGCTGAAGCTCAATGTGCTAGCGTCATTACGGATCCACTGATTACATGGGCGCAAGCGGTAAGAACACAATTTTTTAGAGAGAGAGAGAGAGAGAGAGAGAGAGAGAGAGAGGGGGGGCGAGAACGAGCTAGAGCGAAAATATGTGAGAGAGCGATAGAGATAGAGATCGTGAGTGAGCTAGGACGAAAGTGTGAGGGAGAGCGAAAGAGCGATAGAGAGAGAGAGAGAGAGAGAGAGAGAGAGCGAAAAAAAGAGAGAGAAGCATGATGGTGAGATAACGAAATCTTACTACCCAATTTAGCAAGGCGGTTGCTACATGTTAGATCTTCTATGCCCAACCGATGCCTCAGTGTTGATTCAAACCGCTAGCGGACCTATTTTACTATCAATGGCTGATTATGTAAATTTTATTAAAATTTTTATGCACTCTTTTCTGAAAATTCTAGGACTCCGGATTATTTCAATTTATCTGCGAAGCTGGCGAGTATTTTTTCAATTCACCGGATGCCGGTACTTCTTCGCAACTTCAATCGGTACGAAAAAGAATACAATATAAAATAACCATACTCTAATTATAGGTAGTATGCTTTGATAGCGGCGCAGGTGATGATGTACCGCAAATGGAAGCTGTAAGTTCGGTCCCTCCCAGGCCGTATGTATCCTCATTTTTAGCCAATGACTACGACCGACACCATCGCGACCACCACCGATTTGATTGAAGAAGAAGATTAATTTGCAAGTGTCAAAATTTTAATATGAAAATATTTATCCCCAAAAGCAGCGACCCGTATCGGCATTGCACGGAGTGAAAATGTACAAATCCCAAGGAAAAATGGCACAAAAATACGTTAAGTTACTACGCCCGGCAGCAGGAAAACCAAAAAAGGGCACAACCAAAAGGAAGGGAAAGTGAAATAAGTAGTGGGTTACAGGAGCGGGTTTATTAAAAAATTCGAAATCCATAATGTCGAAAATCCCTGATGTCGAAATTTCACAATGCGGAAATTTTAGGTAAGCTATTCTGGGGGATCGTCGCGGCTTTGAAAATTTCGATAATTTAGATTTCGGCGCTTTGGACTTTCGAAAAATCAACTTTCGGCATTTTAAAATTTCCACACGAGAAAATCGGCGTTTCGGTATTTCGACAGTCAGTGGTATTTCGACATTTTGAAATTTCGATACAATTTCGACATTCTGATAGCAATTCTATAATAACTCATTAGACATAGTATCATTCGATTCTTGCTGTGCTTCCTCGGTTACCGTAATCGTTATCTCAGGGTTTGGCGATGGATTCTTTATGAGAGTATCACGCATGCTGAATCTAAAAGACGAAAGTTGCAATGCTAATTCATTCATTTTATTACTCACTTATGTATCCTCTTTCGAACCAATTCCGGTATTCGGCCCGTCTCGTCTAACGAACACTTCTGCTTCTTCAGTTTTCCGTTCGCTCCTCGCGAGTTGTATTCCGACACGCTCCTCTCCACACCTTTTCCCGCTAGCTGCGTCGGCTTCAGCAGCATTTCCGAGGAGCGGCTGAAAACGGGAGTTTTAGTTGCTAGATTTTCAAAATAGAAATTGGGACTTTTGTAAAGTTTGAGCGTTTCCACAAATTTGCCAAATTATTAGGTTCAAAGATAAGGCCACAAATTTGCACAAACGCCGGGACTATACAAAATTCCGTTAAACTGTGGTGTAAATGAAAGTTAAAAATTGGTGTATGGCTTTTTTAGGTTATTGATTATAATAAAATAGGGCATAAGAAGTGCACTGGAAAGATGATGGGAGGTGAAATTTTTCGTAGCTGTAAGGACATTTTTTGGAGAAGTTTTTTGCGGGTGTCGCCAACCTCTTCAATCGTACTTCTACCGTATACCAGGTGGGTAGGCTGAAAAGTGGCGGACAAAATAAGGGGGACCCAATGGGATTGGGATAACTGAAAACCCGGGGCGCACGCAGGGAAAGTAAACGGAAAATAAATTGTGATTAATAGCGTTGAATGGTCTACAAATCGGATAGTTTAATTACCGACAAATTTTGCGACCTCCTTGCATGGTCTCGATTTTTCCGCCTAAAAGTTTTAAGTTTTTAATTTATATCTAAATTATTTGCGAGTAATTAAAGGCCATTTTACAAATTTATTACCTTTCATAGCATTATAAAACAAAAATATACCTGCACGTCGATAGCTTATGATGAAGCTGCCCATTTTGCGCAGCGGAAGTGACACGCATGGAAGCGGTACGCGACATATTTGTGTACGTATTAAAATCGGACATTGTCGCACAGCAGCCATTTCTAATATAATATGATCTTTGAAACCATAACTTTCGGAAATTACTTGACAATAAAGCTCATCGTCTGCCGGTATTTTTCCGAAAATATCGTGTAGATGATGAACGTCGTCGCTGAGTTCAGCACCACCAAAAAGTTCGAGAGGTCGTTGAGCTAAAAAAACATAGATTAATTTAATAACGATCCCACGTGGGATCCAAAATTTTCCCAAAAAAAATAAGTTAATATCGAAAACAGCTGTTTTTGTAAAATCTATTATGATCTCCGTAATTTTAAGGCTAATCCGCATCAAATAAGATTGCAAAAATACTTTTAAATTTACATAAGATGAAATTACTCACCAAATACGCAATATCCTTAGTAGCCGGATCACTGAACAAATCGCGATATACACATTCGATCAGGTTGAGCAGAAATGGCAGTGTATTGCAAAAGGCAAACATCCCAGTCACCACCAACAGCATTATTGTTGTCGATTGTTCGCGCCGTTGCTGGGATACGGATTAAAGAGATGGTGACAGGGCGTACCTGTCGAGTGAGCATCTCGCGTTGACTTCTGTGGCTCCACATTGTTACTATGACATGGCCATTCATCACGGCCATTATTGAGAATGGGACGAGGAAGTGCGTACAAAGGTATAGTCCGGTGAAATATCCCATCATATACCTAAAAAAGTCCAATTATTGAGATTATAAGTCCCTTTAAAAAAATTCCGGTTAAGCTTTACTTTAGCCCTACATGTTTAAGTGCCCCTTAGTGAATCAGCTATTTTAAAAACATAAACATTTAGCCAAAATCCCTTTACTTTATTGCAAAAATACGAGCTCTGTTACAGTACTTTTCTTAACCTTACCATGGATGTTCAGCTGAATCTCGTAAATTCCTCGAATATTCAATTCCAGTTTCTGTCGACCTAAAAAATTGATTTAGACATTTTTTTTCTTAGGCCTCTCCAAGCCCAAAGAAGGTCCAAGCCTGTCTTTTGTTGCTTGAATGGCGCCCCTGATTGGACCCAAAAAGGAAGTGGACGAAAGACTGACTCGATCGAATACTCGAAGAAACGGATGACGTTGTACCCAACTGAACACAAAAAGATAACAAGCAATGCCATCCGAGACTTGGAGGGTGTGCACCAGATTCGCACCTGGAATCGGGATTGTATAATATTATGGAATTACAAGCTTATAAAAACAATGATTACCTGTAGTGGCCGACATACAGCCGTCCATCGTTCCATTGTTATCATTACCATGATATATACCGAACACGTCTGCATGATCAGACTCATCTTAATTTAGATAAGTTTTTTGAATAAAAAGGAGTGCTTACCGGATATACAAATTTTAATACCAGCGCCATATATGTTGTGAATTTGTTGGGGTCTTCGAAGATCCTAAAATATAAATAAATTATGATTTTAGCATTTTTGTGATAACTGCACATCGTTTTATCGATTTTTAGAGCTTGTTTAGTAACCCCAAGAAGATACCAAAGAGAATTAACGGTCCCTTTCCAAAATTCCACAACTTTAATGGAGTTTCCACAACATTCCAACATCAGCTTCTCCTCTACTTCTGCACCCGTAGATCTACTTCGGAGAAATCTCGCAATGCCCCCCTGGATCTCCGTTACTCCCCTCTCCTCCTCCTCCTCCAAACTAATGATTCTCGGCGCCCTATTTTTTTGTGCTGCTTGGAAGCGATTCGATGGGGCTCCCATCCAAAAGATTTTATTCGGTTGCCCGTTGGCCACCGCAGTCGTTCCATCGGAATGGCACTGCCTCGATTTATGCTCCAGGGGCTTTTTGGGTGGGAAATACACCTAGGGCCTAGAGGTTTCGATACCTTTACATACCGTCTTTTGGCGGTGGTAATTATTACTTTCATCTAAACCCACCAGGACCACAAATTCGGCACCACAAATGTGGGTACGGTAATGAAGAGGAGCGTAAAGTCGACGAATGTTAACGCGCATAGAAGAAGGTTTACCTAAAATAGTTAAGGTTTTGATAAATTGGGGATAACTGCCTACCGATGATGCTCTCATATGTGGCCGGGAAAAAAGGGTAAATGACAGTAAATTCCCGCAACAACCAATCACTACTATCGACAGCGTCGCGAACGCCATTAATTCTTGGCTTTCCATCTTAAAGGTAAATTAAGGGGTGATATATCCGTTAGAGAGACAGAAAGAGAGAGAGAGATAGACAGAGAAAGAGAGAGAGCGAGACCGAGAGAGAGAGAGAGAGCGATAGAGCGATAGAGAGAGCAAGCATCAGTATACGTCTCATTCGCTGAGCGCATTAAAACCAGAGCTACAAATACCAAGTTCGAATGGACAAATCACAATCTCTTCCTCCTCTTCCATGTCCGCCCATTTTCCAATCGACGGTAGGGCCCCGGGCCAAAGGGAAATTTAATCCGTCCATTGTGTCGCCCATTCGACCCCAGGGCAACCAGACCCATCGCACAAATTGAGGCACAATTCCCCCGGATAGAGACAATGATGCATATATCGGTTGTAGTAAATTAACCGGTGGACTTACGCAAATTTTCATATGTACGAAGGTTCAAAGCATCGATAAGTTAGTAAAATTTGTTTTAAGGAACGGGCAAGTCAGAGAATCGTAAGTTTTTCTGTTCCCGTACCATTTTCAAAGCTGATCCAAATCTTTTAAGAATCAAAGCACAGGAAAACTGTTCAAAAAAACGGCGTTGAATCCGCGGTGGGGGACAACGGGTGGGGGAGCGGCGCTCCAAATGCAATTACTTTGCACGCACGTAAATATTTGGGTCGTTTGCTCGGGTTAACCACTAAAAATAGGACATGTCGATTGTATGGGGGAATTTGGCTTGATCGTCAAAAATCTGGACTGTTTCCGAGTGACCAAACTAGGAAACGATGCCTTAAAAATTATGGAGCTACTTAAAGGGTTATTAAAAGTTAAACGATCGAAAACCGTAAATTTAGGCGACTCAAATCCGGCTACAAACTAAAACAACGGTCGCTCAATATCCGCTAAACCCCGGCTAACGCCAAAAATCGAGGTCCGCGCAGAAAGGCCCAAGATGCGGTGGGGTAGATGGTGGGGGGGAAGCAATTACCGGATCTCCAAAAAGGGAAGGAGGGGAAGGGACCACGTCTCAATGGTTATCCGGTATGGGTCATTTGTCGGATAGCGAATAAAGAAAGAAAGAGGGGGGGTAAAGGGAAAGACGATGGAGAGATTGATGTGGCTTACTAACATCTAGTTTTTCTCTGTTGGTGGCTATTTATATAAAGGTTTTAGGTGAAGCACAACCCTAAATCTAAGCCTAAGCCTAACAAGGAGACGTTTTTGAGTGTCGTCGGGATTTTGGCATGGGACTAACCCTATCTTATGCAGAATTTTACGCTGATTACGAATATGGTGCGTAAAAAGTTGGAAAAATTTGATAAATTGTACAACAACAACAAACATTTTACAAAAATTGTCAAAATTCCAGCATTTTTTAGTTAAGTAGCTTATTCGATACAGAATTTTTTTTTTCTGAACACAATGTGCTATCTGGTTTTCTATAAAACCCATTCCGAAGCCTTTTATGCCTATCGAAACTAGCCGATTTTGGGGTGTTTTGAGGCTTAAATCGTTCATAACTTTTGAGAAATGGCTGTTCCGCAAAAACGGTCACCATATTCGGAATCAGCGTAAAATTCTGCATAAGATAGGCTTAGTCCCATGCCAAAATCCCGACGACACTCAAAAACGTCTCCTTGTAAGCCTAACCTTAAATTCATATCCGTGCATACTTTTAAAAACATACTTACATTTCCTATGTTAAGGAAGTGATACAGCAACTCGGAAAATCCCGGGGGTACCCGCAAAAAGCAAGGAACTGAAATTCGGAAGGATGGAGCCCTCCGTCCACAAGTCTACCACATCACACAATAGACCCTAACTGAAGGAGTCGCCACAAGAACCAATCGCATCCACCATCAGAATGCCGAAAAGAACTCTTTTTTACATTCGGCTCTCGTCGCGTCTAGTGATATATGTTCTGCCCATTAACGGGAGCTTTTAAGGGAGAGCGGCATGTTGGAAAAATTGGGACAATCCATGTAGGTACAGAGAATGGATTCAAATGGCAGAAGTTCGTTTTCCTAAACTAATTTTCTGTTTTCTTGGCATTAAAATTCGGCTTTTCGGAATCTAAACGGCTGCAGTAGAATTGTCATATCAGCATGATTTAAGCAAAAATAATTTAAAAATTAACGTAATTCACTCAAAAAAATTAGCAGTGAGCAGATTGCCGGCTTGTCGTGCTCCAAATTTGCCAAGTTCGCTTCTTTCTTTCTTCTTTGGAAAATTAAAGCTTCAAAAATTACAGAATCAACCTATTCCTATCTAAATTTAGCCCGCCAAAGTGTTCCAGACGAACGGCCCAGACCGGAATTGTCAAAAACAGATGCACAATCGGAAAATCCGCCAATTCCACCGCGAAAAAAATCGGGGGAAGGATTCAAATGACGGGTCGAAATTGGGGAAAAGAGAAGAGGAGCACGAGGGGGGTAAGGAGTAGCGTTCGGCATCGTTTTTGCAGAATTCCAAATCTGACACGCAGGGGGGAGGGGAAGGAGGACGAGGAGGAGGCTGTGCCCTCGGGGTATATCTCCGAAAAAGGGTAAATAGGAGGGTAATGTCTGGGGGGTTTAAAGGGGTGATGACAGTTTGGAAACGTTGAAGGAAATTGAGAGCCAATGGAGTGAATTTGCGAAAAGCGAGTGAATCTCTGGATTTTAAAGGGATGGTAAGACACCAGAAAAGCTTCGTTTGAAAAATTGAAACCCGGCGGACTTAATAATAACTATAATTATAGTTCCAAAAAAAGGTAAATAGGATGGTTATGTAACCATTTTAAAGAGACAGCGACACCTCGGAAAAACCCCCGCTTAAAAATCATAACCCGCCGGAACTAATAGTGATCATGATCATAGAGGCCCAAGCGGAGGAGCGGAAACATTCAGTTCATATCAACCAGTGTGTCAGCTGGCAAAGCGATCGGAAAACAAGGGCGAAAAGATTGATTTCCATGCCGTCAAATCGCCCAGGGACCTCGCCGCGACCCGACCCTCTCTAATACACACGACAACCCGCTGACGCTTCCCCGGAACTTTGTGTTCCGATGTTGCCGGAAAAGGCCGCAGGATTTTTATGATAATGGCTTATGCACGGGCGGTGTTCCAGCATTGGAAACAGTGCACTCAAAAAAATAGCGAAGGTTTGAAGTAGTAGAAAACTTAATATTAGTATATAAATACATTTTTTGGGTTTTTTTGGATTTACTATTTAGCATGTCAGTATATTCAAGCGTATTAGAATGGAAAAAAAACCTCGAGCTTTTTAAGTTAAACAAATATACAGTAACCCTAACCCGCAGAAATTTTGCATAATTCATATCATTTTAAATATGTTAGATATTAAATTTAAATATATTTTAAATCCGAGAAAACCCGAAAGTACAGATGACGCGTGAGTGCATCCATCCAACCCCCTCCCCCCGGCTGGCAAATCTTTGGAATCTAAAGTTCGGCGCCCCGGGGCACCCAAGTTTTTTTGCGAGACCGCCCCGGTTGAAGGAAAAGGGGGTGGCCCGGAAAAGAAGAAGCCCTAGAGGGCCTGCTTGGCCCCCCTGGGCTACCAGGCGATGAGCCATAAATCGAACCTGAAGGGGGAAACTCCACCGGTCAGTGCTTTTTATTTATCATGGCTGGGGGGGGAGGGGCCGCTTTTCGAACGTATTACTGCACCACTCTGGCTTTTGTCGGGGCCAACGAGGTGTTGGAGAAAGGTTCCGGTTTCCAAAAAACGTTGTAGATTTTTCTGAATTAAATCTAGCGTTTTTTCTTCTTTAAAATTTTGCTAACGTAAAAAACCGGCTAATAATAGTATTTTGACTCCGTATCGATTTAAAACTGCACTATAGGTAGCACCCAACCATTGAAACCATACAAACACCAAACCACGTGGTAGCCTGTGCAAAACCAAGGGTGTAAAGAGGAATGTATCGGAAGTATAGGGCCAAATAGCCATTTGGACCCACCACTCTACTGCCTTGCAACCCCCACACACACGAAATTGGCCCCAATTTCCCTATCAACCACCAGATCATATGGTCCTCTGCGGTCCCCAATGATCTCTGCTATACACACAGACCAAGACTATACAGGAAACGGATCGGAATGGACTGCACTGTGGTTGCAAGGGTTTGATCTATCCCCGGTAAGAGAGAGAGAGAGAGAGAGAGAGAGAGAGAGAGCGAGCGAGAGAGAGAGAGATATAGAGAAAACTTATGAAGACTAGAGTCAGCTCAAAAACTTGATAGGATATATTAGCAAGAATGCTTAGTCATCGGGTAATACTTAGAAAACGCGTTCCCCGGATGTAATTTGCGCGGGGATGGGCTTGCAAGCAAAAATCTTGCTCCTCGTGCTTCTCCTATCGAAATCTGATACCAGCCAGCCAGCCTAGGAGGAACCTCGCGCCAGAGTAGATTCTATTTGTGGGTGATATGGGAACTTTCTTGGTAAATAAAAGTTTATAAACAACTTGGTAAATAATAATATATTAATAAATTATAAATAATAATAATAATATAATAGATGTTAATTTTTAAGTCCGTTTAAGCTAATATTGAGGTTTGCTACAAGTACTAGGTTTCCCGGTTCACTCCCGCAATATGTTCGTCACCCACCAAGAACTACTCACAACCTGAAAAACAATAAAAAACAGATCCACACCAGGAAGACCCACGACTCCATTAGGTCAGCGGCGATTCACGCGCGGGAAATCACGCCCGAGTACTGCCGGGTGTTCCTTGTAAACAACTGGAACACCGCGCTGGAAAAGAGGGATACAGACTAATTTTATAATTTGGCCGGATTCGGGAGGTCTTCCCGCCACAGAAAAAACTAAAAGCTGTGGCTTGAGAATAAACCACGAATAAAAATATTAGAATCTAGAATTCTAAACCTAAAACTTGAACTTAAACTTCAAAGTAACCCTAGAGCTAAATTCCAACCAACTTGCCGTACCTCAACCGAGACAACCCACAACTTCTACTGAATACCCAACCCCGAAAACCTCAACCCAACCCGCCCAAAAACTCGACCTCCGCCCCAGACCCATAAAACGAGCATGTTTCATATTTATGTCCACTGCCCACCTTTTCCACCCCCAGAAACAAATCCCTATAAATCTTTGCCAAAGCGTATGTGTGTCTTTGTTTTATGACCTGCAGCCGCCCCCAAAAAAATTGGGGGTGCCGCGGCCACTCGACGGATTAAAGGAAGCAGAACAAAAAAAAATGAAAATGTCGCGCAGTTGGGTTCGGTTGGGTTGCCCACGCTGACTGTAAAAAATACAGTAAAATTTTTGAGGCGCAATTAGTTGAAGGATACGGTAGCAGGATTTTTTTAGTGCAACGTTGAACAGAAAACTAACGACAACTCATGCTACTAAAATTGCATAAAGGAAATAAAATGTCATAAATATAAATAATAAAAAAATATTCTATATAAAAAATATATAGTAAAAACTAGCATCAAATTACACTGCCTAACAATTTCCGTACGCATTTTATACCGGACAATAGCATTTTTGCTGTTTAGTGAGCTAAGATACCGTAATAAAAAATATTAAAATTCTAAGTTCGACAAATTGAGTAAAACCCATGCTACCCAACAAATTCCCCAGGGGAAGAGACCCTTCTTAACCGAAAAAAATAGTTCTTTTAGCCTCTTCGACCCCGAGCCATGAACATAAATTCTCAAAGCAATGCCCATCGTTCGTCCATCCCACTCTCTTCCCTCTTACCCTCCACTTTTAGACCCCCATCACCTGACGTCAGAAATATTAGCAGAGGCCCCGGGGCCGACTGGCCGGGATTTGCATTTTTGCAGCTCTGGGTATCGTGGGAAATCTGGACGTTTGGGACGCGGAAACATTTTGGTCCGGTTTTTCGAGGGCATCAAACACCGGGAGTTGTGACATTTTGAGTTTTTGAAGGATTTGAAAGGGATGGTGCCTGCTAGCAATAAACATTTTTTAAGGATGAACGGGCTTTAAAGGGATGGTGCCAGACAGCAAACTGTAAAAAACATATGTATCAATTTGTAGAAATTCAAGACAATTAAAAAGCTTAGAAGGTGCGGTCGGTGTGTGGCTTCCCAGCCTATGAAAAACACGCAATACTTCCGCTCTTGATCACAAGCACCCTTTAACTACATCTTTACCAATTACACTACAATTATAATTCAACCCATCCCACCGCAAAAAATCCTGCAGCATAAAATGAGCTGAATCCGATTACATGACCTCGTACACCCTCCAGACAAAATGATGATTCATAAGTTCATCGGAAAGCCACCTAGCGCCCCTCGACGCCCATCCCCAAACTTTTTCGACTGAAACAAAGCCAATTACGGCATCTAATTGGCCGTCCGTCGCTCACCGAGACCAGAAAAAGAACATGTCCTAGGAATCCGGGGCTTGCGCATCGGAAATGAGGGGTCCCTACCGTTGTCTGCGCTTTTATGACTGGCAAAATCCATTTATTTAGTCCTTGGCCTTACTGCCTCCACGGTCATTGAAGTCTTGGTCTGACCAATATGTTCTGTAGCGCTGTTCTTAAATACAGCTTTCCGCGTATCTTCCGAAAATATTAACAAAAACCTAAAAAAATAGCACCCAATATTCGTGCTTCCTCACCAAAACGGCACAAAGCTATTCAAATCGCTGAAAATTGGCGAGAATTCGAATAGCATCCACCAATCGCCCTCCAGCTCGACACAGCCCGTGATTATCTACAGGTGGGAATGACTAGTTCCGGTAACAATTTCATACTATTTCGGCGCCATTTAATACTTGGCACACAAATTGAATCATGGTTGCCACGTGGAAACGCAGTTCCACGCGTTCTAGCTTTTGGTTTTGACGGGAGAATCGGTAGAGCATGAATGATGTGAAGAGGTTGAGAAGGAGGGCGAGCAAGATGCAGGCGCCGCAAAGCCAATAGAGAGGGCCAATGTGCATAAAATAATCCTAAAATATGGGATTGTTCAGTAAATGTTTTCAGTTGGTCTTTGTCAACGCATGCGGCCGCGTCGCGTATCGTTAACTTGATATATGCTACGCTTGCGTCAATTGACCACCGTAACCAGTCAGGCAATTAAAATACACGCATGGCCGCATAAGCCCACCCGCTTCATAAAATATTAGAGTATTAGAGCAATATTTTACTTATTTTACTTATTTATTTAATAATAAAAAGTATAATAGTACTGAGTAATTTAAGGTATCAAAGCATACTTTATGTGTAAAAAATACCTTTTTTGCTTATATTTGCTTATCAGTGAATGCATTAAAAAAAAACGTGAGAACTGCCATTTAGCACTTTTTCTGACCCGAAAAACATACATATATCGGTATTGTCTCTGTCGCAAAATTTGGCGTATAAAATCCCCATGTCAACCGGTCGAAGTGGGACCCTGTGAAAAATACAGGCAATGTCAAAATAACCGCCAGAATAACTGGAATTATTGAACACAGCCAGGAATAACGATTCCAGAACTAAACCCTAATTAAAAGTTATAAACAACTTCCATACCCTATCATAGGAATGTGGTGAAGCCAAGGCATGAGCTCGATTCGCCGCGATTACAGGTGCCGATAGAAATTGCACGACGGATGTGTAGCAGCTCACAAATTGTAGTACCAAGGGGATTACACCCCATTGTATATAATAATACCATTCGTGTACACCCCAGGTTGGTAGACGAATATCAAACATTGTCGCTAAATAGCAGAGGACGTCCTGAAAGTTAAGATAAATTTGTGATTTGTTAGTATTTTCGGTTTCAAATTAACTTAAAAACTTTAAAAAAACTAACGTTAACCAAACACACATAAAACAACTTCTGATAATGGCTTTTAAATCCAATACGCCAATGGTAGATGGTCAACCGCACAAAGCAGTATAATGTAAATCCACCAATTATAATAAATACAGCTGATGAGCATATTTCAAAGGGATCTGTCATCAATTCTTCGCCACCCACATCATTTTCATACGTCGTATTGTCCATTTAAACAAATCAATAGAATACTATTGCAAAATATCGTAGAAAACAATTATAAAATCGAACAGCTTAAGTGCGTTTCGGAAATATCATAAATGGGCAGTTCAGGGGGCGCATTTCCCTATTTTGTGCGTTAATAGCAGGGTTAGGTCTGGCACTGAAAAACATCCCACAAATTTCCAGCTATCATAGCACCTGCAGGGCTGACGCATATACCGGGGGAAGATCAAACGTGGAAGAGTTTATTTTTGCAAGATTTATTTTAGAATCGTTTATTGTCATGGATAAATTGAGATGTAAAGATCCCGACGGGTTAATGAAGCTTAGAAGCCGGTAAATTTAGCAACGCTCGAACTTTTTCAGCTGCGGAATCAGGGGTGATAACCTGAAAAAACTTTTAAGGGTATTGACAATCCGACCTGTATCGTCTGCCATCCTATCGAAGCCCCAGCAGTACAATATTCCGTAAGATCATCAAGAAACAGCACCTCGTCCGGGTTTTTTATCCCTATTTCGTCCAAACGGCTTTGCATTAACTAAATATCACTTCCAAAAATACCCCTCCCTCACCTCAAAAATATCTCGATTCGGCTTATGTGTCCCAACCTGACAACTCTCGATCACGACATCAAAATAAGTGCCGTAATCAATTGGAAGAATCGGAGACACCTTCGTCCGTTCCATAAAGAAACAATTTGAGAGCAACGCCGTCTTCAATCCCTTGGCTCGGAGATCCAGAATTAGCGATAGCATACACTCATTCTATTCTGGGGATTGATCGATGTTACCGTAACCCGCATACCAATTTCGCCTCTTCCTTTTGTTTCACCGTCAACCATCGTATCGGATCCTTCACCGTCACTCCATACTAATAACATTTTTTAGAAAAGTTTTAACTTTCACTTACAACTTCTTTTATAGCTTCTAACCATACTGTTTCCTCAAATTCTTCAGCTGTTATCTCTCCCCGCATTAATGCGAAACATTTTTCAAATCTGTTCCAAAGCTAAGAATAGCAGTAATTTCACGAAAAATCATTCCACCAACCTCCGATCTTTTCTCCAAAAAGGCATCAATTGGGATTCCAATCTGCTGCGCGATACTTTCGATCATTTGGGTGACAAGCTTGTAACTCATAATTACCCCTAATATTTACGGAAGCTCTAGTTTTTTTTAATAAACCAAATTTACCTCCAAAATCAAAGACAACAGCTTTAATACTTGACATTTTGAATAGACGGTGGGTAGCACTTTGAATAGATCAATAAGGGCTAGCCGTAGGGCCGGAAATGTTGGATTCGGTGACGCCTATTGTGCGCCTCTTTTCCGCTCCTCGCCCTTTTCCTCTTGCACACACACCCGATCACTCAACAGCCATCCTGATTTGAGGGCTCTCCCCCGGCGAACCGTTCGCTCAGATAAAGGGAGTTTGTAGCGAGGTGGAAACATGGGTAAAAAAATTAATATTTTAAGTCCTTTCAGGTTTTTAGGAATGGGACTGGCGGACTGGACTATTAGCGGGGTGGGGGGGGGCGCGGGTTTCGTACGGTCCCATTTAGGAAATAAACATCATTTATCAAGCTTTCCAACGTTTGTCCGTATAACCCGCGCATAAAAAGTATGAAGTCTGCGAATTTTGATACTTTTTATAAACAATTCAATTTATCGAATTTCTAGCAGTTTCTATGACTCTTTAGTTATCAAAAATCACTACACAATGTAAAAATATTATACTCTGAAAACCTCAACCATTTTTTTAGTTATGTATAGGCTAAATAGCACTCCCCCCCCCCGCTAACCGTCCAGAACCGCGCTGGCAAGCGCGACCCTTCGGTTCCACCTGGACGGAAAAATACGGTACTACTTTTTCATGCTCACCGAGAAAAAACAGTACCCAAAAAAACCCCGGGTCCAACTCCGCTACTTTCCGGGAATTCGACGCACGTCCACATTCCCCTGATTCGATTATCTTGTTGGTCTTGAGAGCGGCAACTAGTCGAAGAAGAACGAGATAACCTTGTCGCCGTTGAGTGACAGTCGGGTATCCGAGTGTCCCGAGAATGGGTTGTAAATCTTGAGAAAACTGTCAAATACTTGGTGCACCAAACGCGTGTTGGTCGCGGCAACATTTGGACCGTTTTATTACTTAATTACCGCTTACATTTTATGAGTGATTTTCTGGGTCCTAAATGAAAAGACATCTAATAATACCGTAGCCCGAAGCACGGTGAGTTTTGAAACCCATTAGTTAACCATATGACACCTCCGGAAGTTCTCCAACCGGCGATTTGATCCAATTGGCTCATGCTCACAGACAATTAGTATGGCGTGAGGACGGGTGCTCGAGTACCTATCAGTTGACCTTGGTCCCAAACGGGAGAAAACTGATTTAGCGGGAGGTTGCGATCTGACTAGCAGCTCCAGCAAAAAAAAGAAGACGGAGCAGAGTCGTGCTCGCGCATCAGCAGTTGATTGTCTATTGTATGTAGCTGGAAATTCGCCTACAATTCAAATGTGATCTAGCCTACGCTTCCGGTCATCATAACACATTGTGGTGCTTGTCATTTATCGGGGGGAATTATTTGATATGGTCTCATGATGGTCCAATAATAAAGCTTGTACTGGTTTTATGGAATTTTATACTGTTTTTAAGTTTATCGTAGTCTGCTTAAAATTGGCTTTCTTATAGAATCTGTTTTAAAACGGCTCAAATTGGTTAAAAACAGTATAGTCTGACAGATATTCTAACAATGTTTTCATAATTTTTATTTACCGAAAGGTATTAAAAACGCTGCTAAAGTGCACTAAATTTTATCACTAGGCAGATACGGTATTGACACTAGGTTTAGATTGGCAAGCCGCACCCCCCCGTTAAACGGCAAGCACCTAAATCACAAACTTATCATGAAACTCATTAATAAAAGATCTGGTTTTTTTACATTTCCGGTGATTCACTGAAAATTCTCAACGCCAAAATCATATACCTACCACACCAAGTCAAAGTCACGTGCGGTCAAATATCTACCACATCGGTTCCTGATTTGCCAAATCATTCCGACATCCACACACGTGGCTTGAGGAGACATGCCTGTTGCGAGCTCGCATTTCGTCGCCAAACTCACTTCTCATCCCTATTGACAAGGGGTGGGCAATCATTTTTGGCTGGTGAAATGAGGGGGGATGGGGGGATTGGGTGGGATGGCAAGAAGTCGCTAGATTGAAACAACCGTTGCGCACAGCTTTCCCACCGAATTGAGCATTTCCTATTTTCTAGGGTTTTTCAGTGATTTATGGCAGTTCAAGCTTTCTTGCAAAGTCTAAAAATTTAAAATATTTTTTCTCTTTTTGGCCTACAATTTGTTTTCCAAATCTCGTCCTGAACGCCCTGAACTTCACCTTCGCAACATTACCGGTTTCCCAGACTCAACAACACCGCCTTGCGAAACGATTTAAGCGCCTGATCAGACAAAACTCCTATCGCTCCTCGCTAACTGTCTAGCTCCACCGTCCTTTGCTTACCGTAGTCATTGCGCTATTGTATTTACCCGACAAGTATTCGAAATTATTTTCAACGAATCAATTGTGCCAAAAACAAACCCCGATACCAGAAACCGCATCCGAAATCTTGAAATTTCCATTTCCGGAAATTCCGAAAATTTTGCTTAATTAGCATGACTTCCGTTTCCTCGAATTGCCCGAAAAGCGGACCTCCAAAATCATTAGATGATGAGCGCGCGCCGCGGCCTGGCCGTCTCCTCGGCTTCGGTGAGGGTCGGCTTCCAGTTCCGGACCCAGCATTCGCATTCGGTAGGTTTCCGGATTCAAATTTGAAATTCTAAATCCAAAAACAGTTGCTTTATAGTTCGCTCGTTCTACGTAAATTCGTAAAGTGTAAGCTATCATAAAAATTCGAATAAGATAATCTAAAACGATTTTTGGAACAGCATTTTGCCTATTAGATTTTTTCATTAAACCATAAGGTAAAGCTTAACCTTTAAAATACTTTAAAGGGTTGTTGGAACGCTCGAAATTTAGAAATTTACCAGCTTGTTACAAAGCTTATGAAAATTACTTACTTTTTCAGCTGGATCCGTTGTCCCGTTTCCGTGCCCTCGCTGAAGCCACCCATGTCAAGCCAAGGACTCTGATCACCGGCTCGTTCGGGCAGCTGGGCCGTGGCTTGGGATCGATGCTACGGTATATCGCGTAAAAATATCACCGTACACTTTTGTATTTTAGTTACATGTACGGCGAGCAGTACGTCTTCATGACCGACATCGTGCGCGTTGACCGAAATAACCCGGATGCCGGTAGAGCATGGAAATGAGCCTGAAATACTTTTTTCCAGTGAACTATTCCTTCCTCGACGTCACCAATGAGAAGGCGATCGAAGAGATGGTCGTCAACAACAATATTGATACACTGGTGGGATTTATCAGCTTTCAGTCAAATAAACCTACGAGTTAAAGGTTCACTTCTCTGCGCTCCTTTCTGCTGTTGGCGAAAACAATGTCCCGCTCGCCATCGAAGTGAATGCGAATGCCTCGAACAAGATCTTGGAGGTTGCTAGGTGAAACAAATACGAATTATAAATAAAAATACCTACACTAGAAAGCATCGGCTGAAGGTATTCATCCCCTCGACTATCGGCGCCTTCGGCCCGACTACCCCGCTCGATCTCACACCGGATATCACTATTCAGCGCCCAAGGACCATCTACGGCGTCACAAAAGTACACTTTTAACAAAAGCCTTTAACTTTTTTTTCATTAGGTCTACAACGAATTGCTTGGCGAATATTACGCCGAACGCTTTGGAGTCGATTTTCGTTGCTTGCGCTTCCCGGGCATCATCTCGGCTACAAAGCCAGGCGGTGGTACCACTGGTAGGGAGGGAAAAGCAATGCTAATATTAACCTACCGGTTTCTAGACTACGCCATCCAAATCTTCTACGACGCCTTGATCCATGGAGAGCACAAGTCGGCGCACATCCTTTTTCCTGTTAAAATTCATCTAGGTGCTACCTCGAGCCCAATACTCGCCTGCCGATGATGTATGATACTGATTGCATGGCCTCTATTGTCTTTGTAGGGCCATTGCAAAAGTCAAAGTGAACAGCCTTTTAGTTCTTGGCGGCCCCGCAGGAGCAGCTATCGATGAGGACTTACAATGTTACCGGCTTCTCGTTCACGCCGGATGAGATTGCAGCCGCCATTCGAAAAGTCATGCCAGACTTCAAGATCACCTACGAAAACATCTGCCCGATTCGCCAGAAAATTGGTGCGCTAATAACGCTCATCGCACGACAAATATTTTTAGCAAATTCTTGGCCAAAAGCCCTCGACGATACCAACGCTCGCCGCGACTGGGGCTGGCACAATGACTTTGACCTCGACTCGACCGTTAATGTAATGGCAAACCTAAATTTCTCAATTGGTTGCTCTTTTAGATCATGTTCGCCCTCCTGCAAGCCCAGATGCACCCACAGGAGCACACCTTCGCCAAACTTCCTTAACTCGCCGAAACAGTCTATTAACGTGCGCCAAAATGAAATAAACGGGTTTAAAGTTAGTGTGTGCAATGAATTCTCAACAATTTATTACGAAAATCAACCAGCAACAAACCTTCAAAGATTAGAGGCGACGACCACGGTGCCCGCCCTTCCTGCGCGTGCTGTCTGATGGGATCGGCGTCACATCTTCGATTCGGCCAATCTTCAGGCCACTGCGTGCCAACGCACGGAGAGCTGATTGGCCACCAGGCCCCGGCGATTTGGTGCGGGTACCGCCCGTGCCGCGAAGCTTGATGTGTAGCGCGTTGATTCCAAGCTATAACCGTTTGTTTTGAGCGTGGTGTTTCGATACTTTCCAGTTTTAAGATGGCTCTCTATGATATTGGCATGGTCGTAGTAATAAAAATATGATCTGATTGGTTGTCACCTGTTTGCAACGTTCAGCGACATCTTGGGCAGCAAGCATAGCGGCATATGGAGACGACTCGTCACGATCAGCCTTGACTTTCATTCCACCAGTCACACGCACGATCGTTTCGCGACCTGAGATTTTGAAAAATCGATACCGAATTTAAGCAGCCGGAAGTAAAAAATTTCTTTCCACCGCTCTACGCGGATGTAGGCCGATAGCAGCAATTTAGCGGGACATACCCGAGATATCCGTAACATGGATAAAAGTGTCGTTGAAGGAAGCGAAGATGTGGGCGACGCCGAAAACATTCTCGCCTTCTCTGGCTTGTGGGCCCAAAGCGACGACGGGCTGTTCCTCCTTGACCTTTCCTTTCCTGGCAGGTGGCATTGCTACCTGAAAGCAGGATAAATCATCAGAATGTGACCATGAGAGATAATTGAATTATAAAAAAATGCAATACGGAAATGGCATAGGGACGGAATGCGTGTAAAGCTACGTAGATTCATTTAGCAAAAACGAGACCGAACCTGAATGCTAAAATTGATCTTCCTTATCAAAGTGTGCTGGAAATATTAAAGCTATTTTTGCTAGAGTTCGATAATGCTAACTTTTGCAGGCCAACTATTATGCTATGGAAATATCGCCAGCCTTTTCCTACAGTATTTAGCCACCCTGATAGGCTACGCGGCAATACTCAGAACAGCTGGGTCCCGCAACGCTCCTCGCCGCTTTGAACAGCCATTCCATTTTCTCGCCATTTCGTTGGATTTTTCCCGAGTGCTGGCGTAGCACTTGGTTTTTTCTTTATTTCTTCAATATTGCTTTCTCTCATCGATTTGCGCGTTTGCTATTATTCTAAAACCCTGCGCTAAGCCGTTCTTTTTGTTTCTTTTTGAATTGCGTCCTGGTTTTTGACTTTGTCTCGGTGGCTTGGCCAGCGTTCTAAATTCTGTTCCTTTTGTTAATGTTTCCGGTTCCTATTTGAACGGATCTCTGGGTTTCGCTTTTCTCTCTTTTTATTCATCTTTTTCAGCGTTCGAGATGGGCAAGGAGAAGATTCATATCAACATCGTCGTCATCGGCCACGTCGACTCCGGAAAGTCTACCACCACCGGCCATTTGATCTACAAATGCGGCGGTATCGACAAACGTACCATCGAGAAGTTCGAGAAGGAAGCCCAGGAGATGGGCAAGGGCTCCTTCAAATATGCTTGGGTCCTCGACAAGCTGAAGGCTGAGCGCGAGCGTGGTATCACCATCGATATTGCTCTCTGGAAGTTCGAAACGGCCAAGTACTACGTCACCATCATTGATGCCCCCGGCCATCGTGATTTCATCAAGAACATGATCACTGGTACTTTTAATTATATCTTACGATAATGTGGTTATCCTAGGTACGTCGCAGGCTGATTGCGCCGTGCTCGTCGTCGCTTGCGGCACTGGAGAATTCGAGGCTGGAATCTCCAAGAACGGACAAACCCGCGAGCACGCGCTGCTGGCTCAAACCCTTGGTGTCAAGCAGCTCATCGTTGCTTGCAACAAGATGGACTCTACTGAGCCTCCCTTCTCGGAGTCTCGTTTCACCGAGATCAAAACTGAGGTAAATTTCAAATGGCTGTTCTTTATATTCGGTTTTAGGTGTGCAACTTCATCAAGAAGATCGGTTACAACCCCGACACCGTCCCCTTCGTCCCAATCTCCGGGTTCAACGGCGACAACATGCTCGAGGCCTCCGCCAACATGCCGTGGTTCAAGGGATGGGAAGTCACCCGCAAGGAGGGCAACGCCAGCGGCAAGACCCTGCTCGATGCCCTGGACTCCATCATCCCCCCAGCCCGCCCTACCGACAAGGCCCTCCGCCTGCCTCTCCAGGATGTGTACAAGATTGGCGGTATCGGAACTGTCCCGGTCGGCCGTGTCGAGACTGGTATCATCAAGCCCGGCATGGTTGTCACCTTCGCTCCCCAGAACGTCACCACTGAGGTATCCCCGGCTTTCCTATTCTGACCTTTTTCCTTAGGTGAAATCCGTTGAAATGCACCACGAATCTCTCCCTGAGGCCGTCCCTGGTGACAACGTCGGATTCAACGTCAAGAACGTTTCCGTCAAGGACATCCGTCGTGGATCGGTCTGCTCCGACTCCAAGAACGACCCCGCCAAGGAGGCCCGCACCTTCAACGCTCAGGTAACTTTCCTTTCCTATCTTTGGCTTCAACTTCTTCACCCTTACGAATTGTGACGTTTAGGTCATCATCATGAACCACCCCGGACAAATCTCCGCTGGATACTGCCCTGTACTCGATTGCCATACTGCCCACATTGCTTGCAAGTTCGCCGAGCTGAAGGAGAAGGTCGACCGACGTACCGGAAAGAAGGTCGAGGACAACCCGAAGGCCCTCAAGAACGGAGATGCCGGAATCGTCGAGCTCCACCCCACCAAGCCCCTTTGCGTTGAGGCATTCACCGACTACCCTCCCCTTGGCCGTTTCGCCGTGCGTGACATGAGGCAAACGGTCGCCGTCGGAGTTATCAAGAGCGTCGACAAGTCTGATGGCGCTGGAGGCAAGGTTACCAAGGCTGCGCAGAAGGCTGGTGGCGCTGCTGGCAAGAAGAAATAATAATTTGTTACGTTGTTGCATTTTGAATAAACTTTTTAATGTGGAAACTATAATGACAAGACAGTTCGATTCTACCGTTATCAGATGAACAGAAGACGCTCCTAGTTTTATCCTTCGTTTTTCAAGATGGCGCTGCAGCGCGCTCTTAGGAGGGCCTGTTTTGACGTCAAACACTTGGCCAGGCGGAAGTGGGTCATACTAGTGCTGCCTAACTTTCTTTAGCTCTGGGATTTTATGCGCTCTAGCTGTCATCGTGCTGTTCGTCTTTTTCATTAGTGGCCGCTCGATTGGACCTATCGGGGTGCGCGTTTTAGTTTTTTCAATAGTTTTCTCAGGGTTTTCGCAAGGATGTCGTCGAGAAACCACTAAAAGAGCAACTGGCTGAGGTAGACATTCGTTTTCATTTAATAACGTGTCGGTTTAGTCACCGACTCCGCTTCCCGGCGGCACCGATCCTAACACGTTTTTCGATGATTCAAAGCCGGGTAATTACGAACCTGAGGAGCCGGAAAAGGCGACGAATGATCGAGGTATGACCCGATTTCCCCTCTGGATTTTGCTGTTTAGGTGAGCGCGGACAGCCGGCTTATCCCAAGGATGACGATGAGCGCGTACAGTCGCAGAAGGCAATGAGTGAATATGGTTTCAATACAGTCATTTCCGATGGGATTCGAATGGATCGCACGATCCCTGACATAAGGCCGGACGAGTAAGATAAGTGTTTCTGATGCCATCTTTTTGTAGATGCCGTCACTGGAATTATCCCTCGGATCTGCCGACGACATCGGTGGTGATTGTCTTTCATAATGAAGGCTGGTCTCCCCTATTACGCACTGTGCATACCGTCGTGCTACGTTCTCCGAAGCATTTGTTGAAGCAGATTGTCATGGTGGACGATTTCTCGGACAAACGTATACTTTCTTCGTTTGATGATTCCTTTTTTAGCGCATTTGGGCAAAAAGCTCGAAGATTATCTTCTACGGGAATTCAAGGACAAGGTGGAAGTGACATTGGTTCGCAACAAGGAGCGCGAAGGCCTGATCAGGTAAGCAGCTGGCTGTTTTGGGACGCTTGTCTTTAGGGCTCGTACAATTGGGGCTCAACACGCAACGGCTGACGTGGTCTTGTTTTTGGATGCCCATTGCGAGGTCAACGTAAATTGGTTGCCTCCGCTTCTGGCTCCGATCAAGAACAATCGGTACTATATTTTGGAACTATCATAGTTTGTCAGGCGTGTAATGACTGTTCCCGTGATTGATGGCATTGACATGAACACTTGGGAATACCGCAGCGTCTATGGCAGCCCTGACCGTTTGTTCAGGTATCCGCGTTTGCATCTTTGTGCACTATCTTTAGGGGAATTTTCGAGTGGGGTCTGCTCTACAAAGAAACCGAAATCCCTGATGAAGAACGCGCTGATCACGCGCATTTGAGTCAACCATTTAGGTACCATTTTTTTACTGTTCTAAACCTCTTTTCGGTCTCCTACACATGCCGGCGGACTCTTTGCGATTGACCGCGAGTGGTTTAAGGAACTTGGATACTACGATCCTGGTCTGCAGATTTGGGGAGGCGAGCAGTACGAATTGTCGTTTAAGGTTTATTAGCTTTACGTTGTCAACTTTATTTTAGGTATGGCAATGCGGTGGCGGCATCCTTTTTGTCCCGTGTTCTCATGTTGGGCACGTCTACCGGAATCATATGCCCTATGGTTTTGGAAAACTAAGCGGAAAGCCTGTGATTTCGACGGTACTGTAGAACACCTTTTGCCAACCACATATTTAGAATATGTTGCGTGTCATCAAAACGTGGATGGATGAATATGGTGACCAATACTTCATCCGCGAACCTTCTGCTCAAAAACGAACTCCTGGTGACATCTCTGAACAACTGGCGCTCCGAGAACGCCTGCAATGCAAATCCTTTGACTGGTAGGTAACTTATGTTCGGTGTAAACCAATATCATGCTATCATTTTCCCTCACAAATACTTTCGCGCTTTCGATTACGCAACCACCCCTCTTTTCCGCAACGGACACGCGCTGCATGCGCATTTGGCTAGAGACCACACATAAGGAAAGGACTACCGCGGAAATTGCTAAACACCCATTGATATGCTCGTTTCTAAATTATCGATTGAGGTATATGAAAAATGTCGCTTATGATGTGGTCAAGAGCTACCCTATTCTGCCGAAGAATCATGTGTGGGGTGAAGCAAAGAACATAGCAACCGGTAAAAATCTTCAGATTTGGCGCATCTTTTTCTAGGGAAATGTCTGGATACTATGGGCCGCGCAATCCCAGGGACTGTCGGTGCAACGCCTTGTCATGGTTATGGTGGTAATCAGGTATAATCAGCCTTGGATAATTAGCTACGTATAAGTATTTAGTTGGTTCGCCTGAACACGGAAGGGCAAATGTGTCAAGGCGAATGGTGCATTACGACTACCGGAACTTCTTTGAAGACCGGACACTGTAGAAAGGGATCCGTTGATGGTCAATTTCGCTATGACGAGGTTGTTTTGATACGAGAATTTTTTATGGTTTTAGATCACCCAACAAATCATCTACAAACGTGGTTCGACTTGTCTGACAGCCGATCGGCAACAAGGCTCGTCTGAATTGATGCTGAAGAGGTTCGAATTTTACACACGCTCATAACTTTCTTAGGTGTGATAAAGACAACGTCTATCAAAAATGGGTCTGGCGTGAAATCTTCACCGACTAACTGCCCCAACATACAGATCAAGCTTTCGGCATAATTCGCTACTATTTGATTGTGATTGTCGCTTTGACCTATCGCCCACTGGTACGCTTTGGTCCACGAAACCTTTACTGATTGCTAATATTGACTTGTGATAGGCATTATGAACGGTTCTGTGTCGGCAGCTCTTAGCTGGCTCCCGCGCACCAATGTATCTTCGTATTTATCTGTTGCACCTACAGTCTTTCTGTATTTCTCTGTCCTTATCTTGGATTTCTGCTTGGGTATTTATGTGATGGAAAACTAATAAATTCACTTTTTGTTTGGGCTTGCTGTCTTCAATTCTTCCGTCGTTGGCGATGATTATCGAGAATGTGCTTCGTATAAAACTTATTTTCCTTTTAGGTAAACGGGTATACCTGCCTCGATGATGAGCGCACCCGTTGTTACGAAGGACTTTATCGTCGCCAACAAGTACAGGCTGATTCGGAAGATCGGCTCCGGATCTTTTGGCGACATCTACGTCAGCATCAATGTGACCAACGGAGAAGAAGTCGCTATCAAGCTGGAGAGCTCCAGGGCCCGCCATCCGCAACTACTTTATGAGTCCAAGGTCTACAAGATTCTCCAAGGTGGCGTTGGAATCCCTCACATCCGATGGTATGGCCAAGAGCGCGAGTACAATGTCCTCGTAATGGATCTCCTCGGGCCTTCACTTGAGGATCTGTTCAATTTCTGCAGCCGCCGGTTCACGATGAAGACTGTGCTTATGCTGGCGGATCAGATGATTGGCCGGATTGAATACGTACACGTCAAGAACTTCATACACCGTGATATCAAGCCGGACAATTTCTTGATGGGAATCGGGCGTCACTGCAACAAGCTGTTCCTGATCGATTTCGGACTGGCCAAAAAGTACCGCGACTCGCGTACCCGTACCCATATCCAATATCGCGAGGATAAGAACCTGACGGGAACCGCCCGCTACGCTTCGATCAATGCCCATCTTGGTATCGAGCAGAGCCGTCGGGACGACATGGAGTCGCTTGGGTACGTGCTGATGTACTTCAATCGTGGAACCCTTCCCTGGCAGGGGCTCAAAGCCGCCACCAAGAAACAAAAGTACGAGAAGATATCGGAGAAGAAGATGTCGACGCCTGTGGAGCTCCTCTGCAAGGGCTTCCCTGCTGAGTTCCCGATGTACCTCAACTATTGCCGCGGGCTACGCTTTGATGAGGCACCGGATTACATGTACCTGCGCCAACTGTTTCGCATCCTGTTCCGGACCCTCAATCACCAATACGATTACACATTTGACTGGACAATGTTGAAGCAGAAGGCATCGCAGTCTACTGCTCAGGAGACGAACTCGCAAGCCACTTCGCAGATGACGAACGCTCCCAACAGCCAGCAGACGACCGGCCCCGGCCCAAATGTCTAAGTCATTTCCGCCATTTGCCCTTTGTGTGGTTCCAATTGCCTTTCGACCCGTTTCCGTCAAAATCAGGTTACGTCGTTTATTTTTGATCGTTTGTACATGATTTTCTACGAAGTGGATATTTAATGAAAGTTCGTGATAAACTTTAATTCAAATAACTTTGGAAGCCGATCATTGCTAAGCCATTTAGGGCGACATCTAAAACGACAAGGCTTGTAAGCTCGCGCGATCACTCGTCCTAGAATTGATTTTGTGTTTAGGGCAGGCTCGGGGTGCGATAGATATATTTATCGAACACATACGGTGATAAAATGGTTGCATTACAGATCAGCGAGCGCGGCGCACACGCAAGAATAGGCCTAGGTAGCCCACCAAGTAAAAGATTCCTATGAATCCCGCCATCGCGAGGGCGTCCCATCCCATCATCGAGCTGTTAAATGATAGCTTCTCCAGTGTTTCTTCTTGCTGAATTGGATATTGAGATTAGAGATTCATCGCGATACCTTTGTTGCGTTCCAAAAGACCCCTGGCTCATCGACCCGATCCCATTGATTGATGGTGAGGGCTTCGAAACCATATCTGGCAAGGCTATATTGAATTTGGCACTTGTTACCTGAACCAGGATAGGTATTGAATCCAGCTAATATAGGCCGGAAGTTGTCCTACGTTCGCATATAGACCTCCGGTAAGGGAGAGCAGGGTTAGCAGCGGACCTGAATTGTTCTCTTTCAAATGTCTGAGCTCTTACCGGCCAAAGAAACCGCGACTGGATACGAAGGCGAGATTGTCGAGAGCATCACACCGAAAGCGGAGGCAGATTGTTCTATCAAGATTGAGATCCCGATGCATAGGAGGAACTAAACAATAGCCTCTCAACGTACCGTTGTTATACCTGGCTAATCGATGCGTTCAGTCCTATCATCCAGTAGGAGATCGTCATCATCATTACGCCATCGAGTGTGAACAGGGGCACATAAGAGAGTGCGCGTGAGATATAGTAGGCGCCAACCTAGTAGCGCGTTATCAACAAGATGCTAGAGGCCTACGCTGTACAAGCCATCATGATACTCCCTCACGACCAATGGGAAATCACCAGGTAAGAAGGTAAGAATTCCAAACAGGGTTGAATAGGTCAGTTCGCAAACCTTAATAAAGTACGTATAAATCGCTCAGTTATAGGTTGGCTTACCAGATAGAAAAGGGCTCCATTAATGTTGTCAACGCCGAATGGCATCTTCACTTTGGTTTGTAGGTAAAGCAGGCCTACGAAGAGGCCCTAAGATTTGACTTAATCGTGACTCGGCGAAGCTACCCACCATGATTGTTTTCTGCACAATTTTAGCACGCGCGAGGGACGGGTTCCGCCAGTTGTCCAGGAATGCACGACGAGACAGAGCTGCGAATTGAGCACCCCAGCTTGCTTGTCGACGGCCTGCTGGAAGCTAAAGAATGAATTAGGTTGGTACATGTTTGTAAATAGCGTACAGCTTTTAGGGTGACTGATTCAACATCACGTCTCAGACCTGCTCCATGCTCGCCACCTTCAAATGTGTTGATGATCTTTTCAACACGGTCGTTGCACTCAACCTGTAGATTTTTTGTTGTATGGATGTATTTAGGTAACTTACCTCCTCGCCGGGAACAATGGCAAGTGTGTGGATAATAAGGTCTGCCGGATTGTAGTTTTGTGGACAAGGATATCCAGCATTTTCGAAGAAGCGGATCGCTTGCGACGGTGAGCCTGTGATTTTTAGTTTTATATAGTTTCGATGTTTTGACTTACCTAGGAAGGCTGTACGCCCGCATGCCAGGAACATGACTGAGTCGAACATCGCATAAAGTTGTGAAGCCGGCTGGAATTATTCACGTCATTTAATGAAATCAATGAGGGATGAATTTTGGAGGCGAGATACCTTCTACATTATTTTAGATTACCTGGTGGATTGTGCAGATTACAGTGCGACCACTATGTGCCAATCTGGACAAAACAGACACGACTGATTCGGCCATGAATGAATCGAGACCTAAAGAAGCTTGAAAACTAGAAGCGATATGATCACCTGTCGTTGGCTCATCGCAGAAAAGAATCGGCGGGTTCGACAAGAGTTCACAGGCAAACGTCAAACGCCGAGCTTCACCACCTGTAATTAAGTGTTCCATGCCCACATTCCCAACGTTACCGGAAATTCCTTTCTTAACTCCCATGACTCCGATGGGTGTATGCTGGCATTTGAAGAGACCGAGTTGTTTCAGAACAATGTTGACGCGCTTTAGCCTCTTCTCCTTAGGCCCATTGACGCGCAGGCGAGCCTGAAACAGAATTGAGATACTGCGAATGTTGTTAACCTGGATAGTCAGATATTCGCGGACAGTCAGTGTGCCCACGAAAAGCTCTTCTTGCTGAGCATAACCAGAGATGGCGGTGATGTCGCTGCCGATCTAAAGCGAGCAAACTTAACAAATTTTGACAAAATACCGCATTTCCATTGACCAAAACACGGCCCTGCACATCAAGGCCTTTCAGATTGCGGCAGAGCAGCGTGTTCAGCAACGTCGTTTTGCCAGCACCACTAGAATTAAAGCGATAGATATATTTTAGGCGCCCATGTAACGAACTTAAAGGACGCTCACCTAGCGCCCATCAAAGCCATCAGCTGTCCAGGCTGTGTGACGCCGGAGACACCTTTTAGAAGCTCACGTCCGGTTTTCTGCACCGTTACTTGTAGGTTTTCCCATGAAAGAACTGATGGTTCCTAAAATGGACATTTTAGAGGGAGATCACCGATGTACCACAGTTTCCAGGGCTGACTCCGCAATGCTGCTCATCCCGCCATATTCGGATTGTTCCGAGAGGAGCAGCGACTGGCTTTCCTCGCAAGCCATCGCTAAAAATCCGTAAGTTATAAGCTAAACAGGATATGCAAAAATGGAAAAGGTGGTTTAAATTAGATTCGGTACTAAAAAATGGCTAGGGGTCGGCCGCATTGGTCGATCCATTGCGTCCCTATCTTATCAAGAACATGGGCTACTGCCTTTTGGGAGAAATATGCTTTGTAGTGGCTAGGTCGGACAGGTTGAAAGATCGGGAAGTATTCATATAAATAAATCGGGGCGGGAGATTTGACCCGAAACTTTTTAGGTAGTTGGTGCGCGCATCATCATCTGGGCGCGATGATCGTTCAAATGCGACAACATCTGCAGCCAAAAAAAATTGTGTTATAGTGTTGTGTAGTGTTTTAGCATAATTCTTGTAATATGAGCGCGGGGTTTCTAGTTTTGCAATCACGCAGAACGGGAGGGAATTTTATTAGAGGGAAAGTTATATTTTTCGATCGAGGAATGTCGACCGTCTGAGAAGTGAGATGATCGATTTTCACAAACGGATCGGTTTTTAACACTCTGAACTACCTAAAACTACAAATAAATCCAACAAAAAGCCTAACGAGAACCTATATTCACCTTTTTTTAATTTCTAAGAACAAATTTTACAGGTTTTACATCCGAAATTCCTTATAGGAAATACAGTAACTAGCTTGCTAGCGTTTTATTGTGTTTTACATCGTCATCTCGGTTACATCCTGGCACACCCCCGGAAACTCATACAATTCGACCATTTTTGAGCTCATTGCCCGCCCGAAATTAGACCGGTGAAAGTGGGTGACCCAGCTGTGCTGTTGGGTGGGCGGAAGTCGTTTCCGGGGAGGGGTAGCTAGCTGTCCAATGGGCCGCGTAACGTTGCGATAGTGTGCTTCTGTTGGATGATGGGCCTTTTAGAGTCGTCGTCGGTCCTTCAGCTCGAAATTCCCTTCAATTCCCATCACTTCGACCTTCAAACTGCAAATCGAGGCCTGGTCGCGTGAATGGGCGCAGCAAACTGATTCTATTTTATAGGACCCCGTGAGAGAGCTGCACTGGAAATTAAGCGCTTGATCATTTCTAGATACACTTTTTTTACTTACTACGTTTTCCTAGTATTGTTTTTCTGCTTTAAGCCGATTTCCGAAGCCTTGGAACTTTAAAATCCAATCTTGCTAATGCTTCCCCGTCAACCCCTTTCTACCCTAAAATGACTTCCCATCATCCAACCAAACTCCCCCCTTTCAACCCATCAAATCCTGTTCATTATTCAGATTGGATCGGTTACTCCTCCATCTTCTTCAAAAGAACCCCCTGATTTTTCTCGGGTGCCCCACAGCCCTTCCTGCCCTGATATGTGGGCGTTCCTAATCCGTTCGTAGTAAAAACACAATGAAGGTTCTGGAGGGATGATCCCTATATATTCATCGGTGCGAAAAGACGATGTACAATACATTATTTTATTTTATCGGTTGCGTTTTGAGCCTTTCACTATATTGGGAAGTCAAAAATCAGGGTAAAAATGACATCGTACAAGCATTACGGAGGCATATAAGAATTGATTCGCCCATCCGATGGTTCTGAATTTTGAATTTCAAATAAATTTCAATGAATTGGTGATATCATTTGTACCGGATTTTTCCGTCCAAACTACGCTTTCAGTCTAGGTTTTGCAAACACTTGAAGCCCAATTTTCAGGGCCCAAAAATCGGGCACAAAATACGTGCGATGAGCGAAAATCTGCGGCGGATATTAGCCAAATAGGGCTGCCGAGTATCCACTAGAAACGACCGGGGTAATAATGCAGCAAAGGTTTTTATGGGCCCATTTTTTGCCGCCTTAATAAACGATGTCTGCTAGTTTGCCATCTTGCTAAAGGATATCAGCCCGGCCGTTTTTTTGGCCGGAAACCAGGGAAGCTACAGCTTGCTGGAGCGTGATATTTGATTTTCGAGACGAGCATCCTTTCACGTGTACCCCCAAATGATGTGAAAGAGACCGAGGGAAAGTGTTGTTCACACAGCTGGGCAAAGTTCTTTTTGTGGTCTGGACTTAGCAAACGTGGGCTTAGAAAAACGCGCAGGTTGCTGGCCCCTTTAAAAGCGTGCGTGCCAAAACGAGGGGGCTGCGTCGGCGGTGATTCGCGCGGAGGAGCTTATCGCCTATAAGTGGCACTTGACGGCGCAGGATTTTGAACGAGACAACAAATTTGATGATGAGAGTTTCGATGGGTATAAGGTCTAGTTTGCCATGGATTTCGGTAGTTCTGATAATATTTTTGCCGAACTTACAGGTTATATCGATGTGGCATACAATTTTTAAAACTTAGAATTTTGAAAAGTTCGTTTTTTCAAAAAAAGCTCAAGGCTTACGGGCTTGGAAAAAATCTGCTTTGAAAGCGTCAATTTTGCCGATTTTACGCGACCGCTTGGATGAAAATTTAGACTTTGGTAAATTTGTCGCGAAGATCATTAGCGTCTAGTGGGTTTTTCAAATTGGTACCGGTTATAAATGTCAGTCTTTGGCGGATGGGATTCCACTTTGCAAAAACTGCATTGTCCCCTTAAAATCATTCCTTATTAGCAAGAATTCTCTATAAAAATCTATTAAAAACCTTCCAAATGTCCAAAAACATCATATCTCCTCCCACATCCCACCCGTTCCAGTCTCTTTAATCTGCTCCAAGCAATATCCTCGTTTTTGACCCCCCAGTGTGGCCATGGGGGAATGGCGGCAAGGGACAATTTGCATTCCCGATTCCTGGGCCCTCCCCCTCCCTAAAAAAGGTCCAGCAGCCCCTGTCGCCGGCCGCTACGGCATCGCATCCCATTTCGGCGCCCCTTAAATACGATTTGAAATGTACCTTCTGCAATTTTCCAATTAAATTTTGAGTTGGAATTCGGGCCTCTATTCCTGGGTTCGACGTGTAGGAGGGTTGACACCGGAAGCACGCAGACATCCCGGAAATGTCTTTCCACTCGTCCGGTGTGGGGGGAGTACACACCTTGATTGAAACGTGCCTAATTTTAAAGAGGGCGTAACGAGGGTGTATACATCACGGGGTCCTTCCTTTCGAATGGGGTTTTTTTTGCTTAGGCGTAAAGCTCGAAATGAAAAAGGTCACATCATGTTTTCCGCAATGAAATGTCTGGAATTTTTTTCAATATAAAAGTTGCCTAAGCCCATACCTAAGTCCATACCTAAGCCTAAGCCTAAGCTTAAGCCCAAGCCTAAGCATCTACCTCATCGTAAGCCTAATCCTAAACCTTATCCTACGCCGAAGCCTAAGCCTAAGCCTGTGTCTATTCTAATCTAAGCCTAAGCCTAATCCTAGGTATATGCCCAAGCCTAAGCCTAACCGACTAGTCCCACCATCCCAAGAATCCACTAAACCATAAAATTTTTAAAAATTGACGTCGCCGCTTTTTATTGACCTCCATTGCCTCCCCCTATTTTGCACCCCCTAATTGGTCATCATCAATTCAGATTATCCGTCCGTATGGCCCCTTGTGGCCATCCACGATTGAAAAATAACCCCTTTCACCGTGGGTATTGTGAGACCCACAAACCCCGGAAGGACCTTCGGATCTCCGCAAATCCCTATCATTAAACCCAGGGCCCGTTTTTTGAAATACCATATTCCCAAGGGGGCCTAGCAGATTTTTGGCCCCATCAGCCAGGGAGGGGCACGCAATGGCCACCCATCCATGCTTTCGACAAATTATAGGGTGTTTCGCCTGCTTCCATCTACCGTACTTTATGCCTTGAGGGTGTTCGGGAAAAGGAGGTGGGTATGGAATTGGCTCCATCCACTGCCAATATCCGGTGTGGTCATGGGTGAGAAGCCATATGAGCCCTTAAATTAGTCTATGGGAGTTGTTTTCTGTATTTGAGTGTAATTTTTGGATCAATAAACAATAATGATTTTCCTTCAGGCCGTGTTTTTAAATTTTAGAGCTAGCGCCGCTACAGTAATCTTTTAAGGCTATCTTAAGGTCCAAATTTACTCATTTTCGCTTGCCGAGCCCTTTACATCAGCGAACTTTGCAATCTTCCAATCTTCCAATCTTTCCATCCGAACTGATATTATTCTGTAGTACAGCTACAGTACTCCCTTACAGCTGTCATAACGCTCCGAAATTAACTTTTTTTCGCTTCCCAACTCCTTTAAAACCAGTCAACTTTGCAACTAGCCACCCAGCACCCCCGCAAAAACTCATAAATCCATATTTTCTATTTTTTTTACCCCACCGGCCACTCAACCGGGTGCCAGCGGCCGTCGATCATCTGAAAATCTAGAAGAGGCTGCTCCTCCACCCCTCTTTCACCCTCCCCCGTCAAACATTCCATAAATCTGGCCGATCCCCCCGGAGCCCTCCGACGACAAAAAGCCACTGGCTACTCTGCCCTCACGTTTTTCCGGTGCCCTCCCCGGTTTCGGGAATCAAACATTTTCGCGTGGCGTGTCAACAGGTGTTGGTGGTACTTTGGGGTACTGTAGTCCTCGACTCCTATGGATGGATTTGGTATTTATGAAATGTGATCTGCTTGCCAAGATTAGTGGTATTCTCGGGATTACACAAAATCCTACCGGGAGGTTTAAGAGATTGGGAAGTGATGAATTTTTAGGGCAGAGAGTGATGGTATTTTGGGCAGAGATTTGGTGCGGTATTGATAATTTTCATACTGACACTGAAGATTTAGTGCTCTGATCCGCTATTTTCATACCTGTGCTTTATGTTTTTGATCGGTTACCAAGTCTACGCAAACCAAAGCCTAAGCTGAATCCTAAGCCTATAAGCCTAAGCCAAAGCCTAGGCTTATGCCCACGTCATCTGTCCAGGTACACCTGATCCACTACCCAGAATCGTAAAACCCCGCGAAACGACCGCCTCCATAATTTATGTGAATTCAAAGCTTCTCGTACTGGTCTCGCTCTCCCTCTCTCTCTCTCTCTCCTCAACTAACACCCAAAAGCCGTGAAAATCCGCCGACCCCAAAGCTGCAGATCTTCTAAGGATTTGCCTGTGTATCAGGTTACAGCTGAGTTTCCCGGATACTCAATGGACCCGAATTCTGACTTTCTAGCTAAAATCTGGGGGTGGCCGGCGGCTAAGCAAATAGCACGTGTGCCAATCCGATGCTGTTTTTTGGGCATTCTTTTAATGGTTCTTGTCAAATTTTACTAAACCTCATTATTTCTATTATATAAATTTTCTAAAAATATTTTTTATTTCAGCCCTTCTATGACGGATGAGTGGGGAGGTGATTTGTGCACCGGTAAGCTTTTCAACGGCTTTAAATTTGTATGAAATCTCGATTACAGTACGAAACGTACACAGCGCTCCGGTTTTCGTTTACGCTTTTTGGGACGGTGATTGCGACGTTGGGGTTGCCGGCAAATTTGTTATTGGTAATTTTTTGTTTGTTATTTTATAACGTACAGAGACTAGCATTCGTCCGTTGGGAATTTAAGTGAAAACAAGGTTCTAGCAGTGATTCTTTGAGAATACCCGAGGCAAGCTAGCAGCGATTCTTGGGGCAATTCAACCATTGATTCCTACTCATTCCTATGATTTAGGTCTACGTATTCGCCACCCGCAAATGCTCCTCCACCCCTCCAACTCTATACCCATCAGGTACCCCACACAAAGCTCTTACTGTACCATCGCGTGCCATTTAGCCATTGCCATCCTTGATGCCGTCATTTGCCTCGCCTACGTCCTCATTTTCGGCATCGACGCCATCATTATCTTTGCGAAGAATGAGGTACATAACGGCGACAGATTGAGGGGTTAATTCACGGTTGTTTTAGAGTTTATTCGTGCTCTATTACCTTTATATAATTCCTGCTTATGTTGCTAGTCGTATCGCGCAATTGGCCATACCATATATGCTGATATTTGCAACGTTGGAGCGTTTTGTGTGGATTACGGCTGGGAAAACGTGAGTAAAAATTTTAAAAGAATAGCGAACGCGAGGCTTAATAACTAAATATTAGGCTATTTGAATATAGTAATCCTACTATATATAAAAAAATAGTGTCTGTGTGTTTGTGTGTGTGTGCCACTTTGCATGCAACTTCCGTCAGGGTGTCCGGAAGATATCTCGAGAGGGAAAGGGTTTTAAGCAACGTATTATACATCATTAGGTGCGTGCTGGCACTGAGATGACTGCACACAAATCAGATTTTTCAAATTATGCTATTTTCGACGTTAAAATTAAGTTTTTGTTAGAAAATGGAGCACCCACTTTGTTAGGAATCAATTAGCATATGCCGGAAATGGCGCGAGCCTATATAATGGGCGGAGGAAGAGATTTTCATTTTTTTGTCATCGGAATTCGCGAGAGTTATGCAAAATGAACCATATTATGACGCTAGACGGGGCCAGGGTTGAAAAGACGCGAAGCGACTTTTCAACCCTGGTTAGCTAATATTTAATTACAGGCGAAGTCGTTTTCTGCAACGTATGTACAGCAAATCCGGACGTCAATTAACCTTATTCATATCGTTGGCAGTATGCGTAGCCCTTAGATTACCATTATTTTGGGCTGTTACAGGTAAGTCAAATAATTGAATATATTTACTAATATTCATATGGTTTTAAATGTAAATAAATTTTTATTTATGTCAATTTAGTGGAAGACTACCCAAAATGCCCAATATTCCTACGCAGCAAACTGACCAATCCGGCTGACTGGACCCTAGAAGACACCTGGCTCGCTACCGCCCACTATTTTTCCGATTACTACCTCCTTTCATTTGGGCAGAGCCTCGTCCCATTTTTGATCCTGCTGGTTTTGAATGGGGTATATTTAATGGCGTTACTATAATAAGCAGCCTGTCTCTAGGTAATTGTTTGTAAACTCTACGAAGATCAGACAAAGGACGAGCAAAAACAGCAATTCTGCAAATCCACCCTAAATACATTGGCTGTCACTTACGGCGATTATGGAACAGAATTACACGCGGGCAGCCGTTCTCGTAAGTATTAGAATTAAAGTTTCATATACTCAATATAAACTTTCAATTTTACGATTATTTTTGTTGTGTTCAGACCAGCCTCTGAGGAAGAGTCCGTGTAAGTTTACCGTATGCAAAAACCCGTTAAAAACCCAATGAATTCCAATCCATCACTATGCGAGCCTCCCATCTACAGCTTCTGTTTTTCTGCCCCAATACTATATACCCCCCTTGGATTCCGAGGCAATAATATAGCCTGGTCCTTAAAGAAATCGTTAATTTTTTTCCCGTTTGCAGTGAAAAACTAGCTACTTTGTTCGTAACTTAATTTTTTTTTCCAGCTTCGTTTGCTGCGCTGTTTCCAGCATTGAAGACAAATAGTGTGCAGGTGAGCGAGGATCTAAGCATTAATAGATCCGTGAAAAACCGGAAACTAAATTGAAACCTCCAGGTCCGGTCCGCAATGTATACAATGTTGGCCATCGTCACGTCATATCTAATTTCCACTGGGCTTCATCTTATTCTAACCGTACTCGAGAGGTCGGGTTTAATTTTGAATCATTCTATTATCGATTTTAACATTGCCTTTTTCCTAATTTATTGATTTAAACAATTTTTCCAGATCTGGTTCGCCGCTAATCAGCGATTCCGAAGACCCAGAGCAATTTTCCCTATTCCACACAGCCTTTTCCGACGTTGTCACTTTCGTTATTATGCTCAGGTGAAATTTGATTAGATTGATTCAAATAAATTTATTTCTAGCTCGGCCATCCGGATCGTCATCTACTACGTGTGCAACCCGAAAACTCGCGACGATCTGCGAGTGGTGTTGCTCCGAAAAGATTCGATAGAATACGTGTAAATTGCATCCCTGTCCCCCCTTCTCTGTCTCTTTAAAATCAGTGCCTCTCGGGTTTTGTTGTGTACTTTTGTCTCTTTGTACGTTAGCTATTTGTATGATGTGAAACTGTCGCGAATAAATGATTTATTTCAGAGATGTACATTTGAAGACACGGGTTTCGGGTTTTTTTCTTATCAACATTTGCAGCATTTTTTAACGGCATTCCAGTAGTTGTTTGTGGCCGAGGTTTTGCAGCCGGCAGGACCTAATTGATATGTATTTTAATAAGCCTTGATCTGACTATACCTCCATTGTGTAGGCGGGCCATTTGTTCGCATGCCGATTTTCCGGGGCATCCTCCCTTATACCGAGCTACATAACTTTGAACGCATTTTGTGGCGCAGCTCAGGTCATCGGCGCAGCTGAAATTTTTTTTAAATACCGCATCCCACAGCTGTAATATTATTAATACCGTTTCCAAGCCGTATCCAACGATTCTCCGCTCTTCTTCCCCGGCGTCCCGCAATCGATATAGTAGGGGCGCTTGATCTACAGTAGGAATTAATCCAATTTTCTTGTTTTTTATTACTTGAAAATATCCACAGGATAACGAGCCAACATCCATGTGGCACCCAATTTTCTTGCACCCAGATTCGCGTTGGCATATGCAATTTAGGCAGGTGTCAGCCAGGGTTAGGCCAATGGCTAAATTAGATAAATAGTTTTAATTTATGAAAGAATTTAAATTAATGTAATCATTTTTTGTCAATGCATAAAACTTTAAGTTAACGTAAAAATCACATCAAACGTTTTAGATACTTTTAAAATTTTGATTTGACGATTTAACGCTTTCTGCTAATATATAGAGCATTCAAAAAGCGCTAAAAAGCTACATAAATGAATTTTAGGTATGTATATTTATATCTGTAATGCTTTACACTATTGTATAAAAGCTTAAGACATCCCTAAAATATTAGGCCGTATTAATACAATTTCATAACTCGATTTAACTTACCCAATCCAATAAATAGGAAATATCGTAGCATGTTTACTTGTTCACAGCTTATTCTTGCAAGCCAATCCCTGCGGTTTTATACCATTTGATACCCCTTTAGTCATCGCTCTCAATGATCAACAGTTGATGCTCCACTCCATTCCCTGTTGACGCTCTTTTGGACTGCTGAGTAATCGTACTTGTTACGGGCGATTTTCGTTCGAATAATGGATATTTTTAAAACGTTATGGGAACGGTGTGGAAACGAGGAGCGGGGGATGGAAAATATTTTTAAAGATCAGGGGAGGAGGCTCTATTTCGAGATAAGGCAGCTAGTCAAATATTGGGATTTAAAGGTATGGTTAATCTTTGATCCACTCAGCACTTCAAAATTCCTAATTGGTCTCTATTTTATTGATACCTTGTATGTATTCTTGTTACTTTTTTCAGAATTTGCTGCGATTTTTACATAATTTACAATATATTTACATTTTTATTTATACAAAGATATTTACAGATTTTCATGAATTCTATATTAAAATGAAATAAAGCAAAACAATACAACCCGTTTCAATATTGGACTCGATTTCTAGTTTCTACAAGACACCCAAATACCACAGCACGCCAGGGCCACTTTTTAGGAAACGCCGAGTTCAGTTGGGTCGAAGAACAGCAGTTCTGTCACCAATCCAAAATCGCTTTCGCTGGAAGGAGCGCCCAAGACTTATCAAAAAAATCACATGTGTTGAAATGCTTCAGACAATGATATCCGGTTTCTCGGCTTCTTCGGCTGCTATTTTCTCCTCAGCTACGGTACGCTTCAAGTCAGTTTGGGACGGGAGGAAGGGGAGGTTGCTGAGATAGCTGTGGCGGAGGAGCAGGCTGAAATTTTGGGGTTAAAGGCGTTAGGAAGTATTTGAATACGAATTAATCTACTACTTTTAAGCTCAAATTTACCGATTAACGAAAGGAGGGAACGCATATCCATCTTCTTCAAGCGGTACGAGCTCGTGCTTCTCATTTTCTGGCGGGAATCCACGTTGGAACCGGGTTACGCCTAAATTAGATTTGCTTTCCAAGCTATAAACTACAAACCAGGAATGGTATTGTCCAGAATAAAAGCTACTAAACCACCGATGAGCATACGAATCGAGAGAAGTGTCATCAATACTTGATCGGTTGTAGCATTTCCTAAAAAGTCGCAATTTTTAAATGCAAATTAGGTTGCTAAAATACCTGTTTTAATTGGGCTGAGCGTGAAATAATCCGGGACTGCTAGGCCGGCGAGTAGAGACAGACCAAGGACAGCAACATTTCGTGAAAGTCGCATGTTTACTGTCTAAAATATCTCAATATAAGATGGCTATCAATAGCCTCCATACCCTTAGATTACTAATCGATACTCCCATGATCATTGCCATTCCAATACCAAGTAGACCACCAACAATCGCGTCAGGTACTGATGCGAGCAGTGCAGCGACTGAAAAATGTTTGACTTAAGTGGTCCATTAAGTGGACATACCTTTAGTGAATAACCCAATAACAATACACATTACGCCAGCCATCTGCATTGTAGCACGAGAGGCCACCTAAAACCGTATTACGCTTGAAAATAACTAGCATGGATTTTTTCCAATTTTAACTTACGCGAGTAATATGCATCAATGCAATATTTTCAGCATATGTCGTTACACCTGCCCCGAGGCCAAAAGCGCCCGCCAAAATTGAACCGAATCCTAAAAAATGGGTCGGTTACCGTTAGCTACCAATTTGTATCTACCTTCGATCATAATTCCGCGATTCACGGCGGCTCCCGGGGGATGGCGTTGTTGTGATACCTCAACAATTGAAATTCATGTTTAATATGGAATTCCCACCTTAGCCACCATTTCGTAATCACCAAGATTTTCTAGCAAACAGGCAAAAGCCGAGGCGAAAAATCCGCAAAGCAAGGCGGCATCGACACTGGGACGTCCGAATTGGCCTGCAAATCCGTTTAGGTATTTTATACGGAAAGCTTATATTTGTTTTCTATATAATGGGCTTACCAGGATAGGGTATTTGAAACCATGGAGATCCGGAAAGGACTTCCATTGTAGAATTTTTATCGGTTCGAGCCTCTCCTAAATTCATTTATGGAGACTGCATTCTATTATTTGAACCATAATCATACAGTAACCCAAAAATGCCAGACCGCCCTTTAAATTTACCTTCGACCGGTTCCAAATTTGTTATCGTCAACAGCCAGCAGATGAACCAGACGAACAACAGCGAGAAGAGGTACTAAAACGAGCGCTGTCTACCGTAATCGTACTTTGTAGCATACCGGAAACATTCCAAAGATTCTGGCCCTCACGAATTTGATCTTTCGCTGCGAGACCGAGAAGTAGGGAATCGGGACGGCATATGGTTCCAGGATCACGGCCATAAGGACGACGACGAAGAATTCGCTGAAAATTGAATATTTTATTCATTCATAAAATTTAATTTAATATTAATATTTTTGAATTTTAGTTTGAATATTAGTGAAGAAGCTTACAGCAGGGAGACCCAGTGGAGGCTCATTTTCTCGACGAGTGTTGGCACGGTCCCAATTTCAAGGAGAATCATGAGAGGGGCGATGCAAATTGGGCCAACCTAAAAAATGCAGTAAAATTAAGATACTTAAAGGGGCAGGCAAGCCATGATATCACTTTTTATGGCTAAGAATCCCTTTCAAATTTTCCAATAAAATGTACCATCTTCGAAACCTTTCCCACCAGCCCGGATGCACCGATGATAAACAAAACGGCCGATGAAATCATCAGCGAGCCCTCCATCTGTAAAACAAACATATTAATTCGTGTAATGGATCGGAACGGAGCTTTAAGGTATTTTTCTCGAAAATCATATGCCAACCAATAACCAACGGCTCTCATTCTGCCCATCCACAGATCCTCGGGTGATGATTGAGTGCGGGAGTAGGGGCAAGCATTTTCGGGTAGAGATTTGAATGCGGAAAGGGCTGGGATGAAGGCGAATGAGGGGCCATGGAGGATCGATAGTCTGGAAAAATTAAGATATATTTTCGAGATTGCTTTTCCATTGATGTTTCTCACTTTCTCTCACGCTATCTTGTCCTCTCTCTCTCTACCGTACCTCAGCCCAAACGTCGTCTGCAACAAAGTCGCTATACCACTGGCGACAAATGTCGATGAAATCAGCTTCACTCTGGAATTCTTTTTTTATGTTTCTCATCCTCTAATACCAACCTCAATTCAATAGTCCGATCCCCAGCACAGGCCAAATCCGATACCAAAAATGGGAGAACGAGAAGCCCCGAGATGCAGAGAAGCATTTGCTAAAATCCGAGGTTTCCTTTTGACGCCATTTTTCGTTTACCTGAGATCCAAAAAGTAACATCCCCTTCCAGTCGGGGACATCGTTGACGGCGAGGTGTAGCTCGGGTACGGTAGCATCTACAATAAATTTGAATAATCGTTAAATTGAAAACTACCAGAATCCGCGTCGGAATCGGGTGGGCGTTTTCCTTCTTCGGAACTGCTGTACGAATCGGCATCGCCGTTCGACTTGAAGCCCATGTTTTCCGTTGCTAAATTAATTAGAAAAATTATGAATGGGAGAGAGGGAGCGAGAGAGAGAGAGAGCCAGAGACAGATATAGAGAGGACAACCTAGTAGAAAAACTTAAAGAACTCATTCCAACCTTCCAAAATACTTTTATAACATTTCCAGAGGGCGGGCGGTCTATCCTTTGGTTTCGATGTATCAAAACAACATTCGAGGAGTAAAAAACAGTAGTTAAGCGGCTTACATCCATGCGGGAGTATACAAATGAGAGGGGATGGGTAGGAGGGTAGAAATGATCATCAGAGAACACCTCCACCCCCTAGTATCAAGCATCAATTTCTAGCCGTCCCTCCCCCGCCTATAAAGATTCGGAGAAAACACTCGTCACCCCCGCTGTTTTCCCAGATATCTATCAGGGCAGCATGCGGCGATACGCCCAAATAGCAATACGAATTGAAAAAGGGTTTTGATCATGTGGATTGAGGGCTTTATGGCCTTGAACTTTTCAAGGGATCTCTGGAAATGTACTTTAAAAGTTTACAAAAGGTAAGTGGAGCGTTTTAGATATCTTAAAGGGAAGGTGCCGAAAAAAATACAAGAATTTTTTGGCATTTTTTTCGTGAGAATTTGATCAAAACTTTATGGCCTTCAGCTGGTATCGGATCTCTGAAACTCCTTTCTAGTGATAGGTGGACCTTAAAAAGTTACAAATTGTCACTATTTTAAACGACATATTCCAACAAAATAAAGCAATTTCCGCGCCGACATCAACACCGCAATTTTCGTGACGCTGTGAAACAAGCTGCACGCTTTGACCGAAATAATTTGGAATTTTGGGCGGAAAAACAGCAATTTAGCCGGACTGTGGACAGTTGGGTGGTCGGGGGGATAATTGGACGGTTCGGCGGGCGCAGTTTTAAAATTTTCAAGCACGGACTTTTGTGTGGAATTATGGTTCAAAAAGGTTTAAAAATGGCAGCAGTAAGTAATAACAATAAGGCAAGGAATCAGATAATTTTGGGAAGGTTAGAAATAAACGGTAATACGGTAGCGTTTCGTTAGGCAGGCTAGCAAAGATTTTGGGGGCGCCAGGAATACCTAGAATACGGTACGGTGAATATCGATAACTAAAAAATACGCTAGAAAACGAAAAATCCGGTGCTAATATACTTTGAAAGTGAGTAACTCAAAAAAATTGTATTTTCTAAAAATACGCTTGAATACAGTAGTATGCTCAACGTCATTTAGTACAGCGTAAAAATCGAAAATCCCTATCCAACTGATACCGACAGACAAAAGTGCAAATCCCGGGCGCCTACCGTAACCCAACGAGACTGTCTGAATCGCGCCCCCCAGCTACCGTTATATGCCTGGCGGCCAGTGGCAAACATCGGGGCGGGCTGAGCGGATTACCCGGATTTTTGTGGTCGACTGACATTTTTCCGGAGGGAACGAATATTTTTTGTCAAGCGATGTTCAATTCCGTGATATCAATAATAACGGGTCAATGTTCGCCGCGGCTATAAACTGACAGCAATGATCGGGGTGAAAAAAGGAAAGAGGGGTTTCGTGACGGAATGCTCTTTAAAAATCGCGGTGCCGGGTTATCACTCGGTTCGGAGAGAGGGACGCCTTTTAAAGAGCACAGAGCTCGAGCAATAAATTTCGAAATCGAAAATATAGCATTTCATTCAAAAACCCATTAAGTTCGAGTCACAACCTAGCGACGAATGGATAAACAGTACTACATAGTACTATAGCACAAAAGTACAACTATACCGGATTGGAAAAATGCTGTTTTGAAAAGTTTACTTTTTAGCGAACACTTTGCATGACCAACCAAAAGTGACTTTATTGGCTGAATGGATCAAGATGAGCGTTCATGCGGACACTCCCATTTCGTTGACACGGATCCGCCGGGGAGGTTGCTCGCAAATCGTAACCTCTGTGTTTGATCAAAAATAGATTGATCTGAACGGGCCGGATGTGCAAAGTATACTGTCGTAGATGGGGATTCAAAAAAATTTCGCGCATTGGGTTTACGACGATGATAATAAACTAATGAGTAACGTTCGAACAACATTTTTCTAAGCTTTGCTCAGGAAGCTGAGGCCTATGCCAAAGCTTAAAAGGAAGTCTAAGACAAGCCTAAGCCGAAGGCCATCCTAATCTAAACCTCCTCATGCCGAAGCCTATACTAGGTATAGCCTAAGCCCAAGCCTAAGCCCTAGCTTAAGCCTACAATCAAGCCTAAGTCTCGCCCTAAACCTAAAATTAAGCCCGATCCTAAGCCTGAGTCTAGGACCAGGCTTGAGTGGATTCCGCTTCACAACCGCCTTTTAGTGGTTTTTCAAGCATTCGACTTTGCTAAACGACCAATTAGAAATGTCAAAATACACCTTTCTCATTTAAATTTTTATTCATAGCAACCCATAAAATCCTGATCATTGACCGAAATTTCCCGATGCTTTTTTTAGACGACATCCTGTTGCCATTCATGTGAGCGATTACGGTGTGTGTGGAGGGAGAGGAGGGAGGTCCCGCGGTGTTTGGGCTGGAAAAGGACGATCTCGGTATGGAAACAGGTTGATGGGACAGACACGGTAATACCTTCAAACATACATAGATACACAAGCAGCAGTATTCAACATCGAAACACCCGGATCAACAACCGAAAAGCCGCTACGTCAAGCAAACAAGGTGCGGGGAAGGGGCAACATTTTGCAGGGCAGGGAGGTTTTGAAGGGGCAGGTAAGGAAGTACGCGGTACTGATTATCCTATCCTATAAGCGAGAAAAGTATGTCTGTTTTTTGTTCAGCCAAGTCGAATTACCGGCTGATTTTTGGCATGGAGGTAGAGAAACACATTTGTCAGTGACGCATTTTTTTGTTTCGCGAAATTCCTTCATTTAACGATTTTACAACAAAAATAGTGAAAAATCCTTAACATCTTGCCCAAAAAAAGGTATGTCCGGAGGTTTTCTCGGCCGCTAAGAGGAGTTGGGCTCTGATTTTTGGCGGGTGAGTGGCAAAAGCAATTCTCCCGATACGATTTTTTGGATTTTGCCAAATTCCTTAAAATAAAGTTTTTATGAGCATTTTACTAGAAGGTCCTTAATAAAATGGCCACAGTCCCGTGGTATCTGGGACGTAACTCGATTCCCAGATGGAATTTTGGGCTGTAATTTGATCCACTTATGTATTCGATAGCGGGGATCACGCGCATCTTATTATTTTTACAAATTTTCGGTGCATTTAGACTCAAAAAGATAATTTTATAAAGTTACCAGAAGTCTCCCCTCACGGGATGAGGCTCGCCCCCAAGGCAGAAGAGGCCTTTCCCGCCGCCCACAGCCATCTCCCCGCGTGGTGTAGTGGATAGGCGCCCGGGCTACCAAGCGCGTGGTCCGGGTTCGAATCCACCCCGAATTTAACTTTTTGCTTTTTGGTAGTTCAACAACAAAACATATTTCTATGCTCTCGGTATGCGAGTTTTAGGCCCAGTTTTTAGCGCCGCAGACCAAAGAAAGGTATTTGACCCAGGCTCTGGCGCCGCAGGCCAATCCTGGAGAAAACCCAGTAACTAGCGCCGCAGGCTCAAAGATTCTAGAGCAGTGCTGACTCTGGCGCCGCAGGCCAAAGAAAAGCTCCTTGACTTACGCTTTCGCGCCGCAGGCTAAATCCGGGAGAAAAAGCAGTAGCTAGCGCCGCCGGCAAAAGTTTCTAACGCGAAGCTGGCTCTGGCTGCGCAGGCCAACGAATGGTTCCTTGAGTCAGGCTCTTGCAGCGGCAGGCTTCAATAAAAGGAAAGGGAATTTATGATTCCTAGACGGCGTCCAGTGGAAAAGGGCCGCGAAGCGGTCATTTTCCACTGGTAGAATTCTATAAAACAGGTTGCGATAACAAGAAAATGCCGGAAATTTTTTCGAAAATCGCGATGCGTCTGCGTTGCGTTCCACATTGACAAAATTAGTGCGAAACCCACAGCCAAAAATTAAAAGGCGCACCTTGTCTGTGCCTTTCAAGGGAAGTTATCGGAAGTTTGAGGTTGGAATCTAACACAATTAAAAGGGTTATCAAACATGAGATCGAGAGATAGAAAAATAGATAGATAGATAGAGAGAGAGAGAGAGAGAGAGCGAGAGAGAACGTAGGGGAGAGAGGAGAACGAGAATGAATGCGAGACAGTGATTGAGAGAGTGAGAGTGAGAGTGAGAGACGGTAATTGAGGGAGAGGGAGAACGAGAAAGCGTGCGAGACAGTGAGTGAGAAAGAGCGAGACGCGGTAATTGAGAGAGAGTGACGAGAGTGCGAGAGAGAGCGAGAGAGAGAGAAAGAGCGAGAGAGAGAGAGAGAGAGAGAGAGAGTGAGAATGAGGGCAAAATGAAGAGAAGAAAAGAAAGAAAAGAGAAAGATTGAGTGAGAGAAAGTCGTTGAGAGAGTGATATAGAAAGAGAGAGACGGAGTCAGAAAATGATAATTGATTCCATTTTCCTAATTACTTTTAAACACATTTTCATAGACATTTTATTTTTTCAATACCCTATCGATTGCCTCATCTCAAAGCTCCTCCCGATAACATCCCCCTCAGCAGCCCTTTTTCTACGGAACATTCTCGCCATTTCCCCCCTCCCCCTCCACCGAAACTCAATGGCTGATTTTTCTCTGCCACAAATCATGGTGCGTGAGCTGATCTATGACGGGCTCAGGTCAGTTTTCCCGCTGAGCAACTCTCAGCCATTTTTTTATGGAATTTCCACAAAAACGTACAGTTAACACGGAAAGTTTCGGAATTCGGCCACCTCATCCAATTTCACCAGGGGCAGGCTAGACAAAATATGGCCATGTCAGGTAGTTTTTGGGCATTGCACGGAGGAGGGGGCTTCTTGTGTCTAGAATTCTTGAAATTGCCCTAGTACTTCTTGCGGTAATGGCTTGCAGCTTGAAGAATTCGCACGTGTAAGCTTCATTAAAATTACTTTTTAATTTTTGAAATTCCTTTCCTTTCTTTTGAAAGGATTAGAGTCGCAGCCCCACTCTCTAATTTAAAGTGTTAGTTTCTCCGTTCGATTCAATGAGTTGTTTTTTGCAATTTCCGGACCTGTGACTCACCCTATTTTCTGATGCATTTTTCTCCTTGAGGCGCTGAGTCAGTGCTTTTCTTATGAAATTTAAGGGAGCCCCGCCTCCGGTTGGGTGTCTTATAGAAAGGCGATTTATAGAAATTGCATACCTGGAACTTTGTTTCAGGGCCGGATTTCTGGTCCTATAATTCATCTCTGTTTGCCAAGGCCTGATGCGTTGCGTGCACATTTTAGCATCCAAGTGCTGGGTGTTGCGAGTTTTTCAGTGTAGTCTATCTCCGAAGTCGAGCGCAGCTCTCAACTTAAAATTCTAAACAACAACCAAATTCCCACGCTCAATAGAGAGAGTGAAAACAGGGGAGGGGAGACATTTTCCAGAGGCGGCTATCCATTTCTCTAGGCAGCCGCTGTGTCAAATGTCAATATTGGGGGCGCGGCTCTTCGCAATTTTTCTGAGTGGCGGTTTTTCCTCTCAGGTAGCCTAAATTGCGGTTGATAAGGTTTTTTATCGAGATCTGCGCTTTTTTGTTGTGTTTCGAACTCATGGTAGCTTAAAAAGCTAAAAAATATGCTTAAAACTTTAATAAATATAAGCGGGATTTGATGAAATCGATTTCAAGAGTCTGGCATGGCAAGACTATGGTTCTTTGGCTGGCTGCATTTAACCGCACCCGCCAATTTTCTATTCATATCCCTCCACCCCTCCAGACTTATTTACTACCCCTCCTTTTACCAGATGTCCAACCGGGTTGTTTTTGTGCCCGGCCGATTCTGGAGGGCATTCCGTTTTTCTGCTGTGGCCCCCCATCCTGGCCCGGCTGGCTGCCTCCACAGCCCTCATTTCCATCCCCTCCTCGCAGCCCCTAGCCCCGCAAAAAGGGGGGCGTCCCCCGGTTTCTCGTAAACAACTCGATAGGGGCTTCGCATATCTCTATGTGGATGGGCCCTGACCTAGGGGTTTTTGCTCTGGATTTGGCCTTGGGGCTTCAATGAGGTGTTAGAATTTGCGGGCCGAGGTCGTTGGCTAGGTTTTTTTATCGTAAGCAATCTTTGCCAGGCTGCTGTGATAATTGACGCACTAATAGCTATGTAAAAGGAAAATTGCAAAAGCAAAGGTCTTAAGCCATTAAAAAAATTGCCCTTTTGGGCCGATTGGTTTTGCGTTCATTGCCGCGGGCAAGGCCCTGGTTCGATCCCGGCCGCGACAAGACTTTTTTTGCTTTTTTAGCAACCAAGTTTCTAAAGAAATATACACTTTATTCACTTGTTACACCATCAACTCAACAATTCGAAAACCCTAACTAATCTCCGCGAGAACACGGCCTCAACAAGCTTCAGCAGGCCTTTATCCAGACCTGTTCAATTCCACCCGGCTTCCTGTTGACAGTTCATACACCCAGTCACCCGAAAGGGCTGTTGCCCTCCCTGTATTATCGAGCCGTGAGGTGGTATTTGTGTGGAATGAGGGACTGTTTGCGCCTCTTTCCTCACACGTCCACAACAACATTTCGGCCCGGCCTCTTCGATAGATAAACTTCACGGCGCGGGCCGCCTGCTATTTACTCCGCGCATATTCAGCCTCTGAGTACGCGCAGCTCCTTGTGGCGCTTCTGAATTTAGGTCTTGGATGCTTTATAGCTTCGTTTTTTTACTAAATTCGTTTTCCCGAAACTGAGGTCGTTTCGGCAATTCTACCCTAGCTATCCAGATGCGGAAAAGTCTAACAGATCGCTTTCCGACAAAATGAGCAAAAGCTTACGTACGTATCTTGTTTATCATTTTTAAAGGGGGTGTGCCATCTCCTTTTGCACCGTTTTACCTCTTTTTTTTACACTATTGATCGTCAACGGCCCACATTTTGCAACCAAAACATTGCGGGCCCCGAGCCCGACTCACAACCTACGGCTCAACTCCTCTTTTTTTGAAGGGCCGGGCCGGTATGGGGTAGAATTGGGGGAGAGTGCCCCTCGCTGAAACGAGTAAAAAGGGCGAAAGGCCCTCCGCTCCTCTTCCTCCCCGCTGACCCTCGTTCGGCCCTTTTTCAACTCTTCCTCTTTTTGCTTGTTCTCTTTTCCTACTGGGCGATGGTGGGGGACATGGCCCCGCTGTTTTTTTGCCATTTTCCGAGCGGGCCGGCCTCGTCCCCTCTCTCATTCACTTGCAACCGCCCCGACCCTCGGCTATTTGTGTTTGTGTGGCCTTGGGTGGGAAGCGTTCTTGACATTTTTCGATTGTAAAATAGTTTTCAACGTGTTATACTTCTAAAAATAAGTCTATCATTCGAATAATAGCATATGACGATAGTAACTATCCAGTCAAAAATACCTACCCAATATTTGCTTACATTTCCTGAACAAACAATGTGAAATACAACACCCTTTTTACACATCAAAAAACAATTCATGCACTTTCCCCCTCTCGCTACCTGTTGACGAAATATTGTTTTCGAGGAAATCCTCCCAACAAAAAACACCTCGCCGCCCCGCTCAACGCAAACAGAAAACGCCTTATCGTGGCCTGACTCAGCCATTTTCCCCCGCCTCGCCTAGATATCGGTCAATTCTAAAACGTTTAAACTTGCCGCCCGCCCTCCAAACCCATCCATACTCACCTTCCAATTTTTTTCTTCTCGTAATTGCCCCGCATTCCATCCACCCATATGGAAACGTTCATTTTCCCAAAAAACCCCAGCAAATTTTGCGCCTTTGTGCCCCCCTTAAGAATCATTTTCCATCCCTTTCCAGAATATGACACACATTTTTCAATTTTCTTTCCCCCACCTAAAAACCGATCAAGCAATGCAAACCCACAATACTAAACCAAACCTCTACCCCTAAAAAATGTCCTACTACAGTAAGATTTCCCGTTTCGAGGAGGAATTTGAATACTATTTGATGCGCTCCCGGCCCAGAGCCAATCTATTCGATTTGGGACACAATTATTATCACAGAGCCGCTAGGACCCCCAGAGTCGAAGAAGTTTTCGAAGAAGCCTGGCCGACTCGCAAAAATAGCTTTTCAACACGGGAAAGTTCATTAAACAAGTCATTAAACAAATCAACCTCTTTTTTCTCTACCCCAAACATACAAGAACTTGACTACGGTACCGTATTCCCGCAATATGACCGCAATAACTACCCAAATTCTCGGAAAGCGATCAGTATCCGAGAAATTCCTACTACTTATCAGCCTCGGGCTAGATCGGTATCCCCGGCTTGTCATTACCGAAAAGACCCCGGCTACCGTAATCGAGTAAGCTTTGAGGATGAACTATCAGATTCTCCCGATCGAGTGCTATCAATTCTCAGAACAAAAAACCCAAGGCTGGACCCTGATGCTACTGCTCGACTTTTCCAAGCAGAACGAGCCAATACAGATTACGACTACCGCCGTTCATACATTCCTAAATCGCGTCCGATCTACCGTAGTCACAACGACTACGATTACCATGGACTTTATTCCGTGGAAAATCCCTACTATCGTGCCCCTACGCGCTACAGTAATGCCTTGGAACTGGAAGACAAGAAGTACCTCAATTCGATTGATTTTGCTGAAGATCGAGCAGTCTTGTCGAGACCCAGATATTCGTGCTACGATTGCTATGATGGGTTGTTGGATGGGACATGTAGTACGTGTGGCACCCATGGACGGTTTGGGAGTTATCGTACTCGACCGGAGATTGCCGACAGTGCGAGATGGGAGTCGGACGTTTCGAGATATTTTGGGTAACCGCTACGGGTTTTTTAGTTTTAAGGGGCTTATGAAGTCAAGTTATAAGTTTTCAGTACAGTAGATGAAAGATTGGCGCATCTTTCCTTAAGACTACGTGACTTAACCATCGACAACCAACCCTAGACTGAGTAATGGATCAATTCCCTGCCCCGACGCGGCAGTGAATCATAATGTTATGCCGTTATTTGGGCCCGCCTTCCACCTCCCATCGCGCCCCATTTTATTCTCTCCACCACCCCTCCGACAAATATCAATATTTCGATTTTCTATTGTTTATCGTAGGCTGTAGATTTCAAAATTGAAACCTTCGCTTTTTCACAATCCAAATATCAGTTCCGTTTTTTTTAGTCGCACCAAAATGTCCAACTACAACTACTGCACCATCATCGATAACCCCGACTTCCTGCCCGCCACGTAAGGTTTCTTTAGTCTTACTACAAAAGAAATGAATTTTAGTTATGAAAAATTATTATTATGATTATTTTATAGCTGGGCTGAGAAGATCGACCGTGCTTGCCGTGATGGAGATAAGGAAACCGTGATCAACCTTCTGACGAGCATCTCGAACGCTCAGCGTCAGCAGGTCTGTTGCGCTCTCCCCCTCTCTCGCCCTCTCTCCATCTGTCTCTCTTTGTCTTTCCCTCTCTCTCTCGCTTCTCTCTCTCTCTCTCTCTCTGTTTCTCTTTGTCTCTCTCCCTCGCTCTCTCTGTCCCTCTAACGCCCTCTCTCTATCTCAAAACTTCAGATCCGTGGACCGTACAAGCTGAAGTACGGAAAGGAGCTCGATGAGGCTCTCGACAAGAAATTCAGCGGAGATCTGGAATCGGTAAGTTACACAAACAAAATCGTGATACAATCTACAAAAGCTCCAATCTAACCGCAACTAGGAGTAGTAGTACCTACAGTAATCTCCCGTTTTCAGGCCATCCTGGCCCTCGTCGACACCCCGCTCGAGTATGACCTCAAGCAGCTGAAGAAGGCGATGAAGGTATCGTTTAGTTCTTACTATATTTTAGCTATATGACCCCTTTAGGACGGTATCACGGTGCGTTTCAGGCTACCGTATTGTTTTTGTTTTTGTTGTTTTTGTACTCACTATTTGGTTACCGAGCAGTGAAATGCTCGTTTTCTAGTCACTTCTCCATTGCCTTTCAATCGTGTTACTATCAGACTTCTAAGCTACAAAAAATAGAATTAGGAATTGGGCATTGAAAATGAGCGGGAGAGAATTTTGTGTCTCTACGCCTTTAATAGATTTTACAAGGAGATTCTGAATTGTTCAAAAAAAAACTGCTCATTTTGATAAAAATCCTGGTGGTGACAGTATAATTGGGAGCACCGGTATACGGTACTAACATTATGTCATTTGTAGGGACTCGGAACTGATGAGGCCGTGCTCATCGAAATCTTGTGCTCGCGTACCCCTGACCAGCTGCGCGCTATCCGCGCCGGATATGAGCGTCAGTACGGAAAGCAACTCGAGAAGGTATTTATTCATTTATTAATTATTTTATCGATTTTAGGACGTTGCTGGCGAGACCTCGGGCGAATTCCGCGATCTCCTGGTCGCTCTCGTTACCGGATCCAAGGATCCGTCCCACGATACCAATGATGTTCAGGCCAAGGATGTAGGTTACGTTAGATTCGGCGTGCTTTAGGATTCAAGCGGAATTCACTCAATCAAATTAAATCTGGTTTTTAGGATGCCGTCCGTCTCTTCGCTGACGGCAAGGGCAAATTCGCTGGCACAAAGGACCAGCCGTCGCACTTCTTGAAGATCCTCGCCACCCAGAACCAGTACCAGCTGCGCAAGGTGTTCGCCGAGTTCGAGAAGCTGTCGGGAGCCACTATTGAGAAGGCCATTGAGAAGGAGTTCTCTGGCGACTTGAAGAACGGCTACCTGACGATTGCTCGCGCTTCTTCGAACAAGCAGAGCTTCTTCGCCACCCAGCTTTACAACGCCATGAAGGTATTTAAGGGAATTCTGATTTTTGAGTAGATCTTGAAATTATTAGCACTTTTAGATGGATAATTTATATAATAAAAAATTAAATTAAAATTGAATCTTTCAGGGATTGGGAACCCGTGACAACGATTTGATCCGTGTGATCGTCACTCGTTCGGAAGTTGACCTGAAGGTCATCAAGGACGAGTACCAGCGCCTTTACAACAAGACCCTTGAGGACCACATCAAGGTATATCTATATTAATCTTACTTTTACCAACCCCATAATTTTCAGGGAGATACCTCCGGTGCCTACCGTGACTGCCTCCTCAAGATCTGCCAGGGCAACTATTAAACAACCCACAAATTACCCAAATTTTTGTATCCGAGCTTCTCACCCGCTGCATCTCCATCAACAACCAAAACTTACCTTCAATTTCTCGGCCCCACTGCCCTCCGGCTATCATTTACACCATTCCACCCATGGGCATTTCCTCCCCGCACATCCCCGCTTTTTACGGTAGCTAAAATTCCACATAATCCTGCTATTAATTTCGGAACCGATTTCTTGTAATGTAATAAATTGTTGTAAGGAAAAATGACGACGCATTGTATTCTAATTAACAGGCTGAAGTACAAAACAATTTGTTCACCATTGAGGTTCGGAAGCCTGCATTTCCGTAAGGGGAAACCGCAAACACCTTTAACAAGACTAATGAAAAGGCGACGGTAACTCAAAAAAGAACTCAAAAATCGTAAGTAGTCACAATTAAGGGTACAGGCGACCATGCAGGGCTGCCCTCTTACATGGACCAAGATACCAAAAATCGATGGTAGAAGTGATCGATTTTGCGCATTCCATTGGGGTTTTTTTCACACCTCACTACGGAACGGTAGAGGCGGAGGATTTAAGCTCGTCTTTGCTCGACATGGATTTTTAGGAAGGGCAGGCTAGCAATGAATTTTTGTATGGAACACAATGGTACTGTATAGTAGCTCCCTGTCATAATTGTTTCACAAAAAGCCTAGAAGCTCAGATACCGAACTTACTAGATATTTATTTACCCAGCCTAGCCTTTCAACTTTGTAGAACCATTTTAATAGATAGGATGGTCTTTTTCGATCGTCCGAAATACCGAAAATCGAAGCTAAGATTGATCGATTCTTCCGAATTTAATCGGTTTATCACACGTTAGACGGCTTAAAACCTTGAATCATACCAGCACAACGCACAAGCATAACTACCAATCTTATTTTTATGGTGATGGTGATTTATTAGAGGAAATACGGTGATAATATACTTTCAATCTAGATTTACATACTTTTACCCTTCAATAACCTTCTACGCCATTTTTAACTTGTATATATCCGCACAGGCGAAGCTGGATGGGCGTCTCTCTACCGCAGTCCCAGGGACCACCCATTCGAAACAACATGGGTGGCCGCCGGGCAGAGCCCTCAAACACCCTTCCACACCTCGGCTGTCCCTCAACAGACACTCCATTCTCGGCCCCATATTGAAGAGCGGAACCCCGGAAGTTACCGAGGTGTTAAAGTTGTTGAAAGAAAAAGAGTAATACCATCAATCTCATGCTGAAAAAAATAGCTTTTATTTTTATTTAAGAGGATTTTAGATAGTTCCTTTCGAATTTTAACTATAGTCAGAAGTATATAGAGCCCATTTTCTGCAATATTGATTAAAATCGTTTGAATTAAAATATTGTAAGATAATAATCATAAGCTGAAACATCCTTCCAATCCATTGTAGGAGACCTGTTACCGATTTTCCGCAAAAGAATAGATATTACATGGTATTCTGTAGATGGGCAACTATTTTTTGAGAGGTTGCAAGGCTCGTATACACCGCCAAAAGCTGTAAGACAACAAAATTGCTCCTGAAATTGCGATTACAATGACAGGGTTATCAAGATCGACGCAGGCTTGCCGTTCCTACAAAATAGCAAGGAACCTTTAACGAATCCCATTTTCATTTTATGTATACTTTACGACCCCCGGAATTTTGAATCAACCCGGGTAAACGTGCCACCCTCCAGTGCCCATTTTTAGCATCACAAATTCTGCAGGTGCCTCCCACCACTTACTCCGTTTAAGCTTAGATATTTCCGGCGGGATTACCCTTTACTTAGTTAATCCCCACTTTTGACAGGTGATCAACATAGTGGTTTGACCCCCGTTCCCCTGCTAAAAATGCGACGCTATTTCCGGGGCTGGGCCGCGCCGGAAATCATATGTTTTCCACTCGATTCGCCTTTCGGGGATTATGAAGAGAGTGAGCGAGAGAGAGAGAGGGAGAGAGCGAGATAGAGAGAGAGAGGCCGGCGCAATGCCCGTTCTTTGGATGTGAGAATTGGGGAATGATCACGTCAATCCCTTTGCGTTGCCGGCTGTTTTTCTAGGCCAGGCCGGGGGAAATGATGGATCCAAGGTGGAAATATCGTTCCGCGTATATAAAATCACATCATTGCTAAAATTAGGGTGGTGACGTGCAGTTGCTACGATATATTCGAGTTTTGTGATGTTTCAAGTCACCAATTCTGAGCTTTTAACGGCTTAAAGAGGAGGTCTCAGCAAGCGATGTTGAGCTTGCCCATCGATGAAAAACTCTGTTTTGAATTTAGCAAGGCTCTGAACTTAGATGCACATTTAAAGCATATTTTCTCCACTTTACGGCTCGATTTCACGCCAAAACTCCCACAATATGGCAACCCCTTAATGACTACTCCCCCAGAAATATGGCCATACAAACACAACCACTCCACCCCCAAATTTTCTTGAGTATAGCCGAAGCAAAACGTTGAGTGGATGACCTACAAGCTCTTTTCATTTTCTCTAGTTTGCTGTCCCTTACTCCTCTCATTTCTACCGTATACCTTCAGTCACGTTCTGGCATCGCTGAAATTTTCTAGGAACGGTCGGGCTACGTCGGTTGAGTGTGGGTCTAAGGAACGGCGGTTTTTGAGCAAAAATCAAAGCTTATGTCAATTTTTAGATTCACTCCCTATGAAGAGAAATACCACCGGCAGCGCCACCACCACAAATCGATGTCGGTTCCGGTTCCAGCTGATTGCTGCCTAGAAAAACGGGGATTCCCCCCACGCACTCAGTAGTGTCGTATTGATTGATCGTTCATTGTGTGTCTATAGGCAGTGGTAGGCAATCACGGCACAAAGAAGTCGATTCCACTCTCTCTCTCTCTCTCTCTCTCTCTCTCTCTCTCAACCATTACGCATCGAGTGCGCACAATAGAACGCAGGGGCTGCTTCTCTTTCTTTTCATTTCTTCAAGGGGCAACCCATTGTGATGCAGGGCAGCATTTCTAAAAGAGTTAAAGGGCCAGTGAAGTCAGAGGAAAATTACTGCAACCGCAGAATCTACCGTAATACGTCAAAGATACCAACTAGGCCATGAAAATAAAAAAACCCCGTAGAACGCCGGGTCTATGGACCACGAAATTATACTAAAGTAATTAAAATAATAGAATACCCCCAGAAATTTCCAGCAACCCTGAACGTCTCCAACACTAGTATACGTGCAAAGATTTTGTCTCTCCTCTGCCGCTTCAGCAAGCATCCTCCTCCTCCCATCCAAATTGAGTCGCCGCGCTTTTTTGGCGGCCGTAGCCTCCTCTGCCTGCTATACAATTTCCAATTAGCCTCCCCCTCCACTCTTCCACAACCTCGACTTTGAAATATCCTAAACAATTCTCAAAAAAAATCTGATGCAAAAACCATAGCCAACCCACCCCCCAGGTTAATGGAATTTTCGATGAGCTGCAAGGCTTGAGCTTTTTGCTAAAAAAACACGCCGGGAAATTCCCGAGGACCCAATTATTATGGCGGTTTGTAGCTGTGACGAGCGGTCACCTGTCCGCCTGTCAAAAAAGGACCGGGAGAAAGACGGGGGGTAAAATCTTATTTTCAGCGACCGGGTGATGGACGTGGGCGCGCAAATTTTGCGTGAGAACCTGCCAATCCGGGGTGGAGGGGGAGATTGGAGCGGACAAGGGGGAGGAGATAATTTTGGATTGGCGGATATGACAATACTGTATGGGGAGAGAGAGAGAGAGAGAGAGAAAGAGAGAGAAATAGAGAGAGAAAGAAGAGAGAGAGAGGGAGAGAGCGAGAGAGAGAGAGATAGAGAGAGAGAGAGAGAGAGAGAGAGAGAGAGAGAGAGAGAGAGAAATAGAGAGAGAAAGAAGGAGAGGAGAGAGAGAGAGAGAGAGAGAGAGAGAGAGAGAGAGAGAGAGAGAGAGCGAAAGACAGCTCAAATGAGAGTGAGACCGCGCAAGAACCGGAGAGCGGGAAAGAAAGCTACATTGTGAGAACACGAGAGTCGAGAGAGAGAGAGAGAGAGAGAGAAAGCGAGGCAGAGAGGGAGAGAACAGGGCTTGGTTTACTATAATACAGGTATTATGAATTGATGGTCAATCCAACAAAACACCTGCTCCGCGTAGCTCTTACCAACGCGGTTAACTTATGAGCACATTACAGACGGACGTGTTTCTCTGATCCTAAGGGTTTTAACGGTAGCATGACAGGCGTTTTCGAGCTTTTTTCGCATGAATTGAAACAAATTTCCATACCTTTCCAAACGACACCTTGCACAATTCTGGTGCACGACAATTTTTGGTCGAAACCGTCCGATCCCCCCGGTGCGCACTATTCGCTCCCCCGCAAAATGTGTGCAAGCCCTGCTGTGTGTGCTGTGAGAGGCTCCCGCGGGCCGAACCAGCCATCTCCCAGTCGACAATGTCTCTCTCTCTCTCTCTCTCTCTCTCGCCTATGTCTGCGCGTCTTTAGTGTGTGCGCGAAAGGAGAGAAGCGCCGCGCGCGTCCGGTCCCCCGGCCGCCGATAGGAAAGGAAAGGAACGAAAAAAACGGGGGGATGAAGAAGGAAGCTGACGGGGTGGGCTACGGGCCAGTCCTGGAAACTGTGCGCATCGATTCTATCGGGGGAGATGTTCGATCCATAGGGCTTCAGATGACGATTTTTGTGACGAACGACATCTAGTAGTCTTTTATTACACTCCAAGTAATTTTTCACGGATTGAAAGTTATAAAGCCGTCGTGTCTGAGGTAGCGAAATAGATCTGAATGATAGAAATTATAAAACCAGTCCCTAGCTATGTTGTATTTTATTTTTTCCACTCCTCCTCCTCCAGGGGAACAAAAGGTGCCAGTTTCCGCTTCCACAATTGCCAGGCGCCCAGCTGCGGGCAGGTTGAAAATGAAAAAAGATGGGCTCGTTGGACGAAAAAAATGAGAATGGGGGAGCCGGGGGAGCACAGGATGTAGTTTCCGGGATGGAATACAAAAGCAGGCAGGGAACACG